GCAGGCGTTCACAATCTCCCACAAAGCATCAGGGGTAACACCCTGTGTGCTGTGGGCAGGCGTTCACAATCTCCCACAAAGCATCAGGGGTAACACCCTGTGTGCTGTGGGCAGGCGTTCACAATCTCCCACAAAGCATCAGGGGTAACACCCTGTGTGCTGTGGGCAGGCGTTCACAATCTCCCACAAAGCATCAGGGGTAACACCCTGTGTGCTGTGGGCAGGCGTTCACAATCTCCCACAAAGCATCAGGGGTAACACCCTGTGTGCTGTGGGCAGGCGTTCACAATCTCCCACAAAGCATCAGGGGTAACACCCTGTGTGCTGTGGGCAGGCGTTCAGGTCCTGGCTCCCCCTCTTATCTGCTGTGTGGCAGGTAATGAGATCTGCCGAAGCTTAATTTATTCATCTTGGCGATGCTAGCTGTAGTTCTCAGGGGCTGTTATGAGGCTGCATATGAGAAGTAGGGAAATTCTTGGCACATTTGCTTGGTCACTGTCAACTGCGATTGTCATCAGCATTAATGTTTAAATGTACGCTTTCTAAACAAAAAGAATATCCAATGAACGATGGCAGATTGCTAAGCAGCCATTGTTAAAATCATTTTTTTTTCTTTTAAAAGCACTTGACTTTAATTCTTAAATTGATCTCTTTGTGCTTTTGTTTTTGAGCTTTACACTGCCACCCTTGTTTCTGGAGAGGAATAGAAGTTTCTCTCTTCACAGGAGCACTGCCCTGGGCAGAGCATGCCCATCTTTCCTCCTAAGAAGAGGCACGTGACCATCTGATTAGTTAGAATCCAAACAGTCAGTCAGAGGGCTGAGTCCGACACAGGGGTGGTATTGCAGTAAATGTGCCTAGCTCCCAACCCAAGTCCTCAGAATTTTATTGGTTAGAAGTTCCCCTCCCACACATTTAATTTCCAATCTTTCCAGCCTTGGTCATTTGGTTTAGATGTGTTTTCTTTGCCAGGCCACTCTGATTAAAGGATGTGCCACCTTCCATCTGGCAAAAGAAAAGTGGTCCTCTGGCTAGTCCTTGTCTTCTCTTTCTGAGGATGCCTCTTCCTGCCACAGGAACCCAAGAGATCTTAGGGAACCCCAGACCATCATTTTTGCTCTCTTGTCCTCAGCTTCCAGCGATTTCCAAGAGGAATCACCTCCTCCTGCCGAAGCCAAGTGTGTGTTCTTGGTCCATCAAATTAATATTCTGACTTGTATGGGCAAGCATCAGTGAGGATTTTCCTTTTTGTATCCCTTGACAAAGCTCCCTTCCTTTCTGCCGAGACTGAGACAACAGTGTTCTCTTTGTCCTCATCCTCAAAACATCCTCTTCCATCCTCATAGTGTCCTCTCCCATTCCCAAGGTACATCCCAGCTCACCGTCTTGGCCACTCCTGCTTTTTTTATTGTCCCTTGGCATTCATTTCCTCCCCCCCCCCCGCCCTACGTTTATGGTGTCTTGCCTCACCTTGGTTTTCCTTGAATTACGTTGTTAATTGAGTTAGTGTGTGTGTCACCTTCAAGGTCCCACTAACGCATAAAACGGGAATGAAGCCAGTCAGGTAACATTGGAATGGCAATTCTCCCCTTCCCTTGTAATATCTAGAAAATACATATTGTGGTTCTTTAGAGCAGTTACTACACTTGAACATGTGAAGCAAAAATGATGTTTTGCCAATAATCAAGAAGACCTGAAAAATACCGATGATACTTTAAGAGTCACCTGTATCCACCTGCATGAGTTATGTATTGTTAGGCAACAAATTACTCTAAAAGTTTGGGCTTTAAAGATAAAAAATCTTGTCTCCCAGCTTCTATAGGTGAGAAATATGGTAGGGGTCATTCATGAGGTTCAGGCTGAGACGTGAACCTTGTTAGTAGTCAATGAAGTGTGTAGACAGGACTGGAGGGGCCACTTTCAAGGTGATTCAAGGCAGAAGGTGTACTTTCTGTGTTAGCTGTCTGAAATCTCTGCAGGCCTGCTTCAGTATTTCATGTGGCAGCCAGTTTCTGTAGGATATGATCCAAGTGGCAAAGTAGAAGGAATTACAATTGCATCTGTACCCTGGCCTTGGAAGTCAGGCTTCTATCACATTCTGTTAGAGTTTGCAGCCCAACTTCATCGGGTGAGGAAAGAAGGATATCATAGGGTTTGTGGACTCAAAATTCGCTGTATCATTTTTTGTAACACTGAATTTGGGTGTGTTTCATGCATTCAGTACCCTCCTTCTGGACAGATACATTGTTCTCATGGTGAAAAACCATCTATGTGTGCACTGATTCTCAGATACGCTTTAAATTTTTGTCATGATATCATGAAGCCCATGTTTGGCCAGATGTGGAGATGGGCCTTCATAGCCTCTCACATAGCATTTAAAATAACAGGATAAAGAACAATCCCCCACATCGCAGCTGCAAGCTATCACCAAAGAGAGAAAGAGCCCTGGTTACTTGGAATGTCATTCTAATACCCCTTTTTCTACAGTGGACATACGATCATTTTTTTGCATTATTAATTTAATTTTAGTAAGTACAAAATAGTATTAACCTTTGTGGAATTTTACAAGAAAGACAAGTGTGGGATTTTTTTTATAAAGCTTTTGCTAATGTGAGGTATTATAGATAGTAGCAGGGAACACTAGAGTTGAGGGCACTTACTTCATTGTAGAAAAACACAAGGAGATCCTTGTCAGAGAGAAGGGTTTTCAGTTCCACTTCCTTTTGTAAAGTAAGAGTCAATTACACTCAAGTTGTGTTCTTTTTCCATTATATGAGAAGTAAATCCCCTTGTCATCTAATCTCTGAGCGAAGAACTGTGAATAATTCCAAACGAGGATGAGTACACATTGATAGAGTAGAGAATGAAGATATAGGATCTACATTTCAGAGTTATATATCAAGGTCTCAGGGAAGAAGATAGGACATAGTCTCTTGGCGTAAATAGTGTGCAGTTTCTAAGCCAGCCTGAAAGAAAGTGGGAGGGGTGAGGAGGTAGATGGCCTTGAGTGAGCAAGACTGATGCTCATGGGTCTTCTTTACTGTGTGCGTGGGTCTCAGATAATAGGGCCATAAAACGCTTAAAAGATAAGAAGGTCACATCAGGAGCATGCTGATAAGAACAGAACCTCACAGTGTGCATGAGTCCTTCCACCCAAACCTCTCATGATGATCACTTCCTTAAAGATGCCATCACCTATTATCATCATATCAGGTGTTAGATCTTATCATAGGATTTCTGAAGGATATGTATATAGTCAAATCATAGCTAGAAGTAAATGTGTAATTTCTTTGTTTTTTTTTAAATAACAATTCCTGGGGCTGGAGATGTGGCCCGGCAATCAAGAGCAATTGTTCTTGCAAAGGACCTGGGTTAGATTCCCAGCATCCATATGGTGGCTTACAACCAATTTTCTGTAATTCCAGTTCCAGGGGATCTGCTGGATCCTCTTCTGACTTTTATAGGTACCAGATGCACACATGGTGCATATACATGCATGCAAGCAAAACATTCACACATAGAAAATAAAACAAATTCAAGATAAATTAAAATAGAAAATCCTCAAGGATTGGTTGACAATGCCCTTAGAAAGTGACCACTCGCCAAGTGATTCCTGAAGCACTAGAATACAAATTCTGCAAATTCTTAAGCTTGAATTTTATCAGCTCTCATCTGCACCGTTGTTCCTAAATATTAACCCATTGAAAGGAACAGAGGCTCCTGGCTGACATTACAAACCAGGGTAGGGAAAATGCAAGAGGAACCAGGGATTCTATAGTGTGCCAGAAAGGAAGAGTAGTACCAGAGATTCTTAGAGATATACCGAGTTGAAGAGGCACCTTCTGGGCAAAGATGGGAAGACATGAGAATTAATGTTATCAATGGATTAGTAAATGTTAAGTGTGTTTAAACCCATCGATTTATGGAAATGATTAGAAATACTAAATTTAGTCTCCTTTGTAAGATATCGGGAAAACAAGTATTTTGACAAGCAGCAAATAAAGGAGTTAGACACTCAGCTTGTCATTGTTATCCCCTTGCTTCTGAAGGAAGTAGTAGATAAGGTTATATTTCTGTCTACAGAAGTATTTCTTCTAGCAAATTAAAGGACTAAAGAATCACAGTACCCCATTTTATAATTCCTAATGGGATAATATATCTTGGAAATGCCAATGGCTGCTCAAATACCACAAGAAAGAAAACAAGATTTTATATTTCCTGATGAAGATGCTTTGACATCTATGCTCCTTTGCGGCTACATCATTTTAACTAAATCTGAAAAAAGTTGGGTCCTGTTAATTAGCTTTAAATATAAGGTAAACATGCTAGCAAAACAAGAAAGCAATGAATGGCGTCCAAGCTATGTGGAATGTCTACAGAGCAGGCTCTTTGGATTAAAAGTGATTCAGATATAAACTAATGTCAATACATACATCTTACTTCATCTTTGTGAGACGTAACGTTTATGAAAATGTATGTAAAAATTATAAAAGTCATTTGAAGAGTTTGTAAAAAGTGAATTTCGCTGGGCGGTGGTGGTGCACGCCTTTAATCCCAGCACTCGGGAGGCAGAGGCAGGCGGATCTCTGTGAGTTCGAGGCCAGGCTAGACCGACAGCCTCCAAAACAATACAGAGAAACCCTGTCTCGTAAAAACAAACAAAAAAAAGTGAATTTCAATATTGGTTATGTATTTGGTAACCATGAGGAGTTACTATAAAAGTATATAGGTGCCATGATAGTGGTTTTTGCTGGTTGTTTTGTGAGGTCTCTTGCGTTTCGAAAATAAAATGTATTATTTTCAGGTTAGGATGTGTGAAGTTTGAGATTTGCCTCATCACAATGCAGGAATAATGGTAAAATGAAATTGACCAGGAACCTTTTTTATTTTATTTTAATTTAGGTGGTGGAAGGTTTTACATACATTTGATCTTTGGAAGAAAAAAATGTACTGGTTACAATTAACCAGGTTTTAACTAAAACTGTCCTCTCTCTTTTCAGATGGCGAGACCAAGGCTTAAAAACTTCAGCAAGTTGGAGCTTATCCTCATTGTCCTGCTGCTTGTCCTTTTCATCATCGCTGTGGTTCTAATTGTGCTCTTAGCCAACTCTACACAACAAAATGGTAACGAGCGACTCTGAGTCTCTCCCATGTCAGAGCAAACTCGCCGCCAATGGTAGAGAAGTCATGCTTTTATATTGCTTCCCGTATGTTTGAATGTGGACATGCATGCATGCAGATTGTACGTATCTTACTCAATACCCATAAGCCATGGCTGGTCACTAGAGAGTAGGTTTAAATTCTGGAACTTTCATTTCCACATTTAGTTAGTGCATTGGATCCAGCTCTACAGTTGTACAGTTGGCTTAGAAATGTATTTGCTGAATGTTATGAAAATTATAAATCTGTTAATATTGATCATTAACAATGTGCTGTGTAAAAGGAAATATGTGTGCATATTTACTATATATCAATCCAACTATTTAAGGCCCAAAATTGGTTCTTAAGAACCTACACATGTTATTTTTAATCAAAAGAATTGTGAGCTGATATATCTCAAAAGATGGGCTAGGTGTGTTGAATGATCCAGGCCGTCCTATCTGCCTTACACAGGAACCACTTCTTGTGGGAACCAGAGTATGAAAGGGCCATCCTGTGACTACAGCCAAACAATTCATTTTGTCCATTCTACTCAACCCCCAGCTACCTCAGTTTCTGCTTTTTTGCAGAAAATAAGATTAGAATCTTAAAGATCATTTAACGTTCCATGATCCTGAAGAGGGAGCTAAACCCTCATGCAGAAGCTAGTCCAGACATAATTTGTTCAATGCATCTTTTTTTTTTTGAACTGGAAACTCCAGTGCAAAGAAAAACAACTAGAAGCAGCACTTTCTTGTTATGTAATTGTTTATTAAGATAGTACCATAAATAAAGCTTCATCCCTATTTCAGAGTGCAAAAAAAATGCCCTTTCTGGTTTTTTTGTTTGTTTTTGGTTTTTCGAGACAGGATTTCTCTATATTGCTTTGGAGGCTGTCCTGGAACTTGCTCTGTAGATGAGGCTGGTCTCGAACTCACAGATATCCACCTGCGTCTGCCTCCTGAGTGCTGGGATTAAAGGAATGTGCCACCAATGCCCAGCTGCCCTTTCTGTTTTATTGATCTTCACATTAGAAATCAAAGTTTTGTAGCCCTGGGGTAGTTTCTAGACTTGTGGATTTCTTTATGTCTTTTTATCACTTAGGCATTTATAATTATAGAAGAAATCCACCACTCAGAAATGTTTTAAGGGAGTAGGGATTGCCCCAGAAGACAGAATTGAAGTTGTTTACTTAAGACAGCACTTTTACTGTACTTTCTCTGTGTGTAGCTCCTACAGGGGTCCACACACCAGAGAATAAGTGTTAGATTGTCAGGGCTAGTGAAATGATGGTTCAGTAGCAAAAGGAACTTGCTGCCGAGCCTGTTAATCTTCGGCCAATCTCTGGAACTCACATGATGAAAAGAAAGAACTGACCCATTCTGGCTGTCCTTTGACCTTCAGTCAATTGACTGGCTCATACGGTTTATGTTGTCACATGACATGTACTATTGCCATTGAAGCATAAAGTAGCTATTAACAAATAATTGTTATTTGTGCTCCAGCAGTACTTTATCTATAGAGACAGGTTTTTTTTTTACATAATTTGACTGACAGAGTATTGTTTACTGATGTAGTCTAAGGTCGATTACTTCTAGTGATGGAGTACTTTGTCTTGTATGTACCCTATTTCAAGGGAACTCCAGCAAAGGAGGAGATATTGGTATAGACAGAGGTAAATGCAGTTAGCAAGGACAAAACAAGGTGTTATAAAGTGAAAACACAGAACTTTGAACACATGGAACCAGAGACGTTAACAGGGTTGCAAGTGCTGAGAAACTTGGTCTTATTGAATGCCTGTGGACATAATTCCATTCATTTAAAGTTTACTTTTGTGATATGACAGCCCTAGATCCTGACACAACTGGCACTCCAATCACCACAGTCCTAAGAACCACTCCTAATTCTCCCAGTTGCCCAGTTCTAAGTGAGCAGGAACGGATCAATTGCATCCCTGACACGTCACCTGACAAGGTTTGTGCTGTGCATCTTGTTTTCACTTAAGAATTCATAATGGTATCGTTTCTTCTCTCCTTTTCCTCCTACTCCTTTTCTCTCTCTCTTTCTTCCTCCTTTCTCTCCTCTTCTTCATCTTGTCTTCTTTTTTTCTCATTCCATAGAAAGCTGTGCATATGACAGCATCCATGTTTGCATGGTCATGTAGCTTCAAGAGAAGGACTAGAATGTAGCCATGGGTTGCCAGGCTCAGCCAGTTATATCAGAATTTCAGATAACCACTGGCCTTGTTTTTAGTGTAAGCATGTTCCACGTAAGGTTTTAGACTTAGTGAAAGTATATTTATCGTTTTGCATGCGGCTCTCAAATATTTCACCGCTTCTCGTCTTGCTGGCATTATGTCATTTCAAAAGGTTATCTGGGATCTGCAATAAAAAAAACCATGCATGTGAACACAGCATGATTTAACATAAGGGCAAAGTTTCAAGAGTTAAACTGTTGGAGGAAGAAGGTAATTAATGCCAGAGTAAAGAGCTTGCAGGGACATGGGACTTTAGTCCAGCGTTTCGATGCGCATCTGAGAATATCATGATAATAAGGCCATTGCACATGACCTGACAATTACATTTTGAGAACAAAATTGTATCTAAGTGAAAACAGAACGCAGGCTTCTGGGCAAAGTCCACTGAGGTGAAACAACAGATTGGTATCAGTCGCGCAGTGGATGCTGTCGAATGTGTTTCTTGGACACGTGCGGCAGCCACTCTGTTCTCACAGTGCTGAAGTGATCTGCAATGTTCTAGAAAGTCACTGTCCCCACTCCTGGGCCCCAGAGGATTACTGCTAATAAAAGGATGGGTTGCAATAGAGTGGGGTGTGTCATGGGAGAGAGAGGCATCACGACGGTCCTTTGGCTTATCACATGCAGTAGGCGAAAGTAAATAACTAAGAACGGAAAGGTACCTGAGAAATGAAATCTCAACCAGAAATCACATGTGTCCAAATACCCACGTGTGTGGTGTTTCGTGGCTCAGCCTTTGATAGCTGCTTATTTCCCTCCAGGAGCACTTCGTTGCTGCATAGACTGTATAAGCAGGAATATGGCTGGGGTCTGTGGATGGAGAGGCCAGGAGATCAGTGTGGTTAGAACGCTGCGAGAGAATGTGAGAAAAAGGGAAGAGGAGATCTTGGAGGAAATAAGGAGGACTCGTAAATCAGAAGGGAAGGGCGTTTGAGCAACAGCCGTTGATTGGGGCTGGGGAAAGGTAGATAATAGGAACCAGAAAGAGGAGAGAATGAGAGACTCGGAGAAAGGTGAAAGGACACAGACGAGGAAAAGCACTTTAGGTCTGGGGCCGAAGCTAAGATAAGAAAGGGTTTGATGGACAGGGAGGAAAGGAACGGGAGCGCAGCAGACACTTTACCAACGGATTCGTCACCGCAGCCCCGTGGAGCTGAGGGTGAATTCAAGGAGGAGGCAGTGATCAAAGCTGCACTGGGTGGGGTGGGTGGGGGTCTAGGTTGTTGAACTGAACTGTCCATGTAGCACAAAGAAAGGAAGGGTGTCCAGGGAAGACTGCTAAGACTTCACGGTAAGTCTGAGCTTGATGCCTGAAGACCATTCGGATGTATGTGCTTTGCCGTGGCGTAGACAGCTATGGTCTAGATGCGCTTTACCGAAGCGATATATATATATTTTTTTTATTGCACTGGGTTTGCAGAAAGTTGATTCAAATCAAAGAATTTGCTAGTGCCACAGGGTTCTAGGAAACCAGTCACTAGGCAGCTCCCTGAGGCAAACTGTTTCTTAACTATGTTACCCTTATAGCATTTCATCTTGCTACAGGGTTTCGCTGTACTTCAAATGTCTGCATCCTGCTGTCTTAATACTTTGTTGTAATTCTTTCCAGTCAAGGTGGAGTTCAGGAAGGGGCCATCAGTTATTTGCCCCTCTGAATAACTATGCGATCTTTATATTCATCTGTTGTCCTGCTTCTCTTTTGCCCAGTGGCGGGGGCGGGGTAGATTCTGCCACTTTAAATGGTCTGTTTTCTCATGGAAGATGTATCTGAGCTTATGTGTTACAGTTGCTGTGTGACCTGTGCACTGTTATGGCTGAGGGGGGCTGGGTGTACTGTTTGTATGTTAAAGGGTCACACAGAGGTGGCTGGAAGGGGTGACGAGAGCGCAAGTTCCTGTTGCTAAGGCCATTGCTATTTCATTTTACCACTCCCGTCTCAGAATAATAGGAAAACTAACATCGGAAACATGTCTGAAGACTATTTCTGGTTGTAGATACAACTGTTTCCTTGTTCTCTTTAAAAATGTGTTTCTAAGATTTATTTTATGTGTATAGTGTTTCTGCTGCATATTAGGAGCGTGCACTGTGTGCGTGCCTGATTCCCTGAGAGATCCGAAGACAGCTCTGGAGCCCCTGGACCTAGAGTCAAAGATGGTTGTTAGCTGTCGGGTGTGGATGCTGGGGACTGGACCACTGAGTCCTCCGCGAAAGCATAAAGACTTTAACCACTCAGTCGTCTCCACAGTACCCCGTTTCTTACTACTTATTTTATTAATCTTATTATTGTTATTTATTATTATTATTATTTTGGTTTTTTTGAGACAGAATTTCTCTGTGTAGCCCTGGCTGCACCAAAACAGGCTGGCCTGGAACTCACAGAGATCCAGCTGCCTCTGCCTTCCAGGCGCTCAGATTAAATGTGTGTGCTATCACACCAGGCCTTCTTTCTTCTTCCTAATGGGGAGGGCAGTGGATATCTGTGTCTAGGACTAGAGACAACCCTGAGTCCTTTTAGGAGAATTTTAGAATTTGTTTTGGTTTTTACTTCTTTTTTGATTTGATTACATCTATATACATTTATATGGTATATACTTATTTTAAAATTTATTTTTGAAGAGACTAGACTCAGAGTTTTTTTTTTTGTTTTTCGAGACAGGGTTTCTCTGTATTGTTTTGGAGGCTGTCGGTCCAGCCTGGCCTTGAACTCACAGAGATCTGCCTGCCTCTGCCTCCTGAGTGCTTGGATTAAAGGCATGTGCCACCACCGCCCAGCTATTTTTTTAAAGTTACTTATTCTTTGAGAATTTCATAATGTATTGTTTTCCCTACAATTTTTAACCTTTTTTGTTCAATTATATATATATATATACATATATATATTACTGAAAATAGATTTTTAATACAATATATTTGGTTATAGTTTCCCTTCCCCCAACTCCTCCCAGATCCTCCACACTGTCCCATCAACACAAATCCATACCATCCCTTTCCCTCTCTTGTTAGAATGCAAATAGGCATCTAAAAATAACCAAAACTAGATAAAACAAGAACAAACAAACAGGAATAAACAAAGAGCAAAAGAAGAAGGCTAAAAAACCATACAGAGGCATACGCATCCACATACATAGAAATCTCTTAAAAGCACAAAACTAGAGCCGTAGTATAAATACAAGGGGAAAAAGCCCCCCCACAAAAGCATTCTGAGACAGAGAACCTCTAAAATGACACTGAGTTCTTTTTATGTTGGCCATCTACCGCTGGGAATGGGGCCTGCCCTCAAGAGTGGTTTGTATACCCAGTGAGGCTCCATTGGAGAAAACAAATTTCTTTGTGAGTGGCTATCAATTGGAAATAGCTCTGGGTTAGGGACAGGGAGCACTGGGTTCACTTCCCCTCTGCAGCGGGACCCTATCAGGCCTAGGCCTGCTGCACAGGCCCTGAGCAGGCTGCCACCATCTCTGTGAGTTCCTATACGCACTGGTCCTGCTGTGTCTACAAGGCCTGCTTTTCTTGGTGTTGTGCATCCGCTCTGGCTCTTACACTCTTTGTGCCTTCTCTTCCTCAGTTTCCCTGAGCCCTCAGGGGAGGGAACTGATAGAGACAAGGCAATGAGGAGAGTGTTCCAAGGTCCACATCCTCTGAACCTTGTCCAGGTGTGGGTCTCGGCATTTAATCCCATCCGCCGAAGGAGGAGGCTTCTCTGGCGACAGCTGAGCAAGACAGTGATCTATAAGATTAGTAGAATGCTATGATGAGTCATTTATGACTATATTCCTTTAGCACTGAGTTTCCATCCCCGCCATCATCGCTGGGCTTCCATTATTCCAGGGACCTCCCCCAGTCTCTTCTGAATGCATTTTCTCTTAAAGCTGCTCCCTGCACATACCAAACACTGTTACTTGTATCCGTTCAGTCTGTATATAAGGTCAAGTTCAAATATTTTGTCCTATTCCAGGCTGTTTATGCTTCTTATACCTTTGTAACCCATGTGCAGATTTAAGAGACAGCTCTTGACATGAATTTCAAGCCCACCATACATAAAACAGGGCAGCGTTCCCTTCCTTCTTGATATAGCCTTTTAGCCCATTCAAGGTTTTATTTATGGAAGAGTGCAGAAATATTTAGTTCAAGTCCAGATATTTAGCTCAGGAAAAGGATATTAAATAGTAAATTTAAACACTTTAATATTTCAGGGTCAGAGTTCTTGTGATTATATGGAAGAACAAATTTACACACGTGACACAATCTTCCATACTCTAAATCACCACAATGGATGATCTGTCTGGAAGCAGTTGACATGCATTTTCCTTAAACAGAAATGCTAATCCTTATGATATTAGAAAGGCTAACTTTTGCTATTCATAAATGTTGTTATGTATTTATCAGTTCTGAATTTGGTTTAGGATGTCTTTTTCCAAATTCCAGTTTCTTACCAATGTGTTCAATTGATCAAGTTTGATGACTTATCAAAGAGATAGTATGTTTTACTGATATAATTACGAGCCTCCACCTAAACATTACTCTGGGTTTACACAACATCAGCACATAGACATTAGTTGGTTTTAGGAAGAGCAGTGAGCTACAAGGTCCCAGAAGTAGACTTGAGGTTGGGTCATGTTCAGACATGGGACCTGGTCACACTGGAGAAGTGGATCTCCTATCTGGGTTCTCAGCCTGCTTCTGCTTTGAGGAACCCCGACTAGACAGTACCGGAGGACTGCCACGTTTCTTTGTCTGCTGTTTCAAATCTTATCAGCCAGTGAGTCACTGAGCATTCAGATAAACATATTCATTAAGCATTGATTATTAGACACCATTAAATTCTCTGGTCACGAACACTTTTAAGATGCATTCTCTAGTATTGTGAATTTCATACATGTATAATTTTTATTATATTTACTTCCCCTCCCACACTTTTCAGATCTCCCCGTATTCCCCTCCCAAAGTCACATCCTACCTCACCCTACTCTCTCCTTCCCCCACTGATTAAAAACTTCAAAATCATGATCTCAAAGGTCATGGGAAATGTTCTCTGAAAATACCTTGTTGTCTGATTTGGAGACTCAAAAGTCTGGATCATGGAATGGCAGAGAAGGCAAATTTAAAATTCAGCGACCAGATGTTACCTTGGCATGAAACAAAGTGGCCATGTTTACTTTCAAAACCTTCCTCAAGATGCACGTATTATAAAATAGCCTGTAGTCAACGTGTTTCCACCCTTCAAGACTAATTTCATCTTTCATTTGTTTTTATTGCGTGTTTGTTTACGTGTGTTATGTGTTATATGTTACGTGTTATGTGTTTGTGTGCTCCTGTGCTTCTGTACACGTGTGGAGGTGAGAGGACAGCATGTGAGATTTGGTTCTCTCCTTCTGACATGTGAGTCCTAGAGATCGAGTCAGGTGGACAGGGTTGGCAGAAAGCAATTTTACCCCGTGGAACTGTCTTGCTGGTTCAAGTTTGATTTTGTTCATTTATGTTTAATTTTTGCAAAGCTGTCGCACACAGACAGATAACCAGTGACCGTTTTTGTGAATACAGACTAATTAGGATTCCTAATTAGTACTTTAGCTTCTAAAACTCATGCTTTTTCTAGACAACGGGACACTTCTCGTGCTCTCTATGGAGAGTCACTTGTCCGTGCTTTTGCCCTCAGCATCAGGTTGTTTTAGCTCTAGGAACAACGAGCATCTTCAGTGCGAAGCCCACAACAGCAGGACACTGACCTGAGTGTACCTTGGGCTGCTATTCCTCTTAGCTCAATGACGTAGCTATTCGGTGAAGCGCTGGGTGTCTGTGCACCCTCCGCTTCATACCCAACCCACAGTCTCTGGGTTTGACTGAACGCTACTGTCTTAAGGGATTTTGTGTTGCTGTAGCAGGATACTCAAGACTGGGTAAGCTATAAAGAACAGAAGCTTACTTCTCACAGTTCTGTCTGGATTCTGGGAAGTTCACAGTCACACTGCTGCAGGACCACTTGCTACATCCTCACCGGGAGAGAGGGGAGAAGGCATTGAATCCCATTATCCCATTCACAAGGCAGAGACATCAATTTTTTTATCACTGCTGTTAAGGGGCCCCAACTATTAACATCATCACATTGGCAGCCTCTTTTAGCATATTAATTGTACAAAGCACAGGGACTCATAGAGGCATCTCCTACTCACTCCCTCAACTATATTCTCATCTCTCTTCCTCTTGTGTCCTTCCCTCTTCACAGTGAATTTTGAACAAAGCCACAACCATCGAATAAAGTTTACATCACAGTAAAATGGCCCCCACAGGAAGATGGGCCATGTGTAGACGTCATGTTTTTTCCAAAACAGATAGGACATTCTACTTCAGAAATCTAAGACCCAGAATGCTCCAAAATCTAAGAGGTTTTGAGTACTGACATGCTTCTACAAGTGGAAAACCTCATGCAATGAAACATTGTCTCACAGGAAAAATATGTAAACATATTTTACAAGTAGTCGGGGTATAGTTGCATGGTAGATTGCTTGCCTACCATGCAAGAGGTCCTGAGTTTAACACCAGTACTGCAAACAAAACACAGGGAAGGGGAGGATCCAAAAAGCATTTATATATAAAAACAGGTGAGCTCTGTGTTTAGAGGGTTCTAGTCTCTAAAAGTTATCATGTAAATCCAAATGATCCGAATGTCTGAAAAGGAATCTGAAATTCAAACCATTTCTTGTTCTTGTTCTAAGCCTTTCGGATAAGGGATACTTAACTTGTGTTGGCTATCAGTATAAAAATCAGTATTCCGTTAAATGTAGTTAGTCATATATCACACCATTTTTTTATTTGTCATCTGCAAGACAGTGACATATTTTCATTAACACATGTATAGCGATACTCAGAACATAGAAAAAAAGAAATGAACGGTTTTTGACTTTGATTTCTCAATTGTTAAGAAGCCCTGGCAGGATTTCACATCTCTAACCCTTTATTCTGTGGACTTTGAGTTCCATATTTGTAATGCAGTGGGACAGGTGACAGGATGTATTTGTCATCTATTGCTATGTAACAAATTATCCCAACAGATAATGGCTTACTGGAACAAGCCTATTTTCCCAAGTTTTCTCTATTGAAAATCTGGCTGGTTGGGTTCGGTTGGGTAACTCCATCTTTGAGATTCCCCAGAAACCACGTCTAATAGTCTTCTGAGATCTTTTTGCTTACCCATGTGGATTGTTTCCATGAGGAAACAATGTCCTCTCTGTGGAGTTGTTGTACTGAGAACCCTGCCTTGAGTTCTTCACCATGTGGTCACTTCCATGCTATAACAGCTTGATTTTTCTGTGCTAGGTGCTCCAACAGAGAAATGGAAAGAGAACGAGTGAGACCAAGCTGCCTTCTGTCTGTGATCTAATCTAGGGAGTACCACCCCACTGTTTCCTATTAGTTGTAAGACACTAGCCCCAAACCCACACATACAAGGAGAGATTCCTTTGCATTCTTTAATGTTTATTTTGGTTGCATCTCCAAAATTAGATGCACAAAGAAAGAGAATGTATTCATTTTAGTTTTCATTTAACTCAGATATCAATTGTGGTAGTAGGCAGGTATCTTCCTTAAGGTAAAACTATACTCTATTTGATTTGTCAAGGAAAGGCTACTTTCTGTTTTGGGGGATAGTTGAGATGATATATATATATATATATATATACACATATATATGTATATGTATATATATCACATGTGTGCATTACATATACAGATGTATAATGTATACACTTAAAAATTCTTCCTCAATCCTTTAAAAAAATGGTATGGTCTTTCTACCTAGTCCTTCCAAAAGTTCCAACAAGATAGACCTAGGGATACCCTTAGACGTGATCTGTCCTGAGTGTACACCTTACATTCTGCTGCTGAATTTGCTGTCCTGAGTATATTTAGTTTCTAAACAGGGATCCTAAACAAATGCTGACACCCCCATGCTGCACATATGATAAATAATAAATAAAATCAGATCAGTATTGATTTGATATCATCTGAAGAGAGTCTCTATCTATCATTTTCTAATTCAAATACAATATACATGAGGATCCACTTATAAATTCGGAATAATGGTGATACAACTTTAGAGTTTTAGAAGATATTTAATGGTTTATATGTGGGGAACATACATTGTATTCCCTACACCATTTAATAAGAAGGGTGCTGACAAGGAAAACTGTAGAAGCTGGTGTCAGGTCTCATTTGTAAAAGGAAACTGTTGATATTACAATCTCAAATGAACTAATTTTTACTTCCTAAAATGTAATGAACTCGTTGGAGTTAATAGTCTAATCTCTATTTCAGAACACGTGTGATCAGCGTGGCTGCTGCTGGGCTCCCCAGGGAGCCATAAATGTTCCTTGCTACTATTCTAAGGATCATGGCTACCAAATGGAGAGCGATCCTGTGTTTTCAAATGCAGGTAGGCTGATGGAGGCTTGGTTCCATACTAAGGGACACCTGTAATAGCACATAGAGTACTGCTCTGTTGTCACAATATGTATGTGACAGAGGTGGGCACAGCTATTATCAGTGATTGGATCCTATTTTAGCATCAAGCAGTAATCATCTTCTACCTTAGGAATTCAGAGACTGTGTTCTGTTTCTGGCTTTTTTTAAATACAAAGATAGATGTATTTTCTTTCTTTTTTGTATAAAAAGATTTATTCACTTTCTTTTTCTTTATCCTTCTCTTATACAGTATATCCTCTCCCTCCTCTCCTCTAGATCCATTGCTACTCCATTTCCCTTCTGAAAAAGAGCAGGCCTACCAGTGATATTAACTGAACTTAGCATAACAAGTTAAAATAAAATTAGGCATACTTGTATCAAAGCTGGACAAGGCAACTCAGTAGGAGAAAAAGGGTCCCAAGATCAGGCAAAAGAGTCAGAGATGTCCCCACTCCTGCTGTTAGGAGCCCAACAAAAACCCTAAGCTATATAACCTCAGAATGCATGCAGAGGTCTGTCTTCACTTTTATGCCACTTCATGACTTTATATAATTATCATGACCATTTTGGCTCCCATGTGTATTATTCTCAAAGTGTGGAATATGAAAATAATAATCTTTAAGGCACTTATTCTGGTGTCACTTTTATGAAATTGAAACAGTTGTAATTTTATAAGCACGCTTCAGAAGTTACCTAGTTAACGCCAGTCTTCGTGGGCTAGTATTCTTACCCCCAAGCAAAGAGCATCATGATGAGCATTCTGGAGTGAGGATGACAGTGGGTACCACCGTGGGAAGGCTCCTAGTGTAAAGAAGGGGTGGGACTCTTCAAGGTCTCAAGTCTCTCTTTACTTGCTGCTTAACACAGGGCATGACTTCAGTGTATAAGATGCTCTGTAATGTGCTGAGAATGTAACTGATTAAGGATAATCAATGAGAGCATAAAGTGTTTGATTTACCCAGGATGACTGATGATCAGGTAGCATGAGAGTTAGTCCTTTGGGGCTGTGTTTTCACTCAGATCTTAAAAAAAGGGCTGCATAGTTTTGGATACAGTTTTAACAGTCCAAGATGAGATGTGCATATGACGGGATATGTATCTACATTGTTCCTTTGACCCAGAGTATAATTTTATGTGGCCACTATTGGAAAATTTACAGAACCAATCACAAAAGCCTTTTCTCTTCTACACGTTAGGATTCACAGCTCAGTTGAAAAACTTGCCCTCTGCACCCCCGTTTGGAAGTGAAATTGAAAACATCCTGCTCACAGCGGAGTACCAGACATCGAATCGCTTCCACTTCAAGGTTGTAGTGTGTGTGTGTGTGTGTGTGTGTGTGTGTACACGCACACGCGCGCACACGTGTTTGATCTTTTAAAGGGACTCTTATCCCTCACAGCTGCACTTTCTGCAAGGAAGACCATTTTTCTAAAGAGAGTGTCTTTCCTTGTTATAGCTGTGTGGCAGTTGTTTGTCAAGGTCTTTGATAGCCTTCTTGCTATGTGATAACTCCCTCAATACATGCAGAGTTGACCAATGAGCTTTCAGCTTCCATTCATTCATCCTAGATACCATGGGAATTGTAGATGGGATCAAAATGATACCACAGCTTTGAGTTTTCTAGAAAGAGTCTTCAGAATCACAGTGTATCTCCACCTAAAGACTAATGTGTACTCAACAGACAAACATCTGAAGCTGGCAATGTATCGGCACATTTCTTTAGACACAATGCCAGTTTGGTCACTGTCCAGTTTCTAGGACCACCTGCGTAGGAAGCCCTGGTGTTGGAAAGGCCACTGGTAGTTTTGACTGATAGGTAAGTTTTCATCTGGACTTTGTTCCTATTCATCTCCCTGTGCAGCTGACTGACCAAACCAAGGGCAGGTATGAAGTGCCTCACGAGCATGTGCAACCCTTCAGTGGGAACGCTGCTTCTTCCTTGAACTACCAAGTTGAGGTCTTCAAACAGCCATTTAGCATCAGAGTCACCAGAAAAAGCAACAACCGTGTTCTGTGAGTTTTGGGAACTTATCATGGGGGTGGGAGTAGGAAGACAATGATAAGGGGAGGTTTGTAAGTTGCTGACTTTACTGTGCTCCAAACATGTGTGTGAGTGTGTGAGTATGTGTGAGTGTGTGTGAGAGTGTGAGTATGTGTGAGTGTGTTAGTATGTGTGAGTGTGGGTACATGTGTGAGTGTGTATGAGTGTGTGAGTGAGTGTGTATGTGACTGTGTGTGTGTTTGAGAGTGTGAGTATATGTGTGAGTGTGTGTGAGAATGTGTGCATGAGTGTGTATGTGAGTGTGAGCAGCAGAGACAACATCTTATCCCTACTCTGTCTCGCTTAAACACATGCTACCCAAATATCCCTATGGTAAATGGGAAAATGGGCTGAGAAAGCAGCTTATGGGGAGCAGCTAGTGATGGTGACCTCATGAGTGTGTGTGTGAGTGTGTGTGTATGTGTGTGTGTGTGAGTGTGTGTGAGTATATGTGTGAATTCTTACTTCTTTTTACTTCCTTATGTTGGAACTTTTTTCTTTTTCCTTTCTCCCATCTCTCTAATCTCATGAGCACCAATAAAGATCTATTAAATGTCTATAACCATTTAAGTGCTGTGCATTGGTCACTCAGTGAGGTGTCTAAGGAACAGACACAAGGGATGCACTGCAATGGTAACTGGCCTAGAGATGTTTTGCTTCTATGGGAAAATGTCGGAGGAAAACTTGCAGAGGGACTGTGGAGCCGGAAGTCTGTCAAGGGCCCTTGTCTAAGCAGACACCCCATGTCAATTTACTTCTTCCTCTCTCTCTCCTGTGTCTAGGTTTGACTCAAGCATCGGGCCTCTCATCTTCTCTGACCAGTTCCTGCAACTCTCAACCCGCCTCCCAAGTGCTAACGTATATGGCCTGGGTGAACATGTGCACCAGCGGTACAGGCATGACATGAATTGGAAGACCTGGTCCTTGTTTTCCAGGGACACAGTCCCTAATAAGGTAATCTTCCAGGTCCCTTTCCTATGACTGTCACAACCTTAATGTTCAGGGCCACGTGACATTGTGGTTTACAGTGAGAATCTGGAGTGATACTACTTGGTTTTGCTTTTTAGATCTTCTACTTATCAGTTATGCCATCCTCGGCGAGTTCTTACCCACCTGGGTCTTCCTCACCTATAAAATGTTCCTCACATATAAAATGAGGATAAAGTAAGGTGCTTAGCTAGCTCAGTCAGTGTTGCAGGAAACTTAAAGTGGGGTTCACACACTCATAGGCGGTATTAAATGGCTGACACATGTAATGTATCTAGAAGGATAACTGTCACATAGACCATGCTCAATAAATTTCCCATTGGTTTTTCAGGCAGCAGAGACAACATCTTATCCCTAATCTGTCTCACTTAAACACATGCTTCCCAAATATCCCTAAGACAAATGAGAAAATGGGCTGAGAGAACAGCTTATGGGGAGCAGCTAGTCATGGTGACCTCATCTGGAGCGCCAACCGTGGGTAGTGTGGACTTTCAAACCCTTAAAGCTCCATATGGATGCCGATTTACATTAAAACTCAATTGAGCACTTGTAGATAAGGTTAAATTAGTATCAGGCAGGCCTTTTTGAGAAGGGAGATTCTACAAGCAATAGTTTCAGAATTCATATCCTTCCACATTTTAACAAAAGTCAAGATCTCCATATACATGCTAGGTGAATGGTCAGAGTCAGTACATTATTTGAGAAAGCCCTAACTCACTTGCTAACAGTCCCTAAACAGATACTTGAACTCATATGATTCATTGGCATCTTCATTGACCATGATCCGATCTTTAGACTAATTGTAAATGTTTTTTTAAATTGTCTTCCTACAGGATGGGCATAACTTGTATGGTGTTCAGACATTCTTCCTGTGCCTTGAAGATAACAGTGGATTATCCTTTGGGGTGTTTCTGATGAACAGCAATGCCATGGGTAAAGGAATATTCCTAAACAACCAAGCACAGAATGTATCACAGCCCCCTTTACAGCACTACAGTTAAAGGAGTGAATTCCTTTCACAATGTTTAAAGCATGGCTGGCCTTCTTCTCTAGCTGTTACATCCTTACGTGTTTACCCATGGGATCTATGTGCAAAGGATTCTCTCCTGACTTCTCAACTCTTGAAACTGGTGGCCTCCTTTGGAATATTTGCTGTCACTGAGTTAGGATAACTCTTTCCTTGATCTACTGTGAGACAAGTTCTACCTATAGAGTGTAACTCCTTCTTAGTCCTACATTTAGCGATCTTGACTGGCAGTTCCAGTACAGTTACCCCAGGGATGGAAATCAACATCTCCCAGGGTTGCTGGTAGGCGTGGGATATTGAACCTTACCCTCCTAATTGATTATCATTGGATTAGGTCAGTATTCAAAGATGTGGTTCACACAGTCTTTCATGTCTGCACAAGATGAGTATAGATATTGAGGGTAAGCATTGATTTAACATCCGAAGGTCTGCATAAGTCTTTTTCCCATAATTAATTTCATGCTCTTTTATAGATGTATCAATTTGCAATAATTTAAGGATTAAGTAAGCAAGAATGATCTAATTCTTCACCACAGTTTTTGTTTTGTTCTTGATAGGCAATCTAGGAGATCCAGAAATCATTCTAGAATATAAACAGCCCAAGAACAGCAAAAAGAACACAGTTTTAGGGTGTTTTAAAAGGAATCACAAAAATGAATTGGTTGAGCCTTACTGGGAAAGCTAGAAAGTCCTTGGTTCTCCGTGTGAATTAGTCCTATGTGACAGAAGAGGGCATTCAGAAGACTCTGAGGCCTTCTATCCCGAGTCAGAACAAGGCTAGGAGGCAATTTCTGAGAAGGGCGATTGGAGCTTAATGGGGTTTGGCGTTTCCAATATAGTCTCTGACCTGCTTTATTTAGTCTTCTTCACTGTGTTTAGTACTCCAGAGTGCCTACCTGGGCTGTGTATTTACAGTAACAAAGACAGATAGAATAAGAACAACATGTTCAGAGGGATTTTTTTTTCTTTTACCCTCTTAGATTTAATTGTTTGTGGGCTCACACGCTAAACTGCCAGAAAGAAGCCAGCAAGCAAAGGATAGAGTTTATTTGCATATTCAAAGAATATGCAGACAGATGTGCTCAGGGTTTAGTACCTGAAAGGGACGGTTGGAACTTGAAGCTTACACACCATCTAATCAGTGGCAGGCAAGGTGAAATGAGCATGTGCAGAGAACACGTGTCAGGAAGGCAAAGAAAAACGGGCATGGTGCAGAGTTTCACCAGCGGCGGGCAAGGTGAAACGAGCATGCGCAGGAGAACACGTGTCAGGAAGGGAAGATGAATTGGGCATGCGCAGGAGAACAAGCGTCAGGACGACACATGGGCTCAAGAACAGATGGAGGGGATGTCACATTCTCGTGACAGTACCTACTGATGTTGTCTCAGAGGAGATTAGGGTTGCTTCCATGCAATGCATTTGTGACAGCTGAGTTATTTTGAGAGGCTCTGAGTTTGGTAATTACGATGCTCAGTAACCAAGGTCGTTGGCCTCAAGCAAGTTTTGTGCTGCTGTGTCTAATTCTGGATTCATTTGTAAGCCGGGTTGCTTTTTGCCCAGAGCCTGGGTCTTGACACAGGAGTTGGGACATTCTAGTTACAAATCCTAATTTTTATTTTCTTCTATTTTAATCTCTTAAGAGGTTGTACTTCAGCCCACCCCAGCAATCACATACCGCACCATTGGGGGAATCCTGGACTTCTACGTGTTCTTGGGGAACACACCCGAGCAAGTTGTTCAAGAGTATCTAGAGGTAAGCGTGAAACCATGGTTGTGGCTGAGGGAATCCCATGTGCCAAACATTTAAGAGATGTAAGCTTATCACACGCGTGTGAGCTAGACACACCTGAGATGATATATTTAAGACAGAACAGACCTCATATACGACTGGAAATTTCTTTATAAAGTTTTTATGTTATAAAGATGTCAGAGGATATCAAGACATCAAAATGTGCCCTTACTCTATAAAGGGAGATATAAAAGTTGACTAACATTATAACATTAATGCATCAATAAACTGGAAAATCAGATATGTTTTGTGCCCCAAACCAATGCATAAGAGAGACTTTATTTAAAAAAAATATTGTGTTGTGAGATGAATTAAATTTGGTAAAAGATGATTTGCTACATGAGCATGAGAACCTGTGTTCAGATCCCCAGTAATTTTGCAGAAAGCTGCATGTAGCAGTGAACACCTGAAATCTCATGCTGGGGGGACAGAGACAGGAGGATCTTTGGGGGGTGCTTGCCAGCCCCTTACACAGTGGAGCTAATCATGGAGCCACAAGTTCACGGTGAGACCTTGCTTTAAAATCAAGGTAGAGAGCGATTAAGGAAGACATCCTACATAGACCTCTGACCTTCTCATGCAAACATGCATGTGTACACACACAGTATCACTAACTTTCATTTTGTGTATTTATTTTAGCTCATTGGGCGGCCGGCTCTGCCTTCATACTGGGCCCTTGGGTTTCAGCTCAGCCGGTATGATTATGGAAGCCTAGATAATATGAGAGAAGTTGTGGAAAGAAACCGGGCAGCCCAGCTCCCTTATGTAAGTAGTTCTTGAACGTAGTTCCTCAAAAAGGAATTCGTGGAGGATCAGAAACAGCCTCTGCCTCCCCCATTCTTCCCCTCTTTGGATTATTTCACCTTTGGGTAATAAGATGACTCATAGACACCTGGAACACTAGACAGTTTGTCAGGTCGATCATTTGTTTTCAAAGAGCTGTAGTTCTTTTTTAGTAGGAAGTGGCGCTTGCTGACTGACAATACAGATGAAGCGTCAGCCTTGTTTCTGACTGTTTGTTGTTCTATTAGTTCTGTTTCTTACATTCTGTTTGTTCCAGTTTTCTTACGCTTATTGTATTGACTGCATTTTTACAGAACTGACTTTTGAGTTAATTTAATTCTCTCTTTAGCTCAGATTTTAGTTTATGCTTCTCCATGTAGGTTTATTACCTTATATATAGTCTTCGTTGGATTGTTTTTGACTCAAAAATATCATGGCAGAGATTGACTATAAAAATGATACGAGTTCTCCAAGATCCTGATATAAGCTTGATTTTCAGGTTTTGTGTCAGATAATGTATAATGCAGGTCTTCCAATCTCCCAACCCCTTTCCACCGAATACATTTCAGCAGATACTTGAGAGAATATTGAAGAAGAGGAGATAATTCTAGATCCCAAAGAGTTAGATAACATGGAGGAACAGAGTTAGAGAGAGAGAGAGAGAGAGAGAGAGAGAGAGAGAGAGAGAGAGAGAGAGAGAGAGAGAACTGATTCAGGACCAAGTAATCTGAACCTGTGTGTGTTTTGTTGTCTGTTGCACAGATACAGATAAGAAGCTGATGCTAATTAGGGAAGTGGCGTCATCATAACCACTTAGCTTTTTGGTCACAGAATTCATAGTTAAGTAGATTTACAAAATCCGATGACAGGCTGAAGTGCATTTGTTCTGCAGTGGTGTTTCAGTTGCTTTTATTAGTCAGTGAACAGGATTTGTCTTCTCACACACTGTGATCATTTTGTATTTGAAATAGAACGTCACTAGCTTTTGGAAATGGGGCTTAAGAAACGTAAAAATATAACACATGAAAGAGTTGATATTTAAAATGTGCAGAATGACTAGGGGAAGGCAGAATATGAAAGCTGTGCAAGACATCTGGGTAGGTGACTCAAGTCTTTGCTTTGGCCAAAGACCTGCTGGCCTCTCTTGTCTTCTAGGCCTCAGGGACTACGGTTCTTGGGGGTGAGAGGGAATAACAGACAGAAACAACAGAGGCAGAACCGAAGTGAAGAAAAATACACACAGCCATCAGGATAATGAGAATGCCCTCTGGAGCCTGGTTCAGTGTCTTCTTGACTTCCTGATGAATCCCATTTTTAATGCTAGTTAAGATATAAGTCCCATTTAGTAGTAAATAGCCAGGGAACGGGGTCACCAGTTCAGATCCCTAGCACTGCTGCGGCTGTCTGCTCTGTGGGGATCTTCTCACATACAGGTAGACATTTCCTTCCTGAGTAATCTGAAGAATGGGGGGATAGGGTTTACATGCACAACGGCCAAGATGTGAAAGGAAATACTGAGAAATGGAATTGGAAATAATTGAGAGTTGCATGTGTTCACCCTGTCTTTCAAGTTCAAGAAGGAAGCGTGGCATGCATGCTGTACTCAGATGTTTTCTGCGTGGAGTTTCTGCTAATTTTGAACATTTCTATTATATTGGGGGCTGTAATGGAAAATGAGGTGTCAAGAAGACATAGGAAGGGAAACATTTTTCTTAAATATCTAGAATAATCTTGCTCTTTCCACCTCTTCATTTCCTGGACACAGGCACAGTATCAACTTTGTTCTGGTGCCACTATTTTCATATAAAACTAGGAAAGAATAAACACAGGCAAATTGTGGTAGAGATAACAAAAATAGTTATTAGCATAGAGTGAGTTTTATTTTGATAGTCCCCGTGATTTGTCATAAATTATGCAGTCCAGTTAATCTGATTGTAGGGGTGGGGTTGAGCCTCAGGAAGATAATGAGTGCTTTTGTTTTTCACATTTCTCTGGGGGAAAAGATATATTTGGATAACCAGTAACACTGCAGTTAGATTCCAGAACAGGAGTTGGTTTTCATCTTGAATACTAAAGGTGATAATTTGTTGATTCTCTTTGGAAGGGAAATTCACATGTGCTAAATTGTGGATGCTTGTATTCTTTACAGGATGTTCAGCATGCTGATATTGATTATATGGACCAGAGGAAGGATTTCACTTATGACTCAGTGAAGTTTAAAGACTTCCCGGAGTTTGCTAAGGAGTTACACAACAATGGGCAGAAACTTATTATCATTTTGGTATGTGCTTTCCCCTTTCCTCTGAAATCATATGGTTGCTCATCCTTTTCATTATGTACCCTTCTCTCCACCTGACCTCCAATGAAATGAAAATACTTTAATGCCTTTAGTAGATACATTTGAATGTGAATATATTATTGAAGATTTTATTGAAGTTCAGCTTTTAGCTTAAAGTAAATTTTGTTTCATGGTGTTTTCCTTTTTCTTAGGATCCGGCCATTTCCAACAACTCTCTCCCAAGTGATCCCTATGACCCATATATTAGAGGTTCGTCAATGAATATCTGGGTGAATAGCTCTGATGGCATGAACCCACTCGTTGGAGAGGTAATTTAATGGAGAAACCGTGGCTCTAGCTCTGGCTGGGTTGTGAGTGTGTGTGGAAAAGCACGTGGTTGTCTAGTACATCTTCAAAGGACTTGGACATGCTGAGGCCATACCCAATTGCTTACTGTCTACTCCAACTAGGACACACCTTTCCTAGCCCGTTCAGTGGCAACTCACTCACTGAGTGTCCATTTCTTTACCCTGTTTCCTCTTGCCACTGCACCCCTGATTCTCACATTGCTCCATTAACACTGCTTGGAAACTGGCACTGGTCACTCCCTCCTGGGGAGATCCAGTCGAAATGGGCCATGCCATTCTTGGCTCAGCTTTTTTTTGTCAACAAATGATATACTTACTGCTTTTTTACTGAAATCTTCTATTGTCTTGCTTTTTACGAACACATTATCTTCTGCTTAATTTTAATATCCACAATAACCCTTCAGAATATAGAGTCTGAGGGAATTAGATAAAGAGTAGAGAAAAGAGAGTAATGTTAGAATCTACAGATTGTAATGGGTCGATTGAAATTCACACGGAACATGTTTCCATTTTCAAGAAGAAGCAAGATGAAAATGTGAACCAGAGTTGAAGACTAGCAAATTAGACAATGCTTTTATCATTGGATTTACTCATTTAAGCAGACAATCAACATTTTTAAAATTAATTTTCTCAGATGGCTTTTCATTTCAATTGAGAGTGATTGAGTCCCCACATTCTAAGTGACTTACTCTACATCAAGAAGACTTGTGGCTTCTACTTCTGGCTCTCCATGATCATGTTAGGAATTCTTACATAAAGTTCCTTGCACATTTTGCATTCATTTAAGTTATTATCAGTGTTCTCCCTTTTTGTCCCCCCACAGGTCTGGCCTGGAACAACTGTGTTTCCTGATTACACCAATCCCAACTGTGCTATTTGGTGGGCAGATGAAATCGAGCGTTTCCACAATACAGTGGAGTTTGATGGAATTTGGATTGTGAGTTGTAACACTTTTATTCATACAGACTTTCACAGTGTTATTATCTCTGGTCATGTCTTTGAGCCATGAAGTATAGAAAGAAAATGAAAGCAAGTATCACATATTCCTTATATTGTCATAAAATATACACAATTTATTCAATTGTCAACTTGAGGCCCTTTTATTTAGACGATGACAGATTCATCAGAACCAAAGAACCCAGGTACAAAGTAACTTCTAACTATGTTAAAGAGCAATGTCTTGTAAATGTCAAATGAATATGAATGTAACACAGCTGATGTTGAATGAAATTTAGGCCTAGAGTTGCAGTTTTTTCTATTTGTAGAAGAACCATAGAAAATTCAGATAATACAGCCATCTAAAAAGATAATAGTAATCTACAATTACTATTTTGCTATCCACTCTTCCGGGCCTTCAGTTTTCACATCTCTGCTGTATAGATATACTGTCTCTCTTCTCTACATATACACGTATATTTATCTATGTACCTGTATGTAGGATATTTAGGCATATAATTCTATAATATGACAAAATAAACTGAAACTTTTTGGTTAATGAATTTGGGAATTGTTTACTTTTAGTGATCATAGACGTGCATCATTTTGAAGCTATTCTAAGAATTTACTCTGTGAAATTTTTAGTGAGTAGAGAAGACGAGAACATATATTTCTATCATACCTATGGAACACTTTTTAAAAAGAAATATCAGGAGTAATTTATCTGATTCCTCAGAAACAAAAAAAATTACCACTGGTATATAAACATGGCATGCTGCTTTTCTTAATAGATTTTGTTCTCTGTCTGGTAGGATATGAACGAAGTCTCCAATTTTGTTGATGGCTCCGTTTCAGGATGCCCCACAAACGACCTCAATTATCCCCCATTCACACCAAGTAAGTCATTGTGGTCAATCTGATTGATGTGTCAAGATGTATGAGAAATTTTAAATTTACAAGGATAGACATGAATCATTGGATAAGTGAGTCTGCACACAGTGTTCACAGGGAAAAGAAAACTAGGAAGGAAACTGAGTATACGGTCCATGGTTCTCTGAAGAGGCATAAATTCTCATAGTGGGTAATCTAGTCCTAAGCCCAGTCCATGCTGTTGTAGGGGAAATTCCAAAACACGTATGATGCAGAGGCTCGTGATTAGTTAGTGCCACTCCTCAAGGTGAACTTCTCAGGCTAGAGCTTACAAGAGAAGCCAGATGGGTCATCTTGGCCTTCAGGTGAGGGATGGATACATCTGGTGCCGACCTCAGCTTGATGGATGGGCATGAATCATATGATCAAATGAACCCCAGCCTCTTGGAATATGGTTATGGAACCACAGTATCAATTGTTGTTTGAAGAAAGACACAGAGCCAAGAAGAAAATCGCATCTTCATTAAGAAAGGAACAAAATCCTAGAATTACAACACTCAAGGTCACTTCCGTCTAAAGGCAAACTTGAGGCAGAAGTATGCGAAAATCAAATGTTGAAGGGATTTTATGGGAGGCCAAACAGTTCTTACTTAATTCTTTCCATGAAAGAAGCTATTCATAGTTTTTTTTAGAGGGGTGTGGGATTGTCGACTGGTTTTAGAAGCATTAATCTGGCATAAACATGCAGGATGAATTTAAAAAATAGGTCAGAAGTAAAAAAAATTATCAAGAAGCTATTTTAATAAATCGAATACACAGTTTATTTCCCTGGGAACCACGGTGGTATGGTAGGAGCAGAGAATGTATGAATGAAACTAAGACCAGAAATCACTCTATACAATGTATGACCAAGAGGGGGGAAAAGGTGTCAGAAATTATTAAATCACACTTTCATCCAACGTTTCTTATTTTGAGCCACTTAATATTGGTTTGAACAAGTCAGATAGAAATTTTGGCTGAACTAGATTCTCCTCCCTGTCTCTGAGAAACAGGACTGTGTGGGTGACATGGTATATTTTTATATCAGAAAAGCTACGGTTAACTACATGGTTTTCTGATGATAAGAACACAGCATGTTTGTTTTCGGAATGGCTACATTAAATGCCTGCCCAGTGCAGCTGTCTTTGAAGGTTGTGTGGAAGTTAAGAGATAAGAAATTAGCACGTAAAGTTTTCCATGATTGGCCATATTGTTGTTGTCATTGCAGAGATCCTGGATGGGCACTTGTTCTCTAAGACTCTCTGCATGGATGCAGTTCAGCACTGGGGCAAGCAGTATGATGTCCACAATCTGTATGGCTACTCCATGGCCATTGCCACAGCAGAGTGAGTCATCATTGTTATAAATGTATACGTGATCAAATTATGGATCTGAGAGAAAGGCTTAGTGACTCATATATAGTATTTGTTAAAAGTCAAAATAAAAAGTAAACTTGGGGGGCCCTGGCAGATGGCTTAGACGTTAAGAAGATGTAGTACTCTCCTAGGGGACCTGAATTTGGTTCCCAGCACCCACGTTGGGTGGCTCACAATTGCCTGTAACTACAGTTTTGGGGAATCAGATGCCCTCTTCTGGTCTTCTCTGGCACCTGCACTTAGTGTGTATACACCCAACGTGGACAGGATGACACAAGTATTAAAAAATATGGTCATCATTACTGAGTGAATAAAGAAATTGGCATGCAGAGAATAGGAAATTTAGTAAGTATTTGCAGAATATATAAAATAAAATAACAAACGAGTAAATGAATGAATAGAAAATCAGAAGAAAGCTGTTAAGAAACTTACCCAAGAAAAAGTATCTAAAGCACTATGAAGTAAAATTTAATCCCTTCTCCTTTTACATTTTATCTTTCTCATAGTATAAAAATAAAGTACATAGAGAATTAAGTAACTTGTAGATATCCATGGGTATTGGAGTTTTAGGTTGGACCTAGCAGACTTCTGTTGTGTTCTGTTTACCTTCGTAGCAAATTAAATTCTTTAGTGATGAAAATAATAATTTGTTCTTGCTGTAAGAGTGACAGCAGGAAACTAGACCAAGAGCACATTCACTGATGAACAAAATAACAGGTGTAATTTTAGCCATTTCGAGAGAAATGTAAAAGCTCTACTGTAAATGATTGTTTTCTTTGGTTCTGGAAATGAATCCAGGGCTTTACTTGCTAGGCAAGTGCTGTATGATTGAGTTTCAAATCCAGACCTGGAAAACTTTTTATTTGTGTGTACACAGGAAGACCTTTAACTTAAAACTCTTTAATATACTTAGTTTCAAAAATACATACTTTTATATTTAGTTTTAAAACGTTTTTTCTCATAAAATTATTATCAATGTGTTTTTCTACACAAAACTTTCAAAAGTCATGTTGACAAGTCCACTTTTTTTGTGACACAAAGGCGAACATATGTTTACTATGTCAAGTTTCACTTTTGTTTTCTGAAATTCATATGCCCCTAGTTTTTAACCTTTCCAAGGCTGCTTTTGGAATTGTTGGAAATTAAGAGGCTGGTAGTATGTGTAAAGCAAAGGTAAGTAAAATATGAGTGCATGCTGTGGTACAGACTGCTTCTAACTCCTTTTGGAGGAAAGGAGTGGAGTGGAATGAGACGCCTGTTTTCCATATTCTTGCTTTTGTTGCTCAGAGACCAGATGGGCTCCCCACTGACCCCTACATATCTGTCCCTCCCCAGAGCTGTGAAGACTACATTCCCAGGCAACCGGAGTTTCATCCTCACACGCTCCACCTTTGCGGGGTCTGGCAAGTTTGCAGCCCACTGGTTAGGAGACAACACCGCCACCTGGGAGGACCTTCAGTGGTCTATTCCAGGCATGCTTGAGTTCAACCTTTTTGGCATCCCAATGGTGAGTCCCTGTCCCAAGCGCTCTTACGACACTTAATCCCCATGAAGTTTCCTTCTGATAAGTTTTCGTACTATAAAGTCGGTCATGGCTCAGAGCTTTCATGTCCATTCTCCATCACCGTCACTGTGGCTCTGATACCCTAGCATCATTGTCTGAACTGCCTGGGGTAAACAGAAAGTGCAATCCTGATAGCCCCTGAAATATTCTTAATGTGCAACTTAGAGAAAGTGCGTCAATTCTCTAGTCTGTCGACATCAGATGCATGCATACATGGAACGCACCTATGCAACTGGCTCCCCAGATGAAGAAACAGACCTGCAGCACTGGATAGGATTTCATTGCTTAGTCAAATTCAACAGACACATTCACCGAGCTCTTACTTTGTTCAAGGTGCTAATTTGAGTATGAATGGCATACAGTAACAAAATATGGAGACATTCAAGTGAAAACATAATTATAGCACAAATTATAGCATAATTATAGATAAAACCCCATAGGGCTGTACATATTAATTGTTATGAGGGATTCTGAGAAAAAATCTTTATTGATTTGATATTATAAGGGACAGAGGGAGTCAGGGGAGGAAGCCAAACGACTCCGCAGAAACGATGGTGCTTAAGTTGAGCTGTGGAAACTGGCTAACGAGGGGAGAAGCTCGTTCTAAGACCTTGGAATAAACACAAGCAGAGGGAGGGTGAAGGGGTGAGAGAGACGAGCCCCTAAGACCAGCGTGGAGAACTGGAGCAGGGGGCTGTCTGAGGGGGCAGATTTAAAGGGTTGATAGGAGAGAGAGGAAGCTGTGGAGGCTTGATGAAGTGAGTGGCGTGATCAGAGTTGGGCTTTAGGAAGGTATTACCGGCACTGCCGGCTAGCTACCGTCCACAAGAGGTTATGGCGCTCAGGCTCCGTTCAACAAAACGAAAAGGCTGCGGCAGGAAAGGAGTCGTCTAGCAGAGGCGTGAGCACAGGCTGGGTGCCGATTCTGACCACACCACAGTTGCCTTCTGGGTAAAAGATTGTTTGAACAAAGTTCAGTAAGGGAGTCGCTGGGACAAAGCAACAGAAGGGGGCAGGCTGTGATCGGCGTGCTGTCCACACGCGTTGTTACAGGTCGGGGCCGATATCTGCGGCTTTGCCTCGAACACATCTGAGGAGCTCTGCAGGCGGTGGATGCAGCTGGGGGCGTTTTATCCATTTTCCCGGAATCACAACGGCCAAGGCTACAAGGTAAGTCAGCTGGGAAGTGCACTGGGTGTGCATTGGGACTGTCCCCAGCTCTCTTATGACGCTTAATCCTCATGTGTTTGTGTTCCTCCCATGAAATCTGCTGAGCCAGTTTCGTGATATAATATATTTCATGTATGCTGATTTGGGCCCCACTTGCCATTAATGAGGACCTGTTGATCTGTTCATCATAAAATGTCCCGATGTCTCTGTCTCTGTCTCTCTGTCTCTGTCTCTCTGTCTCTGTCTCTGTCTCTCTCCACACACACACACACACACACACACACACACACACACACACACAGTGGCTGCTCATTTTTGTGTGGATGGCTTCCTTGGGTTCAGATTCTGGAGACGCACATGTAAATAAGGACGTTAAGAGTCAGCTCTATTACGATGTCCAGCTCAACATTTAAGCAAAGGGTTCAGAATTCAAGTTTCTACATGGATGTGGTGGCACAGCCTGGCTGTAACCCTAGCCCTGGGTGTGGTGACACAGCCCTGTAATCTTAGCTATTTGGGAGGTGGAGGCAGGAGGACCGGGCGTTAAACACTTGCCTACCTAGCAAACCTGTCTTAAAAAATTCCTAGTGCAGACAGATAGATGCCTTGCTCTGGAGAGCACTTGAAGGGGTCTTGCAGCAGCAGCAAGCAGGAAGCTTTCCCTTCCCAAGGCAGCTGGAGGGAAATGCTGTGGAGCAGGTTAGACACCAGGAAGCTGATAATGGCCATCACACCATTAAAACAAACGTGAAATCTCAGAAATCGTGAAATAAAAGTAGAAATGATGGGGCTCTAAGAGGTTTATAAAATTCTGTGCACTCTGCCTGCTTAGCTTGTTTTCGTAATGAAAACGAAGATGGGTAAACGTTTCAAAATCATTTAAGATAGCCTCTCCACAGGGCAGTTGTAACGTGTGAATGAGGCAGGGTGAGTTGTAAGTTGCAATGACACCTTACCGATGCCATGGTTCTAACCTCCAGCTGTGCTACTCCGAGGCAATGTGCAACCGAGGCCCCCAGATCACGTGGGCTATGCTGCATGGCGCCTGAGATCCTTCTGGGTGTGCACAGCTTTCCCATAGTCAAGACACAACTGCACATTTTCTTTCCCTTAGGACCAGGATCCTGCCTCTTTCGGAGCAGATTCCTTGCTGTTGAATTCGTCTAGGCACTACCTCAACATCCGATACACTCTGCTGCCTTACCTCTACACCCTTTTATACCGTGCCCACAGCCGGGGGGACACTGTGGCTAGGCCCCTTCTGCACGAGTAAGTCCTCCCGACGCTCTGTTAATGCAGACTTGGTGATGTTGATTAGGTATAATAGCAGAGTAAAATATAAAGCCACCCAAGCAAGGCATTCAGGGGTGTGTGTGTATGTGTGTGTGTGTGCGCGTGTGTGTGTGCACATATACACCTGTGCTGTAGATCGGTCCCAAGGGTTTGCATATACTGGGCAAGAAATCTACCACTTACCGCTTCTCTTTAGCTTAATTTGAAAGATCTGACAAGGAGGCTTTGATGGTCTCTGTACTATGCATATGTACTACGATGCTAGAGTGTATGTACTTTGTTGTGTCTCTAGGAATGTACCTATGATTTGAAAACAAGCAAGAATCTCATAAATGGTCCCGCAAATCCCTTTATTCTTCTTTGACAGACAGTTGGAATCTCTGATTTAACTCAGAAGGCAGTCTCTTGGGAGCCTTTCCTTGTTAAAATAATGCTGTCATGTGTGGCAGATGAGAGCCTTAACACTCATAATCACTGCTGGGGCAAAAGTTTTACCTCCTGGAATCATCCTAAAAGAGAAAAAGTTAAAATTTCATATTTTCTGATATTTTTTTGATGTGGTGCAGTTCTTGACCTTTGCTGTGCTCCTGGGACGGGATGAGACTGGAAGTGAGCCTCAAGCTTTGCACCTGGTCTGCAAGTGCTCTGCCCTAAGCCTTACAGCCAATCCTTTTGGTTTCTTCCCAAGACACAGTTTCTCTGTGTAACCCTAGCTGTCCTGGAACCCTAGGCTGGCCTTGAACTCATAGAGATCCACTCGTCTCTGCCTCCTAAGTGCTGAGACGAAAGGCATGCACCACCACTTTTTTTATTTTGAGATGGTCTGTTGAATCTCTTTGGGGGGGGGCTGAAACTTTCTCTGGAGCTCAGGCAGGACTTGAAGCTATGGTCTTCCTAACATTCACATAACTGAGATTGCTGGCAGTGTGCCCTTAGGTCCAGCCCCACATCTTTCTTGACAATAAGCTAAAGTCATACAATTTGTAGGTTATTTTGCTTATTTTCTGAAGGGAGATACAGCAGACAAAAGTAGAGCCCGAGGCCAGCCTAGCATAGACACTGGAATAGGAACTTCTGTGTCACCTGGGGTAAGAGCAGGAAGGAACATGGGTTGGGGACACAGATCTACACGGCACGGGAGGAGGAGGGGCAGAGTAGATATTACACAATGACTGTGGCTGTTTTCCAGGTAGCATGCGTGCCTTGATTAGATTGTGGGAGAGAGTCTAGGAGCACTGACCTACCTCTCCACCACCTGTCTCTTTGCTATCTAGGTTCTATGAGGACAGCAATACTTGGGCCATAGACCGGCAGTTTCTGTGGGGACCAGGCCTCCTCATCACTCCTGTTCTGGAAGAGGCAAGTGTTCTTGCAGAAACAGGCAGGCGGCCTCTGCCTCTGTTCCTGCTCACTACCCCGCAAAGCTTCTCTCCCCACTATTGTAAAAATCTGTGTTTGAGCCACTAGGGAAGAGTATCCAGGGGCATTTTGTAGTAGCATATCTTATTTATGTTTTCATCTTTAGAGGTCTCTTTTTAGACAAGTTGTCAACCAGTGTAAAATTACCAACTGGCTACTTAGAATTGGGAATGAGCCTCTATCTCCTCAGGTCATTAAAACCGACTATTATTGCTCTGAGATGTGGAGACAGAGACCAGCACTCACAGTAAAGTCAAAGTGATCAGTGGTGACAATCTTTGCCAGCTGATCCGGGAGAGTTTTTGTGTAGGTTTCCCAACTTCAAAGTAGGCATTATGACAGCATCTAATGTATGAGCTAAAGAGATAATTAAATAATTCACAGAAATCTGGAATTGTCCCCACAGTGTATTTCATCATCATTTTTATTATTTCTAATTACAGTTCCTCCCATTTGTGATCCCCTCTACCCCAGACTGACAGGCTATAGTTTCTCTTATCTGTATTAGGAGAAAGACACACTTCAACAGCAGAGAAAACAAGACTATGCCTATCTTCTCTGAATATGGCTATGCTAAGACATGTATTTCACGCCCCCAGAGGCTGAGTCATGAGGGTAATATTTTTTTAATTTGATTTTAGGGTGCAAATAAAGTGAATGCATACGTGCCTGATGCCATCTGGTATGACTATGAGACCGTAAGTAGCTTTTTCTTAAACTCAAGACTACGGCTGCAGCTGCATAGAGAGGCCCCTCTCTGGAATGGAGAGCTACCGCGATTTCACAGAGGACTGCTCTGCAGTGTGTCCTGTAATTTCACAGCACAGTTTGGGTAGAGCAAGCCTGTAACTCAGCACACGTGCACCTTTATTCAGCAATAAGAAAAAGACACCAAGGGCGTCTATGAGGAAGCCTTAGAGCCTCACGGGTGATTTGAGCTTGGCCAGGAATCAGATAGAGATGTATGTATCAGTATGGCTCAGACCTATCAGTTCAGTAACAGACATCAAACGGGCGCAGCCTGGCAAAAATGTTTTACAGACCCTGAACTGACCTACATTGTTAGCTTCTTTTGCTCGATTGTCTGGGTATGGAGTAATCCGCTAAATGGAAGAGAAGGCCCTGTAAAGAAGTCAGCATGACGATGGTTCCAGAAGGTCCACATACAGTGGGGCCAATGTGTTTGGTTTATCTCCCTGCCTTAGGGGGGGCAACTGACATGGAGAAAGCAAAGCATCGACATAGAATTTCCCGATGATAAAATTGGACTTCACCTTCGAGGAGGCTACATCTTCCCCACGCAACAGCCAGACACAACCACAACAGCCAGGTACAGCATGAGGCGTCTTTAAGGGGGTGCGTGGCTGGCACGGGGGAGCATTCCCGGGACAGTCTGTTGACCAGACTATGGATGGGAAAGGTGCTGGAGTGAGGTGTGTCCCCTTGGACGTCCCTCGAGCTTTCCTCTGGAAGCTTATAACCTAGAGCTGCACCCCGATCGATTTTGAGAGATTTTAATCCACCGTCTCCCCAGCTCTCTGAATGTGTCAGAACACTCTGACGGCTGGAATGCTCAGCCTTCCTGGTTTCCCTAGGCATGTTCAGCTTCGTCACTTGAAGCCTTATGTCTTGGGAAGACTATTCTGGGCAAGTGTGGTCACATGATCACCTCCCTGCTTCGACCTTTGTGTCTCTCAGTGCTTCTTTGCTCTTGGCTCATAAACTCTCATCACAACCTTCGCCCTCGTTTCCATTCCTCTCACCCAGGTATTTCCCTTTTGTGACTAATGAAAACCTAGCTACTAGGTAAAGGTTAACACTTGAACTGTCGCATATACCTGCATGGAGAGGGAAAATCAGTTTTCTCCAATATAGTGACCCTGGGTATGTCAACCCCTTCAGGACAGGTCTCACGTTCAGGAGTAGTTCACCAACATATGATGGACTCCAGGTTTTTGTTTTGTTTTGTGTATGTGCTTTTATTTGGGTACAGTTTTGTGTTCCTTTTTGGGGGGGGCAATGGTGTTTTTATTTTGTGTTCTTGACTTTGGGAGATTTTGTTGTTGCTGTATTGGGGTTTTGTTTGTTTTTGAGAAGGAATTTAAAGGTGGTCGGGTTAGGGGGCGGATCTGGAAGGACTTTGGAGAGGGGAAGAATAGGATTAAAGTATATTTAAGTTTTAAAGTTGTTTCAGATTTTACACACACACACACACACACACACACACACACACACACACACTTAGCCACCCACCAATGTCACAGATTTTTCCTTTCTGCATCACTGACTCCAGTTGTAGACTCCATTTGCACTGCAGTGAAGAGCTGCATGTTTCTGCTATGTGTCCCTGAAAGTATTAGATTATTTGATTACACTATCCTGGGAGTTCTTAGAATTCTGGAGAGCTGTGTTTTCATTGGGTTCCATTGATTATCCTAAAATTTCAAATTATTGACTTTCTATGAAGAAAAACACAACGACTTCTGGTTTCTCTTTCTCTAATTGTTCACCATCAGGCTGTGTTGCCCAAGCTTTCCCTTCCTAAGATGAGGCTGTTGACTTGTTGATACCCTGCTTGAAGCCAGAACTCCCTGGGTAGTTTTAGGGACCATCCAGCCTAGCTTCTCATTGCCTAGAGCAGCAGTTTTCCTGTAGTGCCCTTAGCATTCAGGCCAGCCCTGGCCAAAGCATGCTGTCTGTGTCTGCCAGGAGACAACCTGTTTTGCTGCGTTTAGGCTTCTCACACACTACCCTTTGCAAAAAGGCTATGCATATTTGAAAAAAATGCTTTATCGTAAGCTACATCCCCTCTCCGTTTCCAGATACGTTCTCAAAGGTCCAAACTAAACTCAGGCATTCTCTCCAACTCTTCCAGCAGAGTGATTGCTACCACCTCATAATTCCTGACAAGACAAAATGGCAAATAATCAAATAAGGAAAGTGGCCATTATATATATATATATATATACATATATATATATATATGACCCTACTATATATTTTTTCTTTCCCAGAGAAACTGTCTCTAAGGGAGAAGCGTGTCTTTCTCATAGCAATTGACACTTCTCAGGGCACAAGCTCTAAACACCTAGCCTATTGTGGAAGATTTCTCCATCTTCTAATAATCTGTCTTCAAAACGATACTTTCAGTCGCATTCTTTTATTATATTGTTGATCCGGCTCCCACATTCCCACTTCCTTCATAGGTGTTTATTGTCAAGCTTTAGCACGTGTTCATTCCCTGTGAGCTATTGGTGCTGGAGAGAGAAGGACCTGCCCATCTTGCCTTTGTGTTTGAAGGAGAACAGAGCATCTGCTGCTAGGAACCTTCCCCAATTGAAATGTGATGCAAATGCTTGGCAAAAGTCTTTGAGCCCTAAGGATTTGGGTCTTGTGTTTCTGTTCCCCACAGCCGGAAGAACCCTCTTGGTCTGATCATTGCCCTGGATGAGAACAAAGAAGCCAGAGGAGAACTGTTCTGGGATGATGGAGAGACAAAGGGTGAGTGTGCTAGGAGGGGGTGTCTCTACTGCAGACCCGCATGTCTGACTCTGTCCCTTCATCCCAAAGAAAGCTGTGCTTCTGGATGTAATGGTCAGAGGCCATGGTAGATGAATTGAGAAGGGCGAGTATCTCTCTGGCTCTGTCTCTGTTTCTCTGTGTCTCTATTTCTGAATCCTCTCCTTGGTCAATCATGTCTAACAAGCTCTCGCTTCTTTGTTAAAAGACACATTTTCAAGATTGTTCCTATAATTCACCTTCACTGTAAATATGCCCCCCTACTCCAGCCAAGTCCCTGGGGGAAAACTGCTCACACACCAGGTCAAGGAGACAGCAAGCACACACATTCCTGATTCTGTACATATAACATCAGCACATTTTCTTTCTTTTCCTTATCCACTGCACTGACAATTCTCATGACTTTACCTTGGGAAACAGATTCCCGTCAAATGACTGCCTTGGGAACACGACAAAGGATCCTTTCACAGAAGACAAGCATATGGTCATGCAGACTCTGTACACATGCAGGCATTGTGAAATGGTTACCATAATGTGACACTTCCATCACCGCTAATAGCAGGATTGGCTTTCTAGATCTTGCTCTGATGGTTTACAGTACTTGGACAGATTTTTCCCACTTACCCTTCTGCCTGACCCTGAATTCTCCTGTTCCTTCCTCTGTTTATATGAGTGCAGCTGTTTAGCCCCTGTACAAACAGAGAGCATACGCTGCTTCTCTTTTGCCGTCTTATCTACTTCTCCTAGAGGAACAGGATCCGGATTCATCTCTGCTCTAACAATGCAGGGCTTCCTTATTCTTTAATGCTAAAGAATACTCCATCATACACATGCACTGTAATTCTTTTGTTCATTCGTCTGCTGATAGGTATGTGTGTTGTTTTCCCATCTGAGCTATTGTGAAAAAATGGACAACAGACATAACAGCAACCACTTAGGAGGAAATATAGGGAAAAGCTTCTTTGTTATTGGGTATGATATTGTGATTTTAAGTATGACACCAAAAACAAAGGCCACAAAAGCTAAAATAAATTTGTATAGGTGTTATGGATAATGGTGTAGACCCTCCTACACATGTTGAAAATAGAGTTACCATATAGCACAGAAGTCCCATGTCTGGCATATGAACCTCTCCTATTCACTGTGCCATTGTCTGTACTGGTGAAGGCCCAGAAGTAGCCAAATCGACCTGATAGATGAATGAATAAACAAGCTTAGATACTCAGATCTACCGATGTGTTCTTCAGTCATGAAAAGAAAGAGGAGCCACTTTTTAGGAGAGGAAGGTGAAGCTCATCTTCTGTGGTCACCAGGCCAGCCTGACATCTCTTTCTTCTTTCAGACACTGTGGCCATGAACAGCTACCTTTTCATTGAATTTACTGTCACCAAAGTGAGTGCATGTTTTTAATGAACATTGTGTGGAATTTTGTCTGAAAATGACTGTGTATTCTGCTATATGCATGTAACTATTTACTTAAATATCAACATTTATGTGGGTGAATGCATTGTTATTTATGACTTAATTCATACTAATTACATCAGCGATATTTATTGAAAAGGGTCAACAGTTAAAAGAAAATTACCTAGTGGTGTAAAAGACAATTCTATAAATGTCTGTCTGTTTCCTCGTCTCTCTCAATTGGCATTATAAAAATAAATTTGCACCTCCATTAGCATATATTAGCAGAGGAAACTGAGAGGCATTTAGAGAAGGTTGAAGGTGTAGTCTAGGATGGTGTATTTGAGGAGCTAGGGAAACTTAAGTGTTTATAATTTGTTCATAATTATGTTTGATATGTTTCAGAACCAATTGAATGTGACAATTTCAAGTCCAAACTACACGGATCCCAATAACTTAGAATTCCAGGAAATTAAAATCCTTGGGACACAGGCAATTTACAATGTTAAAGTGACACAGAATGGTGTTCTTAGTCAGATGTCTCCTCGAATCACTTACAATTCAACCATGAAGGTAAGAATTCATTTTGTGAGGGAGACTTTCACAAATCTCCATGGTATCTTGATGTCACTTCTTGCTAAGATTACATGAGTTGTTGAGGGACCAGAGCACATCTGAAACCTGATGGTGATGTCAGAGTATGGAGGAGGAAGGCAAAAATGTAGAGATAGTTTGAGACACCGTGACTCCAGTTTTCCCATCCTTATTTTCTTCACTCTCAGTGTTTGGTTTCCTCTAACTGGATGTGGGGACAAAATCCGAGGGACGGGATCTGAAAGCTGATGGCCTGTGCTTGAAGGTGCAGATAGAGAGAGATCCTATGAATAAAACATTTCAGTTGCTTTTATTTATTTAATTTTTAATGTTTCTTTCCCTTTGTTAAGGTCTATTGAGAATATGTTCTCTAATGTATACATTTGCAAGAAATGCTTTATGCAAAAGTTGATGGTGCTACTAACTAACTCAGATGGTGTTTAGAAAATGGTATTCTGGCATTTGTAGTGAGATTCAGTCTTCCTGTATAGCTTGCCTTCCATTCCACAATTCTTCAGCACTGTGAGGAACCTTTTCCAAGTCCGTTCTCATGACTTCTGTTCAGAATTCTCACAGTATTGGAGCTGTTGAATCAGCACTGTTTTGAGGATATTTCAGATTAGGGAAATGAGTCAACTGAGATTTCTACTAAATGACACATTGGTGATATTTGACCTTTGGTCATCATATTATGCATAGAAGAAACATACATTATGAAGCTATAAATAAAGGATTATGTGTTTGGTTGCGTCTGTGGCAAAGTGTAAGACAGCTGGGAGATGCATATGTGAAAACAAGCTTTGTTCTTGATAGAAAATGAGATAGTTAACATATCAACAAGAACTCTTTATTGTTTGAGTCATGGTGGTGAGAGATAGAAGTCACACACATGGAAATATATGAAAGGATTACGGAGTCTAAATGCACATTTATAAAACGTTTGCATTGATCTTATTTGATACAAGGCTTAATGCAATGGCTGAGATCAGCTTTTTGGAGAAGGCATGGATAGAACAGGACCTGGAAAGAGAGTTTTATGGAGATGCAGGGATGTCTCAGCAGCTAATAGTACTGGATGCTCTTCTATGGTCCCAGGTTCGATTCCCAGCACACACATGTTGACTCACAAACATCTGTAACGCCAGTTCCAGGAGATCCAGTGCCACTTCTGGCTTCTGTGGCCACACATGCAATGCACAGACACATGTACAGGCAAAACGCCCAAACACGTGAAATAAGGTTGGCTTCATCAGATTCATGTGACAAGAAGTCTGAGATGGCAAACAGATGGGTGATTTTTTCCCCTCTAATTAGAAGTTCAAAGTTGAGAACTTGCTGGAATTGTTTCAGAGTTTGAACTTTGTCAGAACTAAGGTCTGTCTTATCTAATGACTGTAAGTGCCTGTGCATATCTAGTCACAATGCTCTTATTCTAGGAGATGAAAAAGGAAAATGAAATAAGCAAAGAAAATAGAAAAGTTGGAAAAAAGAGGAAGGCAGGGATAAAGTTAAAGGGGCAGGCCCTTCTAGCAAGAAAGAAACCCTCACCCAAATTTACTTTTTGACCATGAATACTTTACAGTTAATACAATTTCAAATATTAATTTTAAAGACCTGATATATAGATATGAACCTGAAATACCAAAAAAGAAGAGCACATTTCATACTAATAAGACAACTGGTAATGTGTTCAGAAAGGGCTTTGTTTTCCTAGACAGCGTTTCTCATGGTGATGCTCTCCAGGTTGAGCTGTTCTTGACAGGCCAGTCCAAGGGCTCAAAAGTCTTACCTTATCAGCCTTTAACCCATGCCTGGGCAAGGTCTCATTTACATTTAGTAGCAGAGTGGAACCGGAGAAAACTTGTCTGGTTAGAGAGGGTCTCAGGAACCCAACTAAGTAAGTCATCTGGGATTCTTTGAGGTCTTGGCAATGATCCTTGGATGGAGGCTTTATTGGAGGCTGGAGTTGAGTGTTGGGATTGGCAGGACAGGAAAGATAGGGTGTTCTCTACTGGAAGGACACTGAAAAAGGATGATCACACCGAGAGAGTGACAGTATGCTCCAGATACATGGATGCGTCATTCGTACAGGTGCTGTGCAAGAAACCTCAAATAAAAGAACAGAAAAAACTTAGGACAAAATGCTGCAGTTGAAAGCAAATGTGGTATATGTAACTTCAGATTTGGGTTTCTGACCTTGGGACAGGATGAGACTGGGATGTTGGACATGAAAGTTGATATAATGAAATTTCCTGCTCTCCAGTCTTACACTTAGTTGACAAATCTTAGACCAAAATAATTGAGATTCCAGAAAAAAATGCTACAGCCCAAGCCACATTACTCATATTGCCCAATTCTCTAGGTTTTCCGCAACAAAGGGTCATTATATGGGGAGGGGATGAATGAGAAAAATAGCTTAATTTGGGAATAGAAGGAGAAAGCCTTTCTGATAAAATGAATAGGAGTCAAGTGGTCCAGGGAAGGAATGAAAAAAACAAGTGTTACCATGGAACATTTTATCTACCTCTTTCTACGATGTAAGTTTTGATAAAATACTGGTATTTTCCTTTTGCCACTATCTCTTACTCTATACCCGTGAAAACTGTAATGTGCTCATTAGTCGTGAAAAGCAGGACATGAGATTAGACTAAGAATCACAATTATACTTAATTTCTGTTTTAAAAAGTGTGTGGGGGGGTTCAGGTCTGGCAAGACCTTTGTCCTGAGGATGACTTTGCATCCCTTCAGGTTGCCACCATCACAGATATCCATCTCGTGCTGGGAGAAGCATACACAGTCCAGTGGAGCAACATGACGGACCAGGAGAAGATAGACTGCTATCCAGACGAGCATGGAGCTTCCGAGGCCAACTGCACAGCCCGTGGCTGCATCTGGGAGGTGAGCTTGTGGATGATGTTCATATAAACCGGAAGCCTAGCCTTAGCACAGTCATATATCCCCAGCTTTATGTAAATCCACAGAAAGAAACGGCTCCAGATGAGCCTGATTTGCATTGAGGAGTGGAGCCATTAAGAGTGGGGTGTTTTCAGTATTGTTTGGAGTCGAAGAATTTAGAGTCATGCCTACTTAAATTTTTATAGGCATGATTGAATGAAGTGATGGTTTCTCCATATAAATTGACATTGTTTCTAATCTACCTGACAACTCCAGATCCCTGCTGATCTAGGATATTGACTTTCTTTCCAGGAATCGGACACTCCTGGGGTCCCTTATTGCTACTTTGCCAATAGCCTGTACTCAGTCAGCAATGTTCAGTATCACGAGAACGAGGCCACAGCCGACATCTCCTTGAAGGATTCTCCATATACTGAGCTGTACTCTGTCAGGAATGTTCTGTATCGCTCCAATGAGGCCACAGCCAACGTCTCCTTGAAGGATTCTCCGTATAGCAGCGCCTTCCCCTCTACGCCCGTGAGTCAGCTGCAGGTTCGAGTGATCTACCACAAGAATGAGATGCTGCAGTTTAAGGTAAACGCAGTGTGCATCACCAGGCGTGCCCAGGGCCTTTCCAGTTCCATCACCCTTTGCAACCTTGTGTTACAACATTACAAAAAAAGTTTTACTTTTTTAGTAAAATAGTGTAGAACAACATTATGATAAACAGTAATTAAATGACTGCTAGCACAGTGAAATCTCTCCTAATTTCTAATTTGAGAGAATCACCGTGCCTAAAGAAAACGTTTGGGAGAACAAAACATGGAGAGGGGGCAGAGGAGGCTACTTGGAAGGTTGGGCAGCTGTGGATGAGTTGGTCTATGGGTACGGTTGGAGATAGCCAACAGGGATATGTTTGAGACCTTGAGACCATCTTGGCCAATCAAATCAACTACAAGAGGGGCATGCCTTAAGAATGACTACTAGGTTCATAGCATCCAGATGTGTGCGTATGCTTGGTAATGATAATGGAAATCAGAAAACTGGTATGTCATTGACAATATGTTCAGGGGAGTATGGTTTTGAATAAAATAATTGGAGACATATTTGAAATACTCATGAAAGTGATTTCTTTTCTGTCATAGTTTAATTAAACAAAAGGACTAGGGATGGGGGCTAGCCAATCCTCTTGTTTGTTTCATTATTAAACTGTTAGCTGCTCCAAAACAGGGGTTTGTCTTTCACCATGATGGTGTTGGAATCCCACACTTAGGCTGGAATTTAGTGAGTACTCAAGTACTGTTGGTAGAGTGATCATGGTAGGATGGTTTTGTCTAGAGTACTCTTAGAATCTGAGCTCAATGTGGACTTGAGTTATCCATCTTCTGATGTGATGTTGTCATGTGTGTATATCCTTACTAGAATGGAGTTGATTGGGTGTGTAGCCTCAACTCACACTCATTAACCATTTAGCTATACGTAAGCTCTTTCCATCATACTCACATCCTTTTGAGCTCAGCTTAATTCTCTGAGTCTTTGTGCTTGTTGCTTCTTTACCAGAATCGCTTATTGTCGGTTTTGTGCTTGGTTTATTGCTGCTTAGCTTTTAAGACTCAGCCAGTATTTCTTCCATGAAACCACCTCACCCTTCCTTCCCTGTACTAGAAAAACCCTCAGGAGTGCTGAATCATCTCTCCTATTTCCCATGAGTTCCTAAGTGATTCATGACATTAACTTTGGTTTATCCAGTTTCCAAATCAACTCTTTACTACTCTATCAGTAGTAGACTGTGGTTCCTTTATTTGGCTTCATTTCATTTTCAGAAGGGATGTTTTTAGTCAGAGACACTTAGCTCCCTCTCCCCCCAATATCAAAGTTTACAGGTCTCCTTACACTCATACATCCAAAGAGAAACAATATGTCACATGTTTATAAATAGCGTACCGATTTTAGAATGAAATTTTCATGTAAAAGCAGTGTTGAAATGGATGAAGGAAAACGTAGCGTCCATGGAGACATGTCCCAGATTAAGCTATTTAATAGGAACTTGTTCTCTGGTATCCTGCCTAAGCCCTGTTTTGTGACATAAAAGAAGACCAAACACTAGACTCTGTGAGACACACTAAGAGTATGCTGAGATATTCCTCTGTAGAGTATAATTCCTGTCTAAAATGTTCTTCTGAAACGACAGCTAGCCGTGAATATTTATACTATCGACGTCATGCTTTCACATTTTTACACGTTATGAATGGATCAGTTCAGTATTTTTAGGATATCTGGTGTTCCAATCCTCTAATATTTTGTGTGGTGGAAATCAAATGTCTTTATCAGTCATTTTTATTATATTGTTAGTTATGCAATTATATTCTCAATGGTGCAATATGGTTAGTTATAATCATTGTCAGCATGCTAGGAAAACATCATAATGTATCTGCCATAATTTTCTCTTTACATAAAATGATTTCCTCTGGCCTAGATCTATGATCCCAACAACAGTCGGTATGAAGTCCCAGTGCCTCTGGACATCCCCAGTTCTCCATCCAGCACCCCTGATGGCCGTCTCTATGAGGTCCTCATCAAGGAGAATCCATTTGGGATTGAAATTCGCAGGAAGAGTACAGGCACTGTGATGTAAGTGGGTCCTGGTCTGACTCAGGGATCCTGCTTTCCTAAACATTCCTCACCAGGTCATTGTCCTGGAAGACACCTGGCTCAAGTCATCTGATGCCCCTGTTGAGATCCATGATGAGTTAGTTACCTTCTATGACTGTGGTAAAAAGCGTGACCAAGAGCACTTATAGAAGAGTTTATTTAACTTTATGGCTTCTGATTCCATGATGGTGAAGTGGATGCAGGCTGCAGACAGCAGGGACACCTCAGAACTCGCATCTTCAACTGCAAACAGGAAGCAGAGAGAAACTGGGAGTGTTGTGAGCCTTTGGACTCCAAAGCCTATCCCCGGTGACATACTTCCTCCACTAAGCCACACCTCCCAATAGACCCCAAATAGTGACCAAATGGGGACCAAGTATTGAAATACCGGGGACTAGGAGGAATATCTCATCTAACCACACATGAGGACATGATTTCTGTTCTTAGAGGAAATATTTAATACTCTGAGAGTGATTACTAAGGCAGTTGCAGACTTGTGGAAATTATTGAAAAAGTATTTGCTGAATTCCTTCTGTATAGTAGGCTATCTTCTGGCACTGTGATCATAGACAGGTGCTGTTTCTTCCACTAAGCAAAGTTGCATTATACTATGTAGAGGAATTTGATATAGCAAAAACTGCTATGCTGGAAAAGCCAGGGAAATCAGGTTATTTGCTGACTTGGAGACCATGATCTGAGTTTGTGTCTCTGAGAAAGAGATACAAAATTTGTGATAGAAATGACATGCCATGAGCCAGAGGAAATTTATCAGTTACATCAGAGCGATTCTCCTGAGGTAATGACGAGGATGGATGTGGGAGAAGAAGGAGGTATGTTAGGTGTGACTTAGAACAGGATCAGCCCTGAAGGGTCCTCGGATGCTCTCAGGAGACATGAGGGAGCATGTGAGCAGCGGTGTGAGGTGGTGTGAGACGCTACATGTAGGAAGTGAAGACTCAGGGTCCAAGAGCAGAAGACAGGGTGAGTTTGGAGTGGAAAGGTGAAAAAAAGATTGAATTAGTTACTGTGGACAGCAGCAAAGAGAAGCAGTGACACAGTGTAGGAGAATTAATGGTGACCACTCAGTCCTTTAGCAATGGTGACTATGTTAGCCACTGGCCTTGCTCGTTTTGGGGGGAGAGACTTTACCTGTGCTGGTGTGTGAAAATGAAGTACTGCTGTCCTCACGAGGCAGCTGCTGTAAATCACTAGGACGCTGATTTTCTGTTGTGAATGTCCCTCCTCCACCTGCAGCTGGGACTCTCAGCTCCTTGGCTTCACCTTCAATGACATGTTCATCCGCATCTCCACCCGCCTGCCCTCCTCATACATCTACGGCTTCGGGGAAACTGAGCACACGAGCTACAGGAGAGACTTGAACTGGCACACGTGGGGCATGTTCTCCAGGGACGAGCCCCCGGGGGTAAGGACAGGGTGTGTGGTCTGTGTTCTGTCCCCTCCGGCCACACGTGTGTCTTCTGCTTCTTCTTAGCAGACTCCGTGTGATTGTTACTTTCTACTGATAGACAGATGGACATGTTTTCAATCTCCCTTTCCTCTCCTCTGTTCCCAGGAGAATCTTGAATCAGTGTAGCCATCAAGTTTCTGTTGAGTTTCTTCCCATGCACACAGTCTCTTAACCTCTCTTCCCTCTTCCCCTCAGTACAAGAAGAATTCCTACGGTGTCCACCCTTACTACATGGGGCTAGAGGAGGATGGCAATGCCCATGGAGTCCTCCTGCTGAACAGCAACGCCATGGGTAGGATGAACCTGTGCCCCCTATTGTATGCCAATCATTATTGAATTGCTTTATGTAATTTGATGTAGCTATCACTTGAAAAATGGCAGTCCTTTTGGATTGGCTTTCCCTTTCATTGACCCTTTATGCATATTTTAATTATATAAAATTTACCCAATTATTTTTTGCAATGTATCTAATGAGAGCTTTAATTTAACATTTTCAATTCTATATGCACCTACTCCAGAATATCTGCTGTCAGTTTCTTATAATTGAAGAGATAAAAGGTGCGGATTCCAGGGTTAATATTCTCAACATGAAGGGTCTCAGCATGATGACATTTTTCTTGCGTTTTCAGATGTGACATTCCAACCCCTGCCTGCACTAACATACAGAACCACAGGGGGCATTCTAGACTTCTATGTGTTCTTGGGCCCAACTCCAGAGCTTGTCACTCAGCAATACACAGAGGTAGGAAGGAATGCATTTATGAAATGTGGTGTGCGTATTTGTGTGTACATACAGTCAGAATGTATTCCAACCCTGCCATACAGGATTGCCATATTATAATGCGACTCTCATATGGAGCCTAAATTTGATGGTCTTTCTCAGGAGAAGTTATAATATGGGATATGGGACAGTGGATATATTCTTAGAACAACTAAAGTATGTTTTCTCCACTTATTGCAGTGTATAAAGCATTTCTGTTAACTGTTAGTGTGGTTATTGTGGTGGTGGAGCTATAGTGGCAGAGAACTTGATGACGTGGTTAGTGATAGTGGTATACAATGCATTCATTCATAGTACTATATGTGAAAGTGATTGGGAGAATGGTGGCAGTTATGGTGATGATGGTAGAGAGGAAGATAAGAAATAAGGTGATAAAGTGATTGTAGTAGAGTTTATATTGGGAGCTCAGAGAGTGAGCTCATGATGGTGGTGGTGGTGGTAGATATGATAGTTTTGGGAGTAGTAGTGATGGTGATGATGATTATGTCTGTGGTGGCAATGGGAGTTATCATGATGGCAAGTATTGCATCATGACATCATCACAGTGGTTACCGTGCGGTGACTGAGACAATGAGTGTTCTTCTGGTGGTGGTGGTGATGGTGGGAGTCATGGTCATGGGAATAATACCATTGTTGGTGACATCAGCAAACGTGTATGAAATATCTGCTGTGTCTATTGCTTAATGCAAGTGAGAGTGTGTCACACAAACTAAGTTAGTCAGTCAAAACAAGATGAGATAACTCCTACTCTTAGTTCTGATTTATAGGTAAAGAAACAGGTACAGGAATATCACATAACTTCCCAAGGTCACACAATAAGCAAGACCTAGAGACTGTATTCTAAGTTAACTATTTCCCCTTTTGGTGTATGTTTTTAACATCTTAATTATATGTCTAGACAGCTGAATAAAAACAGGATTTCCAGAATTCCTGGAAAGTGTACTCTGAGAAACCAGAGACTTTTTGTAGTGTGTCCCAGAAGTGCTACACACCCTTCTACTTACTTTCTGGGTTTGAATTTGGTGTTTAATTTGAGTAAAATATGCTAACTTCACATCTAGTTTCCAACCAGATTCTCCTCTAACAGGCTAACACTTTTTGTCTGTTTTCTAGTTGATTGGTCGGCCAGTGATGGTACCTTACTGGTCCCTGGGATTCCAACTGTGTCGCTATGGATACGAGAATGATACTGAGATCGCCAGCTTGTATAATGACATGGTGGCTAAGCAGATCCCCTATGTACGTACATCAGTGGAGGATTTGTTTGTCAAATGATACACTGTGCTGTCTCATGTCATGTCACACTGAGCTAGACCATCCATAGTGATTCGGGGGAGACCACTGCCCTCATGACAGTGATGGCTTAGACTAACAAAGAGGAGCTAAGCCTGGTTCCTGAGTGCCGTCTCCTGCACCAGGCTTTTCTCTGCTGCTTGAATGACTTCACCATATTTATCTATACTGTCTTTACTGACATGTTAATAGAATACCACTCTGCATTAGTTTTGCTTAGTTAAGCTAACTTTACCCAAACTCAGCAAGCCATTCCCTATGAGAACTTCTTTCTTGGTCCTGGCACAGTACAATGCTTCCTGAGCTCAGAGCTTCTTACTGGCTCCATACTATAGTCCTGTATTGAGTTTGTAGTGGAATCACATGCAGAAAAAGCCACATATCCTCAAAACAGAGGTCTGATAATCAGAAATCATGTTGGTATCCTTTGTGTTTGTCTTGCACATATTGTTCTGTGTTTCATTAGTGCAAAGCACTTACTGTAACACGGCGGTTCTCAATCGGTGGATTGAGACATTTATGGGGGAGTCAAACAGCTCTTTAACAGGGGTTACCTAACTTCATTGGAAAACACGGGTACTTACATTATTATCCATTTCAGTGGCAAAAACACAGTTATAAAGTATCAAGGGAAACAGTCTTGGTTGGGGGTCATTGCATCATGAGAACTGTGTTAAGGGTCCCAGCATTAGCAAGGGTGAGGACCACTGTTGAAACAGAGCATCTCACTGGGAGTGCTGCATTTGGCCATCTCCCACACTGGTCCTCTACAGGGAGGACTGTTTTGGTTTTGATTCTTTTATAGGAGACCTATGATCTCTATAATATTAGCACAGAATATTTGACATTATTTTCCATAAATACACAATACTGAGTTCAGGACACACTCATGGAGAATGTCAAAGCATTTTTTCCTACACTGTTTTTATTTTTACAACAGTCTTTAAGATACCCACCCATCTTAAACTTCTTGTTGATGTTGAAATAGTTTTTTTCCTGTTTCTGTGTGAAATTTTTAACAATCAGTCCAAGATCCATGGCTACAATGTGTCGTAAGCAGCGGTTTAAATGCTGCATACAGGTGTGGTAACTGCTGGAGTCTGAGCTTCCACCCAGCAGCCACACTTTCCTGTGTCTTCCCAGGATGTGCAGTACTCAGACATCGACTACATGGAGAGGCAGCTGGACTTCACCCTCAGCCCCAAGTTCTCTGGGCTTCCAGAACTGATCGATCGCATGAAGAGCAATGGGATGCGTGTCATCCTCATCCTGGTTAGTCCTTGTGTGAATGTGTAGGCTGCACTTGGGACTGTAGGTGGGCTTGTGTGGGGATTGCCCTAGAATGTCTGCCCTTTCCAGTTCCTAGAGGGAAAGAAAAATGTAATTAATATAAGTGTATTTCTTGGGAATCACGGACTCTCTATAATGCAAATTGCAATTGGGGACTTCATTTTTTGTACCCTACCTTCTGTGTCATCCTCTATCTTAATTTTACACTTCTTTGTGCTCTGATTTCAGGACCCAGCTATTTCTGGCAATGAGACAGAGCCATATCCTGCCTTTGACCTGGGTCTGAAGGATAATGTTTTCATCACATATCCCAATAGTCGTGACATTGTCTGGGGAAAGGTATGAGCTGGTGTTGATCCAGGAATCCTCACCCTGGGCCAGAGCCACTGTTAGTGCTCTTCAGGATTGTAGATTTTGTGCCTGTTATGTTTGATTTCTAATGTTGTAGTTTTCTTTTAATTTTTTTCAGCAAATATCTGCTGAAATGCTTAAGAGCTTTCTGGAATCCATTCTCTTTAAGTCAGTCCTACCTGGCAACTATTAGTCCCAGAACCTTTGCTTTTAGTTTCCTAAGAAATTATTTGTGGGAAAGCTTGTTCAGGGCATTGCTGTTAAACCTTTTCTCTTCACAGGTCTGGCCTGATTACCCTGGTATTGACGTGAACAGCTCTCTAGACTGGGACAGTCAAGTGAAGGTAAAAGGCCCTTTGTGGATGTTGGGTGTTTGCCAGGAGGAGACAGTCATGTCTAGGGAACTATATGTGTCTTTTCGTATGACAGACACATGTCAGAATCACTAAGGAGCAATGTTTCTCCTGTCATTCTGAGACTCATTTTATGTGTAGCAATGTTTTCCTTCAAGGTGTGATGTTAGCATAATTGACCATGGGGCTTAAGACTCAGTGTGCTCAAGTGTCCTGTGATAGTTTTCCATGTCACAAAGGCAATTTCAAATACAAGGCTGTCAGTTCTTAAGGGCTATGAACTCAATTGGATGCTGGCTCTAAGAATGCTGTCATTTCTTCCTGTAAAACAGTTTCCAGTCTTTGTCCTGACTTGTAGCATCTTTTTTCTCTGTGTATATTTATGTTCATACACAGGCTGTTCCATATCCACACATTATTTTGGCTCCACCCTTCCATCATTCATTGGGCCTCTAGAGTTTGCTTTTACTTTTATCTGTAGTCACATGTAGTTAATTTTTCTTCTTTGAGCAGGCTTTTGTATTTAATGGAACCAAGTAATCTAGATTCCAGTGCTAAGTTTTTTCTCATCCCATTTGTATCTGTTGCTTGGATGAATAAATTCGTTGTCACAACTGTCAAGAGAAGCATCAGGCCCTCCTCTTGCTGAGATGATTATCTGAAGCACTGAGGCAGCCTGTTCATTTTTCTATGAGTTTTTCTGGTATACCTTTGAGCAGTGTTCACATGGTTGGGAGGCTGCCTTCCTTGAACTTCAATATTTGCTGGACCTTTAATTCTTCCTTTACATAATGATCATAGTTGAGGGACTGGAATTGCATCAGTATCAGAATGTGAGGTTGGGAAGTGTAAGATAGTCCTAGTGTACCAGACACGTGCAATGGTTGACCTGATGGTGAAGCTGTCCTATTCACGGTCACATGGTACAGCTGAGATCTAGAAAGCCTGTCAGATTCAAGCATTAATCAGGTAAGTCAATGTTCTGTCATAGAAGTTTTAAATTTAGGTCTTAACAACACAAAGCCCAGGATCACTCCATTCCATACAATGTAATGGTTTCAAAGTGCTGAGAATGTGGATTATTTGTTCTCTTTATTCTTTGCTCTAAATATTTTCCTATTCAGTCAACAATGCTATATTGCATAGGCTCTATTCAGACTACCACTTTGCACAACTGTGGAGGTAGAATTAAATAAGTGCTTAGTAAGTGCCTGCTTCCTGTATAATATATTCATTCATGATAAACGGATTTTATTTGACAGGAATACCGAGCTTATGTGGCCTTCCCAGACTTTTTCCGTGATTCAACTGTTGCGTGGTGGAAGAAGGAGATTCAAGAACTCCACACAAACACACGGGATACAACAAAGAGCTTGAAGTTTGATGGCCTGTGGATTGTAAGTGTGCAGGGATGTGTCTGTGTATGCATGGGTATGGGTCTGTTTGTGTGTGTGTGTGTGTGTGTGTGTTGTTTTGAGCATGTGGATCCATGACATTGGGCAAGGTGATAATAATGACAAGAAAAAGTGTTCAGATAACAAAGTGTGGATCATCCAATTGAACTTAGAATTATTCTCTACATAGTAAGTGCGAACCCACCTTAATTTCCGGTTGTAGAACCTCCACAGGAGTTAGTGGGAAATCCTTAGAGCATTGCTTGTGCTAGGGGAGAAATGGAGTCGTCTGTCCAGTCCTGTTGAGGGTAGGTGTTCTTTCTAGTCTATGCTTCCCCTGCAGTTCATTGTCCTTTCTGGCCAGCGTTGAAAGAGATGCGACATATTGAATGTGTTTCTGAATTGACAGAACTTAAGTATCTTTAAAAATAAGCTATAATCTCGCTATTTGTAGGATATGAACGAACCTTCCAGCTTTGTGAATGGGGAAGTTTCAGGCTGCAGAAATGCTACTCTCAACCATCCTCCCTACATGCCACGTAAGGACCTTGGGTTCTTTTTGTTTGTTGCTCAGTGTCTGGAAGAAAGATGAGCCTAGCATCTTGGGATTACCATGACCACCACGGGCACCTCCCCCACATAAGTTTGGTTTAATATGGCCCAAGTCAAAAGCACCTCATATTATCCAAATGGAGACATTAGAACATTTCTTGAATTTGTTCAGACTGTGATAATGTCTCTGTGGTGTGATAACTTACAGAATTTCTTTTTGAACCAATATGTACAATGAAGTGGCTTCCCCTTTTCATGGAGCTGGTGGAATTTGGAGTGATGCCCATTAATAGATTAGCTCCATGCACTATGCCTCTTCTGAGTTGTGTGATCTCCCAGAGACATGGCTGAATCTATGTTTCCTAAAGTGTAAGAGGCAGACAACACTATCTACTCACAGAAATATGATAAAAAGATATGAAATAACTAGTGCATAAAAATCTATTAACTTTTGGGGCTGGAAGGATGGATCAGCAGTTAAGAGTGAAAATGTTATACTAACACAGGACTCATGTCAGGTGAATCAAAATCATTGGGAACTCCAGAATATTGGATTCCTCCTTCTGTTGGCTGCCCGTAACCCCCCTCTTTCTCTCTCTGTCTCTCTGTCTCTGTCTCTGTCTCTCTCTGTCTCTCTCTGTCTCTCTCTCTCTCTCTCACACACACACACAAATAAATCTTTTAAGGAAGCTTGTTCTTGGGCCTGTCCCATAGTGAATGCTTGACAAGCAGTTTTCTTTCAACTCTTCCATTTTCTTTATAAAATTTGATGCTGAAAATGCTTACTACTCAGAGAAGACTCTTGTTCTTATGCTCCTGGGAGTAGAGTGGGATCATGGCCGAGGATGTTAGTCTTGATATCTTCTAAAAAGTGGTCAAGAATTAAGAGTCAAGGCTGATCCTCACTGATGTTGCACCTTTCCCTCAGATTTGACAGCCAGGGACAGGGGCCTGAGCAGCAAGACTCTGTGCATGGAGAGTGAGCAGATCCTTCCAGACGGCTCCCGGGTGCGGCACTATGATGTGCACAACCTGTATGGGTGGTCCCAGACCAGACCCACCTACGAGTGAGTGATCCTCTCCCTTCTCCTGTTGGTGGCACCTGTAGGGAAAGTCAGTGTTGCGTTTATTTCCTGATTTGTCATTCATTCTTCATACTAAGGGTTAAAAGGTCATCTAACTATAACTTTGTAAAGATTGTAATTTATTAAGCACACATTCTATGAGAATGTGACCACACACAGTGATTATAATTGGAAGCAAGATTTAAATAATGTGCCACTGCATCAGGGAAAATAGTGCTTGTGAGGACACACTCATCTGGGGATACTGGATCATCACACAGAGTAGCAAGTGTGACAGTAAGAAGTCACTTGAGTTAGAGACAAACAGGAAAAGGAGGGTTGAAACTTCCGTCCTTTGTTTCAGAATTGGAAAGTCTCTTTATATGTCTGATATTCTATTGTTGTTTGTTTCTTAATTATTATGGTCACTTTCATAAGATAGTCCATGGTTCTTTTAGTGAATAACAACATAGCATAATTATCTTATGGGAAACTTTACTATTTTTCCTCCTCATATACAGAAAATTAAGTATTGGGTAAATAAATAAGAACCTTTATTGCAGGCCTACCATTGGTGACAACCTGGGGGTTCATCACATGATGATTTTTTAAAGGATGAAAAGGCATGAAAACTGTGTTAGACAGCCACAGAATCCTCACAAATCAGATTTGCACTCTGTCCAGATGTAGCAAACGTTTGCCATCATAAAAGCATTTGGAGGAGATACTCTATTACCTTCCTTTCTCCGCTCTTCTTCAATATATGTTTTTGTTTCTCCAACCAGAGCTGTTCAGGAGGTGACAGGAGAGAGAGGAATCGTCATCACGCGCTCCACGTTCCCCTCTTCTGGACGCTGGGCAGGACACTGGCTGGGAGACAACACGGCTGCCTGGGACCAGCTGGGGAAATCCATCATTGGTGTGTGGGTGTGCCCAGGGGCCTCTGCTGCCTGTGGGGGGTGAAAGTGAAGGAGGAGGAGGAGGAACAGGAGGAGGAGGAGGCAGAGAATGAGTGCCTGTCCTCTGTCCTCACCCTGCTGCATCTCTCCTTGCAGGCATGATGGAGTTCAGTCTCTTTGGCATCTCCTATGTAAGTGCTCTTGCGTGGTCCTCCTCCCTAGGAAGGTGTCAGCATCTCCCAGAAAGCACCAAGAGCTCACTGGTTCCTTGTTGTTTCAGACCGGGTCAGACATCTGTGGGTTCTTTCAAGATGCTGAGTATGAGATGTGCCTTCGCTGGATGCAGCTGGGAGCCTTTTACCCCTTCTCCAGGAACCACAACACCATTGGGACCAGGGTAGGATGTCAGCTTCCTCATCTATATTATGTCACTGGAAATGCCACCTCAGTGTCTGAGGGCAATCCTGCTGCCTGTGTTCCCTGGGAGACTGCAAAGACATTAATCTTCATCATATAAACCATAGTCCTCCATATTATTTTGGTGACTTTTTGCTTAAGGACTGTTTTTCCATTATATTTAATGAAGAATGCCTTACTACTTTTTTGGTAGAATTTTGTTGATATTTACCAGTCCATTAAGAATATTCTAGCAGTCCTATACATCCTATTCAAAATTTCAAAAGTTTGCGGTATGTTTGATGTGTGATATGCAGTTCAAATGGGCCTTTGATGACCTTCTTGAAGTCCTTAGTTGTCTCTGGTGGACTTTGAACACTTTTCTTCTGCTGCTTTAGAGACAAGACCCTGTATCCTGGGATAAAGCCTTTGTGGACATTTCCAGAAGTGTGCTAGAGACCAGATACACCCTGTTGCCATATCTCTACACCTTGATGTACAAGGCCCACGCGGAGGGCAGCACAGTGGTGCGACCTCTCCTCCACGAGTGAGTGTCCAGCTGGAATCTGCTTGACCCATGGACAATTTATCATGCAGGGTGGAAGTGGGTCCAAACAACTTGTGCTCAGTGAAGTGATAAGTCTCTTTGATATGAGCTCTCCACAGAGAGTGTCTTTGTCAATCCTCTTTCTGCAGTGCCATACATAACTCTAGTGTTGGATACAGTGTGTTTACTGAATTTATGAAGTGTAAGCTTCCAGCAGAGCCCAATTTCCTTCTTATTTGGCCCTACCAAGACTTCCTTATTTGGTATAGGGGTTTTGACCAGCACACCTTCACATAACTTTAGAGGACATTCCGGGGAGCGGTGGCAAGGACCAGCCTACTGTCACATTATAGTATGGCAGAGTGAGGAAATGTAAGACGCTTTGTGGCAGTAATGCACTTGTGAAGTTTTAAGAATACAGCATTTGGGGCATGGGGTCTATGTGATCCTTATCAGTCTAGTTAATATAAAGAAGGTAAGGGGTGTAGCTGGACGTCTGACCTGGGTCTGAACTTGAGGGCTTGTTGAGGCCTTGTCTTGAGGTTCTTGGGGTCAGATTGGCACCTTTATTTCCTTTTCAGGTTTCTGTCAGACCGGGAGACCTGGAGTATAGACAAACAATTCCTGCTGGGTCCAGCCTTCCTGGTCAGCCCTGTGCTGGAACCTGTGAGTATGGAGACCCGAGGGTTTACAGATTCCACTGTAGGCCTGGATGCCTAGGGCCATGCAGAGTCCCATGTGAGAGGGATTATGAGACATGGCTTCCTGTTTTACGTTTGTCTCCTTTGGTCCTTCTGAGCCAAATCCCATGTCTTAGGTTTTTTGTTTGTTTGTTTGGTATTTTTTTTGCCTTTAAACCTTTAATGTCTGCCTGATAATTCAAGGAATATCCTTGTCATGTATTGAAGCTTGTAATTATTTCTCTATGAGCTAAGCGAAGGTGTGCAGGGTCACATGCAGGAAGTTTAAAGATTCCTTATTTTCTGTTATTCTTAGCTAAAATTATCTGGAGAACTGTTTGTCACAATATGTGTGATTTTTTTAACGTCTTTTATCCTTTAATTATTTCTTTTAATTTTGAGGTTGTAAGCTAATTTCATAATTCCCCTCCCTCCATGTCATCCTTTGAAACCAGCTATCCCCCCCCCCATTCCTTCAATGCATGGTCTTGAAGCTAGAAGCAAACCCAATTAATTTACTTGCTCTGTGTGTAATGTGACTTTTGAGAAAATGAACAGATAACTAACACACCTTGCTTCTTTTTGAGGCTGCCTGCCTAATTTTCTTCCGTTCTGCTGTCAACATCGCCTATTCATTTGCTTAGGCAGGGGATGAATACATCTATTAGGGAGAGGTGTTTGCTTTTCTCTGAAGTCTAGTAGCCTGGGGGACTTTGTGAAGGCAGTTATTTTTGATAGGCTAATTTGTGTCCCTGGAAAAGGAGGATCAGCATCGTTGATACCATAAGCGGTGTGGAGTAATTTCGGCCAATTCTGTTAGCTTTATTATTATTTTAACTCCTCATCAATGTATATTGGTCACTGTGTCTTAGATACCAGAGTCTACTGCCCACACTTTCTTTGTATTTTATTTCAGAATGCCAGAGATGTCACTGCATATTTCCCCAAAGCCCACTGGTTTGACTATTACACGGTCAGTTTTTCTTTATATTTATAATATATAATAATAATATATAATAATAATAATGTATAATCCAGACAGTGCAGAGTGTCTGGATATGATAGATAGCAAACTTCATGCCACTTTTGGAAATCACCTTTTATGGTCATGAATGGCCACTTTACTCTCCGTGCCCTTGTTTCCTAACTTCTGACCATGATCAGTCACCCTTCAGGCAAGCATTCTGCAGTAACATACAGAGTAAATTACTGGTACCAGGCTTGCTGGGAGTCATCATTATGTGTGAATCTGTAGCTTTGTATTAATATCATTACAGTGAGGAGACACCAGTAAACTCTTGAGATTCATTTTGTTTTATCTAAGTTCTTAATTGTGGAGACCATTTCCTCTCTGCTTTTTATGAAAAGTCCACTCTTTGGGGCTGGAGACATGGTCCAACATGTAGATGTTAGCATATAGGCCTGGTGTCTGGAGTTTGAATCCCAGGTCCCACTAGGTGGCAGGAGGAAACTCCATGAGTTTTTCTCACACATGCACGCATGCATGCAACCTCTAAACAAATAGGTACAATTTGAAAGTCAGTCTCTGTAATTTGTAAACGTAAGGAGAATTCCTCTATACCACCACCCAAGATTAACAGCTATGAGACACAAATAAATATATAAAACGCACAGACATATGGTGCAGGACTTGGATGTCTGAGTTGTTCACATGTGTTTATTGATAAGATGTCAACAAGAAGCTCCCTATGATACATTTCTGTGCCAGTGAAAGCTAAGAACAGGATATTAGAGATTTGCTGTCCTCTAACAAAAGGAGAAGGAAGTGGCAGACAGACAAAAGTCAGAGCATGTTCAGTCCCGGTTGACAACTCAAGGTGATTGCTGTAAGACTGGGTGAAAGCTGTGTGAAGAACAGAAGAGTGGATTTCCTCCTCTTCTCTGTCTTGGGAGCACCTCAATTTTCCTCCACATGCTTTGTTATTGGCTAGTTCTGCCTTTAGGGTAGGGATGATCTAGTGCCTTCTTAGCAGACAACAGTCAGCTTTGCCTGAATTTCATGTTAACTACCTTATCCCTTGACAATGAGACCTGCTGGGCATGTTTGAGGTTTCTGATATAGGGCCTAGACTAGGGTTAAGTAGGGAGAAGCCCAGGACACACAATTTAAGGCAGCCCTGTACTTTAAGTGTGGCCTTACCTTTACATAGCCTTGAAAGCATAGATCACCTTAAAATTTGCTCCCTAGGCATCTGGCTAGCCTGTTCTATTGCTGACCTTACCCAGTAAAATGTTTTTTGTTGAGCACTAGGAGTAGGAATACTGAACACACAGTCTCATGAAGCTGGACATATAATCATTACCTAAGGTTTGTTTATCTTGAGTACTGACACATAAGTAAATGATTATATGCACCACATTTTAAAAGTGAAATATGAAGGCTAATAAGAAAGAGTTTCCTGCACTGGCTAATTTTACTTATGGCTTTTAAATAGAAGGTAGTTTCTGATAAAGGGAAGGTAACTGAAATCACCCGCAAAGACAAAAGTTAATCGAACAAGCTGTTCTGAGAAAAAGAAAAACGTTTAAAGTGATGTTTACTTAAAACAAACTTTAAATGGTTGGAATTACTGAGGAAAGTCTACCTTAGTTATTATTCACAAGCTACAGATACTAGACTGACTTTTTTCTTTCTTTTTTTGGGGTGTGCGTGCAGGAATTGCTAAACACTTTTGTCACCTATTTTTATACTTCATACTTCATGCTGTATTGGATGACAACCAGACACACTTATATGAATACACCTCACCTCCAAACCAACAGCGTTCAAACACCTACCAGAGGACAATCACAATGTCTCATGGTCATTGTGGGATAGGGTTATGGAGCTGCTTGTGAACAGACATCAGCAATGCTACTTTATACCCAAGAGCTTAGGGCAGCCTCGTTGCAGGAAGGAATTATCTGTCACAAGACATCAATGGAAGCGTTGTCAAGGAGAAAGAAGCCCTCTGGAGTTGAGACAGTATAGGAAGGTCTGAGGCTATGCTTCAGGTCAGACCGCACCTCACACAAGAGACCAGATGCAAGTGTTGAGAGAAGATATAGTTGGGTATATTCTGCAAGGATATATAAGCAATACATTTTACTTGGATGTTGCCTGTGAAGCAGGAGTCAGAAGTATTACTTACCTAGTAGGTGTATGGAGGATCAGTGGTTTCTTGGTGAAAGGGAAGTCTAGTATTGCCCTTGGGGGAAGATGTTTCAGGAACTAGGAAGGCATGGCAACATTGCCCAATGTCACCCTCCTCCCAAATTAGAAACAGGGTGTGCATTGAGAATGGCAGGGATCCACACAAAGACCTCATTTAGCATGTTCTTTAACTCTACCCACTAATCTCTACTCCCCATAAGGTCAGCTATTCTAATAGGGTCTTAAAGCTTTAAATACAGCAAGCTTTAACACAACAGAGGGAAAACAACGTGTGATGATGACCTGTGTTGAATGTTGGTGACCGGGCAGATTGTTTAGGATCTGCTGGGAGTTCAGAAATGTGTGTGTTCTTTTCCTCAACATCTCTTCTCCTGTCACAGGGTGCAGATATTAATTCAACAGGAGAGTGGAAGACCTTGCCAGCCCCTCTAGAACACATTAATCTTCACATCCGTGGAGGCTACATCTTGCCCTGGCAGCAACATGCCCTGAACACGGACTTAAGGTGAGCGATGGGACTAGGGCTCTGCTTTGCATACTGTGAGCTCATCCTTTTGTGATGAAGGCCATATTTACATCAAGCATGACTCTCAAGGCCAAAAGCAGCTTCCAAGCATTCATTGTTCCGCTGTATATGAATGTACATCACCCCTGTACACATCCGGGCATTTTGTCCATATCTGTTATCCAGAGTAGGCTAAACCAGCAGGTGGAATGTAGAATGTAGTAAGGAAGGATGCTGGCTGCTTCTGCCTCTCTCTCTCTCTCTCTCTCTCTCTCTCTCTCTCTCTCTCTCTCTCTCTCTTTCTGTGTGTGTGTGTGTGTGTGTGTGATCACACTCTACCCATGGACTTTCCTTGTCCTCTCAGGAAGCTGTAGACTGACAGCTACCCCTAATGGACTTGGAGAGATCGTCCCTGTTCCTCTGTAAACCCTTCCAGTTTTCAAGACACTGACTGCTTTGTGGTCAGCCTTCTGCTTTTCCAGGTTTTAATTACAACTAAATTACAGTTTTAATTCTGAAAGCCTCACGTCTTGAGAAAGCTCCATTGTGGTCCTTGGTTCCTCTTCCGCCCTTGTCTGACTGTCTATGGTGTTCACTCCTCCCTTCCCACTTCTAGATTAGCACCCCCGATGTGTCCTTCTGAAACTTTAGTTTCCCACCTTTGTCTCCACCCCACGGAGCCATTTCTTTGTTGTGATTCAAAATGGGATTCAAGAGTACAAACTCAAGTGTCCAGTATATCACACCCCCTTCATAACTTTTTGTTCCAAATTGATACTAATAAAGAGCTCCATATTGGTGCCAATATTTTGCTGAAACTATTAGCATATTTATTTACAATAGAAAAAGATTTATTAGGAGGGTGGAAACCTATCTTTGTCTTTGAACACCACTCACTGCTTTAATTATTCAAGTTGCAGACTTTTATGAAAAAGCACATAATCCAATACAGTTTGTTTGTTTGTTTGTTTGTGTTTCATTCTCTTTTCAGCTTCAGCCTATTCTGTACACCCATGTCAATTTTCCTTGCAAAAATGAAAATTTTATTTTTCCCCACCCTTGAAGTCTGAAATTCTTCATTAGTGAATCCATGTACTTTCCCAGTGTGTTTTGAAGTTGAGTCCCTGTACTTTATGCGGTGTCTTTCTTTTTTCACTTCTTAAAATTTATTCTTTGTGTCTTTTACATCATCCCTCCTGACCCCACCAGTTTCCTCCCCCACCCCAGAACAAGATAAAATAAAATTTAGTAGAAAAAAGGGTGAGAAAAATTTTAAAAAGGGAGAGGTGGAAAATCTTGTCAAGGAAGCTGTGATGTGATATAGTAAGTCATGCAGTAAATCCCTTTATCCGTACATTTTTACATTATGCAGTGTCTTAATAAGCATATAGATGAGCCATGTCCCAAACATGACAGTCTGCAAATATAACCAACACACTAACTGCATTTGGGCCTCTTCTCCCATTGCTCTTTGTAGTGGGCCAGTCTGTGAATCACAGGAGTCAAGTGCTTTACCGCCCCTATCCCTTCATCTCACCCCTCAATTTTCTACTAAATAATTTATTTATTTATTATTAGTCTATATTAATTATAAAAATTAATCACTGATATATTTCTTTCCATCTACATGTAATGCATTGATCATGTCTATCCACTGGTTGTTTTTGCTCATATTTTTTTTGCCATCCTGCAATACCTCAACCTTGGTACCCATCTCAGGCTCTAATCATCCCTCTTCAGTCTATCAAGTTTTTGCTTGGTTATTTGCAGTTTTCATGGATGATAGAAAATATGAAATTATGACATTCTGTGTCTGTTTTGTTTGCTTAACATGGTATTTCTCATGTCTTGGTTTCTGGGCATTTTTGTTCGTATTCTTGTGTTCTTTCTGTCTCTTATGTGTGTTGTTTATACTTCCTCGCAAGCCCTGCAATGTTTTACATAGTAGTATAAACTATATCCTTTAGCGTGCAGGTCCTCCAAATCACTCATCATACTCCTGGAAGTGACGCTCCACACATTCCTGTCTTTTGTCTGTGTTACTTTTCACTCCCTACGTTTGTTTGTGGGCAAGTGTGCTGAATGCATCTTATAATATTAATATTTAGGAGTTGTGTGGATTTGCATTTATATCTGTTGGCATTTTAGCAATGGTAGCTCAATCCATGAACTGTAGAGGAAATCATCTGATTTTGTTGATAGTAGAGTCTGATCAAGTATTAGAAGGTTAACCTGGAACGAATATCATAGGAAACATGAGGAACAAGCATGAAACTGCTGTTAGATGTTTTATTTTTCTCAAAAGAACATAGTAGACATTAAACTAAGTAAAACTAATCAGGCAGGCATAGTGGTGTGTAATAGAATTAGCACTTGAGAGGCAGAGGCAGTAGGGTCATGAGTTCACAACCAGCCTGGGTGAGGAAGCCAATTATGCTAGTCTGAGCTCCTTGTCTCAAAAACAATCAAAGACACTCAATATAAAGTTACCATTTTGTAGATGAGCCTTATTTTACGTGTTTCTGAGTAAAAGTTTCCTTGGCAGAGAAGGCATATCTAGGGGCAGCAGCTGATCTTGTCCTTATAGTATGGTGTCTTTAGTGACCTGCCCACGGCACCACTGTCTAATACCCATCCTGTTCTCGTAGTCTGCATTCTGCATATAAATGCATCCACAGCATTCACTGTGGCTGATGTAGTGACCACACCCGGATTTCTGTTTGGACATATGTTGCTGAGGTTTGGGACATTTCTTTCTTATGACAGTGATATTGAGAAAACGTCTCCTAGCGTTCTTGACCCTGTCCCCGAAGGGAAGAAGACATCCACGACTAATACCTTTACCCATTTGAAATTTTGTGGCAATATTTTCTAAAAATTCTTTGAGCCCTAAGGATTTGTGCCTTGTGCAAACCTTGTTCCCCACAGCCGGAAGAACCCTCTTGGTCTGATCATTGCCCTGGATGAGAACAAAGAAGCCAGAGGAGAGCTGTTCTGGGATGACGGGAAGTCAAAGGGTGAGTGTGCTAGGAGGGGGTGTGGCCACCGTAGACCTGCGTGTCTCTGTCCCTTCACCCCTGCTGCCCACTCTGCTGTGAGGGAAATATCACCAAGCATCCTAGAGCGTCCTCCCAGAGAAACCGTGTGCTTCTGGATGGACTGGTCAGAGGCCATGACAGGTGAACCACAGAAGGAGGAGGGCGAGCATCTCTCTCTTTTTCTTTGTTTCTATTTCTGAATTCTCTCCTTGACCAGTCACATCTAACAGGCTCTCTCTCACTTCATTGTTATAAGACAAATGGAAGACACATTTTCAAGACTGTTGCTGTAATTAATTCTCATTGTAGATATCTTCTTCATGGGGAAAACTGTATATGAAAAGTATACCCATGTCGGGGAGGCAGCAAACACAAGCCTTCCTGATTATGCGCGTCTTACGAGCTTTAGCACACCCTATCTCTCTCCCTCCCTCCCTGCTTCCTTCCCTCCCTCCTTCCTTCCCTCCCTCCCTCACTGCTGTTTCTACTGCACTAGGAATTCTCATGACTTTACCTTGGGAAACAGATTCCCATCGGATGACTGCCTGGGTAACACTGCTAAGGATCCTTTCACGGTTATAGTATTAAGGAGAAGACACGTATGTGGCCATTCAGACTCTGTGCACATACAGGCATTGTGAAATGGTTACCATAGCATTAATTTATGTTTCTTTTTCTGGAGGGCGGTTTTGAGACAAGGTTTCTCTGTATTGCTTTAGAGCCTGTCCTAGAACTCACAAGAGATCTGCCTGCCTCTTCCTCCCAAGTGCTGGGATAATTTATGTTTCTATTACCACTAATAGCAGCATTGGCTTTCTAGAACTTCATAGTATTTGAGCAGATTTTCCCCATTCACTCTTCTTTCAGATCCTAAATTCTCCTGTTCCTTCCTCTGTTTATGTGAGTGCAGCTGTGTAGCCCCTGTACAAACAGAGAGCACACACTGCTTCTCTTTTGCCGTCTTATCTACTTCTCCTAGAGGAACAGGATCCGGATTCATCTCTGCTCTAACAATGCAGGGCTTCCTTCTTCTTTAATGCTAAAGAATACTCCATTGCACACATGCACTCTAATTCTTTTGTTCATTCGTCTACTGATAGGTATGTGTGTTGTTTCCCCATCTGAGCCATTGTGAAAAAAAAAACAGCAACTACTTAGGAGGAAATATAGGGAAAAGCTTCTTTGTTATTGGGCACGGTATAGTGATTTTAAGTATGACACCAAAAAAAACCCCACAAAAGGTAACAAAAGCATAAAGTAAGTTTGCATAGGCATTATGGAGAACAGTATAGACACTCCTTCACATGTTGAAAATAGAGATACCATCTAACACAGAAGTCCCATGTCTGGCGTGTGCCACAGAGATGCTGACCCTCTCCTATTCACTGTGGCGTTGTCTGTACTAGTGAAGGCCCAGAAGTAGCCAAATCGACCTGATAGATGAATGAATAAACAAGCTTAGATACTCAGATCTACCGACGTGTTCTTCAGTCATGAAAAGAAAGAGGAGCCACTTTTTAGGAGAGGAAGGTGAAGCTCATCTTCTGTGGTCACCAGGCCAGCCTGACATCTCTTTCTTCTTTCAGACACTGTGGCCATGAAGAGTTACCTTTTCATTGAATTTACTGTCACCAAAGTGAGTGCATATTTTTATTAATATTGTGTGGGATTTTGTCTGAAGATGACCGTATGTGTTCTGCTATATGCATGTAACAGTATTTATTTAAATAGCATTTATGTGAGTGAATTCATTGCTGTTTATGACTTAATTCATACAAATTGCATCAGCAGTATTTATTGAAAAGAGTCAACAGTAAAAAGAAAATTAGCTAGTGCTGTAAAAGACAATTCTATAAAATATTGCTTGGTTTCCTCACACTCTCTATGGGCATTGTAAAAATAAATTTTTATTCCCATTATTATGTACCAGCAAAGAAAATTGAGTGACCTTTAGAGCAGGTCAAGTGTGGAGTCTAGGATGGAGTGTTTGAGGGTCTAAGGAATCTACGTGTTCATTATTTGTTCATAATTATGCTTGATGTGTTTCAGAACCAATTGAATGTGACAATTTCAAGTCCAGGCTACAAGGATCCCAATAACTTAGAATTCCAGGAAATTAAAATCTTTGGGACCGAGGAAATTTACGATGTTAGAGTGAAACAGAATGGTGTCCTCAGTCAGATGTCTCCTCAAATCACTTACAACTCAACCCTGAAGGTAAGAATTTATAAACTTCCATGGTAATCTTGATGTCACTTCTTGCTAAGATTACAGGGATTGTTGAAGGACCAGAGCACATCTGAAGCCTGATGGTGATGTCAGAGTATGGAGGAGGAAGGTAAAAATGTAGAGATAGTTTGAGGCACCATGACTCCAGTTTTCCCATCCTTATTTTCTTCACTCTCAGTGTTTGGTTTCCTCTAACTGGATGTGGGGACAAGATCCGAGGGACGGGATCTGAAAGCTGATGGCCTGTGCTTGAAGGTGCAAGATAGAGACAGAGATCCTATGAATAAAAAGTTTAAATTGCTTTTATTTAATTAATTTTTAATGTTTCTTTCCCTTTGTTAAGCTCTATTGAGAATAATATATGTTCTCTAACATACATGCTTGCAAGAAATATTTTATGAAAAAGTTGATGCTGTGATTAACTAACTTAGCTGGTGATTGAAAAGTGGTATTCTGGCAGATAGAATGAGATCCAGCCTTTCTGTATGACTTCTATGTGAGGAACCTTTTCCTAGTCAACTGAGATTTCTACTCAAGGTGTATTTATATGTGACATATAAAGAAGATACATATATTACGAAGTTACAAATGATGAATTATGTGGTTGGTTGTGTCTGTGGCCAAGTTTAAGGCATCTGAAGGGTGCATGTGTGAAAACAGGCCTTGTTCATGATAGAAAATAAAATGCTTAGAACATCACCAAAAGAACTCATTACTGTTTCAATCAGAGTGGTGAGAGATACAGTTCACACACATAAGAAGGCACAGAAATATTAAGCAGCTGTCTAAGCCAACATCTGTAGAATATTTGCTTTGGTTCTATTTGATGAAATGCAGTAGATACAAGCTTTTTGGGTTTGTGGAGATGGAGAAATGGCTCAGCATTTAATATCACTGGCTGTTCTTCCAGAAGTTCCAGGTTTGATTCCCAGTGCACACATGATGGTTCACCAACATCTGTAACTCCAGTTGCAGGGGATCCAATGCAACTTCTGGCCTCTGTGGGCACTACACATGTGTAACACAGAGACATGCATGCAAGCAAAAATACCCATACATATAAAATAAGGTTGGGATTATCAGATTTATGTGACAAGAAGTCTGAGATGGCTAACAGATTGGTTTATTTTTCTGCAATTCAAAGTTCAAAGTTGAAAACTTGCTGGAATTGTTTCAGAGTTTGAACTTTGTCAGAACAAAGGTCTGTCTTATCTAATGACTGGAAGTGGCTAAGTGGATTTAGTCACAATGCTCTTATTCTAGGAGAGATGAAAAAGGAAAACAAAATGGTCCAAGAAAAGGGAGTTGTAAAAAGAGGAAGGCAGAGATGAAGCTGAAGAGGCCAGGCCCTTCTAGCAAGAAAGAAACCCTGGCCCAGCAAGTGAACCCCAATTTACTTTTCCGGCCATGAATATGCTACAGTCATAACTTCAGTTATTAATTGATGGGATGTATTATATGAACCTGAATTATTAAGACAGGAGGGTACATTTCATGCTAGTAAGATAGCTGGTAGTGATTCAGAAAGGGCCTCGCTTTCCTAGACAGTGTTTATCTTGATGATGCTTTCTAAGCTGAGCTATCAGAACAGGGCAGGCAAAGGACTCAGAAGTCTGACATAATCAGTCCTTAGCTCCATGACTGGCTTAGGATATGGAAAATGGACTTTTATGTAACGACATTTCCTATTCACCAATCTTATCCTCAGCTGATAAGTCTGAGATCAAAAGAATTGATGCGGGCCAGGCAGTGGTGGCACATACCATTAATGCTAGCACTTGGGAGGCAGGTCTCTGTGAGTTTGAGGACAGTCTGGTCTACAGAAAGAGTTCAAGGACAGCCAGGGCTACAAGGAGAAAAAATTTCTCAAAATGAAAAGAATTGAAGTAATCTGTGTAAGATTATGGAGAAGAGCGGAGCCATGTTACTCACATTGTCCTATTGTCTAGGCATTCCACACCACAGAGGTCATGACACGGCGAGGTGGTGAATGACAAAAATAACTTAATTTGGGAATAAAAGGAGAAAGCCTTTCTGATGAATAGGGGCAGGTGGTCCAGGGAAGTAATGAAAAAAAAAGGGTGATCATAGCAGGTTTTATCTATTTCTTTCTACAGTATAATATGTAAGGTTTTGATAGAACACTGGTATTTTCATTTTGCCACTATCTCTTACTCTATATATATTTGTACCCTTGAAAACTGTAATGTGCTCATTAATCCTGAAAAGTAGGTCATAAAGATAGACTAAGATATTGGCAGCGGGGTGGTGGTGGCACATGCGTTTAATCCCAGCACTCAGGAGGCAGAGGCAGGCAGATCTCTGTGAGTTTGAGGCCAGCCTGGTCTACAGAGCAAGTTAGTTCCAGGATAACAATACAGAGAAACCTTGTCTTGAAAAACCAAAAAAAAAAAAAAAAGTTGAGTCCTGGCAAGACCCAAAGGTCTGAGGATGACTTTGCATCCCTTCAGGTTGCCACCATCACAGATATCCATCTCGTGCTGGGAGAAGCATACACAGTCCAGTGGAGCAACATGAGGGCCCAGGAGAAGATAGACTGCTATCCAGACGAGCATGGAGCTTCCAAGGCCAACTGCACAGCCCGTGGCTGCATCTGGGAGGTGAGCTTGCTGACGATGTTCATATAAACCGGAACCCTTGAAATACAGCCTACAATGGCCTTAGCACAGTCATCTATCCCAAGATTTATTAAAATTCACAGAAAGGAACGCCTCCAGATGAGCCCTATTTTGATTGAGGTGTGTAAAGTGGAAGAATGGGATGTTTGCTGTGTTATTTGGAGTCCTGGAAGTTAAATCCATGCTTACTTTCTTATAGGCATGAGTGGATGAAACGATAACTTTCTCCATATAAATTGGCTTTTCTAATCTTCTTGACAACTCCAGATCCTTGCTGATGCAGGATATTGACTTCTTAACAGGAATCTGACACTCCTGGGGTCCCTTATTGCTACTTTGCCAGTGACCTGTACTCAGTCAGCAATGTTCAGTATCATGAGAACGAGGCCACAGCCGACATCTCCTTGAAGGATTCTCCGTACAGCAATGCCTTCCCCTCTATGCCCGTGAATCAACTAGAACTGCGAGTGATCTACCACAAGAATGAGATGCTGCAGTTTAAGGTAAACACGGTGTGCGCCATCAGGAGTGCAAGAGCCTTTCCGGTTTCATCCCTCTTTGTGACCTTGTGTTACAACATTCCAAAAGGTAGTTTTATTTATTTATTTACTTATTTATTGTAAAAAAAATAGTGCAGAACATCACTCTAATGAAGAGAACTACTAGATTACTGGAAGAACAGTCAAACAGCTCTTCATTTCAAATGTGAGAGGTCACTGTGTCTAAAGAAAATGTTTAGGAGAACAACACATGGAGGTGGGCAGAGCAGGCTACTTGGAGGGCTGTGCACTTGTGGATGAGTCGATCTGTAGGTAAGATGGGAGATGCGCAACAGGGATATGTTTGAAACATAGAGACCATCTTGGTCATTCAAACCAAAACAAGAGGGCCATGCCTTTAGAATGACTCCCATGTTCATAGCATGCAGATGTGTGCATATGCTTGGTAATGATAATGGAAGTCAGAAAACCGATAGGATATGTGATTGACAATATATGAGGGGGAGTATGATTTTGAATAAAATAAATGGAGACATCTTTGAAATACTCATGAGAGTGATTTCTTCTCCTTCCCTGCTTTAATTAAAGAAAGAGACTAGGGATGGGCTAGCCCATCCTCTCGTTTGTTTCATTATTAAACTGTTAGCTGCTCCAAAACAGGGTTTTGCGTTCCACCATGGTGGTGTTGGAATCTCACACATAGGCTGGTCTATACTGGGTACTCAAGTGCTGTTGGAAGAGAGCAAGGCAGTGATCACGGCAGAGTGGCTTTGTCTAGAGTACTCGTAGAATCTGAGCTCAATGCGGACTTGAGTTCTCCATCTTCTGATAAGGTGATGATGTGTGTGTGTCCTCACCAGAATGAAGTTGGCTGGGTGTGTAGCTTCAACTCACACTCACCAACCATTTAGCCCTTTCCATCATACTGATGCCTTTCTGAGCCCAGCTTAGCTCTCTGGGTCTTTGTGCTTGTTGTTTCTTTACCAGTTTTGTGCTTGGTTTATTGCTGCTTAGCTTTTAAGACTCAGCCTGTATTTCATGTATGAAACCACCTCACCCTTCCTTCCATGTGCTAGCAAAGCCTTCTGCAGAGTTTATAACAGCTCACATCCCTCAGGAGTGCTGAACTCTTCTCTCCTATTTCCCATGAGTTCCTAAGCTTTTCATGACATTAACTTTGGTGCATTCAATTCCATCTCAACTATTTACTACTCTATCAGCAGGAGACTGTGGAACCCTAATTATTCATCTTCATTTCATTTTCAGAGGGGATATTTTTAATCAGAGAAACTCAGTTTTTTCCACCCAGTATGAAAAGTTTCAGGTCTCCTTACACAGACAAAACAACATATCATATGTTTATAAATACCATATCAATTTCTGAATGAATTTTCAGTGTTAACAGTAATGTTGAAATGGATGAAGGAATGTTCTAGAGCCCACAATACTGACATGTCCAAGATCAAGCTACTTAATAGAAACTTTTTCTTTGATGTGTTGGTTAATTCCTGTATTGTTAGGTAAAAGAAGAGGAAACCTACACCCTCTAGACTGTGTCAAACATGCTAAGAGTATGCTGAGGTATTCATCTCTAGAGTACAATTCATGTCTAAAGAGTTCTTTTGAAATGACAGATAACTGTGAATGTGTACACTATTGATGCTTTCACATTTTTACATATTTTGGATTGATCAATTCAGTGTAGTTAGGATATTTGGTGTTCAATCCTCTAATATTTGTGTTATGGAAATAAAGCATATTCATCAGTTACTTTTAATTATATTTCAGTTATGTGGTCACTGTCAGCATGCTAAGAAAACATCATAATGTATCTGCCATAATTTTGTCTTTACATAAAATGATTTCTTCTGGTCTAGATCTATGATCCCAACCACAGTCGGTATGAAGTCCCAGTGCCTCTGGACATCCCCAGTTCTCCATCCAGCACCCCTGATGGCCGTCTCTATGAGGTCCTCATCAAGGAGAATCCATTTGGGATTGAAATTCGCAGGAAGAGTACAGGCACTGTGATGTAAGTGGGTCCTGGTCTGACTCAGGGCTGCTGCTTTCCTAAACATTCCTCACCAGGTCATTGTCCTGGAAGACACCTGGCTCAAGTCATCAGATGCCCCTGTTGAGATCCATGATGTATTAGTTACCTTCTATGACTGTGGTAAAAAGCGTGACCAAGAGCACTTATAGAAGAGTTTTTTAACTTTATGGCTTCTAATTCCATGATGGTGAAGTGGATGCAGGCTGCAGACAGCAGGGACACCTCAGAGCTCACATCTTCAACTGCAAACAGGAAGCAGAGAGAAACTGGGAGTGTTGTGAGCCTTTGTACTCCAAAGCCTATCCCCGGTGACATACTTCCTCCACTAAGCCACCCCTCCCAATAGACCCCAAATAGTGACCAAATGGGGACCAAGTATTGAAATACCTGGGACTAGGAGGAACATCTCATCTAACCACACATGAGGAAGTGCTTTCTGTTCTTAGAGGGAAATATTAATACTCTGAGAGCGATTACTAAGGCAGTTGCAGAGTTGTGTAAATTATTGAAAAAATATTTGCTGAATTCCTTCTGTATAGTAGGTTATCTTCTGGCACTGTGATCATAGACAGGTGCTGTTTCTTCCATTAAGCAAAGTTACATCATACTATGTAGAGGGATTTGATATAGCAAAAACTGCTATGCTGGAAAAGCCAGGGAAATCAGGTTATTTGCTGACTTGGAGACCATGATCTGAGTTTGTGTCTCTGAGAAAGAGATACAAAATTTGTGATAGAAATGGCATGCCCTGAGCCAGAGGAAATTTATCAGTTACATCAGAGCGATTCCCCTGAGGGTGGATGTGGGAGACGAAGGAGGTATGTTAGGTGTGACTTAGAACAGGATCAGCCCTGGAGGGTCCTCGGATGCTCTCAGGAGAGATGAGGGAGCATGTGAGCAGCAGTGTGAGACGGTGGGAGACGCTACATGTAGGAAGTGAAGACTCAGGGTCCAAGAGCAGAAGACAGGGTGAGTTTGGAGTGGAAAGTTGAAAAAAATGATTGAATTTGTTACTGTGGACAACAGGAAAGAGAAGCAATGACACAGTCTAAGAGACTTATTAGTGACTTGGGATTTCAGCAGGGCTAACTGTGCCTATTTTAATTAACTGGACTTGCATGTCTGATTTGGAGAGCCTCTAGAAAAGATGGTGTGTGAAAATGGAGGGTCTGCTGTCCTCACGAGGCAGCTGCTGTAAATCACTAGGACGCTGATTTTCTGTTGTGAATGTCCCTCCTCCACCTGCAGCTGGGACTCTCAGCTCCTTGGCTTCACCTTCAATGACATGTTCATCCGCATCTCCACCCGCCTGCCCTCCTCATACATCTACGGCTTCGGGGAAACTGAGCACACGAGCTACAGGAGAGACTTGAACTGGCACACGTGGGGCATGTTCTCAAGGGACGAGCCCCCGGGGGTAAGGACAGGGTGTGTGGTCTGTGTTCTGTCCCCTCCGGCCACACATGTGTCTTCTGCTTCTTCTTGGCAGACTCCGTGTGATTGTTGACTTCTACTGCTAGGCAGATGGACATGTTTTCAATCTCCCTTTCCTCTCCTGTTGTTACCAGGAGAATCTTGACTCAGTGTAGCCATCAAGTTCCTGTTGAGCTTCTTCCCATGCACACAGTCTCCTAACCTCTCTTCCCTCTTCCCCTCAGTACAAGAAGAATTCCTACGGTGTCCACCCTTACTACATGGGGCTAGAGGAGGATGGCAATGCCCATGGAGTCCTTCTGCTGAACAGCAACGCCATGGGTAGGATGAACCTGTGCCCCTTATTGTATGCTAATCACTCTGGAATGGCTTTAGAATATACTTGAGTTAGCTGCCACTATTCTGGATTTGTTTTCCCTTTCATTGACTCTTTATGTATATCTTAGTTATATATAATTACCCAACTTTCATTTGCAAAGTAGCCAGTGAGAGTTTTCATTTTTTTTCTTCAATTCTATATGCACCTACTCCAGAATACCAGCTGTTGGTATCTTAGCATTAAAGAGAGAGAGCAAGTGGGGATTCCAGGGTTAATATTCTCAACATGAAGGGTCTCAGCATGATGACATTCTCTTACATTTTCAGATGTGACATTCCAGCCCCTGCCTGCAGTAACATACAGAACCACAGGGGGCATTCTGGACTTCTATGTGTTCTTGGGCCCAACTCCAGAGCTTGTCACTCAGCAATACACAGAGGTAGGAAGGAATGCATTTATGAAATGTGGTGTGTGTGTGTGTGTGTGTGTGTGTGTGTGTGTGTGTGTGTGTACATGCACTCATAATGTATTAAACTCCTACTATACAGGATTGCCATATACTGTAACTCATATGGTACCTGAATTTGATGGTCTTTCTCAGGAGAAGTCATAATATGTAATATGAGAGAGTGGATATGTACTAGAGATAAATAAAAGACCCAGAGACTGATTTTGGGGTTCAAACTTCAAGCTGAATATCAGAAGAGCAAGGCAACTGGCCACTAGCTTCCTACCTCTACCTCTGGCTGAATGGGCTGATCCTGTCTCCATAAGCTCTCACCAAGCCTCAGACTGTAATCCTTCAGCATGGCTGGAGAATGAATTCTTCTCTGAGACCTTGCTTCTGTTTTACACACTTCCCTAATGTTGGGATTAAAGGTGTGAGCTATAATTCTCTTTTAGACCGATTCATTCTTCTGTAGATCTGGGTGGCTTTGGACTCCCAGAAATCTTTATCCTTCTTAATCTTGAATCCTGGGATTAAAGGTGTGTACCACTATCTCCTAGCTTCTGGCTGCTGGGATTAAAGATGTGTACCACCACTGCCCGATCTCTATAATTTGAGGCTGACTTTGCCTTCCTGAATCCTCACTTAAGCTTTAGTACATCATAAAAAAATATCACTACATGGCTATATTCCTATAACTATTAAATCATGTTTTCTCCACGCACTGCAGTGTATCAAGTATGTGTGGTAACTACCGGTGAGGCTAGTGTGATGGGGCTGTGATATAGAGATCTCGATGATGTGGTGAGGGATGGTGGTAACAAATGTATTAATAGTACTATTTGTGAAAGTGATTGTCAGGATGTTGATAGTTGTGGTGATAATGGTAGAGAGGAAGATAGGACATGAGGTGATCATGAAAGCGACTGTAGTGGAGTTGATATTGGGAGCTGAGAGAGTAAGGTCATGATGGTGATGGTGGTGGTAGATATGATAGTTTGGGGAGTACTAGTGTGGGTGACGATGATTATGTCTGTGGTGGCAATGGGAGTTATCATGATGGCAAATACTGCATCATGACATTGTCACGGTGGTTACATTGTGGTGGCTGAGACAATGACTGTGCTTGTGGTGGTGGTGGTGGGAGTCATGGTCATGGCGAATAATAACATTGCTGGTGACATTAACAAGCGCGTGTGAGGTATCTACTGTGTGTATTACTTAGTTAGTGCATATAGGAGGGCGCCACACATAAGTTACTGAGTCAAACGCAAGAGATAGCGCTTACTCTCTAGCTGAGTTACCGGTGAAGAAACAAGAATGGAATATCGCATATCTGCCCAAGGTCACACAATCAGCAAGACTGTACTCTAAGTTAGTTATTTCCCCTTTTGTTGTGTGTTTTAGCGTCTCAATTTTATTTCTAGACATCTGAATAAAACAGGTTTTCCAGAATTCTTGGAAAGTGTTCTCTGAGAAGCTGTAGGTTTACACACCGCTCTACTCAGTCTCTAGGTTTGAATTTGATGTCTAATTTGGGTAAAATATTCTGACTTCACATCTAACTTCCAAACAGCTTTTCCTCTAACATAACAATACTTTCTCTTTTCTAGTTGATTGGTCGGCCAGTGATGGTACCTTACTGGTCACTGGGATTCCAGCTGTGTCGCTATGGATACGAGAATGATACTGAGATCTCCAGCTTGTATGATGACATGGTGGCTAAGCAGATCCCCTATGTACGTACATCAGTGGAGGATTTGTTTGTCAGATTTAAGTGTGGTTTTAAAATGATACTCTGTGCTGTCTCATGTCATGTCACACTGAGCTAGACCATCCATAGTGATTCGGGGGAGACCACTGCCCTCATGACAGTGATGGCTTAGACTAACAAAGAGGAGCTAAGCCTGGTTCCTGAGTGCCGTCTCCTGCACCAGGCTTTTCTCTGCTTCTTGGCTGACTTCAAGTTATTTAACTATAGTGTCCTTACTGACATGCTCATGGAACACCACGCCAATACTAGTTTTGCTTAATTAAGTAAACTTTGTCCAAACTCAGTGAACCTGTCCCATAGAACAATTGCTTTCTTGGGCCTGGTATAGCACAATATATGCTCCCTGACCTCTGAGTTTCTCCTTGACTCCATGTGGGAATCCTGTATTGCATTTGTAGTGGAATCATGTACAGAAACAGCCATATTCACTCAAAACCAGAGGTCCAACAATCAGAAATCATGTTGTGACCATTTGTGTTTGTCTTGTACTTATTGTTCTGTGTTGCATTAGTGCAAAGCACTTCCTGTAACACGGTGGTTCTCAATTTGTGGGTTTTGACCTTTTTTGGGGTGTCAAATGACCCTCTCATAAGAGTCACCGAAGGTCATTGGACTACACATATATTTACATTATGACCCATTACAGTGGCAAAAACACAGTTATAAAGTATCAAGGGAAACAGTCTTGGTTGGGGGTCACCACATCATGAGAACTGTGTTAAGGGTCCCAGCATTAGGAAGGGTGAGGACCACTGTTGAAACAGAGCATCTCACTGGGAGTGCTGCATTTGGCCATCTCCCACACTGGTCCTCTACAGGGAGGACTGTTGTGGTTTTCATCTTTTATAGGTGACCTACGATCTGTATCATATTAGGACAGAATATTTGACATTATTTTCTATGAGCAAACATCACTGAGTTCAGGACACACTCATAGAGAGATTCTAAGCACTTTTTCCTACAGTGTTGTTATTTTTTTTAAATAGCCTTCAAGATACTCATCTTAAACTTCTTGTTGATGTTGACATAATTTTTTCCTGTTTCTGAGTGAAATTTTAAACAATCAGCCCAAGATCCATGGCTACAATGTGTCATAAGCAGCGGTTTAAATGCTGCGTACAGGTGTGGTAACTGCTGGAGTCTGAGCTTCCACCCAGCAGCCACACTTTCCTGTGTCTTCCCAGGACGTGCAGTACTCAGACATCGACTACATGGAGAGGCAGCTGGACTTCACCCTCAGCCCCAAGTTCTCTGGGCTTCCAAAACTGATCGATCGCATGAAGAACGACGGGATGCGAGTCATCCTCATCCTGGTTAGTCCTTGTGTGAATGTGTAGGCTGCACTTGGGACAGTGGGTGGGCTTGTGTGGGGATTGCCCTAGAATATCTGCCCTTTCCAGTTCCTAGAGGGAAAGAAAAATGTAATTAATATAAGTGTATTTCTTGGGAATCACGGACTCTCTATAATGCAAATTGCAATTGGGGACTTCATTTTTTCTACTCCACCTTCTTTGTCATCCTTTATCTTAATTTTCCACCTCCTTGTGCTCTGATTTAAGGACCCAGCTATTTCTGGCAATGAGACGGAGCCCTATCCTGCCTTTGACCAGGGTCTGGAGAATGATGTCTTCATCAAGTACCCTGATGATGGAGGCATTGTCTGGGGAAAGGTATGAGCTGGGTGTTGATCCACGAATCCTCATCCTGGGCTAGAGCCACTGTTAGTGCTCTTCAGGATTGTAGATTTTGTGCCTGTTACGTTTGATTTCTAAAGTTGTGCCTTTCTTTTAATTTTGTTTTCCGCAAATATCTGCTGAAATGCTTATGAGCTTTCTGGAATCCAATTCCCCTTAAGTCAATCCTACCTTGCAACTATTCGTCCTAGATCCTTTGCTTTTAGTTTCCTAAGAAATTATTTGTATGAAAACTTGTTCAGGGCATTGCTGTAAAATATTTTCTCTCCACAGGTCTGGCCTGATTACCCTGGTATTGTGGTGAACAGCTCTCTAGACTGGGACAGTCAAGTGAAGGTAAAAATCCCTTTGTGGATGTTGGGTGTTTGCCAGGAAGAGACAGTCATGTCTAGGGAACTATATGTGTCTACTGTTATGAAAGACGCACTGAGGCAGTCTGTTGATTTTTCTATATACACCTTTGAGCAGGTTTCACATGGCTTGGAGGTTGCCTTCCTCGAACTTCAATATGTGCGGGATCTCTAACTTCCTTAACAATGATCATAATTCAGGGACTGGAATTGCATCTGTTTGTGCAGGAGGAAGTGTAAGATAGTCCTAGTGTACCAGACATGTGCAGTGGTTAAGCTGATGATTAAGCTGTCGTATTCATGTTTCACACAGTACAGCTCAGAGCTAGAAAGTCTGTCAGATTCAAAGATTTATCGGGTAAATCATCATTCTGGACACAAGCATCGAAGTTTTAAATTTAGGTTTTAACCACACAGAGCCCACGATCCCCCTGACCAGTCCATTCCAAACAGTGCAGTGGTTTCCAAATGCTGGGAATTTGTATTATTTGTTCTTTTCAATCTTTAAGTATTTTTCTAATAGTTCAAGAATGTCATATTGCATAGGCTGTCACTCTGCACAACTGTGGAGATAGAAGAATTCGTTAAGTGCTTAGTAAGCGCCTGCTTCCTGTACACTATATTCATTTACAATAAATGGATTTTGTTTTCACTTGACAGGAATACCGAGCTTATGTCGCCTTCCCAGACTTTTTCCGTGATTCAACTGTCACGTGGTGGAAGAAGGAGATTCAAGAACTCCACACAAACCCGCGGGATTCAGCAAAGAGCTTGAAGTTTGATGGCCTGTGGATCGTAAGTGTGCATGGATGTGTCTGTGTACTTGTGTGTGTATGTGTTGTTTTGAGCTTGTAGATCCATAACATTGGGCAAGGTGATAATAATAACCAGAAAGAGTTCTGATAGCCAAGTTCAGGTCGTCCCATCAAAGTTAGCATTGTCCCGCCTGAAGTTCCTTCTGTAAAACCTCCACAACAGTTAGTGGGAAATCCTTAGAGTACTGTTTGTCTTAGGGGAAAAATGAAGTCATCTGGCCTGTCATGTTGAGGGTAGGTGTTCTTTCTAGCCCTTGCTTTCCCTGTAGTTCATCATCCTTTTTGGGCAGCATTGATAGAGGTGCAAGATACTGAATGTGTGACTATTTCTTTATTTCTGAATTGAAAGAATTTATGTATCTTTAAAAATTAGCCATAATCTCACTATTTGTAGGATATGAACGAACCTTCCAGCTTTGTGAATGGGGCAGTTTCAGGCTGCAGCAATGATACTCTCAACCGTCCTCCCTACATGCCACGTAAGGACCATGGGATCTCTTCACTTGTTTCTCAGTGTCTGGAAGAAAGATGAGCCTAGCATCCTGGGATTACTCTGATCACCAAGGGCACCCTTCCCACATAAGTTTGGTTTAATGTGGCCTAAGTCGAAAGCACCTCATATTATCCAACTGGAGATATAAGAAAATTTCTTGAATTTGTTCAGACTGTGATAATGCCTCTGTGGTCTTATAACTTACAGAATTTCTTTTTCAACCAATATGTACAATGAAGTGACCTCCCCACTCCGTGGAGCTGGAGGATTTTGGAGTGATACACATTTATAGCTTAGCTCCATATACTATGCATTTTCTGAATTGTGTGACCCCCCAGAGATATTACCAAATCTAAGTTTCCTAAAGTGTGAGAGGCAGACAACACTGTCCACTCACAGAAATATGATAAAAAGATACGAAATAACTTGTGCATTAAAAACTAAAAACTTTTGGGGCTGGAAGGATGCATCAGCAGTTAAGAGTGAAAATGTTATACTAACACAGGACTCATGTCAGGAGGCTCAAACTCACTGAGAACTGCAGCTTCAGAGTATTAGATGCCTCCTTCTGGTGGCTTCAGGCAACCCCTCTCTCTTATACACACACACACACACACACACACACACACACACACACACACACACAGACAGAGAGAGAGAGAGAGAGAGAGAGAGAGAGAGAGACAAATCTTTTAAAGAAGCTTAGTGCATTCTTGACGACCTGTATTCCTCCCACCCCTCCATTCTCTTTAGTGAATTTGATGCTGCAAACGCCTACAGTCACCTTACTACTCAGAGAAGACTCTTGTTCTTCTGCTCCTGGGAGTAGAGTGGGATCATGGCCGAGGATGCTAGTCTTGATATCTTCTAAAAAGTGGTCAAGAATTAAGAGTCAAGGCTGATCCTCACTGATGTTGCATCTTTCCCTCAGATTTGGCAGCCAGGGACAGGGGCCTGAGCAGCAAGACTCTGTGCATGGAGAGTGAGCAGATCCTTCCAGACAGCTCCCGGGTGCGGCACTATGATGTGCACAACCTGTATGGGTGGTCCCAGACCAGACCCACCTACGAGTGAGTGACCCCTCCCTTCTCCTGTTGGTGGCACTCCTGTGATGGGTTTTGTAGCTTCTCTACTTTTGCATTCATTTTCCCATCCCCAGGGGTAAGTATAGTGTAATTGTAATAACCAAGTAACAATTGTTATTTGATAAGCAGTCTCTCCGTAATCAAGGTGTCAGCCCTGTGAGGAAGTCAGCAGTCTTCTTGAGCATACCCACAGGCACCCTACATGTCATTGTGCAGCGTAGTCAACCCTATGGCGTCATGGGTTCCAAGAGGACAGGGGTAACCGAGGGCTGGGCACCTCATTCCTTTGAGTTGAAAATGAGCCATCTCTTTAGGGGATTGTTTTTCTTTAGCTACTCATGTTGGGTAATCAGTTGGCATTTTGTTGAAGTAGGTATCATACTAACAATGTGAGCGAAAAGAAAAATAATACTCAAATTTAGAAAGTCAAGCATGGGTTAAGTAAATAAACAAAACAAAACAAAAACACAGCCAGATCATGTGACTACTTACTATTTGGGAACAGGTCAATGAATTGTCACATGTTGAGATACTTTGGAAAGAACTGTGTAAAGGCCTTGCTGCCATTTTTTCCCCATTAACCAACCAGACCTCCTCTAAAGGGTCATTTCTGTATTCCTTCTAGCAAGAAAGATTTTGTCACAATGTTCCAAGAGTATGGTCCTGGGAAGAAAACGCTATTGACTTCCTTCCACTGCTCTGCCTTTAACTTTTCTCCTTGTTTCCCCAACCAGAGCTGTTGAGGAGGTGACAGGAGAGAGAGGGATCATCATCACGCGCTCCACGTTCCCCTCTTCTGGACGCTGGGCAGGACACTGGCTGGGAGACAACACGGCTGCCTGGGACCAGCTGGGGAAATCCATCATTGGTGTGTGGTTGTGCCCAGGGGCCTCTGCTGGCTCTGGGTGGAGTAGGATCTTTTGTGAAGGGGGAGGAGGAGGAGGAGGAGGAAGAGAAGGAGGAGGAGCAGGAGGAGCAGGAGGAGGAGGAGGAAGAGGTAGAGGTAGAGGCAGAGAATGAGTGCCTGTCCTCACCCTGCTGCATCTCTCCTTGCAGGCATGATGGAGTTCAGTCTCTTTGGCATCTCCTATGTAAGTGCTCTTGCGTGGTCCTCCTCCCTAGGAAGGTGTCAGCATCTCTCAGAAAGCACCAAGAGCTCACTGGTTCCTTGTTGTTTCAGACCGGGTCAGACATCTGTGGGTTCTTTCAAGATGCTGAGTATGAGATGTGCCTTCGCTGGATGCAGCTGGGAGCCTTTTACCCCTTCTCCAGGAACCACAACACCATTGGGACCAGGGTAGGATCTCAGCTTCCTCATCTATATTATGTCACTGGAAATGCCACCTCAGTGTCTGAGGGCAATCCTGCTGCCTGTGTTCCCTGGGAGACATTAATCTTCATCGTATAAACTATAATCTTCTTTGTTATTTTGATGGCTATGCTTAGTGACCATTTTCCATTATATCTCATGAAGAATGCCTTGCAATTTTTTTCTGGTAGAAATTTGTTGATATTTACCATTCCATTAAGAATATTCTAGGAGTCCTATTCATCCTATTCATCATTTTCTAAAGTTTACGTTAGATGTGTGACATGCGGTTCAAATAGGCTTGTGATGACCTTCTCGAAGTCCTTAGTTGTCTCTGGTGGACTTTGAACACTTTTCTTCTGCTGCTTTAGAGACAAGACCCTGTGTCCTGGGATAAAGACTTTGAGGACATTTCCAGAAGTGTGCTAGAGACCAGATACACCCTGTTGCCGTATCTCTACACCTTGATGTACAAGGCCCACGTGGAGGGCAGCACAGTGGTGCGACCTCTCCTCCACGAGTGAGTGTCCAGCTGGATTTGTGTTGAGCAATGGGCAATGAATTTAACCTGTGAGGTGGGGTTGATGGAACATTTCTTCTACTCTGAGAGTGTGACTCTCTTTCGCCAATATTGTCCCTGTCTGACCCATACCTCATCAATCTTTCTGTGCTCTGCTTGCCACAAGTCTTGAATGAAAGTCCACCTACTGAATATGAAAAAAAAATAATCAGAAAAGATCCAACATTCCATAGCGTTATTTTTCTTCATGTGGCCTCTCCTCTTTTTTCAAATTTTATTTCTATAATTCTAGGCCATCATTTGTTTCAGGTCACCTCCATGAGCATTCCATTAAATTTAAGAACAAAAAGCATGTTTGCGTTTAGATGTGCAATGATAAAGATTGTCCGCATTCACATTTCCGGACAGTCCTGAAGGTTTGAAAGCATGACACATAAGCTGATGTGGGGAGTTGAATCTCCTCTAGCCTGTGCAGAGAGTACAGGAGGCAGGGGACAATAGGATCTCTAATATGTGTCTTAGCTCAAGCATTTCTTCAGGGCATTAAACCAAAATCTTCTAAGGGTCTGATGGTGACAGCTTCAATTCCCTTTTCAGATTTGTGTCTGACAATGTGACCTGGAGTATAGACAAACAGTTCCTGCTGGGTCCAGCCTTCCTGATCAGCCCTGTGCTGGAGCCTGTGAGTATGGAGACCTCGGAGAATTGGAGGACCCCAAATGCTAGGCTGAGGGAATATGGAGAAGGAAGTCTGGTGCGAGCTAGATCTGGAGACCAAGTGTTTTCTTCTGCGTTTTGTCTCGTGTGATTCCTCAGCACAGGATCCTGTGTCTTGGATTTTGCTCAGTAATTCCAGTTCACAGAACAGTCAAGGCGAACATAGTTTCCTGGTTTATTAAGATGAAATGTGTAGGATCAGGCGTGGGAAGTAGTGTAAAGATTCCAGTTCACAGAACAGTCAAGGCGAACATAATTTCCTGGTTTATTAAGATGAAATGTGTAGGATCAGGCGTGGGAAGTAGTGTAAAGATTCCAGTTCACAGAATAGTCAAGGCGAACATAGTTTCCTGGTTTATTAAGATGAAATGTGTAGGATCAGGCGTGGGAAGTAGTGTAAAGATTCTTTATGGCCTCTGTCACTTTCAACTGAAATGTTCAGAACTGCTTTCAGCAATGTGTCACCTTCTGGCTGGTGGCTGGCCCTTTGCTTCCTTCTATATGTGGTTACCCATGCAGCAAGAGACATTTTGGTACTTCTGCGCCCAGATGAGCATTTAACTAAACAGAGAAGCTAATTAAATACTTTTGAATACTTCAAATACTTTTTAATCTGGGGACATTTTTTCATGCTCAATGCCTAACCTTGGGTATGTGTCTTTAGAGAAAGGATGGGTAAGGCTTGAAACAGGAGATTGTCATTTCTTTGATGTCTTGTTCTCCAAACGGCCTTAATGAAGGTACTTGTTTTTGTTAGGCAGCTTCCACTCTTGGAAACCTGGGAAGAAAACAGGGTTTCTCAGTATTGGTGATCTTTGGGAAGTTGAGGCACATGTATCCAAATCCAGCTCTATTCTTTTATCAAAGGGTTCATTGCAGGTTGCTTACTCTGCCTCTGAATGCAGTACCCACACCGAGTCTCTGTTTAATTCCAGAATGCTCGAAATGTCAGTGCATATTTTCCCGCAGCTCTCTGGTATGACTACTACACGGTAAGTTTGCTAAATGTTCATACAAGCTGGCAGTGTTAGAGTTCAACATCTCTGAGTGTGGCAGACTCAGCAGAAAGCAGACCAAAGGCTGATGCTGGAAATCACCTGCTGTGGTCTAGCATGAGTCACTCAATCCTTGTAAGCCGTCTCCTCACTTCCTGTTTGGATCAGACAAGTGCCGTCACCCTTTTAGAGAAGTGCTGTGAAGCAACATGCAATCCCGCAGTCTGGTGCCTGGTGTGTGTGAGCATGTCTATCTTCATGTCAGCGTCAGCCTTATGGTGAAGACACTAACACGCTCTCTTTCTGATATCAGAAAGCACTTACGAGAGTTATGTTAGATCTCATTTCTGACTATGTGAGTGTGCCCTCACGGAGACCCTTTCCCCTCTGTATTTAAGTGTCTGCTGTCTCTGCATGAATGCTAAAGAATTGTTCCATGTGATCAGCTAAGATACATGAGACAGTGTTGTTGATGAAAAGCAAAGATTTTACTCCAAAAAGAATGTGAAGTCATTTATTCAGGGCTGAGTATGAGTGACTATGGCCTGGGATCAGGGACTCGAGTTGCCCCAAATGACGTGCTGCACTGTGGAAGCAGATACATGAACATTTTGTAGTCACATAGCAACAGAAAGTCATAAGTTAATAGAGCTAGAAATTGTGATTCTAGTGCTGGAGAGGCAGAGAAAGAGGATCCAGCCAGTGTAGCAAATCAGCAGCTCCAGGTTTAGTAAGAGACCTTGTCTCAAAAACCAACCAACAAATAAATAATGTGGAGAGAATGATGATAAGAGCCAGCTGGCCTATGCATGTTTGAGATTGAGGGCACGCACGCATGTGCGTGCACACGCACACACACTCACACACACACACACACACTAATGCACATGTCCACACTTCATATATAGCAATGTTTCTCAACCTGTGAATTGTGATCCCTTTGGGGCCAGATGACCCTATTCACAGGGGTCTCATATCAGATATCCTGCCTATCAGATAATTACACTGTGACTCACAACAGTAGCAAAATCACAGTTACGAAGTAGCAACGAAAATAATTTTATATTTTGGGGGTCACCACAACATGAGGAACTGTGTTAAAAGGTTGCAGCGTTCGGAATGTTGAGAACTGCTGACATACAGCCATGTACACATGTACACACCTATGAACACATACATATAATACAGACAAACAGACACACACACACACTAATGCACATGTCCACATTCATATACACACTCACTATAGGATAATGTCACAGAAAAGAACTTTTTAACCTCATTGTTAATAGTGCCCGCATTGACTGACATACGTTAGAGCTGAAAGGAGGAGTGGGCACAGGCACCCGTTCATAACTCAGAAATTATCTTCAATTGACAACTGTTTTCAAATGGAAAGGAAAACAAATTACTCTCAAGAGTAGGTTGCATGCCCTGCAATAGATGGCCAACAGAAATCAAACTCAACAGCATCTCATAATGTATCAGTTTTTTTTTAATTTTCAAATTTAATTGTGTGTTTGTTTGTGTGTGTGTGCATTATATATATATATATATATATATATATATATATAATCTCTATATATGTTTTACCATACAGATTTAGGGTATATATTATGACTTCTGGTTTTTGTGCTTTTATGGGATTCCTGGTTGTTTGAACAAGTGTGACTCTTCATCTACAGCTGTTTCTTGTGCCTTTTCTTGGGTTCTTCCTTCTGTGTGTTTTGTCTTATTCCAGTTTTTTTTGCTTTATCTTATTATATTATATTATTATCTTTTATATGATTGTTTTTCTAATGATGGACATAAAGGTAGTAGATATGGATAGGAGGGGAGGTAGGGAGGAACTGGGAGGCATAGAGAGAGGAGAAACCATAATCAGAATATATTGTGTGGAAATAAATCTATTTTCAATAAAAGAAAAAACGCAAAGAGGTTTCTGCATTATGAAGCCCTGCCGTGACTGAGAAAATGTGAATGGATTTTAGGTTATGACTCCGATGAGTGAGCATCTTTCACACGATGCCCCGCAAAGGTGTTAAATGTAAGACAGGAAAATCAGTTCAAGACAATGATATGTAAATAAGTCTGCTCATACCAATCTTTTAGATATCAAAGGAGTCAGGAACTTGGCGGGGTGGGAGTAAGGACAGCACATCCACAGTCAACAAGAAATAAACGCAGATATTGCCCAGTGTCGTCTCGAAGTACTCTGTACCTTAGCAGTAGGTTGTAGGGCGAGGGTGTTTGGGGTTTATAACGAGATCCTACCAAGGGCGGGGACTCTCATGGAGACTCAGAGAAGCACAACCAGGCTGATGTAGTAGCAGGTGAGTGAACGGGTGTGAAAGCAGGTGTGTGACACATGGTGATGACGTAGCAGCGGGCTTAGGGAGGCGGGTGGGATGTGCTGCTCAGGGACGGGTGTGTGCATTTCCTCATCATTTCCCTTCCTTTTGACGCCAGGGTGCAGCTCTCAATTCAACAGGAGAATGGACGACCTTAGAGGCCCCTCTTGAGCACATCAATCTTCATGTCCGCGGGGGCTACATCCTGCCCTGGCAACGTCCTGCCCTCAACACTCACTTAAGGTGAGCAAGGAGCACACACTTCTGCTTCAATTATCAATAATTGAGCAGGTTCTTTTCTTTTTAATTCATAATTAGATTTTAGCAACACAAACTCAAGTCTCACCCACTGTTCCCAAGCCACTGACTTTTTCTCATCTTTCTTTGCACAATTATAATTCTGTCTCTACAGAAGAGGTACTTGTTGGCATCCTTAGATGCTTCAAAGTTTAGCGCTAGTAGGTTTCAATAGACAGGAACTCCTTAGGAGTCTCGAAACTTGCCCCCCCCCCATTTTTGAGCCTCCCTAATTTTCTTATTTTTTCAACTTACAAACTTTTATGAAAACATGACTAAATCTAATCACTGCTTTCCCTCCTGTCCCCCCTCTCCATGTCAAATAATTCCAATTTCAGGTCACTTTGTATACTGATACCAAATTTCTTCTTCAAAAACTAAAATCTTGTTGCTCCCTAGGTTGACGTCTGAACCCCTTCAAGAATAGGATGTTCATAGTCTATCAAAACGAGATTCCAAGTTGACTATGGCGCCTCTATCTTTTTTAGTGTGTTAATAGTAGAGCTGGCTTTCAATGCCCCAAAGATGCGATTCCTCCAATATAGTCAATTGCTTTGCTGCACTCGAGCTTGTGCTTCTATTACACGTGGCCTAACAACCAGGGTGTGGAACGTGCTAGCTAGGCAAGTGCTTTGCCACTGTGTGATCTCAGCATGTCCCCAGTCCATTCGCCTCCATTTGTCTAATTACACATTCTTTATCATTGACACATACAGATTGTAACTTAATTCAAATCACTGCGATTCTTTCCCCAGAGTAGCACATCTAAAATGTCCTGAATCATAGCACCGTTGTCTAGGATTTCTTCCTCTCTAATAACCTATATAGAGACTAGAGTGATAATTTTAACTATGGCAGCAATTTAGAAGTTCTAAGACGTACATGCTTGCACCCTTCATAGATGTTTATAATACTTTATCTTGTAAAATTATTATTTGGAGGAAGGCACTTATGATATTCTTCCTCTGTTCCTAAAGCAAAAGAGTCATGTGTGACTGACTAGTATCTTTCTCAGTAGAAATTAGTTGCAAATGTTTGGCAAAATTCTTTGAGCCCTAAGGATTTGTGCCTTGTGTAACTCTTGTTCCCCACAGCCGGAAGAACCCTCTTGGTCTTCTCATTGCCCTGGATGGGAACAAAGAAGCCAGAGGAGAGCTGTTCTGGGATGATGGGAAGTCAAAGGGTGAGTGTGCTAGGAGGGGGTGTGGCCACCGTAGACCTGCGTGTCTCTGTCCCTTCACCCCTGCTGCCCGCTCTGCTGTGAGCGAAATATCACCAAGCATCCTAGAGCATCCTCCCAGGGAAACCATATGCTTCTGGATGGACTGGTCAGAGGCCATGATAGATGAAGGGGCAACACTTTTTCCCCAACACCCTCTCAATTCTCCTGTTGGCTAGAGTCTCATTTTTATTAACAGACACTCAAGGGACACAATTTTATGACTGGTGCTTTAATTTGTCTGCTCTGAAATATGTATCACCCCCCAAACCCAAATGTTGGTGATATGGAAACCATACTCATGCCAGTATGAGGCATTGAACACACATACTCCTAGTGTCTATACATCAAGCTGTGCTTTAGGACACACCAGTTACTGTGAAGTAGTCTTGTGGCCCTAGCTTAGGAAATAGATTCCTATGGAACCCCTGCCTTGAAAAGATTTGGGGAGATTTTTGCAGGGTTATGGTCATGAGGAGAAAACGAAGCAATGGCTTGGACTTGCGTACATAGTTCATTCATAATTTTGTCATTCTCAAGATACAGTTTTAGGCATCTTAGCTTTCTGTAAAAATAATAAATTGATCAAGTTTGACCATATCCAAGGTCTTCAACGTATCATTTCCTGATTACCACCAATATGATCAACAATGAAGACATCCATTCTCAGCCGTACTATACATTATGCTGTTACAACTCAACGTCTCTGACCATTAAGCAACTTCCCTACTCCTCTGCCCCTAGGCAACTGCGTTCCACGCACTGCTTTTTAAAAATGTGGTGGATAATTACTTCTCTTAGTGTCCTCCATGTTCATTGTGGCATTATTGCCACCAGAGAAGATATACAAGCAGCCCGTGTGCACTGACGGATAAATGAAGAGGTGGTGTTACTAGATTTAGTGGAATGTTAATCTGTCATAAAAGACTTATGCCTTTGATTTTCAAAATGAACTGTCAGCTTTAAGGAGAGGAGATAAATGTGGCCCTCTGCAGTGACCAGGCCAATCTGACTCATCTCTCTTTTGTTTTCAGATCTCACAACCAATAATGTTCTGTGTAAATTTTCAGTCACTCAAGTAAGTAGAATATTTTTAGGCATCTGAAGGGTGGACTTTGTCTGACCCTTAGCACCTATTGGCATGTGTTTGTGTGCAACTACATCTTCAGGAATGACTATGGATGAGCACATCCCCATTTATGACTTAATTCCCAGTAATGTCATCATTTGTGCCATCAAAAGGAAGCAATAATATTCATAAATCAAAGCAAGTCATATTTTTCAATACTTGTTTTATAAAGCTGGTGTCTTCATATAGTTATACAAAATGTCTGTCTGCATGTTCTCATTGTTTTTAACCTAAACATGCATTAGAAGAGAAAGCTCAAAGGCTTTAACAGCAGCTGAACATCTGATCATAGATAGGGCATCTGGTCTGTGATGGGGCATCTGGTCTAGGATGGGTCATCTGGTCTGTGATAGGGCATCTGGTCTAGGATGGGGCATCTGGTCTAGGATGGGGCATCTGATCTAGGATGGGGCATCTGGTCTAGGATGGGACACTTGAGGACCTACAGAACCTCAGCCCACTAATTTGTGCATAATTATGCTTGATGTATTTCAGAACCTCTTGAACGTGAGTGCTGTAGGATCAACCTACACGAACCCTGATAACTTAGCATTTCAGGAGATTAAAATTTTTGGAACACAGGTGATTCACAATGTTACTGTGAAACACAATGGTGTCATAAGTCAGATGTCTCCTCAAGCCACCTATGATCCTAACACGAAGGTAAGTCTCTACTTTGTTGAGACTTTTCAAATTGGCATGATGGTGATTCATCTTGCTAAAGTCACTGGGGTTCTAAAAGGCTGATAGTGCCTCTGAGGCCTGATGGAAAAGTCAGACTATGGGGAAATATAATGACATTTGGGAGATAGTCTGAGCTGAAATGAGTCAGGGAGCTTGAGGGCCAAGAATGGTAAAGGCAAACGTTTTTGTGTGTGTGTGTGTGTGTTTTGCTTTTTGTCTCTTAAGAGTCCTGCTTTATTACTAACTTTATTATCATATATAGACAAATATATACATATGTAATACACACTAACAAACATATATGTATATATACATATATGTACACACACACACACGACACATACATATGAGTAGTGCAGAAAAGGAAGTGGGGCCCAGGTCAGACGAATGGGGATCTCAGAGCTAATGGCCAGTGCTGAGGACTAATGAGCTAAATTTTTGAAATATTTTATTAAGCTTTAACTTTGTCAAGATTTTTCCTTCCCCTGCTCTCTTCATTATTGAAATTCTCACTGCAACATACACATATATTCTTGTGGCATATTTAAGACAAAGTATTTGAAGACCTTACTCAAATGATTATGTATTGGGTTAGGTGATAACAAATAATTCTTCACTGGAAAGTAATACAACCCTATACACAAGACAGAATTATGTTATATTCCTCCATGCCTTAGTACAAGGAGAAATCCTCCCCCAGTAATCTCGAGCACATGTCATGGAACTGCTGGATTGTCATGTATGAAGGAGCAATCAAATTCTGGGAAAATAAGTCGGTTTGTAAGTCTAGTGTAACGACATATTATCATCTGTGAAGTTTTGTCTTGATAACACATATTCAGGATGCAGACACTGTGAAATATAGTGGTGTGTGGTTGGTTTTATATTTGTTGGTGTCCAGAGCTTGCTGGTCAGGGTGGGAGATGGACCTATAAAGATGATGTGTCAGGTGAGATTCATTAGTTGCATATGACAAGACGTCCTTCAAAAGGTGAAAAACTTGAGCATCTTGTCCTTCTGTTGAAATTAAAAGATGGAGAGCTGCTGTCCTGCACTTAACAGCTGAGGGGCGTATGGACTGAGGTCCTTTCTTCTCTCATGATGGCAAGCGGTAAAGCTGAGGGAGGAAATCCTCAAATGGAGAAAGAAAACACTTGCCCAGATGTTGTCGGTGAACTTGATGCTAACTTTTCAAAGCCAGAGCTATAATTCACGGGCTGTAATGTAGCCCATCTCCTGAGAGCTTCTCTCTTCTAAAATGAGCTGCTACAGAAGGACACATGGTTTATGAAAAAGAAAACAGAAGTGTGTTCTGAAATGGGACCCACTTAGCCATAAAAGGAAAGTAAAGCCATTCAAGTCGACATATCAAAATCAGCCAATCCAAGAACTATGAATAGCTTCACACTATCACTCTGACAATGCTGTGTGTGCAGAATCAGGGATATTTAGTTCTAAGTGCAGATCAGTTTATTCTGGAGGAACTATGTGGTCAGATTTTGGAGGGTCTTTGGTGCTGAACTGCAAAGGCCATACTTGATTTACTTGTCAAAGAGTCCTGCAGTGGTCCTTGAACCAAGGCCTTGGTAGGGATGGTGGTGGACGGTTGGAATTGGTAAGATGGGAACATGTCAGATAGGGAGGAGCCTGAGAGAAGCATGATGGTTCTTAAAATGTCACCTAAAAAGTGGGAGGGTTAAACAAAAGCCAAGTATTAAAAAATAGAGACATGTTGAATATTGATGAGTACAGTATCAGAATGTGTCAAGATTTAAGCAGATTGGTTTGGATATGTGTTAGCTATGGAAGGAAATATGATTTTTTTACAACCCACCAGTTTTATAATTGATTAAACTGAGATTCAACAAAGTCATTTAGTTTGCCTAAGATCTCATAGAGATGTGGGGGATGGGCACTGCCTCAGTTTCTTTCCATTTTGCTTTGATAAAATGCACTGACCAGAGAAACTCATGGGGGAAACACTTATTCTGGCTCATGACTTAAAGGTATGGTCCATCGTGGTGGGAAAGTCAAGGTATCAAGAGCTAAGCTTATGGTTACATCACATCCGCAAACAGGAAGCAGAGAGCCACAAATGAATACTGCAACTCAGCCCAGGATGTCAGCCAGGAAATAATAACCCCACTCAGCAGGCAGATATTCCCTCATCAACCAAAGCAACAGAGATACCCTCACACGCCTGCCCAGAGACCCATGCTCCAGGTCCTGCCCATGTAGGGGACGTTGGCAACACTAAGCCATTACAGGAACCTGGGCCTGTGATTGACATCACATATTCTCTATGTGTCCCTCACTGGCAGTGAAGTTAAGTTCTAGAAGAGCAGGAAAAGAGATTTTTTTGTGACAAAAGGGACAGATAGGTCAGGGGAGGAAAGAAAAGGAATGGTGACAGCAACTGTTATTTGTCCCAGTTCTTACACAGTATGATGAGGAAGATCCTAATGGAGTGAGGGGACTGAATTTCACTGTCTCTGTTGACAATCCCAGCATCTAACACACAGGTCTTCCTGTAAGCCAGCCATACGCCTTGTGTTGCTGAGACTCTGTTCTCCTTCCTGCTTAATTATCTAAAGGTGTTTTCAGATTATGTAAGGATTTTGTTCCTGATGATGAATCTCTTGTGCCTTGTCCATTCCTACAGGTTGCAGTTATTACGGGTATCCAACTTCTCCTGAATGGATCATATACAGTGGAGTGGGAAAACAGCATAAGGGATGAAGAAAAAATTGACTGTTATCCAGATCAGCATGGGGCTTCTGAAGCAAACTGCACTGCCCGAGGCTGCATGTGGAAGGTAATCTAACTGAAGATGTTCGTGTGCACTGATATTTTATCAATGTTTCATTAGCACAACATGTCGGTACACTTTTGCATACACTGAAATCCATGGGGAGAGAGGACCTCTTCAGGAATCTGGGGAAGGCTGGAACATAACTGGGAATAGGACTGGGATATTTTCAATAAGTACATTTCTTGAAGACCAACTACTAAAATATATTTAAAAATCACACACGCATGCACTTACACACACACACACACACACACACTTTATTCATAGGAATAGGCTCTCCTAATTCTTTCTATTTGGTAACTCCAGATCCACGCTGATCTAGGATATTGACTTTCTTTTCAGGAATCTGACACTCCTGGGGTCCCTAACTGCTACTTTGTCAATGACCTGTACTCAGTCAGCGATGTTCAGTATCATGATAGCGGGGTCACAGCCAACGTCACCTTGAAGGATTCTCCGTATAGCAGCGCCTTCCCCTCTACGCCCGTGAGTCAGCTGCAAGTTAGAGTGATCTACCACAAGAATGAGACGCTGCAGTTTAAGGTAAACGTGGTGTGTGCAATCAGACGTGCACAGGGCCTTTCCAATCCTGCTGCTCTTTGCTAGTCAAGGCTGCAGAACTCTAAATGAAGTTCTGTTTACATTTCCACAGTGAAATACACTGTATCTTAGCCAAATCCAGAGAGAACCAAATCCAGAGAGAAAAAAGACCCTTGTAGAGCAGTATTACAGAACATCAGAAGTTATTCTCTCAGCTGTATCTTCAAATCCATTTCCTCTGGCCTAGATCTATGATCCCAACCACAGTCGGTATGAAGTCCCAGTGCCTCTGGACATCCCCAGTTCTCCATCCAGCACCCCTGATGGCCGTCTCTATGAGGTCCTCATCAAGGAGAATCCATTTGGGATTGAAATTCGCAGGAAGAGTACAGGCACTGTGATGTAAGTAGGTCCTGGTCTGACTCAGGGCTCCTGCTTTCCTAAACATTCCTCATGAGCTCGTTGTCATTGCAGACACCTGGCTTAAAGTGTCACAGTGCACATGACCAAAACCATGGGGTGCCCTGGCCCAGGGGTCAGTCAACGGGGACCCTAAGGGAGGGAGGGAGAATGGGGGAGCGGGACAGGAGACAGAGACAAGACAGGATTCTGATCAAGTCTCTTTTATTAAAAGTATCAACAGGACTTAAATATTACAGGACTTCCTTCTGGTTCTTAGGTGTTATTGTACAGACAATATGAACAGGAAGCTAATATGGCTGCTTATCATGTTGCATAGGCAAACGGGGTTGGCCAAGTTGTAGCGAGGTCACTGCTTCTGACACTGTGGTCTGAATTAGTCTATCTGGGAAGAAGTGTCATTTGAAATAGAACCTGGATGAGGAAGTGCCTTATACAGGGTCCCAGGCCAAGGGAGGTACATTTTGGAGACACAGAGCACAAAGCACGGCCAAGAGAGTTGGCACGTCAACAAGTAGCATTTGGCGAAACCACTGTAGGGTGATGGCAGGCAGAGGGGCAAGGCAGCGAGGTGGGTTTTGGAAGAGGAGCAGCACCGAAGGTTTGGTGAGAAGTCTCCGAGGAATATGAGCAGAGCTGTGACATGATGTGGGGTCTCCTCAGTCTCAGTCCAGGATGCCTGCAGGATGAGGGCCCTCATTGAACAGAAATGACAGGGCAGGTTTGATAGCAGTTGAGGGGGGAAGAATGGCTTGCATTTTCCCTTATGGAGAAGGCGCCAGTGAAGGCAGAGATGGGAGGAAGGCAGGCGAAGGGTGACTGTTGGACCACTGATGGGAGTGTCTGTGATTGCTTTATGCAGATCAATTTGTGTTTTGTTGGGAGGATGGTCTAGCTCTGGTGGTGTGAGGAGAATCCAGAGCTCCGCTGTCCTCATGAGGCAGCTGCTGTAAATTACTAGGACGCTGATTTTCTGTTGTGAATGTCCCTCCTCCACCTGCAGCTGGGACTCTCAGCTCCTTGGCTTCACCTTCAATGACATGTTCATCCGCATCTCCACCCGCCTGCCCTCCTCATACATCTACGGCTTCGGGGAAACTGAGCACACGAGCTACAGAAGAGACTTGAACTGGCACACGTGGGGCATGTTCTCCAGGGACGAGCCCCCGGGGGTAAGGACAGGGTGTGTGGTCTGTGTTCTGTCCCCTCCGTCCACACATGTGTCTTCTGCTTCTTCTTGGCAGACTCCGTGTGATTGTTGACTTCTACTGCTAGGCAGATGGACATGTTTTCAATCTCCCTTTCCTCTCCTCTGTTCCCAGGAGAATCTTGACTCAGTGTAGCCATCAAGTTCCTGTTGAGCTTCTTCCCATGCACACAGTCTCCTAACCTCTCTTCCCTCTTCCCCTCAGTACAAGAAGAATTCCTACGGTGTCCACCCTTACTACATGGGGCTAGAGGAGGATGGCAGTGCCCATGGAGTCCTCCTGCTGAACAGCAACGCCATGGGTAGGATGAACCTGTGCCCCTTGTTATATGCCAATAATTCTTATTTCACTTTAGAAAGTATTTTACTTGGCTAGATCCTAAGCCCAAACTAGCTTCTGTGGGTAATAGGTTTTTTCTTTTCCCTGCTTAGCATTCATTTTATCCTAGAGATTTATTATCGCTATGTTTACTAAACTTTCATTTGGCAACAATTACATAAGAAGGCATAGCAAAACCAAGTGTCCCTAATTCCTGGGGGTCTGATAGAGAGGTAAGTGGCTATATAACTTGAATTACTATCAAGCTATTGGGTTACAATACTGCCTCTGGCTGAATGAGGGTGAGACTATTTTTTATGGTAAATAAGAAAGGGTATAAAATCAAGTTCAGGAAATACATACTGTGACTGGTAGTGAAAGGAATGTGAATTATAATGGAATTAGTGGTTTCACATAAATGGAGTTTTGCTAGTTTGGCAATAATGTTTCATTGTCGAAGCCATTGGAGGTGGACACTGAGATTCTCAGTGCTACTTTGATATTCCTTAAGAGTTTTATACTGCTATGAAATAGAAGTTATGATAATTAAAAATTTCAGATTCTTAATGAGTCTAATAAGGTCCATTAAAAGAACAGAATCCTGTAAGCTTTCTGTTCTTTTGTCCTGTTGATTTAGTATCAAATGTCTGCCATCAGTGTTCTAAAATGGAAGCAAGAGAAATAAAACTTTCAAATCTAATTGGTTAACCTGAAGGCTTTCATCTTTGTTGACATTTTCCCGTATTTTCAGACGTGACGTTCCAGCCCATGCCTGCTCTCACATACCGCACCACAGGGGGAGTTTTGGATTTTTATGTATTTTTGGGACCAACTCCTGAACTTGTCACTCAGCAGTACACAGAGGTAGGACGTTCATTTGATTGACACGTGTCAATGTCAGCACACCCTCTGCTTCCAGTTATGTGTTCATTAGCGGGATTCTCACACGCTAATTGCAATTGCTGGTTTTATTGAGAATGTGTATACCACAGAAAAGGGAACGGTGCATACGTTCCAACACCGTGACAATACAGCTTCTCTGACTGTTATGGCAGTGCAGGGATATTTGTAGTCGTGGTGGGGGTGGTGAGTTTAGTGGTGGCGGGGGTATATGGTAATAATGATAGGAATAAGTGCGTTGGCCGCAGAGTTAGCGGTGTTGGTGGAAATCTTCTTCTCATTGGTAATTGTGTTGGGGTGATGGTTTTATTGATGGTTGTGGCAGTGGTGGTGATGTGGCTGATGACAGAGAAGGGAGTAGTGTCATTAGTGCTGGTAATGGTGATACTGGTTAGGGTCCTGAGGGAGCAATGATGACTACATTTGTGATAGTGAAAGCATTGGGGGTGGAAATGGAAATGTTCATGAACGGCACTGTTGACTCCCACGTGTCAGATCACTTCACAAGCATCAACATACTCAATCCTCTTTTAAAAATGTGAGATGGAAATGGCTTTTATCCATATAAGAGGAACAGCGTTACTTAACTCTCCCTGTGGTCACACAACTGCTAGGAAGGGAAACTGCTTCGCTAACTTAGGGCTTTTACCTAAGGTGTTTGTGCTCATAACCACTGCTGTAGACTTCACTTAAAAGTTAAGAGTGTGACAAGATTTTTCAGAAGTCCTCGAAAGTAAACTCTAGAATGCCAGAAGGGATTTCTCAAGGTGTCATTAGGGCAGAAAGGTCTTTATCCCCCTAATTTCTTTCTTAGAGTTCATTGTGTTGTCTAACTTGGGGTAGTCAAATATTCTCCTTCTTTAAGTACAATCCGGGTTCTCCTTAAAAATACTAACACTTTCTGTTTGTTTTCTAGTTGATTGGTCGGCCAGTGATGGTACCTTACTGGTCCCTGGGATTCCAGCTGTGTCGCTATGGATACGAGAACGATACTGAAATCGCCAACTTGTTTCAAGACATGACGGCTAAGCAGATCCCCTATGTATGTACATCAGTGGAGGATTTGTTTGTCAGATTTAAGTGTGGTTTTTAAACGATACACTGTGCTTTCTCATTTCATGTCACACTGAGCCTAGACCATCCATAGTGATTCGGGGGAGACCATCACCCCTCATGATAATGGTGTCTTAGACTACAAAGAGGAGCTAAGCCTGGTTCCCGGGTACTAGTACAGCTTCTTATCAGACTTTCCTCTGCTGCTTGAATGACTTTACCATATTTATCTATACTGTCCTTACTGACATGTTAATAAAATACCATTCCATATTAGTTTTGCTTAGCTAAGCTAACTTTACCCAAACTCAACCAACAAATTCCCTATGAGAACTGCTTTCTTGGTCCTGGCGTAGCACAACGCTTCCTGAACCTCTCACTGGTTCCATGTTGGAATCCTGTATTGCGTTTATAGTGGAATCACATACACAAACAGCCACAGCCACATTCACTCAAAACCAGAGGTCCAACAATGAGAAATCATGTTCTGACCGTTTGTGTTTGTCTTGTATGTATTGTCCTGTGTTCCATTAGTGCAAAGCACTTCCTATTGGTTCTCAGTTTGTGGGTTAGACATCTTTGGGGATAGTCAAACAGCCCATTCACAGGGGTCACTAAGATCATTGGAAAACACAGGTGTTTATATTATTATCCATTACAGTAGGAAAACACAGTTATGAAGTATCAAGGGAAACAGTCTTGGTTGGGGGTCACCACATCATGAGAACTGTGTTAAGGGTCCCAGCATTAGCAAGGATGAGGACCACTGTTGAAACAGAGCATCTCACTGGGAGTGCTGCATTTGGCCATCTCCCACACTGGTCCTCTACAGGGAGGACTGTTTTGATTTTCATCTTTTATAGGTGACCTACGATCTGTAACATATTAGGACAGAATATTTGACATTATTTTCCATAAATACACATCACTGAGTTCAGGACACACTCATGGAGAAAGTCAAAGCATTTTTCCTACACTGTTTTTATTTTTTACAACAGTCTTAAAGATGCCCACCCATCTTAAACTTCTTGTTGATGTTAAAATAGTTTTTTTCCTGTTTCTGAGTGAAATTTTTAACAATCAGCCCAAGATCCATGGCTACAATGTGTCATAAGCAGCGGTTTAAATGCTGCGTACAGGTGTGGTAACTGCTGGAGTCTGAGCTTCCACCCAGCAGCCACACTTTCCTGTGTCCTCCCAGGACGTGCAGTACTCAGACATCGACTACATGGAGAGGCAGCTGGACTTCACCCTCAGCCCCAAGTTCTCTGGGCTTCCAAAACTGATCGATCGCATGAAGAACGACGGGATGCGAGTCATCCTCATCCTGGTTAGTCCTTGTGTGAATGTGTAGGCTGCACTTGGGACAGTAGGTGGGCTTGTGTGGGGATTGCCCTAGAATATCTGCCCTTTCCAGTTCCTAGAGGGAAAGAAAAATGTAATTAATATAAGTGTATTTCTTGGGAATCACGGACTCTCTATAATGCAAATTGCATTTGGGGACTTCATTTTTTGTACCCTACCTTCTTTGTCATCCTCTATCTTAATTTTACACCTCTTTGTGCTCTGATTTCAGGACCCAGCTATTTCTGGCAATGAGACAGAGCCATATCCTGCCTTTGACCTGGGTCTGAAGGAAAATGTTTTCATCACATATCCCAATAGTAGTGACATTGTCTGGGGAAAGGTATGAGCTGGTGTTGATCCAGGAATCCTCACCCTGGGTTAGAGCCACAGTTAGTGCTCTTCAAGATTGTAGATTTTGTGCCTGTTATGTTTGATTTCTAATATTGTAGTTTTCTTTTAATTTTTTTCAGCAAATATCTGCTGAAATGCTTATGAGCTTTCTGGAATCCATTCTCTTTAAGTCAGTCCTACCTGGCAACTATTAGTCCCAGAACCTTTGCTTTTAGTTTCCTAAGAAATTATTTGTGGGAAAGCTTGTTCAGGGCATTGCTGTTAAACCTTTTCTCTTCACAGGTCTGGCCTGATTACCCTGGTATTGACGTGAACAGCTCTCTAGACTGGGACAGTCAAGTGAAGGTAAAAGGACCTTTGTGGATGTTGGGTGTTTGCCAGGAGGAGACAGTCATGTCTAGGGAATTATATGTGTCTACTCTTATGACAGACACATGTCAGAATCACTTAGGAGCAATGTTTCTCCTGTCATTCTGAGACTCATTTTATGTGTAGCAATGTTTTCCTTCAAGGTGTGATGTTAGCATAATTGGCCATGGGCTTAATACTCAGTGTGCTCAAGTGTCTTGTGATAGTTTTCCATGTCACAAAGGCAATTTCAATTCCAAGGCTGTCAGTTCTTAAGGGCTGTGAACTCAATTGGATGCTGGCTCTAAGAATGCTGTCATTTCTTCCTGTAAAACAGTTTCCAGTCTTTGTCCTGATTTGTAGCATCTTTTTTCTCTGTGTATATTTATGTTCATACACAGGCTGTTCCATATCCACACATTATTTTGGCACCACCCTTCTGTCATTCATTGGGCCTCTAGAGTTTGCTTTTATTTTTATCTGTAGTCACATGTAGTTAATTTTTTTCTTCTCTGAACAGGCTTTTGCATTTAATGGAACCAAGTAATCTAGATTCCAGTGCTAAGTTTTTTCTCATCCCATTTGTATCTGTTGCTTGGATGAATAAATTCGTTGTCACAACTGTCAAGAGAAGCATCAGGCCCTCCTCTTGCTGAGATGATTATCTGAAGCACTGAGGCAGCCTGTTCATTTTTCAATGAGTTTTTCTGGTATACCTTTGAGCAGTGTTCACATGGTTGGGAGGCTGCCTTCCTTGAACTTCAATATTTGCTGGACCTTTAATTCTTCCTTTACATAATGATCATAGTTGAGGGACTGGAATTGCATCAGTATCAGAATGTGAGGTTGGGAAGTGTAAGATAGTCCTAGTGTACCAGACACGTGCGATGGTTGACCTGATGGTGAAGCTGTCCTATTCACGGTCACACAGTACAGCTGAGATCTAGAAAGCCTGTCAGATTTAAGCATTAATCAGGCAAGTCAATATTCTGTCATAGAAGTTTTAAATTTAGGTCTTAACAACACAAAGCCCAGGATCACTCCATTCCATACAATGTAATGGTTTCCAAGTGCTGGGAATGTGTATTATTTGTTCTCTTTATTCTTTGCTCTAAATATTTTTCTATTCAGTCAAGAAAGCTCTATTCAGACTATCACTTTGCACAACTGTGGAGGTAGAATTAAGTAAGTGCTTAGTAAATGCCTGCTTCCTGTATAATATATTCATTCAGTCACGATAAATGGATTTTATTTGACAGGAATACCGAGCTTATGTGGCCTTCCCAGACTTTTTCCGGGATTCAACTGTTGCGTGGTGGAAGAAGGAGATTCAAGAACTCCACACAAACACACGGGATACAACAAAGAGCTTGAAGTTTGATGGCCTGTGGATTGTAAGTGTGCAGGGATGTGTCTGTGTATGCATGGGTATGGGTCTGTTTGTGTGTGTGTGTGTTGTTTTGAGCATGTGGACAGTTGATAAAATATGAGCAAAGGAGTTCAGATATTGCAAAGTGTGGGTCATCCAATCATACTTAGAATTGTCCCTGCTTAGTATGTGAGAACCTGCATGAAATTCCTGTTGTAAAACCTCCACAACAGTTAGTGGGAAATCCTAGAGCATTGGTTGCCCTAGGGAGAAATGGAGTCGTCTGTCTGTTGGGGGTAGGTGTTCTTTCTAGTCTATGCTTCCCCTGCAGTTCATTGTCCTCTCTGGGCAGCACCGAAAGAGATTGAGATACTGAATGCGTGACCATTTCTTTGTTCCTGAATTGACAGAACTTAAATATCCCTAAAATAAGCCACAATTGCTGTTTGTAGGATATGAACGAACCTTCCAGCTTTGTGAATGGGGAAGTTTCAGGCTGCAGAAATGCTACCCTCAACCATCCTCCCTACATGCCACGTAAGGACCTTGGGATCTCTTCACTTGTTGTTCAGTGTCTGCAAGAAAGATGAGCTGAGCACCCTGGGGTTACCGTGACCACCAAGGGCACCTCCTCCTAATTAACTTCCCCCAATTAACTTGGTTTAATATGCCCTAAGTCAATAGCACATCATATCCAACTGGAGACATTAGAATATTTCTTGAATTTCTTCAGAACTGTGATAATGTCTGTGGTGTGATAACTTACAGAATTTCTTTTTGAGCCAATATGTACAATGAAGTGGCTTCCCCGTTTCGTGGAGCTGGTGGAATTTGGAGTGATGCCCATTAATAGATTAGCTCCATACACTATGCCTTTTCTGAGTCGTGTAACCTCCCAGAGACATTACCAAATCTAAGTTTTCTAAAGTGTAAGAGGCAGACAACACTGTCCACTCACAGAAATATAATAAAAGTATAAAATAATTCACACATTAAGCAGTTAGGGGACTGGAAGGCTGGTTCAGTAGTTAAGAGTGAAAATGTTATCTGAACAGAGGACTCATGGCAGGGGGCTAAAATCACTGAGAACTCCAGCAGCAAAGTGTTAGATGCCTCCTTCTGGTGACTGAAGGCAACTCCTGTCTCCTACACAGACACACACACACACACACACACACACACACACACACACACACGTATACACACACACGCACACACACACATCTTTTATAATTTTTTATGGAAGCTTTTATGAGGACCTGCCCCATAGTGCATGCTTGACAACCTGTATTCCTCCCACCCCTCCATTCTCGTTAGTGAATTTGATACTGAAAATGCCTATAGTCACCTTACTATTCTGAGAAGACTCTTGTTCTTATGCTCCTGGGAAGTAGAGTGGGACCCAGGCAGAGGATGTTTGTCTTGATATCTTCTAAAAAGAGGTCAGCAACTAAGAATCAAGGCTGATCTTCACTGAGTTTGTGTTCTTTTCCTCAGATGTGGAAGCCAGGGACAGGGGCCTGAGCAGCAAGACTCTGTGCATGGAGAGTGAGCAGATCCTTCCAGATGGCTCCCGGGTGCGGCACTATGATGTGCATAACCTGTATGGGTGGTCCCAGACCAGACCCACCTACGAGTGAGTGATCCTCTCCCTTCTCCTGTCGGTGGCACCTGTAGGGAAAGTCAGTGTTGGGTTTATTCCCTGATTTGTCATTCATTCTCCATCCTAAGGGCTGAAATGTCATCTAACTATAACTTTGTAGAAATTATAATTTATTAAGCACACATTCTATGAGCATGTGACCACACACAGTGATTATAATTGGAAGCAAGATTTAAATAATGTGCCACTGCATCAGGGAAAATAGTGCTTGTGAGGACACACTCATCTGGGGATACTGGATCATCACACAGAGTAGCAAGTGTGACAGTTAGAAGTCACTTGAGTTAGAGACAAACAGGGAAAGGAGGGTTGAAATTTCCCTCCTTTATTTCAGAATTGGAAAGTCTCTTTATATGTCTGCTATTCTATTGCTTTTGTTTCTTAATTATTATGGTCACTATCATAAGATAGTTGGTGGTTCTTTTTTAATTTTATTTTTTATTTTTAAATTTAAATTTAGATTAGAAACAAGGTTGCTTCACAAGTCAGTTCCAGGTCCCTCTCCATTTCCCTCCCTTCCTCTTGTGCCCTCCCCCACCCCCCCATATCCCCTCATTTCCCCAGGGAGGGTGAGGCCCTCCATGGGGGTGTCCATAGTCTGTCATTTCATCCAGGGTAGGGCCTAGACCCTCCCCCAAGAGTTCAGGGTGAGAGTGCATTTCACATTGTTGGATGGGTTCTTTTAGTGAATAACAACATAGCATAATTATTTTATGGGAAACTTTACTATTTTTCCTCCTCATATACAGAAAATCAAGTGTTGAGTAAATAACTAATAACCTTTATTGTAGGCCTACCATTGGTGACAAGCTGGGGGTTCATCACATAATGATTTTTTTAGGGTTGAAAAGGCATGAAAACTGTGTCCTCTGCTATTGTCCCTGTCAGTCAGCCAGCAGAATCCTCACAAATCAGATTTGCAGATTCCTCCAGATGTAGCAAACGTTTGCCACCATAAAAGGGTTTGGAGGAAAAACTATTGCTTTCCTTGTCTGCTCTTCTTTTAATGTATGTTTTTGTTTCCCCAACCAGAGCTGTTCAGGAGGTGACAGGAGAGAGAGGGATCGTCATCACGCGCTCCACGTTCCCCTCTTCTGGACGCTGGGCAGGACACTGGCTGGGAGACAACACGGCTGCCTGGGACCAGCTGGGGAAATCCATCATTGGTGTGTGGTTGTGCCCAGGGGCCTCTGCTGGCTCTGGGTGGAGTGGGAAACAGGATCTTGGGTGATGGGGAAGGAAGAGGGAGAGGTAGAGGGAGAGAATGTGTGCCTGTCCTCACCCTGCTTCGTCTCTCCTTTCAGGCATGATGGAGTTCAGTCTCTTTGGCATCTCCTATGTAAGTGCTCTTGTGTGATCCTCCTCCCTAGGAAGGTGTCAGCATCTCCCAGAAAGCACCAAGAGCTCACTGGTTCCTTGTTGTTTCAGACCGGGTCAGACATCTGTGGGTTCTTTCAAGATGCTGAGTATGAGATGTGCCTTCGCTGGATGCAGCTGGGAGCCTTTTACCCCTTCTCCAGGAACCACAACACCATTGGGACCAGGGTAGGATGTCAGCTTCCTCATCTATATTATGTCACTGGAAATGCCACCTCAGTGTCTGAGGGCAATCCTGCTGCCTGTGTTCCCTAGGAGACTGCAAAGACATTAATCCTCATCCTATGAATCATAGTCTTCCATGTTATTTTGATGGCTTTGCTTAGGGAATATTTTACACTGTATTTCATGAAGAATGCCTTGCAATTTTTTTCTGGTAGAAATTTGTTGATATTTACCAGTCCATTAAGAATATTCTAGGAGTCCTATTCATCCCATTCATCATTTTCTAAAGTTAATGGTATGTTAGATGTGTGACATGTGGTTCAAATAGGCCTTTGATGACCTTGAAGTCCTTAGTTGTCTCTGGTGGACTTTGAACACTTTTCTTCTGTTGCTTTAGAGACAAGACCCTGTGTCCTGGGATAAAGCCTTTGAGGACATTTCCAGAAGTGTGCTAGAGACCAGATACACCCTGTTGCCATATCTCTACACCTTGATGTACAAGGCCCACGTGGAGGGCAGCACAGTGGTGCGACCTCTCCTCCACGAGTGAGTGTCCAGCTGGAATCCGCTTGACCCATGGATAACTCATTCAACCTGCAGAGTGGGAGTAGATGTAACAATTCTTTCACATCACATATATCAGTCCTATTTGCATTATTATCATTAAAGTAGGTATTCCAAGGGGGGAATTTTAGGGATAGTGGTCATCCTTATATTTACAGTGTGCTATGTTCGAAGAGAATGGAGGTATTTTATAGAGCCCACATGCCTAAACACCTTGTGAAGTTTGAGAGAAGTGACTTTTAGGAAGTGTGGTCTATATGACATGATCATACTAGAGAGAATAAAGATGTTGCAGGATTCAGCTGCATTTCTGGCTTGGGTTCAGACTTGAGGATTTCTTCATGGCCTTGTGCTGGGTCCTCCTTGTGACTGGTTGTGACTCGTCAATTTCCCGTTTCAGGTTTGTGTCAGACCGGGAGACCTGGAGTATAGACAAACAGTTTCTGCTGGGTCCAGCCTTCCTGGTCAGCCCTGTGCTGGAGCCTGTGAGTATGGAGACCTCGGAGGGTAGGAGGACCCCAGCTGTTAGACAGGATAAACATGGAGAGGAGAAGGCCTGTGTGTTTGTTGGGGATCCTGAGATATCTCTCATTCCACCTTTTTTTTTTTCTTTTTAAAATTTCCTTCTTGCAATAGGGTCAAGAAACATTAAAATTTCTACTGGCAATTGAGGTAAAGCCAGGCTACCCATGATACCCTGGGGCCAGAGCACCATATCCTCTTTTAGTAGATATCTCTACCTCTAGATTCTGATTACTTGGACTCAAAGCTAAATCCTCAAGAGAGCGTTTCCTCACACGTGTTCATCTTTTCTTTGCATTGCCCTGCTGCTATAGTCAAGGTGGAGACAGATAGAAAATTCTTTCTTCCCAGTCACGGGCAAAACTGTAGCAAATACTTTTCTCTTCACCCAACCCTGTCGCACCAATTTTTCTGGGAGCCGTGTGGAACCAGCCCTAAATTCTATTAACTTTCTCAGCAAAATTAACCACTTAAGGTGGCTGCCCTCAGATTATCTCTCTCTACAGTTATCCTAACAGTTCTGCTCCATAGCACAGTGAAGAGGATAAGTAACCGTGTGTTATATTTGAAGATATAAGCCTCCCTTATTTAGCAGTATAAGGGGCATCATGGTCAGGTAGAGAGTACAGCAAAGGAAGTCCTTGCAAACCGTCTATCCTCTCACCATTAAAACTAAGTTTGTTGAGCCAACTGCTTTGCGGCAGTGTGGTCAACTCGCCGCTACTGGATAGCTCTTTGCTTCCTTATGCAAGGGTCTCTGTAAACAGCTAAAGTCTCGCTCCTTTTCCTTTTTTAAAAAAACTCCCTTTGCAAGTGATTGGGTTTCTGATTTAAGACCAGCTATTTAATATTCCTCACATCTTACTATATCTAGAAATTTTTCTTATGCCCCATAGCCAAACAGGGCTGTTTGTATCTCTAGAAATGAACTAGAGTGTTTTTGTAAGGAAAGGGTGATTCAAGTCGCCCATTCCAAAGGGTTTTATGGGGGCAACTGATTAGGAAATTTTCCCGTTAAAACGAGTAGGAGGAAGTGGCTTCCCAGTTGCTGCTGATCTCAGGGTAGTAAGATTCAAGACTATCACTATACTTGTAGCTTCTTTTCTGCATGCATTGGCTCCTCTGTCCTAGACAACAGTTTCATTACAGACACCTTGTTTGTGTTTAATTTCAGAATGCCACAACTGTAGATGCGTATTTCCCTAGAGCCCGCTGGTATGACTACTACACAGTAAGTTTTCTAAATGTTTGCGTAGCCCGACAAACAGCAGATTACAAAGTCATTGCATCAGACAGATCTCACACCAACAGCCCTGGAAACCGTGTGCACTTGTCCTGCACAAGCCATTTATTTCCTGTGGTGTCTGTTTTCTCATCTTCCAGTGGGGTGACCCTAGAGATGAAGTGGCAAGCCTCTCAATCCATGCCTGGCTCACTGCGTGTGTTTTACATGTGAATTTTATCTTTCTGCGTGTCTTCACTGTGTACACCTCTTGTAGTGTGACATAAACTAGTTCTTGCCTCTAGCATAGAAACCTTGCTGCTGTCTATTTATTAATTATCTGCTTCCATAGTATAGATCAACAGTTCTCACCCTTCCTAAGGCTTCAGCCCTTTAATATAGTTCCTCGTGTCGTGGTCAACCCCAACCATGAAATTATTTTTGTTGCTGCATAATAGTAATTTCTCTACTGCTATAAATCCTAATATAAATATCTGTGTTTTCTGATGGTCTTAGGTGACCCATGTGAAAGGGTTGATTGATGCCCCCAAAGGGGTCGTGACCCACAGGTTGTGAACTGCTGGTATAGATACTCAGAAACAGATCCTCCCTATAATTACTCAATAAATGAACCCTCAAATATGTATGCAAACAGCACATGCTCACTTATAAAGGCAATCACAGCGGCTCTGTTGCATATGTCTGGGCCATAGTGATCACAGAAGGCAAGCTGGGAGAGAAAGGTCTTGAGAAGACCCTTTAGAGGTGACCTGCTGAAGGACACACATGAAACAGAGCTTAATTCTTGGGGAGGAATTAAAGGGAAGGGGCATCCTTGCTTTCCGGAGTAGCCCACCCCTTCCGTCTTTCTGAGGAAAGCAAAAGCAGGAAGGAAGGCCGGAAGCAGAGCTGCGCGCTAGCCTCTCTCATCCAAGGACGTTGCAAGGATCTGGTTGAAAACAGAACAAAGACAAAGGAGCTATTCTGTCCCAGGAGCACTGAGTCATTTCCCTCTTCTTGGGTGCAGGCTGACTTCTCTTAAGTCTGGAAATTCACTAACAGTCAGCTGTGTGATTTCAGTCATGCAGCAGGGCCCTGGATGGAGAGAGCAGCTATTTCCCTCACGTGATGGAGAGAGCAGCTGTTTCCCTCAGGTGATGGAGAGAGCAGCTATTTCCCTCACGTGATGGAGAGAGCAGCTATTTCCCTCACGTGACCTCTGCATGGTCTTGAGTTTGCATGCTGATTGGCCAGTACTTTAACAGTCCTTTTGAATCTGCCAGGGATTACACTGGAGCTAAGTAGGGAGACGGTCAGGGTACCGAGGTTACGGAGGACGGTCCTGCCTCTGCTTGGACTTGAGAGTGTGGATCTCCTTAAAGTCTGCACCCTAGGTATCTTCGTTGGTGTCCTAGCCTTGCCCAGGTGTAAAACTCTCTGCTGAGTTCTGGGTGTTGGAATCGTGGGTGCTTTTCCATGTAGGATTAGCAATGCAATGATAAGCTAATATTTGCCTTTCAAACCTTTTTTGGGAGCACACTGTGGAGTCTGGAGATAGGGTGCTACTGTCCGCTAGTGGGCAGAAACAGTGCTGCTTAACATCAGAAAAGGACAGAACCAGACTGCTGAGTGCCATGGCCAGGCCTGCAGCCCTAGCTTGTAGGTAGGCTGTGGCAGGGGGATTGCGTGAGTCCACCGATTCTAGGATGCTATGTGCTACACTAATTGAATTCCCCCCACACAATTTGATAGCAGTGTGACCTTCTTGGAGCAGAGGATCATCAGCTTGCCTAAAAGGACTGAACCAGCCCAAGCAGGGCACAAAGCACATCATATCTTCACAACAAATAATCACTTGACCCAAACCATCAATGGTACCAACACTAAGAAGCCCTGTCATAGTTGAGAAAATACGGAATGATTGGGTATTTATGACTCAAGTCAGAATACAGCCCTCATATATGAAACCAGATGAACTTCACATGAGGCAAGATAAGGATTACAAATAAATAAATAAATAAACAAAAAATTCCCCACATGAGGAAGTTAAAGATGCCACACGAGGCAAGACAAAGATTTCAAAGAGGACAGATTTCAAGGATAAAGACACATACATAAGCCTTTCGGGTGCTTTCTATGGAGCAGGTGAATGCAGCATGTACAGGTGTCATGTGTTGAATGGTCGGGACCAGGAGACAGCAAAGGAAGCCGCTGGGGTGTCTGCTAAATACCGTGCTCAGGGATAGGCACACCTCTGCCATCCTCCTCTCTCTTCTCCACACAGGGCGTAGATATTAACGCCAGGGGAGAATGGAAGACCTTAGAGGCCCCTCTTGAGCACATCAATCTTCACATCCGTGGGGGCTACATCCTGCCCTGGCAGGAGCCTGCCGTGAACACCAAATTGAGGTGAATGGGGCTGGGTGGGGGGAGCTGGGGTTCTGCCTTGCATAGTAATGAGCTTAGTCATGTGTGGCGAAGGCTCCTCATCCACTCAGCATCACTCTGAAGTCTGAAGACATTTCCCCCTGGTTTGTTTTTGCATTCTTGCATCTGACCCTTTTAAACGCCATGGACTCTGAAACATTTTTCAGCAGTTGTTTTAGATTGAAGTGTGTGAAATTTCAGGTGCAGGGAGTGACGTTTACAATAGAGGTTAAAATGGGGGTAGTCATATGAATTCATATTTTTGGAACCTTTCATTTTTTCCTCAAAAATAAACAATTGCTGGAAAAATTTAACCACGTGGCAACTGATACCTGAGGTTGCTTTACCCTGAAAATATTTAAAAGCCCTTGACATAAGTTCATATGTCAGTCATCAATCACTAACATCAAGCAAATGCTTGCTGCATACCTAGGGCTATGTCAGCATTAAGAACTTTGTTGCACGATTTTCTGTTTTTCTCTATCAAAGAGAAACAAAATCATTTGAGTTGAGTATCACCACCATCTCCATTCCACACATGATGAAGTGGAGGCTTTATTAGTTATGTGACTCTCTGAGTCACAGGCCCAGGAAGAGGATGGCAGTCTCTGTGGGCCTGAAACAGTGCCTCAAGACTTCCCCATTTGTCCTCTGTGTGTTTTAGGCAATGGGTTACGAAAGTTTACATCCTTAGGAAAGGGGAAAGAAGGGATCCAGTTGTGTGCTTTTAATTTAAGAGGCTTACTGGAAAATTCCCCCTTGATGCTTTGAAGTCATTCACTTAGGATGTGCAGTGGTCCAGCCTTCTCTGCATACACACAGAGTCATTCACTTAGGATGTGCAGTGGTCCAGCCTTCTCTGCATACACACAGAGTCATTCACTTAGGATGTGCAGTGGTCCAGCCTTCTCTGCATACACACAGAGTCATTCACTTAGGATGTGCAGTGGTCCAGCCTTCTCTGCATACATACAGAGTCATTCACTTAGGATGTGCAGTGGTCCAGCCTTCTCTGCATACATACAGAGTCATTCACTTAGGGCATAGAGTAGTCCAACTTTTTCTGGATGCATACAGAGCTGGTTCTCAGAACTTTTTTTTCAATATGACAACCTACTCTAAACCTAAGGAGGCACTTCATTTTCCTCCTTTGTTTCTGTGAAACCTGCTGGCTTGTGGCTGTCACTGAGTTTTTAGCTAATGCCTCTCTGCTTTCCCACCACAGCCGTCAGAAATTTATGGGCCTCAAGGTTGCCTTGGATGAAGAGGGACTTGCTGAGGGATGGCTCTTCTGGGATGATGGAGAAAGCATTGGTGAGTTGGGGCTGGCTGGGATTCCCATGGGTGAGGTTCTTGATTATCATAAATTCCTGCCTTTTGGCTGAGATAAACTTCCATGAGATTTATTTGTATTTCCCAACTATCTGATTAGTTGTCTGAGCAAGACAATGCTACATGTGATGCTGATGTGAGGGACTTTCCATCAGGAGTTTACGGGAACTGGCAACCTCTTAGGAGGAGGATGACACTAGGACTCTTTGCCACACAGCAGAACTTGTAGCCACAAAGAGCATCTCCTGCTCCACACAGCTATAGGCACAGGTTCCAACGAATACTCAAAATGTCACAAGGGCATCCGAGGAGCTATTTTATTTAATTTGTATTCATTTAAATTTACATAGCTAATTTCTGTGGTGTCTTCTGCTGTGGGTAGCACAGTTCTAGAAGAAGCCAGCGTTTCCAGTAGGAGTGGGGATTAAATGAGAGAGAGAGGTCAGCTCTGGAAAGGCAGAGGGAGCGCCGAGAGGAGCTGGTCACTCAGCAAGCCGCCTCTTACACACACACACGCCACACTGCCAAACACCATGCTTTCCCAGAAGTTTGGTGTGTGTGTGTGTGTGTGTGTGTGTGTGTGTGTGTGTGTGTGTGTTAAGTTTTCTGGAGATCACATTAAAACCACCCATTACCACTCAAGATAAAGCAAGGCAGCAGTCAGTGTACTTGCATGGGTGGGTGTGTGCTTCTAATAGAAAAGAATCTGGAATTCTGAGGTTACTGGGGAGATGCTGGGACTATTTGACTATGAGAGAAAGGGACTTAAGGTGCGGTTAGGTGGTTTTTATATGAGGTAGCTATCGGACAAGTGCATCTACACACTCAATCCTGATATTTGTATCCATTTGGGGACGGTGTAGAGTCCCTGGCTGATTTCCATAGAGAGAACTTCCACTGCAAAATTGAACTCATTGTAATGGAGAAAAATGAAACGAAAATTACCCCAAGTCTCAGCTAAGACAGATCAGCAACTAGAAGTTTGTCACCGAGGCCCAGCTCACATCTGCCCCTTTGCGTGTTTTGCAGATATCACAAAAAGTTACTACTTGGCCAGCTTTTCTGTCAGCGAGGTAAGTGTGACTGGCACGTGAAGGGAGAAGGGGTTCTGCTGTCCTGACGGGTTCTGCGTTTGTATTCCTGTGTTCCCAGATTGAACCTGTCTGTGTCTCAGCAGTAACTGTGTTCAGTGTCCCATCTCATAGGTGGATAATCTGTCTGTGTAATCTAACCCTCCTTCCTATGCTGCCTTTAAATACTCTGCACGTGCTGTGACCTTTCCATGTGTAGAATATACATTTCTTGGTACTTGAGACTTGTAACTTACAGAGTTCACGGTGTCCTAGAGACCTGGCTGGTGGCAGCCCCTGCAGAGTGGATAGGACAGGGTGCTGAGGCCATGGTTTTTACTATCTGAGAACATAAGCTGTTGACTCAGGTCATCTCATTTTGTCATTTACATTTATCCCTAAAACAAAAGTTGAGAACAAAACTCAGCTAATTTTGATATTTGTTTCTTTCTGTTTTATTTTCAATTTGACAGAATACATTGAGGAGACATGAAAAATTTAACAATTTCGTCGCTGGTACAGCTCCTTTGTACCTAGGCTACATTGAAATCTGGGGATTAGGCTCTGTTTCCACTAACAATGTGAGGATCCTTTGGAACGGCAAGAATGAACTGGTTCCCTCCGAGTACAACCCCGAAACCCAGGTTTGTGGCATCTACTGGAAAGCCCAATGCTATTTCCCAACCCTGGAATGCTTTGTGCAATCGTCCACCCCCCCAACCCCCAGGACAGCCTCTGTGTTCAGTGTCAGCTGTGGGCAGTGTGGAGAAAAAGCGAAATCCAGGGCTTATCGTTTGGAGTTGAAAATCTGGCTGCTTACATTCTATATCTACCCTCCTGTCTGAAAGCCAAAGTGATACCGGGCTCTCACTCTGTCTCAGAAACCAAATTCTCAAACCTCCTGAACTACTGTATTTTGTCAAATGTCAGGCACTATCAACTACCGTAAAAAGAGTTGGTGTACTACCCAGAGTGCCATGGAGGAGGGGCAACAAGAAAGACAAAACAATGAAACAATGCTTTGTTCTCATTCATTTTTTCCCCTTTAAATGTATGGGAAGCTCCTGGAAACTCCCATACCCATAGAGTTTTATCTCAACATTTTGGTATTTTAAATGATACTACAGAGGAACAATGTTGGATAGAGATACACAATTACTCTGTATCAAGGCATATTTGAATGTAAATATGTATTTAAAATTCCTCAGCCCCATGAGTTGGAGATTAGTATCACTTTTTAATTGGTTCTTTGAGAGTTTCATACTATGAACCTCTTCCCCCAACTTCTCCCAGATCTATCCAACCTTCACCACCCAACTTTTGGGTTCTGTGTGTGTGTGTGTGTGTGTGTGTATCTATCTATCTCAACGTGTGCTTACTGTATTTTCTTGCACATGTGGCCTTTCATTGGAGCATGGTGAACTTAACATTTTATTAATGTTCATGTTCATCCCTTGCCCTAATTCCTCCCACATTCTACTATATCTCCTTAAACATCCAACTTCATGCTCTTTTTTTTTCACTCTTTTTTTAACCCATTGAGTCTAGTTTGTGTTGGCCAACTACTGGGCATTGAGCCTGGCCTGGAGTATGGGAATACACCCAAGGTCTCATCATTTCAAAAACCCGACTTTTCCTCTCCCTGTAGTAACCAAATGCCGATAGCTCCTCAGCTAGGCATGGGACTTCATGCCTACCCTTTCTTCTCTGCACTGAGACATTTTGCCTGGCTTAACATGATCTCGTGCATGTTGTTGCCATGGCTGTGAGTTCATACACACCTGTCCCACAGTGTCTTAGTTAGGGTTTCTATTGCTGTGAGAAAACACAATGACAGAAAGAAACCCGATTAGGAAACGGTTTATTTCGGTACACAACTCTCAGATCATACTCCATCATAGAGGGAAGGAAGGAACTCAAGGCAGGAACTGGCTTTGCTCCTCCTGGCTAACTCAGTCCACTCTTTCATGCGACTTACAAGCACCTACCAAGGTGTGGCACTGCCTATAACAGGCTGGATCCTCTTCCGTTAGTCATTAATCAAGAAAATGTTCCATGGATTTATCCAGAGGCCAATTTGGTGGAGATACATTCTTGACTGAAGTTCCATCCTCATAGGTAACTTTATTTTGTGTCAAAACTAGCCAGCACACACGGTTTCCTAAAACTCACTTTCCACTTTGGGTTCTTAACACCTTTCTGCCCACCTGTTCCAAATAGACGCCTGCACCTTGAATGGAGGGGTGTGATACAGTCATCCCATTTAGGACTGAACACTTGGAAGTCTCTTAATCTCTGCTCAATTATCAGCTGCGGGTATCTGTGTTTATTGCTCTCTCCTTCAAGAAGTTTTTCTGATGAGGACTGATTGAAGCACTGATCTATTAATATAGTAAAAGGTCATTAGGAGTCCTCTCATTGCTATGTGCAGGTGGAGAATAATAGCAGGTTTTCCCTGAGGTCTCATGACCTATCTAACCACAGTTTCTTGACCTCATTGACAGTGTCAGGTATAGATCCCCTATCACAGAGTGGGGCCTTAATTTTTTAAAGTGGTTATTCACTCCTATGACGTTAATGTCATTATTGCACTAGTGAGCATATCTTGACAGGCAGGGCATTATTATAGCTAGTGATGTTCATAGTTAGGTGAAACTGATGATTACTTTTCTCTTCAGGTAACATGAGTAGCACTTTCTATCTCCATGAAAGCGTACAGTCTACACTTTTGAAAAAAAAACTAATTCATGGGCAATTATCTCAAAAAAAGCATGTATAAGAGGAAAGTGCCATAATATAAAACATCAGAATACTTATTAAAGAAATGGACTTAAAACCACTTAGATGCCTTGAGGTTTAATATACCTGAGACCTGAGTTTCAGGGCTGATTTTTATGAATTGCACATTACTGATCATAGTAAGTAGGATGTAGCCACCAACTAGTAAGTACTGTCATAAAGATTAACTATGTTTAAAACACAACTGTGGTGCCTGTTACATGATTTAGAAAAAATACTAGTAGCGTTACTGAAAACCACACCTAGGACATGTCTGAGTACTCATCACCTGTTCTCACTTGATCCTTATAGGAACATTGTAGGATAGATGACATTCTCTTCAGAGGAGGTACCAGAAGCATAGCTTTTAAGGCTCAAAAATACAAATGGTACATCCTGGAAAAGCAGAATACTGATTTATAGGTACACCTCAAAGTCTTTAAGTTGACACTGACATGTTCTACCAGTTTACATGGAGTCTAAGAGGAGGTCTATATGTTATAGTTTGAAAAATCCACCCAGAGATGGAAGACAGCGCACTCTAGGAATAAGATACTGGGTGTATAAATGTACAGGGCGCAGGATAGAGACACAGTGACAGAGTGAGAATAGGGATGCAGTGTAGAGTAAACGGATGTGACTTTTGGCTCCCATGTAACTTCATTTCAATAAAAGAAATAGCTGCGTAAAAAATACACATGGTAATATAATATAATACATTAACTAATATGCAATGTTTATTGCTATGTTTTATCTATTTGTCCTGGGATATTCTTATTATTTTGTGCCTTAATATAGTGTTATTTAAAATCAGTTAAGACAGTTCTTCCTTCCTACCAAGGATGCTCTGATTCAACATTTCTTAAAAATACTAGGGATCAAATCCAAGGCTTTGTGAATGCTGTGCAGGCAGTGTATGGATTGAGTCTCAATACAAATATGCGGCCACACAAAATGCTATCTTCAGACTGTCTGCAGCTGACGTTGCAAATAAAATAAATTATGAAATCAAATGCTAAAACCTAACGCTCTTAGATATGATAAAATGCCTATTTAAAAATATTTTTGATGTAGTTACTCTCTTCAGAGAGTAAAAGGAACAGATCTCAAGAATGAAAAAATAGTCTTGCTCTTTTGTCTCAAGTTTTGTCTCAAGTCACTAAACACATATCAGACACTTTTCTAACCCAGTTTATGCTTGATCTTGTAACTTGTTCTTTTCTGAATTGCTCTTTGGATGGTTTGCAGTCTATCTATTCACAATACAGTGTTAGCAATGATATTTCTGCTTTTGTAGACAACAGCAATCATGCTGTGATGTGTGTCCAGCTTGAAATAATTTTAGAATTGTTCATTACAAGCATGCTCTCATCCTGTCAAAGTTCAGATTAGAACCTTGGGATTCACCTAGTATTTCAGTACCAACATCTGTCACACTGTGGCAAATGGAAACACTTCTTCCTATGATTCTCTCTCTGTCTCTCTGTCTCTCTCTGTCTGTCTCTGTCTCTCTCTCTCTTTCTGTGTGTGTGTGTGTGTGTGTGTGTGTGTGTGTGTGTGTGTCTTTGTGTGCGGGTACTAAATATGAATGCTTTCTGATTTCTAGGCCTGAGGAAAAAGTTTTTCTTCAGTTTTATAATTTTAAAATGTCTCCTTATACTATTGTTTTCTTTTTTCTTTTTCTTTTTCTTTTTCTTTTTCTTTTTCTTTTTCTTTTTCTTTTTTTTTTTGGAGGCTGTCCTGGAACTCGCTCTTGTAGAACAGGCTGGCCTCGAACTCACAGAGATCCGCCTGCCTCTGCCTCCCGAGTGCTGGGATTAAAGGCTTGCGCCATCACTGCCCGTCTATACTACGGTTTTCTTGTCAACCACCTTTAAAAAGGTCTCTTAAAGGACTTTTCCCTTTTCTGTTGTGAACTGATTTATGAACGGTTAAAGCTTGGTTACTGATAAAGCCTCTCAAAAATGTTTACCCATAAGAAGCAGGAACATTAGACTTCCCAGGCAATGGGTGGGTGCTTTGAGGAGACAGCAGAATATGGAATTTCAGTTTGCCTGTGCACTTGTTCTCAGTGGTTCTAAACTGAATCTTTGAGGGCCCATTCCTGTCACAGAATAATCATTCTACTCCAAGGATTGGGAAACACCACCCACACCTGACAATAAAACAGTAGTTGTCATTAAGGCCATGTGGCTCAGTGGCTTAGACCCTGTTCGTTTGTGTACAGGAAAATCTAGACAACAAATCTCAATATATTTCTTGTTGTTTGTTCCAACAGATACTAAAAGTTGATGTGACCGCCAATAGAATCAGCTTGCATCGTTTTGACTCAATGACATGGAACGCTTCATAAATTTTCAGAGCAGGATACTACACCAGATTTGAACTACTTATACTTCATAGTTATATACTTATTGTGTATCATCAATTGCTTCATTCCCAATGTGGCTAGAGTATTTTGTGAATTTCTTATGTATGTATATGGCTCCCAAAGATAATATCGCTGGGTCACTTTATGTATGTAATTAATATGGTATATGTGATTCATTATATGAAATTCATTGAAGATGTGAAGATGAAATAGATCCATGTTGAAGTGTGTGTTCGTGTGTGTGTTAGTGTGTAAGGGATTCCAGTGTTTTCCTAAAGATGGCAGCCCCTGTCTGCAGCTAAGCAGAACCTTAAGAATCATGCAGAAGGAACTTCTGCAAGTTGGTATAGGGAGAAGAGGACACTATGCTGGGAGTATGATAGAGGAGGAAGAAAAAGAACGCAGGAAAGATGTGAGGCACTGTTAGGCACAGGAAGAGTAATAGTCATTCTAAGAAGTAGCCTTGTGGGGAGGAGAAAGGGAGGTGACGGTGGTGTCAAGGAGATTTAAGTAGGTAGAGATGAAGGAAGGAGTTGGGTGTACAAAATGAGATGTTTTCATAGAAGTGAGCTTTGAAGTATATAAATCTTATTTCTTGACCATATCTCATGTACATAACCACAGTCCATACAAGCATGCATGATTTATATGCCACAGAAAAATAAAGCAGGTGAATCTACAAGAGATTCTCAATGTTGTGATGTTTGTTTGTGGGAACCTCACAGAGGGGCTGGGTTTCCTGGAGTTCAGAAGAGTCCTGGTCCTGGTGGCATTGGAGTGCCTGCAGTCCAGTACAGGAATGGATGGAATATGGTTTCTAGTCAGGCACATTCCCCAACATCTCTGTAATGACTGTCCCACAAGCTTTAGGTATTGCTTAAGAATCATAGTAGTTTCTGTATCTGGTACAATATCAATTCTGACAGAAAACAACAACAACAACAATAAAAATAAAAAAAAACAAAATTAAACACTAGATAAAATGTGTATGAAGAAATATGAAGCTAGGCTGTCAAGATGACTCAGTAGATGAAAGCTCTTGCCACACAAGCCTGATAATCTGAATTCAATCTTTGGAAACCATAAAAGTGGAAGGAGTAAAAAGACTCCACAAGGTTGTCCTCTGACTGCTAAATGTATGCCATGGCAAATAGGATCCCTTAAAAAATAATAAATAGTAATGAAAAACTAAAATAAAAAATTACGCAGAATGTCCAATAGGGATGTTTAGTATTTTTTGAAAATGAAATATTTCAGTTGGGTATGCATACTTCCTCACATTTTCCCTTTTTATTTTTATTTAAATTAGAAGTAAGCTTGCTTCACATGCCAATCCCAGCTCCCTCTCCCTCCCCTACCCCCCTTGTATCCCCAACCCCCTACCCAATCCCCACACCTTACCCCAGGGAGGGTGATGCCCTCCATGGGGGGTCTCCAGACTCTGTCATTCATCCAGGGCAGGGCCTAGGCCCTCCCCCAAGAGTCCAGGACATGAGAGCATCCCTCATTGTGGGAAGGGCACCCAAAGTTCATTTGTATTCCAGGGATAAATATTACCTAGGCCTCCTCATTGACACCCACATTCAAGGGATCTGGATCAGTCCCATTCTGGCCTCCCAGTCATCAGTCTGGGGTCCAAGAGCTCCCACTTGTTCAGGTCAACTGTTTCTGTGGGTTTCACCAGCATGGTCTTGACCCCTTCACTCATCACTCCTCCCTCTCTGTCACTGGGTTCCAGGAGTTCAGTTCAGTGTTTAGCTGTGGGTGTCTGCCTCTGCTTCCATCAGCCACTGGATGAAGGTTTGGCAGTGGGATTGTAGATTGGCACTCCCCTGACCTGTGTCTAAAATCCATATATGAATGAGTGAGTACATGCCATGTTTCTCTTTTTGTGACGGTTACCTCATTCAGGATGGTTTCTTCTAGTGCCATTCATTTGCCTGCAAACTTCAAGATTCCTTTGTTTTTTTTCCGCTGAATAGTCCTCTACTGTGTAAATGTACCACATTTTCTCTATCCACTCTTCAGTTGTGGTGTATCTAGGTTGCTTCCAGGATCTGGCTATTACAAATAATGTCGCTATGAACATAGTGGAACAGACATCCTTGTTGTATGAATGTGCATCGTTTGGGTATATGCCTAAGAGTAGAATTGCTGGGTCTTATGATAGACTGAGTCCCATTTTCCTGAGGAATCTCCATACTGATTTCCAAAGTGGCTGTACAAGTTGGCACTCCCACCAGCAGTGGAGAAGTGTTCCCCTTTCACCACATCCTCTCCAGCATAAATTGTCATTGGTGTTTTGATTTTAGCCATTCTGACAGGAGTAAGATGATATCTCAGAGTTGTTTTGATTTGCATTTCCCTAATGGCTAAGGATGTTGAACACTTTCTTAAGTGTATCTCAGCCATTTTAGACTCCTCTATTGAGAATTCTCTATTTAGTTCTATACCCCACTTTTTAATTGAATCCTTTAGTGTTTTGGAGACTTGCTTCTTGAGTTCTTTGTAAATTTTGGAGATCAGACCTCTGTCAGATGTGGGGTTAGTGAATATCTTCTCCCATTCTGTGGGCTGCCTTTTTGTCTTGTTGACTGTGTCCTTTGCCTTACAGAAGCTTCTCAGTTTTAGGAGGTCCCATTTATTAGTTGTCGATCTCAGTGTCTGTGCTACTGGTTCAAGAAGCAGTCTCCTGTACCAATTCGTTCAAGGGTACTTCCCTCTTTCTCTTCTAAGAGGTTTAGTGTGGCTGGATTTATGTTGAGGTCTTTGATCCATTTGGACTTAAGTTTTGTGCATGGCAATATACATGGATCTACCTGCAGTCTTCTACATGCCAGCATCCAGTTATGCCAGCACCATTTGTTGAAGATGCTTTCTTCAACAAATTGTATAATTTTAGCTTCTTTGTCAAAGATTAGGTGTTCGTACTTGTACTGGTTAATATCAGGGTGTTCAATTTGATTCCATTGGTCTTCCTGTCTATTTTTGTGTAAATACCAAGCTGTTTTCAGGACGATAGCTCTTTAGTGGAGCTTGAAGTCAGGGATGGTGATGCCTCTGGACGTTGCTTTGTTGAACAGTGTTGTTTTGGCTATCCTGGGCCTTTTGTTTTTCCATATAAAGTTGAGAAGTGTTCTTTCAAGGTCTGTGAAGAAATGTGCTGGGATTTTGATGGGGACTGAATTGAGTCTGTAGATTGCTTTTGGCAAGATTGCCATTTTTACTACATTGATACTACCTATCCAAGAGCATAGGCGATCCTTCCATTTTCTAGTGTCTTCTTTTATTTCATTCTTTAAAGACTCAAAGTTCTTGCGATACAGGTCTTTCACTTGTTTAGTTAACATTATTCCAAGGTATTTTATGTTGTTTGTGACAATTGTAAAGGGTGATGTTTCTCTGATTTCTTTCTAAGCCCTCTTATAGTAGGGCTATTGATTTTTTTGAGTTGATCTTGTATCCTGCCACTTTGTTGAAGGTATTTAGCAGTTGTAGGAGTTTCCTGGTAAAGTTTTTTGGATGGTTTATGTAAACTATTATATCATCTGCAAACAGTGAAAGTTTGATCTCTTCCTTTCCAATTTGTATCCCCTTGATCTCCTTTTGTTGTCTTATTGCTCTAGCTAGAACTTCAAGTACAATATTGAAGAGGTATAGAGAGAGTTGACAGTATTTTCTTGATCCTGATTATAGAGGAATTGCCTTGAGTGTCTCTCCATTTAGTTTGATTTTGGCTATTGGTTTTCTGTATATAGCTTTTATTATGTTTAGGTATGTTCCTGTTATCCCTGATCACTCCAAGACTTGTATCATGAAGGGGTGTTGGATTCTGTCAAAGGCTTTTTCAGCATCTAGTGAGATGATCATGTGATTTTTGTTTCCCAGCTTGTGTATATGATGAATTTTCATATGTTGAACCATCCCTGCATCCCTGGAATGAAGCCTACTTGATCATGGTGGATGATTTTTCTGATGTGTTCTTGGATCCCATCTGTCAGTATTTTATTGAGTATTTTTGCATCAATGTTCATGAGGGATATTAGTCTGAAGTTCTTTTTCTTAGTTGTGTCATTGTGTGGCTTGGGTATCAAGGTTATTGAAGCCTCGTAAAAAGAGTTTGGCAAAGATCCTTCTGTTTCTATTGCATGGAAAACTTTGAGGAGAATTGGTATAAGCTGTTCTTTGAATTTCTGGTAGAATTCTGCACTGAGGCCATCTGGACCTGGACTTATTTTGGTTGGGAGACTTTTGATAACTGTTTCTATTTACTGACGTGCTATAGGTCTATTTAAATTGCTTATCTGTTCTTGATTTAATTTTGGCAAGTGATATCTATCCAGAAAATTGTCCATTTCCTTTAAGTTTTTGAATTTTGTAGAGTATTGGTTTTCAAAATATGACCTGATGATTCTCTGGATTTCCTCAGAGTCCATTGCTATGTCCCCCTTTTCATTTCTGATTTTGTTAATTTACATGTTCACTCTCTGTTGTTTGGTAAATTTGGATAAAGGTTTGTCTATCTTGTCGATTTCCTCAAACAACCAACTCTTTGTTACATTGATTCTTTGTATTGTTTTCTTAGTTTCTACTTTATTGATTTCAGCCCTCAATTTGATCATTTCCTGGCATCTACTCCTCCAGGGTAAGTTTGCTTCCTTTTGTTTAGGGCTTTCAGTTGTGCTGTTAATTCTCTACTGTTACTATTCTCCAGTTTCTTCAGGTGGGCACCTAGTGCTATGAACTTTCACTGCTTTCAAGTGTCCCATAGGTTTGGGTATGTTATATCTTCCCTTTCGTACTGGAAAGCCATTCTGCTTGCTGTATGCATGCAGCGGTGTCTATACTTGCTGCATTGCACCAGTCAGTCATTTGACTCAATGTTCTGACTGTTAAATGAAGCATCATGCATGAGGGGCTGAGATAACTAGGAAACTAGTGAAATGTGGGCAAGCAGCCATAAGAATCATTTGATTTAAAAGGCAAAAGCAAAAGCAAACTGATTATCTCCCGTTGGTTAATGTGAGGAGGTTACAAGGAAATGGCTTACTTAATATTTTAGGAATATCCTGTGGTGCCAACAGGTATACATGGACATATGTTGATCTTGTTGTCCTTAGTGAATACTTTCCTGGCTGGACAATGCACAGGCCCCACTGGTGACCCATGGGATGCTTCCTGACATTTTCAAACTCTAGAAGAATGTTTTAAAATGCATATAGTAAAATGGGACTGATCCAGACACCCTAAATGTGGGTGCCCGCGAGGAGGCCCTGGCAATCTATGGGGCCTCAGGTAGTAGAACAGTATTTATCCCTGGCGTATGAATGAAATTTGGGTGCCCATTCCACATGGAGGGATGCTCTCTTAGCCTGGACACATGGGGGGAGGCCCTAGGCCCTGCCCTGGATGACTTTGGGGATCCCCCATGGAGGAGGAATAGGATGGGGGGTTGGGGAGTGGTGTGGAAAGCAGGAGGGGGGAGGGAGAGGGAGTTGGGATTGACATGTGAAACTAACTTGTTTCTAATTTAAATTAAACAAGAAATAAAAAAATGTCAACCACAACAAAGGAAACATTACAAAAAAAAAAAACGTGCTGAGCATTCCAAATGTAATGTCTCCTGTCTCTTGAATTCACTTTTGACTCTTCATATACTGTGTTGACTTGTCTGATACAACATGGTACTGTGATATTTAAATGCAATATGGAGTAACCAAGTAGAGCTAGCCAGAACTTTGACAATGTTACATCCTTATCATTCTTTGTGGTGGCAACATTTAAAATCTGTTCCCAGAAATGTTTAAGTATAAAAGGTATTTTTGGCTCCTCAGTACTCCCCATATAAAGATGTGTGAAGTTTCCCTCTCAAATTAGAGATATTCTCAGCAGATCTGGAAAACGTCAGGGGAGAAGCCGGGTCCACGATTTACTTGGTTTCTGTATAGGGCAGAGCTGCTGATCTCTGAGTGCAAGCCTGTAGCCAACCATCTCATTACAGTGATTGGAGTCACTAGTCAGAGTATTTTATGCTCCTTTCATTTAAGTGAGGAGCAATCTCAACATGGTCACAGGAGACTTTCTGAGAAAAATTTCATTTTCAAAATGGTGGTGATACCTGTGAAGTTGTACAAAACTCTTTCTTGTCCCTCTTGTTCCTTAGGGTAGGGATAAGATAGCAAGATAGATTCACAGTGTTTTACATTCCCTACTAATTTCAAGACTAATTTCAAGAATATGTATGTATATATGTACATATGTGTGTGTATTGTGTATATGTAGTGTGTTATATATTATATATAATCATATCTATCTTAGCTATTTTTTTCTATTGCTATGACAAAAATGCCATCACCAAGTCAACTTATAGAAGGAAGTATTGACTAGAGCCTGTTCTAGAGGGTAAGTCAATGACCATCATAGCAGGGAGCATGAGGAGATCTTACATCTGGTCCATAGGCATGGGAGAGAGAGAGAGAGAGAGAGAGAGAGAGACAGAGACAGAGACAGAGACAGAGACAGAGACAGAGACAGAGACAGACAGAGAGAGAGAGAAAGAGAGAGAGAGAGCACTAACTTGGAATGGCGGATGGCATGGGATTTTGAAACCTCAAAGCACACCTCCAGGGACACACCTCCTCCAACAAGACCACACCTTCTAACCCTTTTCAAACAGTTCCTACTGGGGACCAAGTATTCAGTTATATGAGCCTGTGGGGACCATTCCCATCCAAGCTACAACAGCATATAACTATCTTTTCCTATGTTTCTATATATTTATGTATCATGAATTCACAGTTTGGAATTAGGAATTACACTCCTAAAATGACTAAGAATGCCAAGTAATTTTATTCACTGGGTTATATTTATGTATATTTTTCCAGTGAGGCATGGAGAACAATATAGGAGGACATTGGGGTTGTAATATCAGATACGCATGTATGCATGTATGTATGTATGTATGTCACAGTGAAGCCTATCATTTTGTGCAATGAAATATGTTAATAACAAACAATTTTACAAAAAAACAATAAGAACAGCATTATTTTATACTTTTGCAAATCTCTTCAAAGTCTACTTCAATAGTTGGGTTCTCATGAGACACCTCCATACTCTGATTTTGATATTATATGGTAAAGCCCATAAGACATTGTGAATGCATGGGAGGACAGTATGCTGCTTCTTTTCCAAAATGCTTGACTGAAACAAAGGAGGAATTTTTCTCATAGAGATATTTCAAGTCCATCATAATCAGGGTAGGCAAGGTAAATTCATGACAGCGTGCACGCGGAACACACTATCCACACAACAGCAGAGTGTGGGTACCACCGTCAAAGGCTTCCATCAGTCACTGGATGACAACAGTTCCTCAAGGGAGGGAAGGCAAGGTGACAGGAGCATAAAGTAGCTGGTCCCCTTGTCTCCATGGTCAGGAAGAGGAGAACAGCAAATGCTTGTATTTAACTTTCTTCCTTCTTCCCAGGGAGTCCAGAACCCAAGCCCAGAGAAGGGTTCCAGTCTTTTGTGGACATTCCAACCCCATTTAACCAATCAGGGTGTGATTATAACCTTAGGAATCCCACACATACGTGCCAGAAGGTTAGTCTCCTTGACCATTGTACATCCTGCCAAGTTGACCATTAACACTATTGCAATGTTAGTCAAATTTAAAAAACAAAAATGCTAAGCCTTTTCACTTAAAGAAGAAATGCATTACCAATTAGCTGTCTTATGTACCTACCAGGATAAATTTGGGCTGTCCTTGGTGGATATCATCAGTTTCACTGGTACTCATTGCTCTTGTCTTTACAGCAGACTTGCTGAGAGTTTTGCATTGGCTTTGGGGTTTGACGCTCTGAATGGAAGGAAGAGTTTCTGACTGGATGGTTTCAGCCACCAGCTTGCTTCTATAGTTGTTTGAACATGTCAAATGCTAACTTTACTTCTGTTTGCCAATGAACAACTGGGAAATAGGAAGTCACGTGCCTGTTCCCGCCAGAAAAATATTTCTATTAGTTTTTCATGAAGTCAACTCAGCATATCATCTGATATAGTCTAACTGCTAATCATCATTGATAATTAGTAAACACATTAGAGATTAGTGTGGATTGTGTGTCACCATTACAACATGAATAATGTTACAAATGTGAAATGTGACAGTGAAGAAGGAATTATCATTTAGAAAAATAGGAGGAACTCATGTAACAACAAATCTCTTTTCTTGAACTTTGGCTAATTTATCTTCCCAATTTAAAATGAGATGTGGGTATATGTTCCCTCTAACAAAGACTAACTTACTCTGACACAAAGACACAGTAAATATGCCTTCCTTACAGAGGAGGCAGAATCTTAAAGTGAGAAATTATTGGAGCATAAAAACAATTTTTGAAGGATCTGTACCACTGAAGACGGGAGAAGTATCCACCAGAGGTGTTTTACCACTTCGTGGTTTTTCAGTTTCTGCTTTAATAGTGTTTGCTTATTTAGACTGATTAGGAGGTAGGGAGAAGGCAGGAGAGGTAACTCAGTTGTTAAGAGCACTCGCTGTTCTTGTGAAAGATCCAGGTTTGCTTCTCAGCATCCATATGGTGGCTCCCAAGCATCTATCTGTAAGTAACTCTAAGGCAACTGACATCCTCTTCCGGCCTCTGTGGGAACCTAGCACACACTTGATGCACACACGTGCATGCAGACAAAAGAGTCATACGTGTAAATAAAATAATCTATAAACACTCAAGTAATTAAGGGGGAAGCATATTTGAAAATTTGCATTCTCGAAGGCAAACTTCAGGAGACAACAATGAAGACAGACAGAGTATGATACAACGTAAGCAATTTATTCTGTCTTCGCTCAGTCGGCAGATGTCTAGCTGTTGACAAGCTGTGGGTATGTTATGGATGTTGAGCCCTGGAGATAGCCATGGGAAAGCTGGACAGAGCCTTCCTTCTTTTTGCACTCTTGGTGTCAGATGAGCAGACGAGCCAGCACAAAGGAGCGTGACAAGCACAGTAATCAGACAAGAACCAGAACAAGAAGGAGGGACTAGCACTCCTGCCCTCCAATTGCTCTCAGTTTTATAGGGCAGTAAATCAGTTGTGGCAGTAGGAGGCTATATTAGCCTTCTCACCTTTGCCCGGTGCTCCCTATGAATTGCAGAGGGACAGACACGGCACGAAAAAACGACAAGACAGCGATGAGGTAAGTGCTTTGTCTGTGGAAGAAATGCTTGAACATATGGGGTCATTTAGTTTTGTAGATTTTCTGGCTCCTGCTCCCTTAAGTTATTTGGATATTCGCAATGGCCTTCTTGACCGTTGTATTTTCTTCTCTTCATAGAGGATGAAAAATGAGGGTGAGACATAAAATGTATGCTGTGTTCACGTGTATGTGCGTGCCTTTCTATGTGGCAGGTGTATGGAGGACAAATGACAAGGGTGTAATGTAAGCTGCCCCTGTCTGGAGAGGGAGAAAGTATTGGAAGAACAAACAGCTGGGATCCTTCTGGAGGTCGGTCAAGGGTGGCAGGGATTGAGAAGACGATGATTGTGCTCCAGATTTAAAGACTTCTAAGTAGGGAAAAACTTCTGCCTCCCACGAATCCCCACACCTTCCTCTTCCTAGGTGATAATATTTCTATGGCAGAGTGATGATAGTGTTCCCAAATTTTTGAAGGTACCTTGTAGAATCTGGAGCTTCGTGAAGATTAAGAAGACCTGGGCAGGGTAACTTCTGTTTTATAGAAGATAGAAAGAACATTCTCCCTGTGAAGAGTACTTGGAGAAAGGCTGGTCAATGGCCAGTGTTTTTGTCTTGATGCTGCTTGTAGCTGTCTGTTTAAGGAACAAAATCAGGAACTCTGAGTGTTTGTGGTGGGTCTCTCCGACTTTTCATTACCTTAACTCTCTCCTCAAGAGGTTTTATGTCTTGGCCTTGAAGCACTATAATCTAGGGGATGTGGAAAAAGTACTCAAGGACCAAGTGAAGAAATAGTGCTTGCATCCTGGGGCTTACCTCAGTCCTCCTTCTAATCATGTCTATACAGAAATTCTTTAACAGCATTTATAAAATGAGAATAATGATGATTGCCTGTTTAGTTTGTTGTAGAGTTATGAAAGTAAAATGATACATTTTTCCATTTCTTCTTTACTGTTGCATGTGTGTGTGTCTGTGTGTGTACATGCTTGCATGTATGTGGCTGCACATGTGATGTGTGTGAGCATATGTGCTCCTGCCTGCATGTAGACACCCCAGGCTGATATCAGAAATCTTTTTTTTCCTCACTCATGTATCTTATCCATTTGAGGCAGGGTCTCTCTGTCAAACCCAGATTTTGCTTACATAGCAAGTCTTGCTCGTCATCTTGCTCTGTGGATCCTATCTCTACCTTTCCACGATGGAATCATAGGAGAGCCAGCATGCCAACCAGACACTGAGTTTTGAGATCTGAACTCCTGTCCACCTTAAGAGTCAAGGTTTTTGATGGCTAAGCTATAGCCCTAGCCCAATATAATTCATATGTAATGGAGAATAAATCTTTTTAATAATTTAGCAGAAGATAGTCAACTGAAAGGTTGAAGTTAATAAGAATAGTTAACCCTTCCAATTTCAACCCCTCAACCTCAGTTTCTCTGAGAGCTAACAGCTCTCCCTGAATTCCTTCTAGAAAATTATCTGTTGGTTATTGCTCCCCACACACATTCCTTTATGAATTACTACACATGGATTGAAAGACTCCTCAATTAAAAATTTCATCATATACCTACATGAAAAATTTATGTAAATGATAATAGCATGATTCTGAAGGACATAAGTGAAGGAAAATGTAAAGTCAGAGAAAAAGCAAAACTAACACAAAAACTAAAGTGAGTACTTGCTTTTTCACACTGATTTTTGATTATTGTTGTATAAGTGATGGTTTAGTGTCTGGGAGCATAGGAGGAAAGAGGCTGAACAACTAGGTGTAGGAGGTGTCACAAAGACTTTGTTCGCAAGGTTAAAGAATTTATAGTTTAGAACACCATTAAGACTTGATTATAGAGGATCCTAATGACTGTCTGTGCTGGGTTATTGGAAACATGATTCAAAGTCACTGGAATGTAATCCAACTGAACTGGTAACTGACTGTCACAACTCAATTTATTTTAAAGTTTAAAAGATTCTCTGGAGTTTACAAAGGAAATTTAAATTTTTCATGCATTATATTTAGATGAGTAGTTGGTTGGCAGTGTGGGTAGGAGTTGGCACTGGGGTAAAATTAAGGATCATGTTATGTTTAAACATGTTCGCTTTAGTTCAATCTTGGGGATTCTTGAAGTATTAACAGATTGCTGAATATATGACTCCCAATCTGTAGGCTAGAAATGCAGGTTCAGTTGTTATCAGGTGTTGTGTAGAGTCACATGAATGATGGAGAGTGCTCCAAGAGAGTGGGCAGTTTAAAAGGGGGCTCTGGGCCATCAGCATTTAATAAAATAGGAGACTAACAGACAACTGAAAAGAATTCAGAACTGTAGGCAGAATATTCGGTGTTGAGCTTATCAATAAGTGGAATGTTCCAGAAGACAGTCCTTTAGTAGGGTGAAGTGATTAAGACAATGCCCATTGTATTTGACAACTTAGATGCTGGTGACCTTGGTAAAAATTATATGCAGTGGAATGCAGGAAACACAAGCCTTGCCAGTGATAAATGAGGAAGCAATAAGGACAGTGTGCAACTGTATAGAATTATACTGTTGCTGTCTTCTGTTTGGAGACAGAGTCCAATGTAGCTCAGGTTGGCTTCAAATTCACTAGTTAGCAGAGGACAGCCTGAACTTGTGACTTCTTTGTGTACCTCCCCAGTGTTGGGTTTGCAGACCCTTTGCTTGCTTGTGCTCTGCCGAAGACTGAACTCATACTCTTGTGCACGCTCGGTGAGCTACATCCACAGCTCAATGTTTAACCTCTGGGAGGATAGCTAGGAAACGAAAAAGAAAGGTGAAGCAGTAGCTATAGAAGAACAGTCAAGTCCGGGGCGGTGGTGGCGCACACCTTTAATCCCAGCACTCGGGAGGCAGAGGCAGGCGGGTCTCTGTGAGTTCAAGGCCAGCCTGGTCTACAGAGTGAGTTCCAGGACAGGCTCCAAAAAAATACAGAGAGACCCTGTCTCCAAAAACCAAAAAGAAGAAGAAGAAGAAGAAGAAGAAGAAGAAGAAGAAGAAGAAGAAGAAGAAGAAGAAGAAGAAGAAGAAGAAGAAGAAGAAGAAGAAGAAGAAGAAGAAGAAGAAGAAGAAGAAGAAAAGTCATTGACTGGTTAGAGCCACTTGAGAGCCACCATGAGTGGCATAAGCAGCTTTGGAGGGAGAGCTTGACAACACCTGCTGACAGGAAAGAATTGACAGAAGTTGGGGGGCGATTTTGAGAAGCCCAGTTATGGGGGAGCTAGAACATAAAAGCAAGAAGCAAACTTGGACAAGAGAAAAATCATCTGTCACTGAGAACATAGGGAGAGAGACTGGAGTTTACTCAGCTGCACATACATTTTAAAGAAAAGCTTGGGTTGAGAGGAGGGAGATGAAGTAATTTCTGTAAAGCAGTTACTTTTCCTTTGCGGAGAGGATGTTGTGTAAGAAATAATAGGACGCAGATAACTTTGAATCACAGAGATGATTAAACATTTACAGAGGAGCTTGACTTTTCGCTGATTCTCTGAATGTGAGGTGGGAAGAGCATCATTGGGTCACAGGTACAAGTTTTGGGGGGAGGGGGGGTGAACCCTGGTGGTCTCTATGTTCAGACAAAATATCAACACAGAAATGAATATTTGGCCCCTCTTTTTAAGGTTTATATCCAGTTGAGACATAAGGACAGACTGCGAGTTACACAATGCGTGTCGAGACACAGACCAGTCATGAGTAAGAACTAGAAATTTCTAAGAGTACAGAGAAGTAGAAACCTGGATGCTGTTAAAGAATAAAGCTTGAAGCACATTCTAGCTACTTTCTGTTGCTGTGATAAAACACCATGACCAAGGTTACATAAAGAAGGAAGAGTTTATTTGGTTTTATGTCTCTAGCGGGACTCAAGAGTCCATTATGGTGGTGAGACATGGCAGCGGGCAGGCATGGCGGCCAAAGCAGACAGCTGAGAGACCACATCCTTAGCGGTAAGGACAAAGCAGAGAGAATGAACTAGAAGTGGACCAGGCTATCCCACCTTGCGATGCACTCCTTGATCACGTGTCACCCCCAAGGATCTGAGCTGTACACCGCCAAAAGTTCATTGGCCGTGGAGGGTCCCTGGGTATCGTCATTTATGGCCTGTTTGATTCTCAGACACAAAGGTCACCTTTAAGAATCATGTGACGTGAATCCACAACAATGACCCCAGCTAAGCAATAGCGGAGAGGGTACCTGAACTGGCCCTTCTCCTACAATCAGATTGATGACTACCTTCACTGTCATCATAGAACCTTCATCCAGAAACTGGAGAGAGGAGATGCAGAGGTCCACAGCTAAGCACTGGGCCGAACTCCTGGAGTCCAGTCGTAGAGAGGGAGGAGCGATGACATACGCAATGGGGTCAAGGCCATGATGGGGAAACCCACAGAAACAGCTGAACGGGCAAGTGGCATCTAGGGAACCTACATGAGACCAAACTAGGCTCTCTGAATGTGGGTGACAGCTGAGTGACTTGGGCAATTTATGGGGCCACTAGCAGTGGAACCAGTATTTATCCCAAGTGCATGAACTGACTTTTTGGAGTCCATTTCCTATGGAGGGATACCTTACTCAACCTAGACACAACATGGAGGGTCTTGGCCCTGCCTTAAGTAATTTGACAGATTTTATTGATTCTCTCTGAGGAGTGGATGGAGGCTGGAAAAGATGGGCAGAGCAGGAGGATGGGAGGGAGAAGTAACTGGGATTGGTATGTAAAATAAGATTGCTTTACAAAAAGACCAAATTGAATTTTAATTATGCCATTGTTTGATTTTATATTGTTCTAAGTTTGAGTAGCTGTTTACTGGTAACTCATGACAATTTATTTTGGGGTTGGGGAGGATGTTAAATAAACCTGAAACCACTATAGTAAAAGAATTGAGGTTTGTGGGGGTGAGGAGAACAATAAAATACCGTTTTGTGGCCGCAAATGAGCCTCTGATTTTAGCTGGCAAGCTCAGTTTTGTGAAGAGAGAAATCCTTTCCTGGACTCTCACTGAGGACATGGCCTTCTAGTCTGTATTTTTCTGCCAGGCCTCTGGGTCAGGGATCTGGTAGACAGCCTTGGAGAACTGGCAGGACTCTTGTCTGTCCTCTCTCCAGATTGGGCAAGGGAACCTCAGTCTCTTGATGCTTCTCCTCAGAGCCCAGGGTGTGTGGGGGCTTGTTAGCATAGTAGCCAGGTTGTTTACCATCCACTCTTCAGCTCCTCCTGAAGGAGGTCTCCGCTGCTCTGTCAGAGGGCCTCCCAATAGTACTTGCACTCACTGAAGCCGCCCTGCAATATCTGTCCCTATCCTTCCTTCAACCTCTCTTGCTCTGCTACTCAAACCCCTCCCTCCGTCTCCCTTCTTATTTTTTTGCTGTATTTCCTGGAACTGGTCTATGACACCCAGGATCAAACAGACTGTTCATTCTCCAGCGTGATTGCACTTTTTTTTTATTAGCAATCTAGAAAGTTTGGATGAGCATGAACCTTGCTTCTTCCTAAGGATTCTATTGACTGAAGTCTCCTACCCCACTTCAAGGTTTTAGTGGGTGACCCTACCCCTGGAGGTGTCATGAATTAGCTCCCCTCTGCTGGAGATACGAAGCCACCTGATTTCAGGTGAAGGTGGTCAACTACCATCTTGGGACTACCCAAGTGCAGCTTGCTAGGGATGAGGTCCTAAGCTCACCTGCCTAATTCCAGAGCTGAGCCATTTGTTTGTGGCACTTAAGTAAGACCCCTCTGTGGCTAACAGCCCTGAATGGAGAGACTGAACCAACAGGAAGTTCTGACTTGACCTGTACCCTTATCACTTTGAGCATCACAGACTCTGGCTGCTGCTTTCCCCAGAAACCGTGTTCTCCTGAAAGAGAAGATGAACTCTGCAAAGTGTGTGATTACATTGGTTCCCCACACATTTTAACAAGGTCATTAAAACAGATACTTCTGGAGTTTGAGGAAATGCACAGGCCTCTCTTTCTGTACCCAGATCCTGACTTGTCCAAATTCCCCTAAAAGAAAGGAGACAAATGCCCTGAATTGTGTCTGCATTTCCTCCTTTACTCTTAAGACAAAATTCTACCATTGTAAAATTTTGCTCGTGTAAAGCATGTGGTTTATTGTGAGAATCGGGGTGGGGGTCTGTCTTGCCTGTGTCTTCCACACCCTTCCCTGACAGCGTTCTCAAGGGCTCACTCCTCAGGCCCAAGGCACGACCAAGACATTGGTGGGTCTGGCCATTTGTCTGGCCCCTGAGATATGTGTCACCGTTTTCACTGGGCTTGCAGAGGTTCGGGGGAGCATTTCCTTCACGTGGTGTCATGTACTGGGCCTGTCTCTGTCTGTCATGCTGTTGATGACTTGTGTGAATGCCTTTGGCGAAGCTCATGACCACAGTAGGGCAATGGAGCTGCTGTTTAAGAGATCCCAGTTCGTCAGCATCTCCACTGAGACCTTGGTGATGGGGTAGCAGAATGACAGTGCTCCTTTTCTACACTGTGTGTGGAAATGTGCGCATTTGTCATGTGGTCAGGGGCGGGATCTGACCTTCGCATTCAGAACAAATCGTTGTATTCTCACCTTTTAAAGGTAGTAATGTCATGTGACTAAAAGAACATACATGAAAAAATTTACAAAACCACAGAGCAAGCAACAACAAAGAAGAAGATGTAAGTGAGTCCACAAGAAAGGGGGGAACATAAAGGCTGGGGAGATGTCTCAGAGGAAAGTGGCTTGCCGCACAATTCTGAGGGCCTGGGATCTGAAACCTAGCACAAATGTAAAAGCTGGGATGGAATGTACGTGTGACTGTAGCCTCAGCTGGGATCAGGATCAAGCTTATTTGTGTTATCAGGTTCTTGTAGGTTTGATGATTCAATGTGTGCCTCAGAACCATGTCACAGGAATTGGAGGAGACTAGGACTCACTCTTTCTTGATTCTTTTCTCCCTAGCTGGGCCTTCTTTCCTTCTGTACAGGCTGAGTGTAAAGTCAAAGTAGCAATGAAGAGGTCTTTATGACCATCTCCGTCTCTTGTCCCTCCATCCTGAGTATGCTTGTGCTCTCTCTCTCTCTCTCTCTCTCTCTCTCTCTCTCTCTCTCTCTCTCTCTCTCTCTCTCTCTCTCTCTCTCTCCAGGTCTTTACGATTTATTTGCTTTTCCTTGGGAAACAACTGATATTGGGCATGGTGAGACAGCTTAGCAGGCACTGGCACTTGCAGCTAAAACGACTCCAGTCCAATTCTGTAACCCACATGGTAGAAGTAGAGAACAGATTCCTACAAATTGTGTCGTGACTCTCCACCTGGGAGACACACATGCTTATAGAAGCATTTGTTTACTGGTTTATGTAAAGAGAAAAGCTGATAATCAAGTCTTTTGTGAGCATATTGACTTCTGTGTATGTATCTCTGAGTGTGTGGGTGTGTGTGTTTTCTATGTGCATATATGTGTGTGCAGGTGTACATGCATGTATGAACATGCATATGTAGAGGCCAAAAACAATGGGTGTCTTTCTCTATTATTCTCCACTTTAGTTTTTGAAACAGGTTTTCTTTTTTTTAATGATTGTAATTTTTATTTAAATTAGAAACAATCTTATTTTACATATCAATCCCAGTTCCCTCTCCATCCCACCCTCCTATGTCCCTCATTGACCCCTCCTCCCCCCTCCCCATCCCACATCCATCCACTCCCCAGGGAGGGTGAGGCCTTCCATGGGGGATCATCAAAGTCTGTCACATCATTTGGGGCAGGGTCTAGGCCCTCCCTATGTATTTAGGCTGAGAGAGTATCCCTTCCATGGGGGAATGGGCTCCCAAGCCTATTTTTGCATTAGGAATAAAAAGCGGTTCCACTGCCAGAGGCCCCATTTCTTATTGAACCATCAGCTCAAAGATTCAGCTGGACTAGGCAGCAGATCTCAGGATCTTTCTGTCCTTGCCTCCCTAGCATGCCCAGCTGGGGTTCCAAACTTAGAGCCTTGTGCTTTGAACGAAGCACTTTCCTGACCAAGCCACATTTCCCATCTCACATGCTGACTATTCTATCTATCTTCTGTGGCTGACTCATCTGTGATTTAACCTGATTTTCTCTTTCTGTCTAGATGGCGAGAAAGCTCAGTATATTGGAAATCCTTCTGATCACTTTCAATATAGTTGCGTTGGCGGTAGACATCCTTCTGTTGCTTCTTGTGCTGGAGAACCCTTCAGGTAAGGGTGATGGTGGGTGCTACGCTTGGAGGATAGGCAAAGGAAGTCCCTTCTGGGATGCCATAGATGCTATTTTATTCATTCATTATCATTCCACCACACAACAAACAAGACACAGATAAGAATATTCAAGGCCTCAGACTGGGCAACAGTTTATCAGCTGAAACTCAGCTACAGAAACCAAAGGGAGGTAATAACCAGATTGGAACTAAACAAAATTGAAAATTGTTGGCCTTTAAATGACATTATTAGCAGAGAAAAAAGATAGGCCACCGGAAATGCATTAACATTTTCAAATGACACATATGATGCTACTTAGCATCTATGATGCACAAGAAACACTGTAACTCATGTAATATTGTTATTTTCCTAAATGGATGCAGTTATTAGTATGACTACTCGTTGCTAGACATGTAGATCAGTTTGTTACTTAGTCTTTGTCAGAGAAGCTTCTTCCTTCAGTAGACGGCAATTAATACAGAGACCCTCAACCTGGTCAGTGTACAGAGAATAAGAAATTGTGGAGTGCTCAGCTCAGAGTGGGATAGACATATCACACCCCTTTCACCAAAGCTCAGAGGAAGAGGAGGTAGAAAGATTGTAAGAGACACAGACTTCAAAGACACCATCAGTTCAGAACACAACATGAAGCTTGCACATATGAACTCACAGTGCTCTGAGAGCATGTACAAGACTCATGTAAACTCATACAAGATAAAACTCTCAGCACAGACTGGGAAAGTGGACACAAAATACCACCACTAGCTGAGGAGCTTTTGCTGATTGATAGTTGCTATGGAAGGGAGAAAGCTTTCTTTAATGAGATGCTTTTGATAGGTTAACCACAATCTAGGGAAGGCCCCAGTCCAAGTTTAGCTGGGCAACAAAACTGGACTTTATGGTGAGGGGAGGAAGAGAAAAAAAAACCTCAAAGTTTGGTGAGTAGGGAAGAGTGATATGAAGAGATATGAAAGAGTAGATATGGGAGGAAAAATGATCAAAATACATTGTAAAAAATTCTCAAAGAATCATAGTAATGTAAAAAATATGATTCATAAACAAATAGAACAAAGCAAAGAATAAAATTAGACCATACTCACAGAAGATCTACAAATGACCCGAAGACTAGAAAGCATATTCAGTGTCATTAATTATTTGGAGAAAACAAGCTATCAATAAGATTAGTGTTCGTTGAGTTGTCTATAATAAAAATATGTAGCCAGTGGTGATCCTTGGTTCACAGAATCTTGGAATCTTCATATATTCCCAAGAGGAAAATAATGATGCAGCCACTTCTGCAGTTTGTAGAAAATAATAAAAGATGACTCAGCAATTCCATTTTCAGACTTGTAACTAAGAGAACAGAAAAAAAACCGCATTCACACAGAAACTGCTGCAGAAGAGAATCATGTGTTGTTATAGCAGTCACAGACATGACGAAATCAATATGAATGCTCATCAGTTGCGTTATATTCGCATGATGGAATAGGATTTACCCGTAGAAGGACAAGAAACACTGATGCAAGGAAGAACATTGAAAAGCCCGTGACAGGCGCGCTCTGTTTATATAAAACAACCAGGATACACAAACACGTGGAGACAGAAAACAGATGCATTATTTTCCTCAGACCAGAAGAAGAGGTGAATAGAAAGAGGTCACTAATAATTACGTGATTTCTTCTGGGTTTGATGAAAATGTTCTAGAATTACTGGTAGTTAATGTTTTTCCAACTTTGCAAAAACTAACGAAAACAATAGTGTCTTAGTCGGTTTCTATTGCTGTGATAAAGATGGTGATGAAAACCAACTTCTGGGGAAAAGGTCTGTTTCATTTTAACAGTCCATCGCTGAAGGAAGTCAGGGCAGGAAATCAATTTGGAGGCAGGAGCTGATGCAGAGGCTATGGAGGGGTGTGGCTTACTGGCTGGCTCCTCATGGCTTGCTTGGTCTGATTTCTTACAGCACCCAGGACCTCCAGCCCAGGGGTGGCTTTAACCCACACTTGACTGGACACTCCCACATGAAACACTAATTGAGAAAATGCACCTTGGACTTGATCACAGGTCCATCTTGGGACATTTTTCTCAACTGAGGTCATTCCAAAATTACTCCAACCTGTGTCAAATTAGCATTAAAAAAACTACAACAACTAGGTAGCACATATAGACTTGCGTGTTTTAAGGGGCTGAATGAATGGTCGTAGGATTATAAGTCTTTAAAAGTTATCCAACTAATTAAAAAGTGATTTAACATTAGAAGTGAACACTGTGCACAAACATTGGTATATGACCAGTGATTTGATTGGAGAACAGACCTAGAGCCTGTACCTGTTATTACGCCACAAGTGCCCACTTTGGTTTCTACTTTCTTTACAGGTTCATTTACTCCCGAGTGTCCAAACATCGCTGAGTCAGAAAGAATAGACTGTGCGCCCGGGAAGGTGGTGACAGAGGTCAGCCATGGGGTCCCTGCTGGTAGCCTACAGGGTTTTATTTTAAATAAGTGAATACGCTAATTGCGAAGGGAGAAACGGTTCTGCAATTTCTTGTCTTGATAAATAAACTGCTGCATTGAGGAAGTGCAGGGTACAGGCTAGGAAATGAGGTTCAGGGACAGACAAGTTCCAAAGGCTGAAGTAGAAAGAGAATACCAGTGCTGGAACCACTATCAGGTGTGGCTTGACGCTGGTTAGCTGGTTAAATGTTTGTGGTCTAGCCTACTGCTCCTCCAGAAAGGGACCAGCAAGGAAGTGTGCTCGATTAAGTCTCTTGAACTTGTGTCACTTCGTGTAACAAGAGCCCTCTGAAGTTGAGTAACTGGCAACTGAGCTCCCAAGAGACATGTATAAAAGAACAGATTTCCCTCCTGGGTGATATCCATGAGAATACAAATATTTGAACCTTGTCTCATTGTGACCATGGGACTTATGTCCTAATAGTGATGTGTATTTGGATTTCATTTCTATACCCCGTATTTTATATTCTGTATCCAGAATGGTTATATTTAAGTAGGAATTAGGGCTGTATTAAATTTTAGGTTTCAATAATTAATATCTTAGTATATTTTCTAACTATGAAGAGATAGATAGCCTCTATCTATCTATCTATCTATCTATCTATCTATCTATGGGTTTTCAAAACAAAGTTTAAATGTGTAGCTCTGGGGGAACTCACTATATAGATAGGGATGGACTTGAACCCAGAGATCTGCCTGCCTCTATGGCCCAAGTACTGGGATTGAAGGAAATCATACATTTTTGTGTGTATGTGTTGTCCCTAATATATGTTTTATTGTAAAGTTCTATTGTAATGTGAAGTTCCTTCTGGGTAGTTTATAGCTTTAGGAGTTTGTTTTTGTTTTGTTTTGTTTCTTAGGACAGGGTTTCCCTGTATACCTTTGGCTGGTCTGGAACTCACTTTGTAGACCAGGCTGGCATCAAACTCTCAGGGAATCCACCTACCTCTGCCTCCTGAGGGAGGGGATTAAAGGTGTGCACGACCACTACTCAGCCATATCTTTAGTTTTTTGTTTGTTTGTTTGGTTTTTCAAGACAGGGTTTCTCTGTGTAGCTTTGTAGACCAGGCTGACCTCAAACTCACAGAGATCCGCCTGCCTCTGCCTCCCAAGTGCTGGGATTAAAGGCATGTGCCACCACCACCTGGATCATAGCTTCAGTTTTTATTGCAAATAGAACCCATTGTATTTCCAGCTGATGCTTATTTTGATTATAATTATATTTTTCTTACTAATGATTATTTTATATGTATTACCTTTAATTTAAATTATCATTATTTATTGTATAATTGTTTATTAGCTTAAACTTGCATTCATTTCTCAAAAAGGTTTTCCTAATGTTTTAATTCGAGTTATTAATTATGCTTCTGCTTTGTTTTAATATTTATCTATCATTCATTCATATGCTCCATTTCACTTTGTAGTTCTTCCGGAAGTATTCACATAAGTGATGATGATCAGAAACCCTATTGTTGCACAAATTTTATGAAAATGTCTTTTTTTCTTGAATTTGAACGTCCTTTCTTCTTTCGGTGGACGTTTTCAGGAGAGGACCAAGTTGTAGTTGGACTGAAGTGTCATTTTCTTCTGTGGAGCTGGTATTAGGGGTAGAGTTTTCATCTGGCAGTCAAAAGAATTGTTCAGGTCAGCTCAGGCCTCCCACCAGAATCTGGAGCTTGCTCTGAGAGATGTGCTATTCCATGTGATCCTGTAAACCTTACCCTGGGTCCAAGCTAGTTCCAGCCTCAGGCCAGTGGCTTTCTCTGGCCTCTGTGTGGGTTATAGAATTCCCTACATGGCTGTGGGAATTATCCTCAGTCAGATCTGGTCTCCACTCTGGATCTGCAGCCTCTGCTCAGGCTGCTGTGATGAACTTTCACTCCTGAGGAATTCTAGTGGGCCCCACCCTGAATCTGCAGTGGCTACTGCCTATTGAAGCCACTGTCGATTGTGAGCTAGGGCTTTTTATTTCTGAATTGGTGCCTTCCTGAATGATCAGTTTATAAGTGTGGACTGGCTTCTGGTATTTGATTTTTAAAAGGCTTTTTTTGTCGTTTCCTACTGCTGTAGCTACAATGGGACTGGAACAGGTCTTATAAATCCTCAAAATCATTCCTATTTTCAGAGTATGAATTACATACATTGCTTTAAGTTTTTTAAATTTATTTAATGCTTTATTCCACTTAAATATTGTTTTCAAATTGAAAGTTTCTGTTTACCATCAATATAGATTTTTGAACACCGATTTTGCAACCAGAAAATTTCTTGAGTTTACTTCTCAGTTCTCTATTTTATGTAGACCTTTCTGAAGTTTTATAGTATGGTAAAGTTATTTAAAAATAAAGATAATTTTAAGATTTTTTTCTAATATATATATTTTACTTATTTTTCAACTCCAGCACACACAAAGAAAATATGTTTTTTCTCTCTCTGAAATCTCAGTAAATTTTGAGATCAATTTTCAACCATAGTAGCATTTAGAAAATTATTTTTTTATCTAAGTATAAGAAATAGTGTGGTAAGATAACAAATATAAAAATAAGATTTCCTGATTTTGCAACAAGTTGTATGCCTTATTAGAATTTAAGCACCCATCAGAAACTCTGGCGACACAATGCTTGTATCACACATCAGTGAGCTGGTTGATTTCCAGGTAATTTCCTTGTCGGGACTGCCTCTTTTTAAATTCTTCTAGCTATTTCGTCTGGTTGACAAAACGACATGGAATTTTTGCGGGGAGATAACTGAGGAACACAGTTTAGGGTTTTACGGTATTATGGGGGTGGGGTGGGAGCAAGGAGACTTGTTGGGGGGTCAGCACCAGTATTCCAGGCATGAGGTCAGGAGGGCTGTCTGGTGTGGTGAGAACTGAGATGGAAAAGAAGGGAAGCAGTGTATGAAAGGGTTGTAGAGTTTGCAGTATCGGTAACAAACTACAGGGTTTGACCTTTGGTGTGCAGCACTGAAAAAGAAACTATTAGAGCAGATTGCAGGTACAAACACTCTGTTTATCTGGAAACTGACTGTTCTTTATACAGGTCTGTAGACTTTGACATAGTTTATAGCAGTGAAACTGGCCTTTGGGTTCCCTGACCTCTCTTTCAGAGGTGGCAGGTGTTCTCAATGTCTGCCCCAGAGGGGGCTGGGGCACCCAAAGTCTCTCTCTTCTAATTTGTAGGTGTGTCTTATGTGAAAAGAACAAGGCAGGAAACTGTTTAATTTTGGGAAATAAGTGCATATCTTAAAACTGTATGACTAGAAATGGTAAGGTCTTCTCCGTAAATAGTTAGGTCGTGAAAGCCATTCTGGCTTTTCAGAGCAATTGTGTCTATTGGCATCTAAAATTCTTGTCAGTAGCGTTTGGCAAGAAGTAGTGGTATGACATCATCTTAATCTTTATAGTAGAACACACGCCACATGCATTCTTTTAACAAGGGTGTGCACAGAACAAAATGAGGGCCGTGCCATTCCTATTTTCCTTCTTCCAAAGTCCTTCCCTAGAATCAGGGTAGCAGCTTAACATGTGTCCTTCTCTTCTGTCTGACTTGTCCTCATGCTCTAAGAACAGATATGCCTGTCATCTCCCTAGGATGCCTCCTCATCCCACCCGCGCTACAAGCAGGAGGGAAACGGGTGGCATGTCTCCCTTGCTTTGGGAGACATTCTGTTGGAACCCTCAACTCATCCTGCCATCATTACTATTTGAACTTGTCTCAGTTTTACAACGAGACAGTTTAGTGAAACACAAGCTAAGTCTTAACTTAATTCTGTGCCACCGCTTTCTTACCTGGTAAACACAGAATGTGTGTTGGATGGCTAGGCAACTGTATGAGTAACTTGAGAATGAATACGTGAGTGAGTCTAATGATGACCTATCTCGGATCTTCCTTGGAATAACATGTGCTGTTAACTGGTAGGTAAGTGACACTTCCCTTCCTTTCCTTATGTAATAACGGCTCTTTTCCATTGCTATAGGATGTCTGCCGATGGCAGCATAAATGTTGCTGGAAGCCAGCGGCAGATACGAAAGCCCCTGCCTGCTTCTTCCCTAGGAACTGGGGATATGAAATCACCAGTGTCCGCACAAACACAAGCACAGGTGAGCTCTGCCCGATTATGGTCCCAGGACATCACTGTGGTTCAGCCAAGGTAGCTGCTCAATGAAAGCTAACACTATCTCTTGTTCTCATTTTTCGCCTTAGGGTTGACTGCTCGGTTGAAAAAATTGTCATCCCCATCTCTTTTTGGAAATGATATTGCCGATGCCCTCTTCACAGCTGAATACCAGACATCCAATCGTTTTCATTTTAAGGTCAGTGAGGAAGTCATCATTGGATGCAACCTTGGAGACAGCGGTGCCTTACCCTCTTCCTCTCTGTAGTAAGCAAGGGTGCATGGGCAGAGGGCTCCTTTCTGTAGGCATCTCTGGAAGAGATGGGCAGGCATCTTTATTTTGACAGGACACACTGACTGGATGATTTCACTTCAGAAATCAAAACCTACAGGGCCAAGATTTGGAAGCGTTCTCAGGGGTCACTGCTTAAAGGCATTTTTCGTAGATCTACAAGGAAGTGGTCTGACCCTGAATCATATTCTCTGTTTTTCTTCTCCCAGATCACTGATTTCAATGAGATGCGCTATGAAGTCCCTCATGAAAACATTAACCTCTTGAACGGGACTGCTGATGAATCCCTTTTGAACTACTACATAGAGGTCATCAACAAGACCTTCAGCATCCGAATAGTGCGGAAGAGCAACAAAAGAGTCTTGTGAGCTTCCCCACACTCTTTGTCTGTCTTTGAATGCAGAGTCCACATGTAGCTCATCCTGATGTACACAGCAAGATGAGGAGGACATGGAAATGAGTTTGAACCTCAGAAAAACACAAAATCGCTTACATGCCCAGTTAACAATGGTAATCTGTTATGACTATAATGCAAACAGCATGAAACTAGAATGTAATGGCTTACTAAGTTTCATTTATACATTTATAGTAAGTATACATACATGCTTATGGAGCTCATGTATTATGGACTAGGGAATGCTGTTGTTTTGAGTTATCAAAGTATTGTTACCTCTGAATCTTAGCATTAAGCACCTAATACCAATTTGAACTTACATCACAGATTTCATGGTATAAAATATGAATATAAACATCAAGAACCCTGCACCCAAATCCTGATACTAGCAAGTGTTATAAGGCAGCACATACCTCACTGCTTTTCCAGAGAGACCTCTTGTTAGCAATACTTAGCATCTCCAGTTGATGACACCATGAGAGCCCCTCTGGGGGCATCGTGAATATTGGTGCTAAAATCTGAGGTCACTCATCCCTGAATGCTTGTGGAAAGGCAGACACAGCTTCCTGCAGAACTGGAGTGTGCTTCTCTGACTCTTATTCTCTCCCCACTGTGCAGGTTGGACACAGGCATTGGGCCCCTCTACTTTGCCCAGCAGTACCTGCAGCTGTCTTTCCGACTGCCCAGCTCCAATGTGTACGGGCTGGGGGAGCACGTGCACCAGCAATACCTCCACAACATGAGCTGGAACACCTGGCCCATCTTCACCAGGGACACTACGCCCGTAGAGGTGAGGATCTACCTAGCTTGACCCCTGTTCACAGCTCACAGCCAAGAATGCTCACCCTTAATTCCCAAAAGCAGCTGGCAAAAATTTGCCCATTTGCATGGGTTTGTTTGGGGGTATACTTGCTCTTAAGTTTAATATACAGAAATTAAGAAAACTTTCTTGGAAAATAGAATTTAATGATTACATAAGATAAATAAGTTAATATTAGGAAGCTACCAGGCTTCTTGGTGTAAGCGCATAACCAGTTATTCAGGAGGCTGAAGCAAGAAGATTGCAAATTAAAGGCCACCCTGGCTTACAGAGTAAGTTCAAGACCAACCTGGGTTACTTAGTAAGACCCTGTCTCAAAAATAAAAACCATGAAAAGGCCTAAGGATGTTAGTAGTGGAACGTTTGCATTATTGTGTGTATGTGAGGTTCTGGATTCCATACAGTATCACAAAAAGAAGAGAAGAAAATGCTTTTGTAAAAGTGATGCTTTCTCGATTCAATAATTATTTGGAAAAGAACATCAATCGGAGGCCATTATCAGTAGCGTTGGTAGATGGAAAGTTCCACTGTTGCTGCTCTTGTATTGCATATTAGCATGTTTCAAAGACAGCGGTATTGGTTGTTTCTTTCATTTCATATAACATTTTGACATGCATTTTTAGTGTATCCTTTCTAAACAGTATTCCATTAAATGCGTACACCCTGTTGTGTCTCTCCATTTATTATGATAATGTCATTTTGGTGCAATACGCATAATTAAATGCTGAGTATGACCTTTTGGTCCTGTGAACCACATTTATTTATTTTGTTTGTTTCTTTGATTATTAGAGACAGAGCCTTGTTGTGTTGATCATGCTGGCATAAAACTCATTATGTAGCACAGGCTGTCCAAAAAGTAGTTATCCTTCTTCCCAAGTACTGGAATTATAGGTGTGTTCCGCCATACCTTTCAGGATAAATATTTTAAACACATAATCCTGCTGTTTCTATTTTTTGCTTTCTTGATGACAGGGCAAGGTTAACCTGTATGGAGCACACACCTTCTTCTTGTGCCTTGAAGATACCAGTGGGGCTTCTTTTGGAGTTTTTCTGATGAACAGCAATGCTATGGGTAGGAAGCATCTTTTTATCTTCTGTGGATAAGACCAGATTTAGATATGATGTTTTTATTTTAAGAATTACCTTTATTTGGAGACCCTCACACAACTGTATTACATGTAGAGTGCTTCTACTGGAACTAGAACCTGACAACAGTTTAACGTGTTCAGAAATCCAGCTTAGAGACACTTGACTGAAACCCAATTCAGGGCCTTCCTCTGATGGAGTGTTCCTTCTTATATGGTATGGATGATAGGATCCATTGTTGTCCACATTCCAAAGATACCTATAGACTCGAGCATGTGTCTTGCTGTCTGCCTATAGGCAGCAGACTGTGTTTGTGATTTACATCTCATAACCAAACTCTAAGTCATCTTCCTTCAACTTATAGTCAGTGGTGTTCCAAGAAGCATCATTGATTTAAAAATATAACTGTCATATATATGATGTGTGTGTGTGTGTATGTTTATGTGTCAAACTCACCTAATAAGTTTCCAAAATATTTTTCATTTGGATTAACCCACTCATTTATCATAGAAATTTATTCCAGTGTATCCAGATAGTAATATAATTTTCTGGTTTTCCTCATAAGCAGCATGAAACAAGACAACATTTTACTTTTGATAGTGATCTTGTTTAAATTAATATAATTCAGATAACATGAGATACATTTGAAATGAAGCAGAATTTGGGACAACTCAGCTATTCATGCTTCCAAGAGATGTGTATTTTCAGGAGATTATCCTAATCATTCACCTGCATCCTTCCAGAGGTCACTCTTCAGCCTGCTCCTGCCATCACTTACCGTACCACTGGTGGCGTTCTTGACTTTTACGTCTTGCTGGGAAACACACCAGAGCAAGTGGTTCAGGAGTATCTGGAGGTGAGGGTCTGCCCTCCCCACTGTGGGGCTGTTGCTATTTTCTCATGTATTTGCTTGAGTTAACAAGACAGAAGCTAAAGTTATTAGTAGATAGTATAGATATAAATGCTTAGCTTACGCGTATTTTGTCATTTTTTAAATGAATTGACTGGATGTTTTCTGCATCACTGTAGGAAGCCTTGAGAAATGCAAACAAAAGTTTAATTCTGCTTGCTAGGCATTCTTATTGTCTATTTCCTACATCCTAACCAATCATTCCAGAGACCTGAGGCCACAAATCCACAGTGTGCATTCAATCAACAAATAAATAGGAAAGAAGAAATCATATACGGGACAGGGTTTTTTGTTTTGGAAAGATTTTTTTATTTAAATTAGAAACAAGCTTGCTTCACATGTCAATTCCAGCTCCCTCTCCCTCCCCTTCTCCCCCGCCCCCTCATCCCCCCACCCAATCCCCACTCTGATCCCCAGGGAGGGTGAAGTCCTCCATGGAGGATCTCCAGAATCTGTCATTTCGTTCAGGGCAGGGCCTAGGCCCTCCCACAAGAGTCCAGTCTGGGAGAGTATCCCTCATTGTGGGATGGGCACCCAAAGTCCATTTGTAAGCCAGGGATCAATACTGATCTACCCAAGTCCCCATAGATTACCTAGGCCTCCTCACTGACACCCACGTTCAGGGGGTTGGGATCAGTCCCATGCTGGCCGCTCAGCCATCAGTCTGAGGTCCAAGAGCTCCCCCTTGTTCAGGCCAGCTGTTTCTGGGGGTTAAACCAGCCCTGACGGGACAGGGTTTTAATCTTCTTGGAGTGTTGGCTTGAGGTACTAAGAAAGTTTGAATATGTCAAGCATATGGTATTTTTTCACCCATCACACTCTTGATTCATAAGTTTTTACCCTTTCGTCATTGCCAGACACCACCATCTGCAGTTACACGAGCCATCTTTGTGTCGTTCGTCTGCGAATCCAGGAATACCGCATGCTTTGTGTCATTTACACTCTCAGTGCCTCTAGGGGACCTTGTCACACTGCAAGCATTAAGAGAATATATTAGACGGATGAATATCATTGTTTCTATTGTTTTTCGGGGCCCAAGCTACAACTCAGTGGTTGGGTGCTTGTCTATTATATGTGAGACTCTGGCCTCTATTCTCAGCACCACTCAACAATAAAACAAAACACCAACTGTGAGGATTAGTGTTAACGGTCAAGTTGACAGTGCCTAGAATTATCTAGGAGATGGGCCCATGGGAATGCCTGCAGAGAACTCTCTTGATTACATTAATTGTATTCCAAGACTTATCTTGACAGTAGACAAGACTATTTCTTAGGCAGGATGGGAAGAGCAAGGAAACCATTAGAAAGCATTCATTGAGCACTCTCATCCCCTCCCTCCCTCCCCTCCCCTCCCTCTTCTTCCTCTCCTCTAGATGAAATATGACAAGCAATTTCAACCTTCAGCTGCCATGATGGACTGTAACTTGAGCCAGAATAAACCCTTTTCCCCTTAAGTTGCTTTCATTGGAGTATTTTATCACAACAACAAGAAAAGAAATTAAGACCCACCTACCAATCAGATAGAACTGCTTTCCCCTTTCCTCCATTTTTTTTTTGCTCTTGGACTTCAGCCAACACTTTCTTGCACACTAAACACTGTACCAACCCAGCTGCGTCTCAAGCCTATTTCCCTTGCGCCTTTCCCAACCTTCCTTACGCTGCAGCCCTTGAGTACAATCCCTCATGTTGTGGTAACACCCAACAAAAAATTAGACAGTTGTTATTTCATAACTGTAATATCACTGCTGTTATGAATTGTAATGTAAATTTAAAGAATCAGGATTTCTGATGTGTGATGCTTAAAGGAATCTCTACCCACTGGTTGAGAATCACTGCCAGAGGATGACACTATTAGTCCAACACATTCTGGCAAGTCTATTTTTGACTACTGTTGCTGCTGTTGGGACATGTTTAGTTGTTTAAAGTGATGAATGACATGAGCTTTGGAATTTAAAGCAGGAGATTCCTTTGGTTTCTGACAATTTTAGATTTGGGGACTTTATAGAAAATGAAAAGGAATAAATGATTCGGATGGACTTTATGCTACCATATTCATTAGCGTTTGTTACAAAAGGTCAGATGCTTTTTTGCCTCTCTTCCCAGGTTGTTGGACGATCATTCTTGCCTTCATATTGGAGCCTTGGATTTCAACTCAGCCGCAGGGATTATGGTGGCCTTGTTGGGTTGAGAGAGGTTGTATATCGAAACCGTGATGCTAATATCCCTTATGTGAGTTGAGGCTTTTCTTATCATGGTTTATATGCAATTCCATTTCTTCCTTTTCCTTTGCATTCTATTCAATTAGGAAGGAAAATAGAATGGTAGATTCATAGGCATACACACAACATCAGAAATTAACATACTGAATTGTCCATATGCCCATGCAAAGGGCATCGTTCACACAGTCAAAGGACTTGAATTTTAGTCTTATCTTTTCACATCTCCATGAAATGTTGCATTAGTTAGTTAACTGCTGTATATTGTGGTTTCTGTCTTTAAAAAGTAAAAATTTTACACTTACCTCAATGGGGGCTTTGGGGGTAAGAAATACTTTAGATAATGCACGTAAAACATTTAGCCCTGAGAGTGAACACCATCAAACTTAGTTGTAACTTTATGACTGAAATCAGCACATGGTGATATGGTTAGAATGAGATGAAGATGATAATAATTATTTACAGTAAGCTAGTTTCACAGCTATCTTGCAAAACTCCTTGCAGATTAACTGTGAACTCCATGATTGCAAAGTATTTATGATGTTCAAAGTTCTCCTGTAAATCAAAAGGTAACTCCAAGTGTCTAAGGTCTTAAAAGCTCTTCACATGGTCAATGAAGCTGTCAAAATAATTACCTTATGGTTAGCTCTTCAAGCTTTGGAGCTTCAGTTAAGACATATGTATATGTGGTTAGCATTTGATGGAAACTCTGTGGGTGGAAATGGTGGAAATGACTTTGGCCTGGTCTCAGGGAATCCAAGAGGGCAAACATAGCAATCAGGTTTTCTTAGAAGAAATACTCCTACCATCATGTTTGGTACGGAGGGGAAATTGATAGTATTCAGTTTTACCTTCCCCATGTATGCTGTCTGGAAACCCTCAGTTCTAGAAAAAAATCAGACCAATGTTTTACATACCTGTATTATTTTAGAAAGACTTTTTCAGCTGTGGCTGGCTGTCATTTATCACCGTTTACGAATGAGGCAATGTGTGGTTCCACTTTCCTAGGATTGCAGATTAACTGTGAACTCCATGATTGCAAAGTATTTATGATGTTCAAAGTTCTCCTGTAAATCTAAAGGGAATTCCAAGTGTCTAAGGTCTTATAAGCTAATCAGAAAGGTCAATTTGTACAGACCATTCTTGTGACTCTACTGTAGTGTTCTTTCTGGTCTGTCTTCCTCTGCTTCTGCTGGTGTTACCAAAACAGATGAGCTCTTATTTTGTGGTTGGGAGGAGCTCCCTTCTCTGGGGATATGTGTGGTACCTACGGCCTAAGGGATCAGAGCAGAAGATACCACATTGGGCATCAAGCCTCATACCACATGAGGGTCTTAAGTGAGACTTTCTTACAATCATGGAGTATATGGAAGATTGGAAAATAAAGGATACCAAGAGTTAGGTTCCTTTAGCTCCTCATTCCAGTGACTGGGAAATAACCTTTAACCCCTCCGTACTCCAGTCTCATTAAGAACAGCATCTTATCCTCACGCACTGCTAGGCAAACACCAAACAATGCGCATAAAATAATTTCACTAGTTAAGTTTCTATCTCTTTGTCACTTAACTTTATCAGTCTTATCCCTCTAGCAGTTTAATAGAGCAAAAGACTCCTTCATACTCTCACGCACTTATGTTTTGACTTGATATTTGTGGTTATAAGTTCCCTCACATATTCATTCAAATATGCATTTAATGAATACCAGCTACATGCCTAGCAACTAAGTCCTCAGGTTTCAAGGATAAATAAGACACACTTCCTACCCTATGTTCCTCAAGGTACCTCTTGGCATCCTTTTATCAGGTTGAGAACACAGAGCTTCAGTCTGAGAGCAGCTTTCAGAGGGCTCATTTATTTCTAGGAGCCAGCCAACCTTGGGGAATCCCAGTACTGTAAAGCTATATAATTTCTCTTTTAATGGTTAGGAACTAGAATTGAAAACCTTCCAATGAGCCAGGTTCCCAGATTCTGACTGCTCAGAACTGTCTTCCAGGATGTGCAATACTCAGATATAGACTACATGGATGGAAAGAAAGACTTCACTATTGATGAACAGGCTTACCCCCAGCTGGCAGACTTTGCTAAGGACCTGCATGACAATGAACAGAAGTATGTAATTATTCTGGTACGTTCAAACACTTCAATTGGTGCCTCATTTTTGCTTTCAAGTTGCAAGAAAGACTTACCCAAATGACGTTTATACCTTGCTTATTTATTAGAACCCTGGCATCTTCAAGGACCATAACTATAAGGTCTACAACAATGGAAGCAAGAGCAGAGTGTGGATCATGAGCTCCAGTGGCTTTGCTGTTGGGGAGGTAATTTCTCAAGAAATCCAGAATAAATAATAGTTTGGGCAAAGATTGTGCTTTTTAAATGAAGATAGGTAGCATGCAAGTTGCAATAGTGATTCTTTTATGGCCTTAGTAGTTTTATTCTATTTTAAACCAATAGATATGATAATAAAGTTATTAAAATTCTAAAAGTTATAAAAAGCCACCCCAGACTCATTAGTATTTCAGATATATAAAACAAAAAAGCCAGTAGGAGAAAATTGCTTTAAGTCTGACTGCTTCTCAATTTCTCTTCTCTGAGATGTTAAATTCAACTTCAATAATGTAACAAGACGCTCATGATGAGTGTGGAACCCAGTTCAGATAGTACACAAAACTTAATTTACACAAAACCCATAGCTAAAGCCCAGGCTAGACTCCGAGGTATCATTTTCAGAAATTTGGATAAATGACCAAAGAGTCAATTTTCAGAACAGTGATACTTATAAGACTTTGATGATTCCCCCATGGGAAGTCTCACCCTACCTGAGAAATGGATGGGGATGGGATGAGGACTTGCTGGGGGGAATGGGAGGATGAGAAGGAGAGGAAACTGGGATTCATATTTTTAAAAAGATTATTTTTAATTTAAATAAAATGTAATTTTAAAAAAAGACTATGGACTTTCTGATGACTCACGTAGCTAACCTTTTATTCCAGTTATATATAAAATTAACCTAGATGACTGAATTGTGCCAAAATTTATAAAAAATGGTACTTAATTTCATAAATCCATGTCATAGTAAAGTATTTATAGCTCCTGGGCTGTTTAGTTTCCAAAACTATCTTGATTTTCTATGAAGGTACACAAAGTTCTTCCTTCAAACCAAGCCTCTGCTTTCACTGTTAGACATGAATCTGTAAAACAGCAGATAGACATATTTTCATGTAGACATCAGAGGCCACAGTCAAATAAAAATTGTAGTTATGTAAAAATCATCCCCATTTGTATGAGATGTTTTAGTAGGGTGGGGTGTTTGGATGGACTACAATGAAGAATTTTTATAATTAATTGGATGATTGCCTTGACTGACCAGTGAGCGAGAAGTGTCACTTGTGGTAAGGCATTGGCAGATATAACAATAATAGAAACAAGTTGTGGGATGTTGCAAACACATTGGGTTTGTGGAAGTTAGCTTGGCCTCTCTTATGATGTTGTTGGAATTCTGTTGCAAAACCCCTTATTCCTAGGGACGTGTAAATTACCTCTATTATTACTTGGTGTCCATCAACTAAAACAAAGAATCAATAGCCCATCACATTAAAAAAGGAAATTTTAAACTTTTATTTATTTGTTGTTATTATTATTTGGTTTTGTTTTTTGTTTGTTTGTTTGTTTGTTTAGACAGAGTTTCTTTGTGTAACAGCCCAGGCTGTCCTGGAACTCACTCTGTAGCCCCGGCTACAGTGAAACTCACAGAAATGAGCCTTCCTCTGCCTTCTGAGTGCTGGGATTAAAGGCTTACATTACCACATCCAACTATTTTAAGCTTTTATCTTCTGTATTAAGAATTGTTTGCACTTTATAATGGCTCTCATTAAAGCTGTTGGATCTCAAAACAAACAAATACGCATGATTATGGACAACAGACTTGTAAGGAAGAGAATGGGTTGATGGGGTGGGAAGGAGACGAGGGAATGGAGGGACCAAGAGTAACCAGAATACTTTGTTTCCTTGTATGAAAATACCAAAGAATACTTTTTGTTTTGATTTTTCAAAACAGGGTTTCCATCCTTAACCATGGCTGTCCTGGAAGTTGCAGGCCAGCCTCGAACTCACACATATCCACCTGCCTCTGCCTCCTGAGTACTGGGATTAAAGGCCTGCACCACCAGCACCCAGCAAAGAACTTTTTAAAAATAATTCTTTACTGAATATAAACATGAAATTGTATGAGTATAAAATTAATCCGAATTCCCAATCAATATATTTGTAGAGAAAATCAACAAGAATGTTATGCTTCAGTTTATATAAGCCAGATATTTAATAATCTGGCTATGTATATACTTTTTTGTGATTGCACAAGATGCCTAGAACTACAGTTCCATACATGTAGAAAAGATAGAGAGACAGCATTGCACACTTTTGGTAGGAGGAAGAGTAACCTTATTCAAGCATTTACAAAATATTGCTTATATGATGAATTATATATGTCTACATTATAACAATTGCTCAAAACAGGTTTTGTATAATCTTTAATTGACAATATGTTAACACACATAGTCATCCTCTTAAAATATTTAACAGCTGGACTGTCCAGAATTTTATTTTAACGTTTAAAACTTGTTTTTTGAGAAATTTTGTGTGACTATGTTTACATTATTCACCGCCTCCTTTTTCAGATTCCAACTTCTCTCCCCTCCCCTCCAACTCCTTTGCCTGTCATTCTTCAATTACTATCGACATATATAGTCATAAAGATTATGAATATAACCTGCGGAGTTCACTTGATGTTTTTTCTTATCTACGCTTGTTTTGTGCTGACCCCCTGGGAAGGCTGGTCCTTCCTTTTTCAGCACCAATGGTCGTCCGTAGCGCTTCACATAGGAGTCTGCCTTCGCGAAATTTCTCCCATCCCCATTTGTGTGCCAACTGATACTCTCATTGCACAAGTCTTGTTACGGAAACCACGTTGTTGGTATTTCCTGTAGGTGCAGCTTCCTAGCCACCCGCAGAGGACATTATCTCACACCTCCCAACTGACCTTGCAACACTGAAAATTTACATTGTTAGATAGGAAAGGATGTATGGCGAACTTCCATCTCATCAGTGGGCTTTTCTTCCTTTCGATCCTTACATGTATTTTACTATGTTTGGATTTTGCTGGCAGAAAGGCAAACCCGACTCTAGATAATAAGCAATATGAGGTTTCTGGTAAAAAGAAATGGCAGTGGATAGTCAGTGACCAGCCGAACCATCATACATGCTGTCATTCCTCTTCGTTCTGCAGGGTTATCCGGGACAGTCGGTATTTCCTGACTTTACCAATCCGTCCTCTACTCTGTGGTGGGCCAGGCAGCTCACTGAATTTTATAGACGTCTGGAGTTTGATGGTGTGTGGATTGTAAGTTATCATCCCAAACTCAAATATTCACTGGAATTAACATGCCAAAATTTCATAGATGTTGACCCTGATCCATAGTAAAATAGTTTGACTGGCATACTGACTTATTTTTTTTCCTACACGCCCAGTATATATTCCAGGAAATTGGGCTCCTAAAATGCCATGTTCTTACTCTACATTTGCCACCAACTGATGTTTCATTTCAATAGTCTTTAGTATCTATTAAGTCAATATCAGCTTATAATATGGTCGCATTAAAAGTGATGGTTGCTAAAGTTACCACATTAGTTCCTAATGATTTCATCATTAAAAATAACTTAATGAAGGCTTTCTGGTTTTTGTTTTAGAAAACAGAGGTATCTTTGAAAACTTAAGATTACTTTGTTGGCAAGATAGACATTATCTTATTTTTAATTCATTTTAGAAAAATGTATTTGACCTCATTTATATTCTTTTATTGTTCCCCAGTGGAATATAAGACAGAGAAAGTGAAAAGAGCAAGAATATTACCCTGTCCATAGTTTTGAAAATATGTTGAAGTAGTAGCACCAGCATTGTAATCTTCACAATTCATAAGGCAAAGACCAACCTTTGAAATTACATATCTTAATTAGCAGATTAAATAAATTTATAAAATTAAAATATGGTCAGTGCCACTTAGAACTGTAATGTAACTTTGATACAATTTAATCCAAATTACTTATTTTTATAAAAACTGATAGAGAGGTCAAGAAGCTGGAAAGGTTGTTTAAAAAGCAGCTATGAGGCGACCTGGATATCCGGTTTTACATGCACTTCCTGCCCAGCTAATTTTACCTCCGAACATTCTCCATCCTGTGCGTTTTGTCTTTGAAGGAAATGGATGAACTATCTACGCTTCTCCAAGGTGCCAGTCACCAGTGCGAATCAAACAACTTGAACTTCCCGCCTTTCACTCCCAGTAAGTTTTCCTGTTTGCCTGCCACCCTGGAACCAGACACATTTCAGTAACTTGAGAGCCCCTCAGCCTGGCCAGGAGAACTTAGTTTCCCAGTCCGATGAATCTGCAGACATCTGAAGGACCCTCTTACTAAAGTCTGTGTGGCACCTCTTGGACACCGATTACCTTTTACTGCAAAGGGCAACCTATGGTTAAAGTGTTCACCCCCTCCCCCTCTTCCCCCTCCCTCCTTCTCTTTCCCTCTCCCTCTCCTCCCCCTCCCTCCTCCTCTCTCCCCCCATACTCCCCACTGGGTGGCCCTTCCACGAGAGCTCTCAGGAGACTGTGTTTCGGGTTTTGTGAGAAAATGTATACGCTCTAAGGTACAAATTACCTATCTTTAACTCCTATTCTCTGTCTTTCTCCCTCCCATTCTCTCCTTCAGTCCTTTTCAGTAACCACAGTTTAAGGATTTGTTTATTTTATTTTATGTGCATTGTGTTTTGCCTGCATGTCCGTCTGTGTGGGGGTGTCGTATTCCCCGAAGCTGGAGTTACCGACAATTGTGAGCTGCCATGTAGGTGCTGGGAAATGTACCCAGGTCTTCTGGAAGGACAGTCAGTGCTCTTAACCACTGAGCCATCTCTCCAACCCTAGCCATAGTTCGAAGCACCAGTGGTCCCTTGTTTAACGGAGATTGGCATTAAAGTAGCTTGATTTTTTTAACCCTTAGAAGAATTTTACAATATTTCATGATAAGGTTTTATTGAACTTAAATAAATCTCTAAGTTTCCTTCCTTTTTACCTCTCTTTCTTCTAATTAGTAATATAGGTTAAGCATCAATTGTTCTTTTAATGACTTATTTATTGGTCCTATTTCAAGTCAAGAGTGGTTTTCTTGTCTCCTGAAGAATGTGTGTATTTGCATGGAAATGATGTAGTGTGTTAGTTAACTTTTTTACTTTGTGACAAAATTCCTGGCAAAAATAGTTTCAGGAATGAAGGGTTCATTCTTGCTCACAGATAAGAGGAATGTTGTGTATCGTGGCTGCTGTTCACATTGTATGCCCTGTACGAAGGCTGAGATGAACACCGGTACTCATCAACCTTTTTTATTCAGTCTAAGCTCCCAGGCCATAGGAGCTTTCAGGGTCTGCCCTCCTCAGTTAAATGTCCCTGGAAGCAGAGACAAACCCTGAAGTGTGGCTCCTAGATTTTAAATCTAGTCTAGTCAAGTCCATACTACCCTGAATGTACTGGATCTCATGTAAATCCAGTCAGATTGACAAGGGAGATAGCCATCACTGATTGACAGTGTAGAATAGACCATGGTATGGTCTCAGTGGATTAACTCTATGAAAGTGTGTGCTTTGTTCAAGTCGCACTGTAGTGAGGTGTGAGTGGGCTGAATCCAAGCTGAGGATCAAAGATCTTGTTTCTTGCTTTGTCTGGTTCTTCCATGATGAAAGTCTTTGGTCCAAGCTTCATAGGTGAAGGAGGAGAAGGTAAAGAGGATATGAAGAGATGCAGTAAGGGTCTTAAGCTGCCCACATTTCTTCACCAGCATCTGACCTCAGAGGCACACATCATCTTCAAGAGAAGTCAATCTTCACAAACAAGACCCTGAACTTCTAGAATACTAGAATGGACAGTCTCTTTTGTTCTGCTTGTCCATCCTTTATATTCTCCTGAGACCAAGATTTAGTTGTTTCTTGGCTCCCCTGTGGCTAAATTTCTTTGAGTTTAAACTGTTTAAGTGTTTGCAAATCTCCATGGTTACCTAACAACTCCATTCTTCTCTTCTCAGTCTATGTTTCCTACTCCTTTAGTTGTCTTCTAGATCAATGTGTCGCTTTTGTTTCTTAACCTCTTAATATTGTTCTTGTTGGGTCTTTCTCTTTTTTTGTGGCTTTTATCTTTGTATGTAAAACCTCACTATGTCATTTTCTGCTTGCTCTGACATATACCTCATTCTTTCCCCATAGCCTTTTGTCTATTAACATGGGGTCAGCCGTGTTCCCTCCTAACTGAACCACTTCTCATGACTTCATGGTCAGGTAGAGCATGTTCTCATGGTGATGACACACATGTAACTGCTTTTGGCCTTAGAAAAGCTCTAATGTCTAATTAGAACTTAGAAAAGTTCTAATGCTCATAATTAACATAGTTGTGAGCTTCACAATGTGCCAGAAATATAACTCCCCTTACAGTATACCATTCAGTTAAATTTCCTGCTCCAAATTCTTGTTCTACGTGGCTGGTGTGAAAGTTTTAACCTTAATTTGTTCCTTGTCACATGTCTTTCCAGAGTTATGGCCCCTAGTAAGGGCCTGCACAGGACAGAACATTGGGTATGTTTGTAAAAAGGAGAAAAAAACTGAGTTTATAAGACACAGACCATTTTAGCTTAAAAAAATAAATAAAGCCACAGTGTATATTCTCAGGGTTGGTGTTTGAGATCTTATTCATGAAAATGCCCAATGTCACATGACTTGTGCTTTACCTGTGAGATAAAAGAGAATATGCCCAATTTACATCATCCCTCCTTGTGGCACATGAAGCTCTCTTAGTGTATGTGTATATACAACAGGTGCTTCGTGTTTAATCTCAGATCAAAGGCCTGGTGTCTTGACCAGGTTTCTCAAATGCCTCCTTTGTGAGTTCCAGGGAATCAATGGCCAACTCAGCTTAGTCCTCATAGAGAAAGTAGTAAAGAGTAATACTTAAAATGTAGAAACTCTTTTTTGTTTTATCAAGTGGGGATTGGTGATGGAACAATAATAAGGAGGAAACGGATCGGGCATCTGTTTTATCACAGTTGCTTGATGGAGAGAATTGCCAAACTGATGAATGTTTTCTCTAGGTGTCCTGAACGGCTCCCTGTGGGTAGGAACCCTCTGCATGGACACAGAGTTTTACTCAGGCCTTCATTATGATGTCCACAGCCTGTATGGCTACACCATGTCAAGAGCCACAGATGTGTAAGACTTTGGTTGTCTACCTGGTTCTAGATTTGGGAAGGAGGGGTGTGAAATGTGGGAGGTGACTAGTCGAGGGGATTCTGTCACATAAACGTGCTGTTCAACAATCTGTGTGATTACAAGACCGCAGAAACTGGCATACAGCAGCACTTAGGATGCACAAAGTTCGGTTTTCTGTGCAAGCTGAATTTCGATTGGTTTAGGCCTAAGGCACTTTGTCATTTCAGTGATACTCACAGGCAATAAAATATGAGGTACTCGGAGCTCCCAGAAGGACAGTGGCCACGGTCCCACTACTGAATTGCTAAGGTTACTATGGACTTTAGCGAATAAAAAAAAAGTACAAAAAAACGCTAAGTCAAATTTCCGTGGAACATACGTGTGATAAAAATTTGTTTTCTGAAATTCAGGTTTAACCGGGTGTCTTACTTTCATCTGACGACATGCTGTGTGTCACCCTTCTTCCTTACCTCTTTACTTCCTGATCCTGTAGCGTCAGCTCTCTTCTTTGTGTGCACACCACACACACCACAGACAGACAGAGAGAGACATGTGCAGACACACGTTATATATATATAAACACATGTTAGTGTGTGTGCGTGTGCGCGTGCATGCGTGCCTGTGCATGTGTGTGTGCGTGCGTGTGTGTGTGCGTGCACATGTGTGCATGTGTGCATGCGTGCGTGTGTGTGTGTGCGTGTGTATGTGTGTGTGTGTCCCATAAATATCTTCTAGCCTTTTGTCTTCTCAGTGACTCATGGTGTCCTAAGCACCAACCACAAAGCCCTGCTTCCTTCCTATCCTGACCCCTACCTCTGCCTAATCATTTTAAATTCTGCGTCTTGGTTAGTAACAGTGCCGTGCTATCTCCCAGACTATGAAGTGATAAACTTCATATCATCTTTAAGTTTTTTTCTACTTCTGTCTGAAATAAACCCTTGATTATTTTGTTTCTACCTTAGAAATTTTATCATAATCATCTTTTATTTTTTCCACAATCACTTTTTAATTAAAGTCCTCATCATTTCTCTCATTAATGACTATATATTGCTTGCCTCTCTGACCTTAAACTATCTCCAAATAATATATCCTCTACCAATTCAAATTATGGTTCAAGGCCAGGCAACATAAGCATCTCCAGGATCTTGAGCCTTAATCTGAAACCTGGGAATCAAAACACCCTTTTTCTAAAACCTCAAGATGTATTGAATGAGTGTTAAAGTTTAAAAAGAACTATTTACACTGCTGTCAAAGTGGTCTTTTTGAGTTTTCTCATTTATTTCCCCATATAATATGTATATTGGAATACATATATTACATTACACTCTTTCCTATATCATAAAATGTAAGCCCCTAGACCAGACTATGAGACACTTCCTAACCTAATTTCTCACATTTTTGCCACTTCTCAGATCTTACTTAACTGTTTGTTTCTCCAAGATCAAAACACTTCTTTCATATACTTCATAAGCTGTTAGTACTGAACAAGACAGCCTTTGTGACCTTGTGCTTTTTCCAGGTATGAAACTAACCTGTGTTGTCATTTCTGGATACCTTCATGACTATTCTATAGGCTATATTTTTTTCACATTACAATAAGCAAAATCATTTTGCTTTCATTTTGTAGTATGAAAGTCACTCTTTGGTAACTGTAGATGCTCATTTTCTTCTCGCTGGATTATAATCTCCTTTACTGAAGCCTTGGCCTTAGCTTGAAGGACTGCACACTGAATGTACATCAGTGGAGTAAATCCTTCTCTTTTCTGAACAAGAAGAGGAAGAAGGGAGGGAATGAAAAGAAGTAGAGATGAAAAAAAGTGGAGAAATGTGATCGGGAACCAGTGTTCTTCTGCAAGTTATCTTTCCGTACATAAGCATATATGTTTTCTGGACAAGGGTTCTTTCTCTCCTGGTCAGCCCAGTGTAAGAAAGTCACGACAGTGTTCAAAAACAGACAGATGATCTTTCCTCTCCTACCCTTCTTTCTTTGCTCTCCCCAACCCCTGCTTCTCCTTTTTCCTCTCTTCCTCCATCATCCCCTCCTGCTCTCCTTTTTCCATCTGTCATGGAAAATAAACCAAATAAACAGGACTCCGTTTCCTCATCTCTGTAATGACAGAACCGCAGTGGTATTCCCGTCAGTCCCTCTCTGACCTAACAGCTTTGCTTCTTAGACACTTGTGTCTGAGAATGAGGGTTGAACCAGAGAGTGAATGAGTCTCATGACTCAGGCAGTTCTGAGAAGGGAAACAGTTGCAGATTGCTTTACTGCCGGTGTCTCCGAGTGATAAAGGTGCTATAAAACCATAATTGGTTTGGTTAGTACATTCTGCAAGCTGTGGTTAATAGTTAAAAAGTAACTGTGACTAAATAAGAATTGTCTTTATGGCATACCTCGGTTTGGGAGAGTAGGTCAAATTTCTAGAAAACAATAAAGATAAATGGACTTTGACCTTTGGGCATGAGGTACTGTTAGATTTTTAAAAGTAAATGTTTGGGTCACCCTTAGTTACTTCTCCGTACCCGACTTTTGTCCCCTAAAAGTCAAAGCTTTTCATTCAGTGAGGTGAGCACATCAGGACTGGAGGTATGGATCTTCTGAAGGCTGAGTGAACATTATCTCTCTCTCCAGCCTGAAGGGAGACAGATCTTCGCAGAAATCATGAAATGATCGCACATAGGCCAGACCCAGACAAGCGAGGAAGAGAAACAGAGGAATCTCCAATAATTTTTTTTTCTAAACTGCCAGTAAGATGCCTGCTATCTAGTCTTGCTGCATAAACACCTCTCAACTGAATTCATGATCCTGTTTCGGTTTTAGTTTGTGTAGGCTGAACACATCTTCCTCTTACCAATGACTCATGGTGCAATAAAGGAAATGAGGGTAAAGAGTCTTACAGTCCACTCCAAGACACGGCCTGAACCTGAGCCAGTAAAGCAGGATTATACACAAAGCAGTAAGGCCTGTATGAAAGGACACAAGGGGGATCTGTAAGAGTAGATGGGGCCAGAACCCAACTCACTGTGATATCCGACATATACCGTCCTTCAAAAGAGCCAGACCAAAATCAGATCCAACAAGATACGGAATTCATAAACGCTGTAATCAGGAGTATGGGAGCTGGAAAAAAAATTGGAGGCTGAGACTGATCTGTATCACCTTACACAGGACGTGGAAAAGAAACTCTTACAATGGCGAACTTGTTTGCAAGTCTAGTTTTTGGTACTTGGGTTTTGCTGTTTTCCACTTGGTTGAAAAACCCAATTCCTGCGTTTGGCATAAGCTGAGTTCTATCCAGTCACAGACTGCCTCACACACAACTGGCTAAACTTTTTCAGGGCCCTAGGAACTGTCTTCCCTCTCAAGAGGAACTTCATCTTATCACGCTCTACTTTTGCTGGGTCTGGCAAGTTTGCTGCTCATTGGCTGGGAAACAATGCAGCCACCTGGGATGATCTCCGATGGTCCATCCCCAGCATCCTTGAGTTTAACCTATTTGGCATCCCCATGGTGAGCCTCATTCTCAACCTTTGCTCCTTGTTACTCTTTCTATTGCCAATCTTTAAGGGGGTTGTAAAACTAAGGGGCATGCCTCATTGTCTATGTCTTGGCAAAATCAACGTCTGTGTGTGCTGCGAGATGGTTCTGAGGACAGGATGATATAAGTGTTAGCATTAGCTTATCTTCTACACAGTTTCTGTAGGTAGGAAAGAATTACCATGAATCAAATGTATAAGAAAAAAATCCTGCCAGGAGAGAATCATTGAGTGGAAAATTGTAAGACTGGGAACTGAATGATGAGGAAGGGCCTTCGATACAGATATCCTATCTAGTCACATTACTTAGTATACCCTGTAATGAGCGTCCTCTTGTTTCTCTGGGGCTTGCTTTGAGACTTTATTAAGTGTTAAATAATATCAGAAAGAGATTTTCTTTTGTCAGGGATGTTGCATCACAGGTGTGGGCTCATGCCGTTCCTTCAAAAGGAAACTCAGACACTTTAAGAACGAATTTGATCTTTTGGTGCCTGTAGGGGACTCCAACCTCAATGAACGGAAGTACTTTCCCTACGCCCAGGGCATTTCTATTTTTCTCTATATTTACCTTAGCCAGTTGATTACCATATGCTCAGAACAACTTGAATGAGGCTTCCAAAACTGCAATGCCAAGTCCACAGTCTCCTTTCATCTGGTTACCACAGTTTTCCTGTTTCCTGAACCGAGTTTTGAATAGGCCTTTGTATCCTTGGGAAAGTCCCAAAGGAAGTTCACATAGGGGGACAATAGCTATCTGGTCAACAAAGGATGGATTAGGGCTAGGAACTACCTCTCCGGATGTAGGTCAGTTATACCCCAGTGGGGATTAAAACTAGTTACTATCACTCAGGTGCCAGGCCCAGAGCAATGCAGAAATCTGATACACTCTTTTCTTCTCGACATAAGAATACAACCAATGATTTTGCCTTTCTAGTAATCCCTTGTTTGCCTGTGTGCTAATCCTCCAGGTAGGGGCAAACATCTGTGGCTACAGAAACAATGTTACTGAGGAGCTCTGCACAAGGTGGATGCAGCTTGGAGCATTTTACCCACTGTCCAGGAATCACAATGGTCCTACCTACAGGGTGAGTTCCTCTAAGAGAAGAGGTTGAAAACTCTTGGATAATATCTACATGTTTTCAAGGAGAGGTTATAAAAACTCTTCCATACTGGCCCTAACTTCATATGGGCAGGTAAATCTTGAGTGACATGTCTAAAAGGAATGAGATAAGGATGAAAATTTATATATTGAATTGCTGTAAAAAACTCATTCACAAAGATGAGAACCTTTGGCACATCTTCTGTGCTGGTAGTAGGGCATGGTGGCACATGTCTGTAAATCCCAGCACTCAACAGACAGAGGTAGGAGGATTATTGCAAGTTTCAGGTCAGCTGGGTCTACTACATAAGACCTGTCTTAAAACAATCAAAGGTAACACATATGAGGTCCAGGGTTCAATGCCTAGTGCTACCAACAACATCAAAATCTATGCTGCTTCAATCACTTGTTATCGCCTTGAACAAGATGGGACACTGGGGATCAATTTTATATTAATATGAATTATTAATTTAATCAATATATTATGATAACATACATGATATAGTGTATCAGTATAAATATTAATATAATAAAGATTACTCATAAATAGGAGAGAACAAGGAAGACAGTTTATGGAGGAGTAAGACAGTGATCTAACATGTTGTTATTTTGTCATAACATCCTGATTTTTATGAATAGTTTGGGAGACCAGCCCACTATTGCTTTCCATGATTCTTCCTACTATTATCTTTTAAGGTGGGAGTTTCACCGTAGTCGCTGGCATCCATGTACCCAAAGAGTCTGGAATGTTATGGTGGAGACTCCACCCAAACCCCCTCTTCCATTTCTCTCCAAACCCTGCTGTATCTCAGAAACCCCACCAAATAATGACCTCTCCCCCCAGAGATGCTCAAGACCACTCCCACAGGGTATTTAGACTGTCTCCCAGAGAACAGACTCTTGGTTTACAGGTCTCTCTTTCCCGTCTCTTCTCTGGGGAGCTGGAAGGCCATCCAGGAGTATTGTATCCATTAAATGTGGGCTTTTTCTAATTTGTTTTGATTTGGATTGCTATATTGGTGGAGAGGCTTATCACAGTATAGGAACTTTTCATTCTCCTTCTTATCTAAAATAGTATTTTTTGTGGGCAACTCTACAGAAGTAGTTCAAAGTCCTTCTTAAGGTGTTTATAATGCAGCAAGAACAAATAAGTTGCCGTTGAAATACTTAGAACTGAGTGTTGTGGTTTCAATAAGCTCATTAAAGTGGTTTCATTAAAGTGACTAATGGATAAAATGCTTGCAGCACAAATCTGAGGAGAAGAGTTAGGATGGCCAGAACCCTTGCAAAAGCTGGGCAGGTATGGCAGTAGCCTGAAATTCCAGCATTCAAGAGGCACAGGCAGGAGACCTCCAAAACAAGCAGACTAGATAGACTATCTTGAATGGGTTAGTTCCAGTTCCATAAGAGGTCCTGCCTCAAAATAAGTGTATCAAGGAAGACACTCAGCACCCACTTTGGGTCTCTATACTCACACTCAAACAAGGGTCTCTCTCTCTCTCTCTCTCTCTCTCTCTCTCTCTCTCTCTCTCTGTGTGTGTGTGTGTGTGTGTGTGTGTGTGTGTGTGTGTGTGTGTGTGTGTGTGTGTGTTGGCTAGTTTTATGTCAACTTGACACAAGATGGAGACATTTTGGAAGATGAACCTCAATTGACTGGCTGTTGCGAGCCTAAGGTGCATTTCTTGATTGATATAGGAGTAATGACAGCATTCAAATTCCAGCCTAGATGCTCTCTTGGTCCAGGCTAGGGGCTAGACAGCAGGTGGGTAGGGTTTTTCTAAAAGGACACACGTTCTCCTTTCATGGCTCTTTATTCTTCAAAGATGGAGGCTTCCCAAAAACGTTCTCTCTCAAAAGCTCTCTCCAAAAGTTCTTAAAAATTCTCTAAAGTTCTTTCTGAAAAGTCTCCAGAAGTTGCTTCTTCTAAAAGTTCTACTGATGTCTCTCCTATCTCACAGGCTTCTAGTTTTTATACCCACAGGCACATTTAGCAACTCTCTGACAACAGGGCATTCATAGCTCTCAGCACCAGGAAGGCTGGGTAAGATCTTGAGAAAACTAGGTACCTGGCATCTCTCTCCTGGAAGTGACTTGCAAAACGTCCTGGCAAACTTAAGTCTCAAGGGGGGACATGACTTGCAATTTGTGCTGTTAACTGATTAAAAGGGACTTCTCAGTGCTATATCAAATGGAAAAACTAAGTCTATGTAGTATGAGATCCAGAGGCTGCTGCCCTTACTGCTGATGCCCCCATGAGAAGGAATTTCCTTTCTCTGGGGCCTGTTTGAGAATACAAAGCACCCAGTATATATTCTACATACAGCCAAATTCGTAGTAACACATATTCTGGGGTTGATACCTAGAATATTAATTGGTACTTCTGTAATAAATGATAAGGGCTCCCAACATAGGAGGAAACAGAGCACTATGGGTGCTACTACCCTTAGGGTGCTGGTCCATGATGCTGTAGGAAATGAGGTTGAGTAGCCATGAGGAGTGAATAGTAGTTACTCCTCTATACTCTGTGCATTAGTTCAGGCCTCAAAGTTTTTGATTTGAGTTCCTGCCTTGACTTCCTTTGATGATGGGTTATGGCATGGATGTGTAGACAAAATAAATGCTCTTCTCTCCAAGTTGCTTATGGACATAGTGTTTTGCCATGACAATTAAAAATCCTAATTCAGACAACATATCCACATGCAGGATAACATGTATACACCCACATACATATTTCTCACATGCACATGTACCAAAAATAAAAAGCAACTCATTGGAGTAAACTCATGATCATTTTGGTTCTGGCTCTTGACTTTGTGCAATGACATGTCTCTTCTGGGGGTATGCAGATTCAGTTCTTCAAAGCATTTTATTATTGAATTCCTTCATTCATTTGTGTTCTGGAGAGAGATTAACTATTTATGAAGGTCTAAGCAGGTGGTTTGGGACAGGAAAGGACAAAACATGGCCTATCAAGAGTCATGCAGATAAGAACATTCAACTCCCCCAGGCGACTAGGAGTAAAGAACTAGTTATCTCCTAAACTAGCTCTTTCCCATGGAATGGCATCAGAAACTTTGCATGCCCTTTTAAATTTAAATTTGGAAGTAGAAACAAATAGGGACACTTAACATGTATCTTGTGGAACAATACATTCATAGCACTATTACTTAGTGTTCGGCATAAGAGATTAGCGGTTGAGCTACTTACATCTTGTTCCAAGCCTTCAAAACTCAGCTTGTACTTTAAGCACACTTCAGTTTGTGTGTTAAAGTTGTAGGAGTTGTTGTAAAATATAATTCCATAAAACAATAAAATATCTAATGCAAGTAATATTTTACATTGATTCAGCCTCAAGATTTGCACTTAGGTTAATCATCAACCAATTGGTTAGAGCTAGGTTCTTCAGTCTTATAAAACCAAATCTCAGGGTCCCAGCTACCTCAACATCTAGTACAGTTCTACATTTTCTCAGATGGAAGCCAGATGATAGAGGCTGAAGAAAACAATTTTCTTCCGTGTTTTGCCTCAGTGTTTTCATGAAGTCTGTATTAGGGTCATAAAATGGCTATATTTGGGGAAAGATTGGGCCTCTTATAAAGAAAGACAGGATTAGATTCATATCATTCTCTCCAAAATTCATTTTCTATCATGTGATACAAGACAAGAAGTCAAATGTTATATATGTGTCTTTCACAACTTCTGAACTATGAAGAGAGTGAACAAATGCTTACTACTGATGGCTAAACTTAGTTTTTTAATTTTTGAAAATATATTTACTTAATTTGCATTGCCTAACTGTAATTTACATTCCAAATTAAATGTCGACCTCTAGGTCCTGGGAAAATTAGATTTCTCTGCTGAAAGGTTCTTTGTTTGCTCTTTGATAAATTCTGCTGAAATATATCCTTATTATCTTTCTCTATATTGTGTTAATGTACTAAGAAAGATACAAAGGTCATTGCCTTTGGGATGTAGAAAATGAAACTAACTGTGATGGCTAAAACAATTACAGAGGAAACTACACAAACAGCTTAAAAATTGCAAATTCACAAAATTCTAGAGAAAAGAAGAGATTTGGAATGTTGATCACAGTTAGGCAATGCAAACTGAGTAAATGGATTTTCAAAAATTGTAAAACCAAGTTTTAGATCAAATGATTATTATTGTTATCTACCAAGTAAAATATAAATTTTCTCAAAAGCATATTGGCATGTCTCTGAAGGAAGTAGGTCCCCTTTGTCCCCTTTATGGCCTTTATTGAAAACCTTGTAGTGTCTTCATGTCTCTCAGGACTTCCATTGTCTGCACTGAGATGAATTTGTCAAGTGAAAACTACCTCTTGTATAAATGTCTACATTGGAGAAGTCATGTAGTCTTTGGTGTTTATCCATCCATAAAACAAGGGAGTAGGAACAAGATCAACTGAGTTCTGAAAAATATTCCAACCGTCTTCAAACTGGGGAACATGACTGTGTTCATCTGGGAAATTTTTGTATCACGGTTGAAAGTAATATTCACTAATTGCTTCTATTTCCTTCTAGGATCAGGACCCTGCTGCCTTCGGTCCTGACTCTCAGCTGCTGAAATCCTCAAGACATTATCTGAACATCCGTTATACCTTACTGCCCTATCTCTACACTCTCTTCTACCGGGCCCACACACTCGGGGAGACAGTAGCAAGGCCCCTGGTACACGAGTGAGTTTCTAAACCAAAGCCTCCCACTCAGATCACAAGTTCCTTCACTTTACAAGCGTAACAAGGTCCATTAGGACATGTGCTGTTTTGCTGTCTCTTCTTGGAAATTTCACTCACTTCACTGTGAATGCACTCTGTTTTATAGGTTCTACCAGGACCCAGAGACATGGAAGATTCATGAACAGTTCTTATGGGGGCCTGGACTCCTTATCACACCTGTGTTACACGAAGTATGTTTGTAATCTGAACGACAGATGTTACAGTTGTTCTTATAGCTTCATAGCTGGATAATCTAAATGCTGCATGTGTATGTTTGCACTTAAGTCTGACTATAAACATAAATGAGAGAAATCGTGAATGTTTGGAAAATATAAGGATTCTTGGATCCAATGATGCATCAACTAAAACAGTTTCTATGTTGCAAAATCACTTTTAAAACTGTGTTCTTAGGCATGTGGTCATGCACTGACATGGGTTTTGAATGCCTTGGTTTATATAGTTGGCGCATGTGCACAGACTATCTATATATCCTCTTATTCAGGGAGACTGGGTTGGGAAGACAGAATAGGCGTGTAAAGGAGTAAGGAGGAAAATTGGAGTACGGCAAGGGTGGAAGGTAAGGTGTGGGAGGAGGACTGTCATGATGGTAGTCATCTTATTTAAAAAATTTCCCTAGTATAAGAGTCAAGAGGAAAGATGGCTAGCCGGCTCGTTGAGCCGGTAGTGTCTCAGCAGCATCTGGCTTTGCTTGGCAAGTGGCTTTGCTCCCCTGTGGATGTGGTTGGCTTAGTCTACTCTGAGCTAATGGATGGCATAACTCTGAGAGGGAAACTCTCTACTTCTAGAAAATGCATGAGCACAGAAGCAAAATGAACTTAATTTCTAGGTACAGCTTGGCTTTGGATAAATTGTTTGGCATTTCTGGGGTCATGTGCTTTCACTGGTATAACAGAATAATCTCAAATGGCTCAGGATTATTCAAATGGCCAGGGACAACGATGTGGAGATGTTCTCCAAACAATAAAGAGGTGTGTGTGCTAATATAGCTTACTGCTTTTATTTTCTTAGGGCATGAACCAAGTGAAAGCCTATATCCCAGATGCCATTTGGTACGACTATGAGACAGTAAGTAAGGTGGTTTCTATTGTTTCAGAGATCTCTTCTAGCAGAGGACAATTCTGAAACAGAAGTCTTGGGAGTTCATCATCATGTTTCACACAGCTTCACAATAAGTTGATTATGAGTATGTTTTGAGGCATCTTAGTCTATTTAATATGGTATAGTAAAGTGCCTCACACTACATAATTTATGAACAATAGAACTTTATTGTCCAAAGTTTTTGGAAGCTATAAAGTCCAAGATCTAGGTCTTCTCAACCTCATCAATGGGAGCTTCTCATTGAGTTGTCATAACTCAACCACTTGTCCAGAGGAATTGTCTCTTAATCGTATCACATATAGTGTTAGTTTCCAACACATGAACTTTAGAGGGACATTAACATTCACACAACAGAAGCAATTTCCAATAGCTGCAGTAGGTTTACAGAATCTCACTGACTCAACCATCTCATTGCTATGCTGATAATTAGGACTAATCATTTCATTAACTCTTGTCTGTGGAAGCAGAGAATTCAAGCTCAGTGAAATCAGTGTCACTCAACATTAAGGTACTATAACAAATACCAGAAGCAGTAAGTTTATAAGGAGAAAGGGTCTCTATATTTTTGCTTTCAACTTTAGAAGTTATAGTCCTGGCTTGCATTGTTTCAGGCTGGTGGCAGGCTATTTCTGTAAAAGCAGGAGAAAGAGAAAAAAACCACTCTAAAAAACAAACAAGCAAACAACCTTGTGACTGCAAAGCGAAAGAGTAAAAGGAAGAGATCAGGGCCTTGTAGTTACCACTGAGAGTAAATCTCTAATGGCTTAAAACCTCACGCTAAGCCCCACCCCTTGGGGGACATCCAAGATACAAAATACAGCATACAACGTAGTGAGAGGTAAATAAGAGGGAGCTTGGTGTCTCAGCTCTGCTCTCTCTTACCCGCACACCTTGGGGAAATTGTCTCACTTTGGATGTCCCCATTTTCTGGTCTCTAAAGTGAGGTCTAGACTAAAGGATCTCTAGTGTCCTTGCTTCCTGCAGTCCCCTATCTGGTCTGTTTTCTTTTTGTTGCTTAGGAACAAGCCATCCAATGGAGGAGACAATTTGTAGACATGATACTACCAAGTGACAAGCTAGGGCTTCACCTTCGAGGTGGCTACATATTTCCCACGCAACAGCCAAATACAACCACAGAGACCAGGTAAGACGCTGTATTCTTACTATGCTGACACACTCAGTGGGGCTTCGTGGGAGAGGTAAGCAAGAACCAAGAGGAGACGTGTCAAATGAATGCAGCCACCGTTAGCAAACTTCTCCTCATTTCAAGGGTCCCAAATTGTCTTCAGAGAGGGCAAATGTAGTCTCACTTCCCTTGTCAGTCTTGTAGTTCTTCTGTTTGGATTAAAAGAGATTATAGGAATAGTCAAAATAATCTTCACAAAGGTTTCTCTAGGGACAGAAATTATTTTAATGTGTATTCCTGATACATGAGAAAAATTTAGTAGGAGACAAAGGTCAACATGAGTTGGAGTTTCAGGGCTCAGAATCTGCAGAATTTGAGCTCAAGCTCTGGCCTAACAGCAGTCTATATGCATTAACCTTGAACAGCATCTCTGTGCTCACACGTGTTAATTGACGGGCCACGGAAGACGACGGCTGGTCTTTCAGCACCTTTGTGAGGGTTAAGTGAATTACTACAAATGACAGTATCTTGAGCACATTCTGAGAGCGCCTGTCAGGGGGCCCTCTAAGTGTTGGTAGAATGATCACAAACTTAGTTTTCAGGAACCATCTCAGCCTGCAATTGTTCTTACATTCTCTCTTTCCCACACCCAGCTGCCTTCCCACACCTGAGTTCCCACAAAAAAAAATGCTAATATCTACTCAGTTTCTGGGGAGGACTCTGGAGGATCCATCCCTATGCATCTAGGGGTAGACTCATCAAAGGGTAGATTCATCAAGGGGTGCATTCATCAAGGGACACATTCATCTGTTTCTGCCTTCCTTCCATTGTCTGAAAGTTGTGATTGCTCTCCTCAGCCGGAAGAATCCCTTGGGACTCACCGTTGCCTTGGACTACAAGCGAGAAGCAAAGGGCCAGTTGTACTGGGACGATGGTGTGTCTAAAGGTGACTTTCAAGTGGAACCATGGTGGTGGTTCTTAGTAAAAATTCATTACCAAAGGCTTCCCAATAAAGCACCAACCCCACTGTCACTGATGTCTCTTTTAGTATCTTAGGACATTTTAGTAGCTTGGAAAATTCAAAGTCATTCTGCAAGTTCCATTAGCCAAGCACGATGAATTAGAATAGACTTCACATGCAGACCATTCTTTGTTATTGACGTGGCCAATGGGATAAATCGTATGGCATTTGGCGTCATTATTCTTTTCTGTGTATCATCATTAACAGCAAGCAATCCATTTTGTTAATAGCTTAGCTATGTTTCAGTTACCATTGAGAAAGACATATCTGGTGTATGTCTTGTGTTTTTCACTCAGAGATTTGATATGAATAAAACACAGAAGCTTTTAGGCCAAATATAGTTAGAATTATTAATATTTGATATCCATGTTGCTCTGCACGGAAGGCACATAGAGATGAAAGTGCCTAAGCATTGACCTTAGCAAACTCAATGGTATTAACAGGATAGAGAACCATAATGAAAATCAAGATGTTGTAAATACTGCCAAGTAGAGCCACAGAGTAGCATGTGACTTCAGAGAAAGTGGTCCATTAAGGTTCTACAAAGATTAAAATGCATGTGAATTTGGATGAGCAGAACTATGTGCAGAAGAATTCCCAGTGAAGAGGTTGAAACTTCAAAGTTCCCTTGTTTCCCATAGTAACGGTACATACACATCTACCCATCTCTTTCAGGCACAGTGTTAGAAAGGAAGTACATTCTGTATGATTTTTCTGTTACATCCGTAAGTACTGTTCTCAAGAAAACTTAACTTTCATGTTCCTTATTGTGACTATGTCTTGAGGTTTTGGTGTTCTGTGTATGCTTTTATTTCTCTGAAATTCATGCCTATCGTACATGCTTTGCTATGTAAGAAATATCTGAGCTGTTTTGCAGAGTGGCTGTATATTTTATAATTCTACCACCAATATGCAAGTGATGCTGTTTCTCTGTATAATTTCTTACATTTGAGGCTGTCAGTGTTTTTTCTTTTAGCCATGCTGTTTGACCATTTCTTGGGCCTTTAACTGCTTCTACAGTTTTTTCCAATGACTAATCATATGTCTATCTGTCTTTTTCATATTATCTTGAGTGACATACCACTTCTTTTTCATGTTCTGATTTGGATGGTTTTCACAACTGGCTAACAGCTCAGTTTTAATGTTTTTTAAATATCCTTCAATGAATATGTTTGCAAATGCTTTCTTCTATATGTAGGCTTCTCTTTTCTTCCTCTAAAGACGTTCATGAAGCAAACATTTAAGTTTGGGTATACCTAATTATCTTTATTTTCTCTGCTGGATTGTGCCTTTTGATGCCATGTCTAAGAACTCTTTACCTGGCTTTAGAACCTCGGTGTTCTTTGAAACTTTACTGTCTATATCTGACTCTATGATCTATATTGTACTAATTAGTGTTCGTTAGACTTAGGTCAAAGTTCTCTTTTTACCTATGTTTGTTCAGGAGCCCCAACACCTTTGTTGAAACAACTGTCTCTCCAACTCTATTGCTTTGAAAATCCTGTCAACAATCACTAGGACCTATTTGTTTGTAGGGAACTGTATTCTTTGTTCTTAGTAAAATGTGCGCCTTTCCCTCAGAGTTCAGTCCTCCCGCCTTCTGGGCTTTGCTGCTTTTCAGCTCTGTGTCTATAAATGAGTCGTTTAATTTATCTGTGCTTCAGTGTCTTCTGAAAAAGAAAAGTGGAGATTGCAACCTCATAACTTGATGAGTCATCCAAATGGGATATTATATGCAAGACACTTAAGCGTAGTGTCTGGCATATATTACACATTCATAAAATTTAGCTTTTATTATTAGTACTAGAATAAAATTAAAAGTTATTTGGCACTCTTATGTGTGTAGGATGTTTGTGTGTCACTTGGGGTTTGTGTGTGCTTGGGTCTTTTTCTTTGCTTTGTAACTAAACATTCTGTACGTCAGGATCCTATTTTCTGAGTCATAGAATCAGAAAAGAGCCAGTTAACCAAAAAGAGAGAGAGAGTATTGGTGTCTGAGACAACACCTGTCCTAGGGGGTGGTCATTGATCAACTTAGAAAAGAAAGCAGAGGATAAGGAGACAGTCTGGATCAGGAGACGTTGAATGTGCACATCCAACCTCTAAAATGACTTTCTTCCTCCTCCCAGAATCGTTTACAGGCAAAAATAATAAATAATAATTATGTGGATCCCAATGAGCTCATGTTCACTGACATCAGAATCTTGGGGATGGATAAAGAGCCAACTGGTCTTAATGTCTTATTTAATGGCAATGTCATCCCCATTTTAAGCTACAACTACGATGCTTCAACAAAGGTGAGAGATCATTCCATCTGTGAGACTCTGGCTGCAAGTCCTGGCCTGGCATTCTGACATCTTTCCTTCGTGGAAGAACATGAGATGATTTGGATAGTCACAGAGACAATTTTCTTGTTGAGACAGCCACCACATCATAGAGAGGATACAGGGGAAATGTGTGCATGCAAGTATGACTACTTTCCCTTGTTGACATTAGGGCTCTAAAGAAGAGAACAAGAGTTGTTGCTCTTAGAGAACTCCCTTTCTGCTCATTTAAAACTAGATAAGATTGTCTCAGATGGAATGGTAAAATGAGGTTCAATAAATTATCCTGATTCTTCTGAGGTGTATTTACAGTTTGTCCTTTGTTAAAGTTGGAATTATCCTTGAGACACAGTTGACATTTTTCCTTGTTGCTATTGCTATAGTGTCACATAAAATATAAGTGGGAGAAAGCATAAGCTGTATTCTGGTTTAGTCATCAGTGAGTGATTCATATACCTGATAAACTTATACGGAGCATTTTAGTTATTGGCTCACTCACTTGAGACCTGAGAAATTCACTGTCTCTTAAGTAAACCATCTTCTCCCAGAAAATACACGTAGCACAGGATAGGAATGAAACTTCTAAGAAGATGGGGTGCTGATCCTGGCTATTCTCTCCCCACTGTGAGAGCTTAGTCATGCTATTACATCTGTATCCTAGAGACAATCATGGTACTCTATCACTGGGTCCCCCAATGTGATTGCCACAGTGCTGGCCCATATGCATACTCAGTAAAACAGATCAACTGGTTACTGCCATCGATAGTCGCATTAACCAGCATCATACCAAAAGGATAGTAAGCCTAAAAATGACAGCCACGCTGTGATCCACACTCCTTAACATGACCATATTGCTCTGCATTCCATACTCTCACAATGTCCCAAAAGCTCGGGAATCAAGTAGTGCCAAGTATTCTAAGTGATACTGGAGAAAGAGGTTGGCTCTGCTGACTTCCCAACCATCAACAACATCGTGTCCATAGCTCTGAGCCACCTGGTTGTCATTGGAGTTTTTCTTTCCCTAGGTGTTGGTCATCGATAACCTCTCAGGATTAAAGCTGGGACAAGAATTTTCCATTGAGTGGACTCTTGTAGTCAGCGACCTGGAGAAGTTTAACTGCTACCCCGAGGATCCTGCAGTCTCTGAGGAGAGCTGCAAGCAGCGTGGGTGCCTCTGGGAGGTAATGGCCACACTGATCAGGGAGATGCAGAAATTTTACACCACGTAGTGGGACACCTAGGAATCACTTTGAAAAGGTTGATGACTTAGCAGTGATTGTGAGGATGTGACAGCATGCATTCTGTGAATTCCACATGATAGGTGATCTATACGTGTTTCCCTCAGATACCCTGCATCTAATATTGCCATTCTGATCGACACTTTGAGTATATCATTCAAATATCCTATTTTTGAACTATTGGAGAAGATGAAAAAGGATCAAAAGGAGGGGAGGAGGGGATAAGAGGGTACTGCAAGGATAAATATAGTCAAACTTTATTATACGTATATACAATTATCAACAGAAAACTTAGCATTTTATAACCAATATGTGCTAGTAAAACCATCTTACCCTCACAAAGTACACTGTGCACTGAATATTGTAAGTGAACAGCTTTTTTATTGGAAAACATAAACAGAAAGTATGTCTTGTGCAATGTGTTTGAATGATGGAGTGAATAAAACCAGAAAAAGTTAGCAAATGCATTGGGAGCAGGAGACATAAGTAGATCCTACCTGAGGGTTATGGTGCTCAGTTAGTTTTCTGGTTCCATCATCATTCATACTTCACTGTTTACAGAAAGGTGTGTGTGTGTGTGTGTGTGTGTGTGTGAGTTTAGTTGAATCTGGATCCTTTACTGTTGCTGTAGTATTATAAACTCACTTAGAAAATAGCAATTTTATTATCCCCGGGTACAGTATCATGAATTCAGAGATCAGGGTGTTTTGACAGAGTTGGGTCCTTTTGAGAACCATGAGTATGATCTGTTCTATTATTCACCCCTAGATTCTGGTGGTTTATTACCAATGTTTTGCAATTCTTAGCTTGTGTAAGATCTCTGCTTTCATGACTTTATGGTGATTTCCTGAGTGCATGCTTGACTATTTGTCTGAATCTGCTTTCCTAATAAGTACACTAGTCATATTGGGTTAAAGTCCACCCTAATGAATTCATCTTAACTTGATGCTCTGCAAAGACCTTATCTCCAACATGTAGTATGCATGCTAACAGGGCTTAGTGCTTATCTCTTTTTTTTTGTAGGGAGCATTTCAACCTGTTTCAAAGTTCTTAGAACTCTGTGTTAATTGGCTTCTTCAGTAATTAGAGTCTCAAATGTGGTGTAGAAGCTCACCAAGAATTCTTCCTACTGTTCCAGCACACAGCTACTCCTGGAGTGCCTACCTGCTTCTACGACACAATTCCCCAGTATGCTGCCAGTAACATTCAGTACCAGCCCACAGGTATCACCATGGACCTGAACCTCCTGGAAGACTCAGCATCTGCCCGGGCAGCAGCAGCTCCAAGCGTTGTCTCTGATCCTCTTTCTGGAAAGATCAGCTCTCTCAAACTGAATGTGACCTACCATACAGAAAACATGCTGCAGTTCAAGGTAATCCTCATGTTACAGTTGTTTGTTCTTAACATGGATGTTTATGACTTAAGGCTCTGGACACATGAGGTCACTGGAAGACTTAATAGCCAGACATGGTGGTACATGCCTTTAATCCCTGTACTCAAGAAGCAGAGATAGGGGGATTTCCAAGAATTGGAAGCCAGCCTGGTATAAATATTGAGTTCCAGGCCTGCCAAAGCTACACTGAGACTGTCACAAACAAACAAACAAACAGTTAATGTAAATCCCTATGTTACAGATGCAGAAGCTGAGGCCTTCAGAAATAAATATCAGAAAGGGAGTAGATAGCCAGTCAGGGTGTGAACTTAGATCTACCACAGTTTTGCATCTTCTATTATTATCAGTATCCTGCATGACACATGCCATTAAAAACCCATCCCATCTCCCTGAAAAACATGAGTCTGCTTTGTGGGAAATACACAGAAGAGACACTCACTTCCAACAGTTTTAGTAACTTCTGTAGTGGGAACTCTCAGCCTGCATTAGTATCAACTTTAGAGGCCATTAAAATTCCATTTTCTCCTTCCTAGATTTATAGCTCCACTAACAAGAGATATGAGGTTCCAGTACCTCTGAACATCCCTTCTTCAACAACTGGATCCTCTGAGAACCGCCTGTATGATGTCACAGTTAAAACCAACCCATTTGGACTCGAAATTAGACGGAAGAGCTCCGGTACTGTGATGTAAGCTCTATTTATTTGGTCCCCATCAAAGCGACTCTAGATCTAATTACAATGATTCAGGGTTAGGGTTAGGGTTAGGGTTAGGGTGAATCCTGCAGGTGAACCACTAATCTCTGAGACAACATATAATTATAAGCATGTTTGTCAAAGGATACATCAATTGCTATTGATTCTCCAGAGAATTTATTTTTCTACTGGTCATTAACTCAGAAAAAAATGAATTATTTAAAAAACAAAAACAAAAACCATGAGTCAGTAGTGGTGCATGCCTTTAATTCCAGCACTTGTGAGGCATAGGCAGGCAGGGCCATCCTGGTCTATAGAGAGAGTTCCAGGACAAACAGGACTCTTACACAGAGAAAACCTATGTAGAAAAACCAAAAATAAAAATATTAATAAATAAATAATGAAAATAAACACCACCAACAAAAAACTATGTGTTATTTGACTCCAAGAAAAGAAAATACTTTGTTGTAATTGCTCACTAGAACAGAAACTCTATTTGATAAACATGACAGATTTCGTTAGTCTGTTCTCAATTAAACATCATTAATAAGTAGCTAAGGAAGCAGGAAAGAGGGGCAGGGCTTCTTAGCGTCATGGCTCCTATTCCTAACAACTGTGCAAGGATTGCCTGTCATCAACTATGTCATCTCTAGGTTGTCCTGCTGTTGAAGGTCTGGATTTTGCCTGAAAGGAAGTTTCCTGACCCAATAGAGGTTGTTACTTACATGTGCAACGTGTGTTTTCCTGTCTGTGGCTTTTGCTCATCTGCATGCATGTTCAATATTCTCTTTCTGTTTTTTTTAAATATCAAACTCTTCCCCATCCTCCTTTTTTATATTTTTTAATTTTTAGATCCATTTTATGTATCAACCACAGTCCCCCCTCATCCTCCTCCTGTTGCTCTCGTGACCTCCCCCACCCCATGCCTCATCCCCAGGATGAGTAAGGCTTCCCACAGGGAGTCAACAAAGCCTGGCGCATCAAGCAGAGGCAGGACCGAGCCCCTCCCCACTGCATCAAGGCTGAGCAAGGCAACTCAGCATAGGGAATGGGCTCCAAAAAGCCAGCTCATGCACCAGGGATAAATCCTGGTCCCACTGTCGAGGGTTCCGCAAACACACCAAGCAACAAAACTGTTATCCACCACTGAGGACCGGTTCGGTCCCACGCAGGCTTCCCAGCTGTTGGTCTAGGGTCTCTGAGGTCCCATAAATTCGGGTCAGCTGTCTCTGTGGGTTTCCAGTCATGATCTTGACCCCCGTTGCACATGTAATCCCTCCTCCTACTCTTCAGATGGACTCGCGGAGCCCAGTGCTTGACTGTGGATCTCTGCATCTGCTTCAGTTACTGGATGGAGCCTCTATGATGACCATCAGGGTAGTCACCTATTTGAATAGAGATGGCCAGTTCAGGCACCCTCTCCACTATTGCTAGGAGTTTTAGCTAAAGTCATCCTTTTGGATTCTTGGGAATTTCCCTAGCACCTAGGAATTCTCCCTAACCCCATAATGTCTCCCTCTTTCATTGCTCTCCTCTGCGTCCCCACCCCCAGCTCACCCATTCCATTTCCTGTTGTTCTTGTCCTCCATTCCCGTTCCTCTACACCCACCCCAACCCCCAGTTTACCCCAGAGAATCATCTATTTCCCCTTCCATGCTTCTGTCTTAAGGAAATTTCTTGCACTCTAAAGCACTTGTTCTAAGAGCTTCACATGTTTTTATTGTACAGTAGTTTTGTAGACCTCATTAACAGGTTCCCCATAAGCTCTAAGAACTGGGAATAAAAGGATGAATGAGACATGTATTTGTTTTGTTTTGTTTTTCTCTCAATGAGAATTCCCAGTTCTCTCAACTGGGAATAAAAGAGGGAATGAGACTTTAAAATTTTTTTTCTGTTAATGAGTCCATGTCCTAGAAAAAAAAAGACGCTTAGTCTTGCAAAACACAGAATACAGAAGCAAACATGGAAACTTGGAGCTGAATTATTGCCACTGTCATGACCTGGTTCATTTCATAGCATTTGAACATGCATCAAGATGTCCAATAATTAGGGTTTTCCAAATGAATTAGGCACCGAAATGTGTTTGTTTTCTCTGGCCTGTGAATTGTAGTTCAGCATGGTGGTCTGCTTTTGCATTGCAGTTGGGATTCTCAGCTCCCTGGCTTCACCTTCCGAGAGATGTTTCTTTCCATTTCAACTCGACTCCCATCTGAGTACATCTATGGCTTTGGGGAAACGGAGCATGAATCTTTCAAAAGAAACATTAATTGGAACACGTGGGGAATGTTTGCTCGGGATGAGCCACCAGCGGTAAGGACAAGAATAAAATTATTCATCGTGTTCTCTTTATCCGAACTTAATCACATTCCTAGGTCCGTAAATGATCCTGTATTCATCAGCTTTTCCTAGCACTGATAAATTATGCTCTCAAATCCAAAAGGGCATGTGATTTCGTGCTCTTTTGCTTGTAAAACATTTCATTTCTCTACTCCTGTGGAACACAAGTTTTACTAAACATCACTAAGTGCTCATCTGAAATTGAATGAGATACTGTCTGTGCCCTGCAAAGATTTGTAATACTGGGGAAGACAGATAATAAAACGATGATAGCATAGTGTAATCAATGCTGGAATTCATTTGTGTAATAGTAAAAGGGGCAGAGAGTGGGAAGGGCACAGACAGGGCCAAGCAAGGATTTTTGAAGAACATCACTGGTGAGTTCAATCTCCAATGTCAAATATGAGTTCACTGTTTGCCTTGTGATGTGGATGCAATTTATTGGGTTTTTTATCTGTAATTACCTTACAGTTTTTTCTTACAGTACAAGAAGAATTCCTATGGTGTTCACCCTTACTATATGGCATTGGAATATGATGGCAATGCCCACGGAGTACTCCTGTTGAACAGCAATGCCATGGGTAAGAGAGAGAGATGCACACTCATACACCACCATAGACAACCACCCTTTTAGAGCCTAGGATATTACTAGAAATCAGGACATTCAAGGTCAAGGAAAATGGGATACAATGGCTTTCACTCATTCCTCTATTAAGTCAAAATTTATTAAATTTATCAGCACACATATTAAATGCAAAATTTTGGCTACCCGTGGCCCATGACGCGTTTGCTTCTGTTCCATAGGGTGACAGAAGCTGAGATTGTATGTTTCATTTTAGGCAGATGGAAGCTATCTCGATCCCACTGCCTCAGAGAATACTTTCCAGAGAGGGGTCACACTGAAGAGCGAGAGAGAAAAGGGAAAAGCTTAGGATAGATTCTCCATCTGGGTAACTTACGGCTCCTTACCAATTGGGCTTTTTCTGATCTATCCAGATGTGACTTTGCAGCCTACCCCTGCCCTGACATACCGCACCATAGGAGGCGTTCTGGACTTCTACATGGTTCTGGGGCCAACACCTGAACTTGTAACTCAGCAATACACGCAGGTTGGAAGCTTGTCTATTAACTGACAAACCATCACGTACTTGTTGCCCATTGCTACCACGTGCTTAACACTGCGATAAGATCTGTTTTGTTCATTTTACTCACTGGAGCTCCTGCTTAGAGGACTGCTATTCTTCTTGCAATCTAAAACAGTTCAAAGAGTAGGCAGTGGTCTTGTAGACCTCATTCATATGTTCACTCAAGTTGACGCACCAGACTTTAGTGTTATGGGGTCCTGACAGCACACTGATAGCCTATGTATCTCTTGATCATGTGCTCAGTAGTCTACTGAAGAGTCTCTGATGAAGATTCGCTATGGAGGTCTCAGGTTTTCTGGACGAATGGCTGAGCAATGGGAGGAAACCTCAGCCACAGTGTTTCTGTGTTGCACGTCCCTGGTTGTTTTCCATTTGGCTTCCTTATTCATCTTGAGTGAGAGCTCTTAGAACTCAATAGAATTGTTCAAGTTTCTTCCTTAAGAGAGAATTCTAGTAGGATTCATTTATTTCACTTAGACTCGGATTCATTTATTTCACTTAGACTCTTTTAAACAAATATAAACTTTAAAAAATTGACACAGACTTTTAAAAATAATTATGGTATGTAAGATGGTGATTAAGTGAATGTATGCAATATGGAAGGATGAAACTGTGGTAACTGGCGTTTGATTTTTATTCCAGTTGATTGGTCGGCCAGCCATGACTCCATACTGGGCCTTAGGTTTCCAGCTGAGTCGCTATGGATACCAGAGTGATGATGAAATTGCCAGTTTGTATGACGCAATGGTGGCAGCCCAGATTCCTTATGTATGAACCTCTCCTTTTGCTTTTAATTTTTTAGATTACTCATGTAATGAAAACAGGTGCATACAAGTTAAAACTGTGGTAGAAAAAAAGTAGATGGGGAAGTTGTCTTTTGTAGAATCTTTACATCTTAAACACATTGCATGCTACCTTGTAGAAAGCTGAATCTTGATTTGCATGGTTCACAACTAAGAGTCACATATGCGTCTTTCAGCAGGCAGTGGGATAGTTGCAGGACCCTGGACCATCATTGCTTGCCATTGAGAGTCCTTTGCAGTAGCTGTGACTGATTGTTCAAGTCATGGCTTTAGAAACTCAGAAATGGGCATCTTAAATGACAGCATGAAAGGAAGCAGCTGCTGATCTAGACTTTGGTTTCTTAGCAACATACATGTGCATGTGGTATATTCCAGCTCCCCAAGTAAATCCTGAGAAACATAGTTAACTGCTGTCAATAACCAAAGACATACGTGTTCTTTCTTCTTGTATGAAATTGTCAGTTTTCTAGCAGTCCTCTTTCTTGGCTTTTAGATCATCTGCTAAGATTTTGCAGAGGAATTAAGGATTATAAAATGAGAATAAGGCGAGCTCGATGGAGATAATTTGATATTTATGTTCAGGCTGCACTATATTTTTTCTGATAAACTGGTTAAACAGAGATGAGAAAATGTAAGAAGAAGATTGCATGCTGAAAAAGAATCCATAGATGTAATTTACCCAAGCCATCAATGCTATTAGTATGTTAGTTCATTCTTGTCTTTGTTTGGCTTTTCTACTAGTCTGTGCTTCTTTAGATGCATTTCACTTACAGTCCTAAGGCACTACAGGTGATTATTACTTTAGGGCTAAAAAGAAGCAGCTTGCTTTTATTCATCTGAATATCAACTACTTTAGTTATTGTTCAATACTCTGGCATTGACTAGGTTTCAAGTACAGAAACCAGATGTGTGTGTGTGTGCGCGTGTGTGTGCGCGTGCGCGTATGCACAGTGAATAAATTCACTACTATTTACCATAGAAACAAACAACTGTCAGCTCTACAATCTGTTGTTTAGGGGGTTTTGCCAGCTAACTTGGGCTCACCAGGTTTAAGATTTGAAGTGTTGGGAGGACAGGGGTTGAGGGAGGAAAAGGAGAGAGGGAACAGTAGTTGACGCAGCAGTTGAAAAGCGCAGACAAGGGAGCTGTGAGCAGGACCGGAAAGCGATTTCGGCATGTGGGATTGAAAGTGTGCGCGCACAGGAGTGCCTTAGGAGACGGGACTTAGAAGGAGCCCGGCCTGGTCCGGAAGCGCTGAGTGGAGCTGCAGAACACCTGTTCCAGGGCGCTGAGTACTTTGCCTGTTGCTTCCTGCAGGATGTCCAGCATGTAGACATCGATTACATGGACCGGAAGTTGGACTTCACCCTCAGCCCCAGCTTTCAAAATCTCAGTGTCGTGATTAATCACATGAAGACCAACGGCATGAGGTTTATTCTCATTCTGGTGGGTATTATGGCTGACTTTTGGTTCCTGTCTTCATGGTTCCAAAACAACGCCACTGGGAGAAATCAGATGACAGCTACAAGAAACCATCTCGTACATTTTTGGCGATTTTCTGAGAACGCTTAAATACATATTTTTTAATTTTTTTAAGCAAATGAAGTAGGGAAGAAAAGTGAAAATTACCTTAAAGAAGTATAATGTCATTTTACTTTTTAATAGCTTGGTGCTACTGGAAATCATTTACTTGTATTTTTATCTTACTAAAATTAGAACTGTGGAAAGAAAACACAAATAAAACGCTGCCCTGCTTCAGGCTGTGCCTCAGAGGTACAGCTGTATCTTAGGGTATAGCTGTGTCTCAGGGGTACAGCTGTGTCTCAGGGGTACAACTGTGTCTGAGGGGTACAGCTGTGTTTAAGGTGTGCAGCTGTGTCTCAGGGGTACAGCTGTGTCTGAAGAGTACAACTGTGTCTCAGGGATACAGCTGTGTTTCAGGGGTACAGCTGTGTCTTAGCATACAGCTATGTCCCAGGGCTACCACTGTGTTTCAGGGGTACAGCTGTGCCTCAGGGGTACCACTGAGTCTCAGACTCATATTTTCCCAAGGAAGAGGGGGGTGTCAAAGGCTGCCTTGGGCTTCTCCCTGCGCAGTCTGGCATGTCCATTGTGTCCTTCTTGCTGAGCTCATGCCTGTCAGTCATGTTGGTAAGACTTGAAGGGTGTAGCTTCTGATGTTACTAGGGGACAAAACCTCACAGTGAAACTCCTGATCCTCTGGCTCTTACAGTCTTTCTACCCCCTCTCCTGCAGTGTTCCCTGAGTCTTAGATGTGGGGGCTTTTTGTAGATGTATCCACTGGGGGGGGCATGGAGGAAGGAAAGGGAAGGGAGAGGTGTTGTAAGTAAAGTATAATCTCAAAAAACTTGACCCCCCACCCCCGCCTGCCAAAAACAAAAACCCAACAAGAAACACAAACAAACAAACAAATGATGTTTTGGAATCGCCCTCAGAGGTGATCAAACTCAGGGAGTTATTGATGTTTCATTGAACTCACAAACAGACGCAGAATGCCAGCTTACTTATTTACCTGCAAGTGAATCTTAGCTTCCAAAATTAGAGTATGGCTTTTTGTTACTTGTTAATTCAAGTATCTGTTGAACATTGGTGTTTGAAGTTCATTACTGAGAGGGTAGATTCTAAATTAGTAGATAAGACAATGTTATGTTGTAAGAAAGCATTTATTTTAGTGGATTGAGGCAAACAAGAAAAAAATATTAGAAATACAATTTCATGCCGGGCGTTGGTGGTGCATGCCTTTAATCCCAGCACTCAGGAGGCAGAGGCAGGTGAATCTCTGTGAGTTCGAGACCAGACTGGTCTACCCAGCGAGTTCCAGGACAGGCTCCAAAACAATGCAGAGAAACCCTGCCTAGAAAAAAAAAAGAAATATAATTTCAGACAGTGATGTTTTTGTGTGACAATTATGAACCAGCATAAGTAGAGATGAGCTGGGTCAGTATGAGATGCAAAAGGTAGGGATGGCCATATTATTTATTTATTTTGGTTTTACGAGACAGAGTTTCTCTGTATTGTTTTGGAGGCTGTTGGTCCAGCCCGGCCTCGAACTCACAGAGATCCGCCTGCCTCTGCCTCCCGAGTGCTGGGATTAAAGGCGTGCGCCACCACTGCCCGGCGGGGATGGCCATATTAGACGTAATTGGGCCACAGAATAGAATAAAGTTTGCTTTCCTAAGGAGTGCTGCTATTACACAGTGGAAATGTAGTACATGGCCCCTCTTGAAAGTAGTGTTTTACTAATCTGGCTTAACCCTAGGAATTATTTTCAAAATATAACCATACAGAATTTGTGGTTAACCATAAATATATTATTTTATTTCTTATTTATTCTTCCCCTCTTCCTTTTTAAATGGATTTATGTGATATTCGAAAAAAAATCATTCATGTCATGTTGTATCTGTTTCTGTAAATCCTATCCCCCATTACATTAGTTATAGTTCTGGGTAGGTACTTTTTATAATCTAGAAAATTTCTTTTATTGATAGAGATTTTTACTCTCTTTGAAAGAGATTGCCCTTAAGAGCTATGCATCGTCTTTTAGGTACATGTGGCAGTATTTTATTTCACTGGTTTTGATAATATACTCAGTAAAGACATGTCTAGTTAAAAATATTTAATATTACTTCTCGAGTCACTTATTCTTTCTGCCCTATGAATTGTCAGTTTTTGGAGGGTAAGTTCCTTGGAGATGTTTCACTCATATTTGTAATTTTTAAAATTGTCATTATAGGACCCAGCCATTTCTGGCAATGAGACACACTATCTAACATTTACTCGAGGACAAGAAAACAATGTGTTCATCAAATGGCCTGACTCCAACGACATTGTCTGGGGCAAGGTAAGGCTTGAGGAAGGTACCTAAAATCATCAATCTGCCTCACTGTAAATACATGATAGATAATGAATACATTGCAGAGCATTAGCCTTCCTGATGCTACCTAGCCCAGTAAGCATTAGGCCCCAAAGTTACAGGTCAAATTTTCTAAAACATGGAATGCTGTCGCTGCTTATAAATATTCTGATGTTCCCATTGCTCATATTTATATTTAGTATGACGGTTTTTAGAACAAACATTAATAATCCCCCAGGGCTCTGTGTCTCTATCACATAAACTCAAAACAAGCATGTTACCGATGATGATGCTTCATCATACTTTTTTTTTTAAAGTCACTAACTCTATCTTGTCACTTTGGGTCCTTTCTGTGGCCTCAATCCTCATCTTATATGGGATGTCACTGATAATTTTGGCAGACTTCTGGCTGTTGTGCTCCTGCCTATCGCCCTGTTTGCTTGCTCTGACCACTTCAGGACATGAATTGGCACATCTAACCTCTTGTAAAGCGCTCAATAAGTGGTTTAGCTGGTATAGGAAGTGTTTCTGTATCACTCCCCCATACCAACCTTGTAAGAATTCTGTGAACTCCGAGAAAGCAAGCACTATTTCCTACCGTCTCTGGTGATTTATTGATGTATGCAATTAATGTGCTGCTAATTGCAAATAAAATTGATTAATACTAAAGGTTGTTAGTGCTACGTGTACTATTCAACAAGTACTGATACTGCTGGAAAATATTGAGTACGAACCTGAAGGACTGAAAAGCTCTTATGGAGGAGAATGTTGTTGTTTTTAACAAAATCCCAGTCGTTTGATTTTTTGCCAGTGAAGACTCTGGCACCAGATGCAGTGGTGAAGGCAGGCTAAGCTCAGAGAGGCAGAGAAAGCACCCAGCTGGCCTCCCTTCTCAGCGGACATCCCACAAAACTCTGCTCTGTGCTCTCAAACAACTCTCCCTAAACTCAGTGTCCCTCCCTTCCACTTCCTGTGTGTCCATCTGTCTCCTGACTCCTTCTTACTCTCTATGGTTTTTTTCCTTAAGAATCTTATGTTCACTTCCTGTCAACTGGTGGCTTGCTCCACCCCTTTAATCCTGTTTCTGATATTCAAGCAGAAAGCCCCCTTGGATTAAATGTGTGTGCTAGTGTTGAGGCAAACCACAACCAGAAGCAGGTTTTCCAGTAAGTAACACAACCTCAGAGGCCACAGTGTGATCAAATATCCTGCAATAGTCCCTGATGAGATAGGAATTTAGGAGGGGTCCTGCCTTGGTCAGACAGCAAGACGGATTGTCAATCAATCATTTCTTAAACATCGCATTTCACATTCATTTGTAAGGAGAAATTTTTACCTGTAAAAATAAAATGTAGACTAGAGCCAAGGACTCATGAGAAATATTATTGTGCAAAAGATACACTTAAAATGAAGTTTGTTACTTGAGCTCAAAATTGAAAATGTGAACACTTACAGAATGAATAAGGACACCTGGTCATTGTCACCTGGGTAAATGCCATACATTCAGCCTTTACACTTTAATTTATGACAAAGACGGAAGTGTTTGTAGAGTTGCCTCCCGCTAGAGCTCTGAGTGCGAAACACCTCATGGTTAATGTGTACAAAGGTTAATTTTTTTTCTTATTTTTCTAGGTGTGGCCAGATTTGCCCAATGTAAATGTGGACGAATCCCTTGGCCAGGAATCTCAAGTCAAGGTAAAGATGATCAATGGTATTTGGAAACATCGTCCTCAACATCTGAATGCTTGTGTTTTCTCTTTGTGGACGAGCAGCTTTCCCTTTCTGGCTAAGTAGCTCTGACTTGAGTCTGCTTGCCTGGCGGTCAGTTTTAGGAGAGGAAATGCACAAAGGGAACACTCGACAGGCAACCAAAGCGGAAGGACTTAAAAAGAAAGTTACCATGAAATTCCTTATAGATGCATTTAATAGCTGTGAATCAAATACAACCCTGCTTGACAAATAATGAACCAAAGTCGAGACTATTTTCCCTAGTAGGGAACTAGGACGAGCAAATAGTTTTTGACGAATTCCTCGAGGACCAAAGGCATCACTATCAGGCTGGGAGGAGGAAAGTCCTTGGCTTCGTGCCTTCTGCCCCATCAAGTCTACACGTTTGCTCACAATGCAGCTCATTTGTCCTGGAAAACTAGGGCCTCCTTAGTTGGGTTTGTCTAAAAAAATCCCGTACATCTTTGCAATTTAGCTGTTTAGATCTTGGCTATTAGTTTTCTATTGTTCGTGGTTAATGTCTAGTACTATGCTTAAAAAGGCTTTAAATCTACCCTGCCTCTTCCAAAGAGACTAGAGGGTGTTTCCCCCTCCCTGCAACTCTGTCCGGTACAAAATCTGCAGCAACAGCCTCAGCAAGACGGAGGTTAGATCAGAGACTGGACAGGCCTAAATGCTTGCCCATTTCCCCCTTTTTGTCTTCAGTACTCCCCTTCCCGGATAGGGGGCGATCTTCCCGTGAAATCTTGTGCTGTTCTTCCAGCTGTACAGGGCCCACGTTGCTTTTCCTGACTTCCTGCGCACCAGCACAGCCGCATGGTGGAAGAAGGAGATCGAGGAGCTCTATTCAAATCCCCGGGAGCCAGAGAAGAGCTTGAAGTTTGATGGGCTGCGAATCGTAAGCGCACCCTCAATTCTTTGGACACGTGAGCAGTCAGAACACAGGGAGACAGTAAACTATCAGAGCAGGCAGCTAGGGCTGGATAGCTTAAAGGAAGGGAATTTAGCGTCTAGAACCAGGGGTACAGAGATTATCGCGGGCCTGCCCGGGAACATGTCTGGTAGAGGAGTCCACTGAACTCTGAAGGAGCGTGCCAGCTGCTGAAGACGTTAACACGTGAGTAGCAGGGATGCCAATACGTGGGCAACAGGGAGGAACATCCGGGCAATTCTTACCTCCAATTGGTCGGTGTCTTGGCTTTGTTTCTCAGCAATCAAATCCACTCTGAAGCCTGCAATTATATCCAGAAAGACAGGGCAGATCCAGGAATGGATAAGGCATGAATTTGGATTTGGGAGCCAAAGGGCATTCTCTATTGGACTTGTATAGACTACTCCGAAGGAATGTCCTTCAAAGCCTGTTCTAATGTGTGTTGCACAGGTATTCAGGGCAGAGATTCTTGAAAAGTCTCTAAGGACTCCTCCGTTTGCATCTTCCTAGGGTGGGAAGCACATTCATTAGTACCATGGTTCCCTCTCCCCCCACATCTAGTCACCTGCAACCCTAGGCAAGTTCCCGTCCAGCTCTGAAGAGCTGCTAGACCCTGGGTCAGAGTAGAAGAATCTCCCCGTTCACACAGAGACAAACTTACGAGTCCCGTGGCTGCTTTTTTGGCCTCACTGGCTACTGGAACCTTCAGGCCAGACAAGCACGTTGTATGGACTTGTGGAAGAACACAAATTAATCCAAACAGATAAGTCAGGGAAGAAACGGAGACGGCTCTGAAGAAGAGATTCTGGAAACTACGAGATGTTTGCTCTAATAGAAAGCCCAAAACACTGCATAGTTAGTCCTAAATGCTTGCCGTTGCCAGTAGTCTTACTTAATACTGTTTTATGTGAGACAGACCAATTTATTTTTACTCTACCGGCAGACCATGAGCATCCCCTCAGGGACTCTACTTGCGCTTGGGTTATCCATTCTGTAATGTAAGCTTTTATTTCCAGCCTTGCTTCTGGGTTATTGCAGCCACTCAGGGAATATCCAGGCTATGCCATTCCCAGCATCATTTCCAGGTTAGGGCCATAAGAAAAGGTAGAGGAAAGTCATAATGATCACTGGCTGCAGATACAAAGTAAGCAACCTATGAATAGAAAAATAAAACCAGGCTTGTTGGGTGGGAGGGGGGTAGACTGATATATTTTTTTATATTCAGGGTCTAACGTTACCTCAGTGTTTTTGCTATGATGACAGAACCTTTATAAGTTTGAAAAGGCCAGGCAAACGGGAAGAGTTTTCACTCCACCAAGATGACCTGGGTTTTTAGACTCTACCTTTATCCTTGTCAAGCATAAAGATGGATAAAGGTCGTCTCTTTGAGGTTCCTGTTCTGTGTGGTGATGACATGCTGCCCGAGTTGACAGCCTCTTTTCTTTGTTTGCTTTACTTCAGGACATGAATGAACCTTCAAACTTCGTGGATGGATCTGTCGAGGCCTGCCGCAACGAAATTCTCAACAAACCGCCCTACATGCCATGTATGATTTCTTTCCTGCTCAAGACCCTCGTTCTCTTTATTCTCATGTGAAGCCAAAAGTTTTGGAGGGGAAGGGTAAACGTACTCTCAACATGGCATAAAATCCACAAGTAGATTATCTTTGAATGTATCCAAATTAAGCATACAATTAGTAATTAAGTATAAAAATAATGACGTATTATAAAAGAAGCTAAGTGATACACTTGATGGTATTGATGAGTATGAATTTATTGCCAAAGTTTTTTTTTTTAGTTTTTTTTTTCCAGTTTAAATTTAGATAAGAAACAAGGTTGCTTCACAAGTCAGTTCCAGGTCCCTCTCCCTTTCCCTCCCCTCCTCCCGTGCCCTCCCCCCACCAAAGTTTTATAAACACCTCTCTATATGCACGCGTTCCCCCGACACACAGGCTCTTTTGATTAGAGTGTGAAAATCTAGTCCCTACACGTTCCAGCCTGTTCAGTTCAAACACTTCATGAAAGACACTCTTTGGTGTTAATTGAACAAGGAACTGGAATAAGAGGCTGTGGTCAAAGACATCTCAGAATATTGAGTCCTCTCACCACAAAGAAGCCTGAGGAATGAAGTTCCTAAAAGAAATTGCGTCTGCAACTAGAATCTACGTTTCTTAATGTCTAGAGTATTGGTCATATCTCCATCCTTATCCATCCGTCCGTCCGTCCGTCCGTCCATCTGTCCATCCATCCCTTTGTCCTCTGATTTAATATTTGTCAGTCTAACGCTGAGAAGCCAGAAAGATCTAGAAACATCAATTCAGAAGCAATTTGAGCATGTTCTATTTATTCCCTTGAGAACATTGCCATCTAGTGGAGGAAATGGTCCTAACAACAAAGGGGTTTGTCATGGTGAGAAGTGAGTTAGAGTTGGAGCAAAAGAGGATGCTTTAAGCAGCCTGCATCTTCTTCTTAGCTTTAACTCATTATGAAATCCCAGGACATTGTTTTCCTTACATTAAAATTCTCAAGCACTGAGACCTTTTATGATAGACATGTCAACATATAAATCAAGATGTCTGGAAAATAACTCAGTATTCCCCCCCCCTCAGATTTGGAGGCCAGAGACAGGGGCCTGAGCAGCAAGACTCTGTGCATGGAGAGTGAGCAGATCCTTCCAGATGGTTCCCAGGTGCAGCACTATGATGTGCACAGCTTGTATGGGTGGTCCCAGACCAGACCCACCTATGAGTGAGTATGCTGTTGTTACTGTTAGCAAAGACTGGCATGGGGAATTAAGGTATATTTCCACTATAGGCATAATTTATAATCTTGTTTGTGAGAATCCTAGACATTTCAGGTTCACCTATGAGAAAGCAATGAGGTTCTATTCAGGGGTCGTATGTTCTTAGGCCTTAAGTGTGGCCCATTGCTATCTCTTCATCTTAGTTAAAATACTTCTCTATAGAAGGAATATTGTCTTGAAGCAAATTTTGCTAATTGGACTGGAAGTCCTGACTCTCATCCAAGCTAAGCGCCTTTACCCTTCCGATGTCCCTGTAACTTCCTCTGTCTTTCCATGCTGCCTCATTAACCATTCAGCAATACGACAGATCATATTTTTCTTTAGTAAGAATGTTTTCTTTAGTTCTTTGACTATATTTAAAGTATCTTATGTAAACCCCTTCTCTACCAAGTCCCTTCAGCAATATTTTATATTGTCCCGTTTCTTTCCTTACCTTTTTTCGTCTTAATTTTGTGTGGTTTGTTTGTTGTTATTATTGAATATTGGACATTTCTAATAATAAATTATAGCTCTCCCACTGCCCATAGGATTGACTGCTGTTTTCTGGATTCTGTAGTCATTGATCCCCCTTCTCAAGGAAAAGTACTTTCTCTGGTCTTTGAGAGAGGAGGTGGTCCTCCTTACTTGAACACAGGCAGCCTTGTTGAAGACTGGCCCCACTCTCTTTCAGAGCCTGAGGGGGTGGGGCCGCTACCTTCCCTGTTGATGGCATTACCAAGTCATACTCTTGGCCTTGAGGAAGACATTCCTGATTTACAAATCAGCTTTAAAAACAAAAAAGATTTACATCTTAAAAGGGCAGAGAGAGAGAATTCCTAATGCAGGCCTGAAACCTCCAAAAGAGTCAGTTCAAAGGCTTAGAGTTTGGAAGGTGAGCAGCTTAATGAAGCCCACTCCAGTCACAATGGGTGCCTGGTCCCTAAGTCCCTTACTACTTGGCAAGGTGATAAAGAAAGTGCTTGCAAATTTAAGAGACAAGATGACAGCCTTATTTTTCATTTCTGGCTTCTGGCTGCAGAGGTCAGCCGCCGGCGCCTTCTTTCATGGCTCTTCTCTGGGAATGAACTGAAGCCTGGGCACGAGTAAGGTTTAATGCCCAGTAATATGCATCCCTTTTATAAAGTTCGCTATGCCTCTGATCCTCCACGAATTGCTTTGAAAATCTGAGCCAAATGCTTTAGCTCAGCTGAAATCACAGCCTTGGCACCCAGTGCTGAAGTTTTGACAACTAATTCTTTAGACGTGGGGATTTTCTTCTGAATTCTGATCTGAGGTCTGAGTCAAAGCACGTAGTGACGGTTTCCCTCAGAATAGACATTATCTAGAGGACTGAAGCTAGAGTAGACTACTGATGTGTTTGGGGGAGATGGCTTTTAAAAGAACCGGAAGTGAATTCAGCTTTATTAATTTACTGGAAAGCTGCTGGCTCTTGGTGACTGTAGGGTTACCAGGGAATTGGCTGAGATGCAAGGAAACTTAGGAGAGAGTGTTACAGACTTCACTGTCTTAATGAGATTTAACAGTTTCTTTTGGGAAGATGGTTTTTATTCCTTTACTGACCAATGACTTCTGAGTCCTGAAATGGTTGCTTTCAGCAGTCTGCCTGTATAGTTTATTGTTTTATTTGAAGAAAATGTTCACAGATGTCCTCTTTCACCTTTCAGGCTTTGGTCTAAGATTTTTATGTTATATATATCATATATATCATATTCTGTAAACATATATATATATATATTCATTAAGAACCCCTTTCATGCAGGAAACTCCCCTGCAATCTGAGTGCAGCAGTGATGACATAACCCCACTTCCCAGAGTCATGAAAGAGCTCCAGGTTGTTTAGGTATTTTTCTTACAGGACAAAAATGGTGTTTTCTACTCTTACACTCATTTCCATTCAAAGCCTCTGAGTCCTCTGCCCTCTGTCCCTCTTCTCGGGCCTGAGGGGAGTCTGGAGTATTTTGCCATGAGCCATGCCAGTGAGGTGAGGCGCACAGACATCGTGGTCTTCCCAGCAACATTCTCGTTCCTTTTCTCCTTCTGTCTTCATTTTTCTCAGTTGCCTTTTCACAATGTCACTTTATGTACACAGAGGGAGGAGTGTAATGATGAGAGAAGAATAAATAAAAAATAAAAGCAACAGAGAATAAGATCCTTGGGTTAGGTGCAGGTATATCTCTGGTACCCTGTGGTCATTGGGATTCTGGCTTCTTTCCTGGAAGATGTTCTCTAACTCTTAGAGCAATCACCCTACAGCCTCATGCACAGAGCTCCAGTCACTCTCTGTAGTGAAATCTCACGTCTGTCATTTCCCCAACCAGAGCTGTTCAGGAGGTGACAGGAGAGAGAGGGATCGTCATCACGCGCTCCACGTTCCCCTCTTCTGGACGCTGGGCAGGACACTGGCTGGGAGACAACACCGCTGCCTGGGACCAGCTGGGGAAATCCATCATTGGTGTGTGGTTGTGCCCAGGGGCCTCTGCTGGTGGTGGCAGTGGGAACTGTCGTGTGTACAATTTGGCTACACTGTGTGTGTTTAGATTGGCATCTAGGTGACAGTGAAGTCAATAAATGGCGAATGTTCTGTCGGTGTGAGTTTTAGTTTTTACACCCATCTCTCAACATGCTCACCAGGAATTGCCTAGGGCTGTTAATGAGGCAGAGGAAGAGGCACGCTGAGCTTTCTCTCTCCTACTCGAGGTCTGTCTTCATTTAACATAGCTATTTTGTCTCCTTGCAGGCATGATGGAGTTCAGTCTCTTTGGGATACCTTATGTAAGTCATATTGGAGTCCTTGCACCTTGCCTAGATGTCAGTGTCTGTCTGTGTATCTCTCTTGAAAGAATACCCAGTTTGATACTCTGAATTTGCTTCTTCTCAGACAGGAGCAGACATCTGTGGGTTCTTCGGAGACGCTGAATATGAGATGTGTATCCGCTGGATGCAACTGGGAGCCTTTTACCCCTTCTCCAGGAACCACAACAATGCCGGGACTAGGGTGAGGCAGCCATTGTTCATGCTGCAGATGTGTCAAACCACAGCTTACTTCAAAATTGCAGAAGTGTCATTCTTATTTCCTGGCAAATCATGAAGACCACCAGGATAACCATGTTTCAGAACGTCCACAAAGTTCAGAACCCCAAGGCTATCAATACCTCTCAATAGTACTGTTTTCTTCGCCTCTTGGAGGCATTCTTTTGCCAAGAAAAGATATTTTCTGGCTCCTGCATTGAACTACAACATAACACATTTCCTTTCTTGACAGAGTATTGAGTTGGTATTTTACTCGAACCATCTTTGATAAATCGGGGCCACATAGGGGCCTATTGATAATGCACAAAGCCCAAAGCAAGACTGTGCAAGGGGCCTGAGAATAGGTGACACGGAGGGACAACACTTACCCTTGTTTTGTAGGTGTCAGAGGGAGAAGAAAGGGGTAGGCTAGAAATGGCGAGAGAGGTGACCCATGAGTTACACACAGAGCAAGTGTCCAGCCATCCCCTTCCTGAGATCCCTGGAGTGCAGTGAAGAAGAGCTTACCATATGCTCACTCACCCCTTTAGAGACAAGATCCCGTGGCCTGGAATTCTACCTTTGAGGAGTACTCAAGAAAAGTGCTGCGGATCAAATACTCCCTGCTGCCCTATCTCTACACCCTGATGCACAAAGCTCACACCGAGGGCAGCACCGTCATCCGACCTCTTCTCCACGAGTGAGTGTTGCCTCTTTCACCAAGCAGTGAGTCTGGGCACCGTTTGTACATAACACTTTGCCGTGGTTATAAGCGCAGGGATGAGTTTTCTTCCATGTTGGACTTTTCAGGTTCACAGACGACAACACAACATGGGACATAGACCAACAGTTCATGTTGGGCCCGGCTATCCTGATCAGCCCCGTTCTGCAAAGTGTGAGTTTCTCATCGTGGACCAGACACTGTCCAGTCACATGCTGCAAAGTCACAGTGAAGCAAATCGTTTTTATCTACAATTCAAAGGAAATATTGAGCTTATCTGTGTCTGCACATGTACAGATACCAGAAGACAGCCTTTAGGACTGAGTCCTGTCCTTCTGCCTCTTGGCCTGACACCTACCAGCTCCAGGGAAAAGATTTTAAATGTTTCCCTGTCTTGTTACTTCATTATTTTCAAACAGATATTCCTAGACCATCAAAAGGAGATCGTTATCCCCCAAAGTTTTTCAACACTGATTTCTCATTTGGGGATTCTGTGGCTAGAAACTTTTATAATTTCATTAGCTGAGGCACTTTTTCTGTATATTTGGAGAGGAGTTTTCAAAGTGCATTCATTAAGATTTCTCAAATTCTTAACATCACTAATAAAATTCCATCTCAATGTTAATCTATAGAAAGTGTTTTACCGATCAATATTGCTTCCCAGTTGGGATATTCATAGTAACATGCTGACTTTATGTTTCAGAACACATTTGAGATCCTTGCTTATTTCCCCAGAGCCCGGTGGTATGACCATAGCACGGTGAGTCAGAGTGACTTTAGAAGGAATCAGATGGTTCTGTACAGGATAGAGAGGAGGCTAAAACTTTCTCCCAGCTTCTCAGACCAGAAAGCAATCATCTCCAACCATTCCAGCCCTAGCCACAACTGTATAAATGTGGATCTGCACAAAGGCTTAGGAAACATCTGAGCACCTATTTCTCCTGTCGTCCATCCTGCACCTTCCCTAGACTTACACAGAAAACAATAGGTTTTCAAAGGTTTAAGCAGGAATGAAAATAGATTTTTTGTTCACTTTTTTGTGGTGCTTTGCTGATCTTCCATCATGGTCCCTTAGTAAGGAAGAATTTTCAGTAAAACATGTAACCCATTTAATTGATTTTCCTGTCTGCATTTCTCATCGATATGCTTCGCCCCTAGGGATCTGGCCAAGAATCTATAGGTGAGAGGAAATTAGTGGCCGCTCCTCTGGACCACATCAACCTTCATGTCAGAGGAGGCTACATCTTGCCTTGGCAAGAACCTGCAATGAACACTTACTACAGGTATGATGAAGCAGTGTTTGATGGGCTGGCCCTTTACTGGGACATATGGATGCATAAACAAATTGCATGGAAACCAAAGTGCAGTTTCACTGGTTGGATTTCATGGGTGCCTTCTGATAGGACCTGAAGGAAGACAAGTAGATGAAGCCAATCTCTGGGAGATCTTTTACCCATGGTTTTGTGTCAAGAGCACAATTATTATTATTATTATTATTATTTTACTTATTTAATTCTTTTTACATTTTTATAATTTTTTATTTGGAAACAATCTTATTTTACATATCAATCTCCCCCCTTCCCTCTCCCTCCCATCCTGCTATGCTCCCCCACCAAGGCCCCCAACTCACCCCACCCCCACCCCCTCCCCAAGGACAGTGAGGCCTTCCATGGGGGATCATCAAAGTCTGTCACATCATTTTGGGGAGGACCTTGGCCTTCTTTCATGTATCTGGGCTGCAATAGTATACCTCCATAGGGAATGGGCTCCCAAAGTCCATTTTGGCACTAGGAATAAACCCTGGCTCCGCTGTTAGAGGTCCCATAGACTGCCCAGGCCTCCTAACTGGCACCCTGAGATGGCTCTTGAATAATAAATAGGATTTGTATGTGTGAAACCGAGGAGAGCTATTCTGGGAAGGTTAAAGAAATAAAGGTGAAAAATGAGTTGTGTAGATAAAATTGAACAGAGTTACCTCACGGAAAGCTGTGAATGGCACCATACGTAGTCTGAGTTTTATCCTTTGGTACCTGGAAACTGTCAAAGTTTCAATTTTGTGGGATTTTCTTGCTAAGGAACTGATGTCACAACATACTACCATGTCACTGCAGTGAGTATGTTGGGAAGTGTGCCTGTTTGAGTTGTGAAAGCGGAAGCTGACAAATGTTTCATTAAACTTTAAATGATGCTATGTTGACTTGTATCCAATATTTTATCTCACCATTTTTGTCACTTTATGTCCACATCTAATACCTTGAGTTTTGAATTCTATTTCCGAATAAAGGTTGTTTTCAGCAGATGTTCTTTGTTCTTAGAACATAACAGCCAAAAGTAATGGTTTCTTTTTTTTTTGTAGTCGACAGAATTTTTTGGGGTTGACTGTAGCTTTGGATGATGAAGGGAAGGCTGAAGGACAGCTGTTTTGGGATGATGGACAAAGCATCGGTAAGTGTGGACTCCCAGAGAGCCTGCATGTCATTCAGAGCCCTGTGTCACAGGAGCTTAGCGTATGCCGGTGGTATCCAAAAACCTGTGTTGGCTACTGAAATAACGCCATGGTGTTGGGGGAAGCTTTTCAAACTTTGGCTACCTCCGATACATTCTACTGTAAGTTGTTGTAGACAAGGTATGGTTTCCCCAGTCTTGTAAGTTCATGAACCTGACATGATGGATTTGGCCAGTGCAGATCTATCCTCACGGAACTATCTCACTCTGATAAAACAGAGTGGAAGCAGGTATCAGGCTGATCATGAAGTCATCCTCGTGAGTCAGGTCTGTGGCTCTCCTTGGGTCAGCCAGAAACATCTTGCATCTTTGCCCTCTTAAGTAGAGACACTCAGGAGACTCTTGATGACACATGAATTGGGAATTAAGAATTGCCAGGATGCTTAATGCTTGGTACGCTTTCTGTCTTCAAGCTGGGTTTTCACTCATTCTGTTGTATAATAACTGCTATCCATCGTTGTCATCAGAGGGTCCTCTCGCTCAGACATGTCTGAAGAACACTGACATGCTGCTATTGACCTGTTCTCACCTTCGCTACTATTATCTTGGACTAGAACTTTCTGAAACTGTAGCCTATTTTACTTCACTCATACATCTAAGGTTTTCCCCCTTTTAGTTTTCTTCATTCTCATTGAAGCAGGAAATGCTCACACAACCTTTAAGGGTAGAAAATTAGAAAAAAATAGAACCACATTCAGGAATAGTACTGTATTGTCTTTGTTTTTCTGTTGTTATATACCTAGTAAAATGCATAATTTTTATATAGCTGAAAACATGGTTTCTTTTTACACAGAGCTAGATATCAGGATGTACTCCTTGTAAACATCATTACTATGACCATATCTCATGAAAAAGACAATCTAAAGTTTATCTAAATGTAATTGTTCTCTCTATATGATGTTAATTTTAATTGTTATAAATTGTATTTTGAGTATTATCTTTTTTTTTTTGGTTTCTATGAGACAGGGTTTCTCTGTATTGTTTTGGAGGCTATCGGTCCAGCCCGGCCTCGATCCGCCTGCCTCTGCCTCCCGAGTGCTGGGATTAAAGGCGTGCGCCACCACCGCCCGGCTTGAGTATTATCTTTATTTGTATTTTAGATTATTTTCCAGAGTATATGGTCTTAGCTGAAAATTACATAAAATAACCATTGAAAAATATAGTTCTTTGAATTTTTATTTAAAATTTTAAATTAGAATATGATTACATCATTTCCTCCTTTTCTTTCTTCTCTCTAGCCCATCCAATATCCCCTCCTTTATTCTCTTTCAAATTAATGGGCTCCTTTTCTTTTATTATTGTTGTTACACACATGCACACAAATTTATAAATACATAAACAGAACCCAGTGAGTCTCTTCCTCATGACTTATGCGTATATGATTTCAGGGCTGATTACTTTGTGTTATAATATATATCGCCCCTAATAAAAATCTAATTTTTCTATCTCAGCAGGCAGTAGTAGCCTCTGCTTCTTTGTCTAGTGGTGGGACCTCACAATAGTTCCCTTTCTGTGTTAGTGAGTCTATTGTTGTTATCATTGTTTAAGTCTTTTAAAACAACCATATTTTTAGGTATCTTGGACATAGCTTCTTTTTGTTTCTAGGAGAAACAAAAACAACCTCACAGCAGATTTTTTGATCTTCTGTCTCCTACGATCTTTCTGCTCCCTATTTCAGATGTCCCCTGAGAAGTTATATTGAAGATGTATGTTGAGATTGAGCTGCTCATGATCCATTGGTCTCTGCATTATAACTGTTTGTGGTTTTTTTCCTTTTGTTATTTATGGTATCTGTTTGCTGTAAAAAGAAGCTTCTTTGATGACGGTTATGAACTAAACTTACCTGTGGGTGTAAGGATAGGTTTTAGAATGCAATTAGGAATTAGCTGGTCTAGTAAAGTGATGGTAGTAGGTTCTCCTCTAAGATCCATAAACTTATTAGCCCCAAGTAGTTGCCTAGGTTTCTAGTACCCGGTATAATCTCAAATTATTGAGTGAACCTTAAGTCTAATTGGGAGGACAGCAGTTAGTTGCGGCCAGGATATGAATGCCACTAGTTTACCTGTAGGGATATTTTTCCATGTTGACCATTGTTCTGGTTCCTAGATGTCACAGCTGGGTAGGAATATTGATGACTCCCTTCCCTTGATCGTTTACTTATGAGTACCATGTCCAAAGTAAGTAGCGTCTTCAGCGACAGGGATTTGCCTCCAGCCTTTGAGAAATAACCAAGGGCAATAGCAATAGTCTATATTTTTGGAGAATCTGTTACACTATTCTGACTCAAGCAGGGGTTTTTCATGTCTGGTACTGGGGTTTTTATCAAATAATTGTGCTGGCTAGTTTATTTTCACTTGACACAAGATACATTTAGAAGAGGGAACCTCTCCTGAGTTAATGCCCACATGAGATTGGGTTGTGGACAAGCCGTGGCACATTTTCTTAATTAGTGTTTGATGTAGGAAGGCCCAGCCTAGGGTAGGTAGTGCCCTCCCTGGTCAGCTGTAAAAGAAAGCATATGCCAGATAATAACCGGAGACGAAAAGTGGTACTGTATTCATTTCCCTTTGGTGTTGGGAATAAACACCTGGGTCTTTCTTTTTTTATTTCCAGAATAATGGCATTTATTCAGCATATATTATGTGTTTTGAATGACTACAGTGGTTGCACACCTAACATTGAGAAGGTGAAAGAAAGAACAGTGGGAATTCAAAGGAAGTCTGAGCTATATTCAAGTTCCAGACTAGTCTGAGTTAGAGAAGAGAGCCTTTCTAAAACAAACAAACAAAACAAAAGGCAAATGCTTGCTTACTGTCTTCATTGCTTTTCAGGAAGATGAAGAATACCTTGTTAGTCATTGTGATTCGTTTTCGATATTTTTTTTTTCTTTTCTTTTTTTTTTTTTTGGTATTTACGAGACAGGGTTTCTCTGTATTGTTTTGGAGGCTGTCGGTCCAGCCTGGCCTCGAACTCACAGAGATCTGCCTGCCTCTGCCTCCCGAGTGCTGGGATTAAAGGCATGCGCCACCACCGCCCAGCCGTTTTAGATATTTCACACTCAACATGAGATTATCTGCTACAACTGAAGCAGGTAGCTGTTTATTCTTTTCTTCTTGTTTGCAGATACATATGAAAAGGGAAATTATTTCTTGGCTAACTTTATAGCAACACAGGTAAGACTACCTTATTGAGTTTATAAATTCCTTTACCTACAGATTGGACATCATCTGCTAACTGTATAAATATAAGGTTTACATGTTAAGAAGAAGTACTTCCTGTCTTTACTTCTCTAATTCTTGTTGTTGACAATAAAGTGAGGAAGAAAATAGTTCTTATTTTACATTTACCCAGAATGCCATCACTATGTAAAGAGAAGTTTGGAACTCATATTATCCTGGGGAAAAAATGGATCCCTCAATGTGAAACTTATTTCTAGGGATAAGAAGCTTTCTGGCTGATTTTAAAATGTAAATTTTGAAGTGTAAATGTTATATAGATGATCCACTATGTTATACTGTTGTATAGTTGATAACTTCATAGCCTCATTGTCATGTACAGTAAATGTTTACTGGGATCATGAATTTACAGAGTTTAGATGATCTGATCAACACTTAACTGACCTTAGCTGTATCATATGTGTGTATATATATCAGCACATACATATATCTGCACATACATATATCTGCACATACATATATATGCATACATCTATCTATCTATCTATCTATCTATCTATCTATCTATCTATCTATCTATATGATCCAGCAAAGATGGACTGTACTTACATAGCTGGTAGGCAGCTGACCTGAAGATAAGCTAAAATCACCTTATGAGTGGTATCTAATAATGACTTTTCATGATTGTGGAATAGCATAAATTGAAAGTTGATGGACTTGAGAGAGGGCTCAGTTGTTCAAAGTGCTTACTGCTTTTATAGAAGAGTCATGTTTGGTTCCTAGCACCCACTTCAGGCAGGTCACGCCCACCTGTAACTTCAGTTTCAGAAGATCCAGTATTTTTTGGCATCTGAGGGTACCTACAGATACACAGTGCACATACATTCACACAGGCAAGCACACACATACATACATAAACACATCTTTAAAAATTAGAAGTAAAAATACCAAATTTTTATTTAAAATTTACATTTTCTTTAAGTTGACTAATTTCTCATTAGCAAGGTATAGGATGCATCACCAAGACCAGGTGAGTCAGCATATCTTATTCAGAATGGCAAAACTGTAAGAATGACATAGAAAGTGGCAATTACAGAGGAATAAATACATTAGAGGAAACAATATTGTGCATGTTGGATGACTCCGTTGACAATCTGTCTTCTCCTGAGAATTAAGTAAATCATGCTGTATCAAGTCCAGAATCTTCATCACTCACTCATTGACTTAAACACATGGCCTAGTGTAGCATAAATGGATCGCTTTTTGTAACAATGCTTCAGATGTTAGGTGTCTGCTCAACACCCCTCTGCCCTCTCTTACAGTTGCATGCATCTCTGGGGTAAAATGGCATTTTCTTTGTATTGTGCTGGTTCCTAGATCTGATCACTCTGAATGCTGCCTAATCTAGATTTCTCTTAAAACACAGTGGCCAGGGATCAAGAACACGACTGAGACTGCTGTCCTTCCTTCCTTCCTTCCTTCCTTCCTTCCTTCCTTCCTTCCTTCCTTCCTTCTTCCTTCCTTTGGAATAGATCTTTTTATTGACAATATATTCCTCTCTTCTACCACATATCCCAACCACGGCTTCCCCTCCCTCCACTCCTCCTAGCTCCTCCCACCTCCAGATCCACTCCCCTCTGTTTCCTTTTCAGACTAAAACAGGTCTACAAGAGACAATAGCCAAACAGGACAAAACAAGATTACAGTAAGGCAAGGCCAAAGCTCTCATACCGAGGCTGGGCATGGCAGCCCAATAGGAGGAAAGCAGTCTCAAGAGCAGGCAAGAGTCCTAGATACACCCACTCCCACTGCTAGGAGTCCTATAAAATCACCAAGCTAACAGCCACAGCAAACACAGAGGACCCGGTGCAGACCCATTCCGGCCCTGGGCTTGCTGCTCCAGTGTCTGTGACTCTATATAAGCTCTGTTTTGCCAGTTCTGTGATCCATGTCCTCTGGGTGTCCTTCATCCCCTCTGATTCCTACCCATCTTCTGCGGGGTTCCACGATCTCTGAGGGGAGAGACCTGATGGAGACCTTCAATCTAACTCTCTCTCCTTATAATGTCTGGTTGTGGGTCTGTGTACCTGCTCCTATCTGCTGCCTGAGGAAGCGTCTCTGATGATAACCAAACAAGGCACCGATCTATGAGTACAGCAGAATATCATTAGGAATCATTTAATTGATCTTATTTTTTTAAGGCCAATCATGTTTGATTCTACCCCAGGAGTCTGGGATATCCAAGAAGTGTGAGGCATGGGTTCCCTCTTATAAAGTGGGCCTCAAGTAAAATCAAGCATTGCTTGGCCACTCCCACATTTTCTGTGAGACCACTGTCCCCGCAAATCTTTGAGGCAGGACAGATGCTGTGTAGGTGGAGGGTTCTGAGGCTGGACTGGTGTCCAGATTTCTCTTTCTGTAGCTTGCAGAGTACGTTCCCATACCGAAGAGACTAGAAAATAGAGGTGAAGGCTTCTAGGTGACCTTCTGCCCTAGCATCATTCTGGGTTGTTCATGGGTTTCCATAGAACCTCATCCAACAACTCAACCAAATAACCCAGGACCGTCACTGGAAGCCATGACTGGCTACCAAAGATTTCAGGTCTGTATCCTCCATTATGAGGGTCCTCACTAGGATCACACTCCTGGATTCCAAGAAGTTTCCTTTGCACCATGTTTCCATGTTGCCTGAGTCCCACCTGATTCCTTCTGCTCCTTTCCCCTTACGCTCCAGTCCACCCCTAGAATTTATTCTATTTCCTCTTCCCAGGGAGATCTATGCTGTCCTCCTTCAGCCCTCCTCTTTAGCTAACCTCTCTGGGTCTGTGAAATGTGGTTTATCATTTACTTACCAGTTAATATCCACTTATAAGAGAATACATATTGTATTTGTCTTTCTGGGTCTTGGTTACCTCACTCAGGATGATTTCTTCTAGGTCCATCCACTTCTTGCATTTGTCATATTTCTTGATGTCATTTTTAACTACTTATTAATACTCAATTGTGTAAATGTACCATATTTTCTTTATCTGTCCTTTAGTTGGGGGGTATCTAGGTTGTTTCTAGTTTCTGGATATCATGAGTAAAGTTGCAATGAGCATAGTTGAGTAAGTGACCTTGTGGTAGGATGGAGAATTCTTTGAGTATATGCCCAAGAGTGTATAGTTGGGTCTTGAGGTGCATCAATTTCCAATTTTCCAAGGAACTGCATATTGATTTCCATAGTGGCTGTACAAGTTTGCACTCCTGACTTCTACTATACAGCATGTTAGCCACTGCTCATCTGTGGCTGTCGCACAATTTAAAGAAGTCTCATGGTCCACTAAGACTCACAATTGCTCTACATACAGGATTATCAGAGCATACCCCCTCCTTTCTACTCCTGCCTTTTTGAAACGAAATAAAAGACTTAGTGTACTAGATTATTCCATCTTTGTTGTGCTCTTGATTCAGCAGTAGTTGAGTTGAACACTTTACCTTTCTTTACTTTCAAAATGTTGCTACTCTGTGAAGATGCTTATATGTAAGTCCTGGCATTGGTTCTGTTTCTACTAACTCATTGAATTTAAGAGAGATACTTCTGTTTAGTGTTCCTTTCTTATGGCATTTGCATGCCATTAAATAACACACAACTCTAAAGTTCAATTTTCTTGTTATTCTAAATTAATAATAATTAGTTCTTTCTATGATATTTGATGGATTTACCCACTCTAAAGATCAGCCTGAGATAAAAGAAACTCTTGTCTGAGTGGTGGTGGTGCATGGCTTTAATCCCAGCACTCGGGAGGCAGAGGCAGGTGGATTTCTGTGAGTTTGAGACCCAAGCCTGTTCTACTGAGCGAGTTCCAGGACAGGCTCCAAAAACAATACAGAGAAACCCTGTCTCAAAAAACCAAAACAAAAAAAAAAGAAAAAGAAAGAAACTGTCATCTTTCTCTGGGGCCTGGCTGGTTATTATCAATACCACCATGGCCCGTAAACCAACTTAGTGGCAGGGGTGACAGTGGTGTATGTAGCATTTGTTCATTTCCAGAGTGTGAATATTTCTATTAAGTAGTTTTTGAAGTTGGAATAAATTTAATCATAAGATCTCCTAAGCCAATAACCTACAGTCTAATTATTCCTTCAAGTTATATATTTTTTCCTTGATTTTTCTTCTTGGTTTTTCCTGCCCATCAGTCACAAAATGTACTATGCTTATTTATTTTTAATGAAAAAATATTTATGTGTGTGGGTGTTTGAGAAGGTCAGAGGAAGGCATCAGATCCCTCAGAGCTGTAGTTGTAGGTGGTTGTGAGCCTGACATGGGTGATAGGAACTGAATTTCGGTTCTCTATAAGGACAGCAAGTACTATCAGCCACTGATCCAATTTTCTAAATCCTTATTTATTTTGACATGGGGTCCCATCGTCTCTTGCCCAGATTGATTTTGAACATTCTGTGCAGCTAGCCAACCTTCAAAGTGTGATGATACCTCCACCTCATCCTCTCCAGGACCTGGGGTTGCTCAAGTCATTTGTTACCATTGCATCATTTGACTTTGTTTCTTCTTCTTTAAATGCAATGGGATATTTTTATTTCTCTTTCTAATGTTATCGTCAGAAGCAAGTCACATGCAGCTTTACTCTTCTGTCTCTGTCTCCCTGATATTTTTTTCATTGAATTCGCACAACTTTGTGTTTCATTTCTCTGTTTACTTAGAAACTGCTATGCTAGCCCTAGTCTGTCTGCGCTCTCTCTCTCTCTCTCTCTCTCTCTCTCTCTCTCTCTCTCTCTCTCTCTCTCTCTCTCTCTCCCTCCCTCCCCCTCCTCCCCTCTATCTTTTAATTTTTTGTTTTGTTTTTCAAGACAGCGTTTCTCTGGCTTTGGAGGCTGTCCTGGAGTTAGCTCTTGTAGACCAGGCTGGCCTCGAACTCACAGAGATCCGCCTGCCTCTGCCTCCTGAGTGCTGGGATTAAAGGCGTGTGCCACCAACGCCCGGCTCTCTTTTAATTTTTTGGGACAGGGTTTCTCTGATTGCCTGCAACTGTCTTTCTAGGACTTCCAGAGTTCCATGTATTCATTAATGCTTTCATCTATCCTAGTCTCATAGTTTCCTTTCTTCCATTTCCTTAATACAAATAGTATTTTTGTTATGTTTTCCATTTTGCTTTAATCATGTAGCATGTCATAATACATCTCATTTCAACTTGTACTTATGTTTATATATAATACTTCATGGTTTGGATAATTCGTTATATTCTTTGCAGACTTTATTAATTCAGTGACAGCTTACTACACTTCTGCATTATACCAATATATGATCATTCTACCCTATCTGTATCACTTAGCTCTGTGAAAATGGATGACTTCATTTCCTACTATCTAAATTTCCTCATCTGAAGAACAGAAAGAGTGATACTTTAGTATAAGTATTAGGAGGAATATACACAGAGAAATTGTAGAACCTTTCTTGGTTCATACACCTATCTTTGACATTGCTTTAGGATTTTGCACACACACACACACACACACACGAACACACACATAAAGGAATTTGTTAGAGTGGCATACAGGTTGTGGCATACCTAGACTAATAATGGCTGTCTCCTGATTGAAAAGATAAGAATCTGGAAGTTGTTTGAGTCACAAAACTGGGTCTCTCAGCTGTTCTCCGTATGCTGGAATTTCAAAGCAGTAGGTTTTAATACCAGTAAAGGAATGCTACATGATCAGGGTAGATAAATTTTCCAGAGAGAGAATGAAGGCAAGCAGCAAGCAGGAAAAAAGAAAAGAGCTTTTTTTGTTTGTTTGTTTTGTTTTTTATGTGGGATGGCTCTAGAAGGTGTGGACCAGGTTTAGGGTAGGTCTTCCGAGTTCAAATGAAAGCCTTTGCAGGTGTGCCCTTCTAATTGAGTTTTAGTTTCTATACTAGACATAGCTGAAAATCAAGATTACCCATCACAGACATCATCAAATTTATCATGGCTTGTATTTGGGATCTATGTCTTCAAGAAATAGTCAATAAAAAATAGAAATAAGGGGTGGAGAGATGCTCAGTGGTTAAAAACACTTGACTGCTCTTTCAGAGGTCCTGAGTCCAATTCCCAGCAACCACGTGATGGCTCACATTCAGCTGTGATGGGATCAGATTCCTTCTTCTGGTGTTCATGAAGACAGAGCACTCACATGTGTAGATACATGAACAAATAAATCTTTAAAATGGTACAATAAAAGTAATTAAGATATTTTCACATTGTAATGTAGAACATAGTTTACTATGTATTACATTTGAGTTATATATGTTTTATTCTTATGAATTCTTTATAGAACACCTTGAAAATCCAGGTCCTACATAATCAGTATCTGAGTGGCTCAAATCAACTGAAAGTTGGATATATTAGAATATGGGGTTTAAATTCCTCTTATGTGGTACATGTCAGTTGTACCTACAACAACCAGCAATTCACTGAGACCAATTTCACAACTGAGCCCTACAATCAGGTATGTCTAAAAGGAATGTCATCATAAACTCACTTTATTAGTCTATTAAATTATTTCTGCTATTACTATTTAATATGTGTGGTACCTATTACAAGTATTATAAATCTGTAGAAGCACTATGTTTCTGAAAAGATGTGAGGACTGGATTGTAAAGTGTACAACATTAGTGGTCTTGTGTTTGTAGTCTGGTATTGATGATCTGTAGTCTGATGGTACCTTCTCTATTGTGTTCACTATTGGATTATCTTTGAATAGATTGGTTTCCTAGATTACTTAATAAAATATAGCAACATTTTTGCAAAGAGGCTAAAGCCAATGAATGGTTATGAAAATTCCTTTCTCCTTCTAGCAGTGTGCCCATCCCTTAGCAAATTACTGGTTAAATTTTAAGTTGGTACTTAATGCTACTCCTTATTAAGTGGCTATGTTTCACTCACAGTATAAGATATGCTTATTTGGCTAACAAAACAGAGTGCCATAAACACCAGACTATTAAAACTGTTAAAGTGACAACTTTGCACCAAGAGAAACAACGCTCTGCAAGATAGGTTACTCATAGAATAGGAACCCACGTAATCCTAAATTTAGAAACTGAACAGTAATGTCAGAAAATGGATACCTTATAAATAGATGCAGTAGCCCAGAAGAATTTGAAGAAGTGAAAATGAATAGATATAGTCCTTGCTTCTAAATGTGGAAAATAGTGTCCTGACAGTATGGGGATTTTGAAAAATGAGAATTCTGAGCACCCAAGTAGCTTTTCCCCACTGTGGGTAAATACAATAATATGTTTCCTAGATTACTGGATTCCAATTACTCTGAAAGTATTGTTTCTAATTAACCTAGCTGCAGAAAAGCAAAAAGTTCCATTTTGTGAAAACTCTGTAGCACACTTAATGCCTATTATTTGTCAGGCAATATTAGGGGTGACAGTAATAAAGTCATGAAACAAGTCTGCTGTCAGGAAAGGTAAATGTTAACTAACGACAAAATGACAAAACAGATAAATGTTAAATTTAACCACAACTGTAAATATTTGAGAACAATATAGCTTGGATATATGAAAGCATGAAGAAGGGAATGTATGGCACTTGGTTACACACAGAACACCTCACCATGGTGATTTGGGAGCAACATAAGCTGAAGAGATTTGCGCCATTTACTATTTTGGAAAGAATGAATACATTTTTTTTGCTAGGATAAAAGTTCAGTACAATGTTTAATAAATTCTAATATGTCAATGTGATCTTTTTTGACAGAGACTAACAATTCAATTGACTGAAAAGAACATGAAACTCGAAGAGCTGACTGAGGTTGTTTGGGTTTACGGAGATCCTGCACTTCCCACACCAAATACAACCAGTGTATTTCCCACAAGTCCTCACCCAACTTCATCTAGCACTGAAAATGCAACCAGTTCTGCTCTCATAAGTACACCTGAAATAGCAAGTACTTTCACAACTACACTTCCTAACACAACTACACCTTTCCCTACGAGTCCTCCTAGTACTAACACTAGTGATATAACTCCATACATAACCACAACTCCTGAACCAACTACTGTTGACAATACAACAGCTACCACATTTCCTAATATAACTACACCTTTCCCTACAATTCCTTCTACTACGAACAGTAGTGATATAACTCCATTCACAACCACAACTCCTGAGGCAACTACCATTGATAATACAACTAACTCCACATTTCCTGACATAACCACAACTCCTGAAATAACTACTGTTGAGTATACAACTGGCACCACATTAACTAACATAACTACACCTTTCTCTACAAGTTCTCCTGCTGTTAACAGTAGTGACATAACTCCATTCGCAACCACAACTCCTGAGGCAACTACCATTGACAATACAACTAACTCCACATTTCCCAACATAACTACACCTTTCCCTACAAGTATTCCTACTGTTAACAGTAGTGATATAACTCCATTCACAACCACAACTCCTGAAACAACTACCATTGACAATACAACTAACTCCACATTTCCTGACATAACCACAACTCCTGAAATAACTACTGTTGAGTATACAACTGGCACCACATTAACTAACATAACTACATCTTTCCCTACAAGTTCTCCTACTGTTAACAGTAGTGATATAACTCCATTCGCAACCACAACTCCTGAGGCAACTACCATTGACAATACAACTAACTCCACATTTCCCAACATAACTACACCTTTCCCTACAAGTATTCCTACTGTTAACAGTAGTGATATAACTCCATTCACAACCACAACTCCTGAAACAACTACCATTGACAATACAACTAACTCCACATTTCCCAACATAACTACACCTTTCCCTACAAGTTCTCCTGCTGTTAACAGTAGTGACATAACTCCATTCATAACCACAACTCCTGAAGTAACTACCATTGACAATACAACTAACTCCACATTTCCCAACATAACTACACCTTTCTCTACAAGTTCTTCTACTGTTAACAGTAGTGACATAACTCCATTCATAACCACAACTCCTGAAGTAACTACCATTGACAATACAACTAACTCCACATTTCCCAACATAACTACACCTTTCTCTACGAGTTCTCCTACTGTTAACAGTAGTGACATAACTCCATTCACAACCACAACTCCTGAAACAACTACCATTGACAATACAACTAACTCCACATTTCCCAACATAACTACACCTTTCTCTACAAGTTCTTCTACTGTTAACAGTAGTGATATAACTCCATTCACAACCACAACTCCTGAAGCAACTACTGGTGACAATACAACAGGTACCACATTTCCCAATATAACTACACCTTTCTCTACAAGTTCTTCTACTGTTAACAGTAGTGGCATAACTCTATTCACAACCACAACTCCTGAAGCAACTACTGGTGACAATACAACAGGTACCACATTTCCCAATATAACTACACCTTTCTCTACAAGTTCTTCTACTGTTAACAGTAGTGGCATAACTCTATTCACAACCACAACTCCTGAAGCAACTACTGGTGACAATACAACTAACTCCACATTTCCCAATATAACTATACCTTTCCCTACAAGTTCTTCTACTGTTAACAGTAGTGACATAACTCCATTCACAACCACAACTCCTGAAACAACTACCATTGACAATACAACTAACTCCACATTTCCCAACATAACTACACCTTTCTCTACAAGTTCTCCTGCTGTTAACAGTAGTGACATAACTCCATTCACAACCACAACTCCTGAAACAACTACCATTGACAATACAACTAACTCCACATTTCCCAACATAACTACACCTTTCCCTACGAGTTCTCCTGCTGTTAACAGTAGTGACATAACTCCATTCATAACCACAACTCCTGAAGTAACTACCATTGACAATACAACTAACTCCACATTTCCCAACATAACTACACCTTTCCCTACGAGTTCTCCTGCTGTTAACAGTAGTGACATAACTCCATTCACAATCACAACTCCTGAGGCAACTGCCATTGACAATACAACTAATTCCACATTTCCCAACATAACTACACCTTTCCCTACGAGTTCTCCTGCTGTTAACAGTAGTGACATAACTCCATTCATAACCACAGCTCCTGAAGTAACTACCATTGACAATACAACTAACTCCACATTTCCCAACATAACTACACCTTTCCCTACAAGTTCTCCTGCTGATAATAGCAGTGATATAACTCCATTCACAACCACAGCTACTGAAGCAAGTACTCTTGACAATGTAACTAATACTATATTTGTTTCCTCCAATAACTATAACTCTCCCTGAGAGTCCTTATGTTGTTAGCACTAGTGCTGTGATTCCGGTCACAAGGATAGGTACTGAAACAGGTACTGAAAACTCTACGGTAGTGACATGGTCTCATTCAAGGGTCTAGTGCAGTGGCTCTCAACTTTCCAAATTCTGTGACCATTTAATAGAATTCCTCATATTATGGTTACCCTCAGTGATGAAATTATTTTGTTGCTACTTCACAATGTAGTTTTGTTGCTGTTATCAATCATAATGTAAGTTGTCTGATATGTGACTCCTGTGGAGGTTGATACCCACAGATTGAGAGCCATTGATAGTGCCAGAACACCACCCAATCCAGGATTATTACCTCAGATACCTCTTTGAAACAAAGCTACAGAAATTTGTGAATAGACTTAGGAATACTTGGCTTCCAAAAATAGTTTTTGTCTCATCCAAGCAGTATGGATACTCCAAGAACTCCAACAATTATAGGTGTTCCAAACCTAACTTCTACCAAAGAAGGTATGCATGCTGCTCATGATGTCTGAATGCATGCCACAATTATCTCTAATGCTAGCTATTATATCTATGACCCTACTGGTTAAATGACACGTATGTCCATGTCCTTCACTTGTAATCATAGTCCCAAACCAGAGCACATTCTGTGACTTCTATTGCTGCAGTTTTTTGTTATAGTCTCTCTCCTACTGTTTTCTTGTGTTGCAAGTTCTAATCCAATATTCGAGACATTGCAGATTCTTTAACTAATGTTATGAAAAGTAGCATTTTATTTTCCGATAGATTTTTCCAAATATTCTATCTTGGCTGTTTCTGCAGTAGCTTACTATCATACACACTAATACCATTATTGCTTTCAAAGGAATTACAACTGCTGATATATATATATATATATCTCAAATCCACTGAAGTCATTAAATTATAGACATAGCAATTTTACTATCAAAGAAAATATATATAAGATTATAGGTGCTAAAAATGCAAGTTCCCTAACCTTGCAATAATAATAATAGCAGTTTGATAAGTGTTAGTGATACACTACAGCTTTCATAAGCATAGATTGAGCCTTTCTCATCTCAAATTATTGGGACTAAAAGTGTTTCAGATTTTATATTTCATGTTTCTGAACATTTGCATTTGCAGAGTGATATATCCAATCTAAAATTAAATTAATGTTCATTTATACTCTAGACACACACAGCTGAAAGACTACTTCATTTTACATTTAAAGTAATTGTATGCATAAAACAAAGTTCATGGTGTGATATTTTCCACTCGTGTCATTATGTTGGTACTCAAAATGTGTTATAGTTTTGCAATAGGAATACTCGACCTGTACTTGTTTTTACAGATATCAAACTGCTCTAGAATTTTGAAATCACTCTTATGAGCTACTTTTATGTCCTTACTGTTCCCACTAATGACTAACTGCGATGTGTCTACAAACTAGAACTTATCCAGACAGAGGTAAGACTGTAGGTATAGCCTCAGGAGGCAGTGTATTCTGGATTGGAGTTTAGAATCATAGTTACCTATCCTTTTACTTTGTTATTTTATTGTTCAGTCTCTCCCTTGGTATGTTAGAGTTTCCTGAATGGCTCTGATCTTTCATATACAAATTTACCGCTCATCTTTGACCTACTGCTTCTTTAGATCACTCCGTAACCTGGTAAATAGACCCATAGATATTACCAAATCTAACCAGTTGGGCACTATTGAAGGTTTGAGCAGTATTCTCAAAATGTCGTTATGAAATCTGTGGGTGCCCCGGATTCTTTGTAAAGTCAATAGCATCCAACCTGTTTTCATAATATCAAGTTGTTATTTGTTATTTTCATTCTTGTCTCTTACTGCAACATAGAGGCATTTTTCAGAGACTTCAGTGTAGCATTGCAATAGACAGCTATAGAAGCAGCTGTGAAGAAGGTGCTTTTGCTGTTAAGATGTTGGAAAGACTCACAAAATGTAAAACAATACCATTCTTCTTACTCTTTGTTTTTACTTTGGAAAATGTACCTATTTTTCACAAAGATATTATTTATGTTAACATGTAGTGAATATATTGTTATTTTAACTAATGAAAATAAATATTTATAAAATATTTCATAAATGGCTCAATTTAAATTTCGAATGCAGTAAATGTTAACAGGTATAACTCACATGAGCAATGTGATATCTTCACTGGTTTTGAATAGAAAGAGATACTGAGACCAAAGAATTTTAAAGCCACTTCCTTATGTTTACAGAGTATCTTGTTTCTACCCTTGTGTACTGGCCAGTTATACCAACAACAGCCCAAGAATCTTTGATTTACTCTACTTGAACATTCTTTCCCCTTCTATAAATATCTTCTTGGCTTTCTAACCTGCTGTAAAAAACATACTGTGTTTTGAATTATCCAGTGGCACTCCATATGAAGAACATAGATTCATCAGTTATATTTGTTTCTTGAATTTGACCTACAAGTTATAGCTATTTGAGCAAAGACAAGGTCTTATGTTAGGGATTACATGGCCCTTACCTTATCCTTCCAACCCAAACAAAACTCATGAAATTATCTCTATAGAATGTCATGGACTCTCTTACTTGTACCTTCACTAAGACAAGTCCAATGTGCTGCATTTTTGGCAATACAAACTTAGGGGTGTGTTGCGGAACTGAAAGTTTGCTTTCTTTGGTTTGTGATGTGTACACTTATGTACACATTTTGGTATTTGTACACATGTACCTGTAGAAACACATAAATGTGTAACCTCATTCATGTGGATGCCAGAGGCTAATAGCTTTCCACCATATTTTTAACACACGTTCTCTCAATGAAATTAATTAAGAAGACTTGCTGACCAGTGAGCTCTAGGGATTTTGCCTGGTCTTGGGTTACAGTTGATGTCCTAAGCTCTCACTTCTGCAAAGAAGTTTCCAGGCCCAGGCAACCAGACTGAAAACTTCAGAAGGCTGCTAACGGTACATCCTCCACTCCTGTAATTAGTGTACCTTAACTAAATGTGCCCTTTCTCCCTACTTAACCTCACATCCTCGGAGTCACAAGGTAGCACGATTCCTTTCTCTCTTGCTGGAAATGTAAGATCGCCCTCCTACTATTCTCCTCTTAGAATCAGAGACGGCCTGACTACAAGCAATAAATGGAGTATTCATCATAAAGTCCCTCCTCTGAAACCTAGAAGAAGGTGCTTGCCTCAACCCCTGCCATGCGTCTCTAATTACGACATTAATAACTCTTCCGATAATCTCCTTCACAAAAGGATAATCTGCTTCGTTGTCCCCTTTGAATCCAAAATCCAGGAACTTTCAGTGTGCCTTGATAAAATACACCAGAGGAAAAAATAGATTTTAAGGGCCATGTGGTTTAAAATTTCCACTCCATACAAGTTTCCTTGTACCACATCTTCCAGGACATCAGAATCTGACACAACACCTCCTCAAAAGTTTGCCTACCACTAGTATAAGTGGCCTAGGAAGATATCCTAAAGAAATATGAACTTGGAAAACTCTGTTTAATTAAGGTGTCAAGACTTGACTTCCAGAAAATCCCAAGTGAGCACCTTCTTTGGATCTTTAGTAGCCACTGAAACTCCATTTTAGTCTCTTCCTTCCCCATAGAGGTTTTTTTTTGTTGTTTTTGTTTGTTTGTTTTTTGTTTTGTTTTTCGAGACAGGGTTTCTCTGTAGCTTTGGAGATTGTCCTGGAACTCACTTTGTAGACCAGGCTAGCCTTGAACTCACAGAGATCTGCTTGTCTCTGCCTCCTGAGTGTTGGGATAAGAGGCATGCACTATCACTGCCCAGCTCCCATAGAGATCTTGAACAAGTGTTACACTGTGGAGCTAACAACTTACTTTTCTCTGCTTGGCTTTTCACTTATGCTCAGAGCTCAATTCACCCCTCCTTCCCAGATAGACTCTTCACACTAAATGACTTACATGTGATAATATAACATGTGGAAGGATAAACAGTAAACAGTTGTATTTGGGGCAACCAAAAGCTCCTGACGCATTAACCTTGCAATTCAAGAGGCTTCTAAGCTGCCTCCCAAGGACCGAAGACTCTGCCAAAGGATGCAAGTTGGATTCTTTTAATGTGATACTGCAAATTTTCTCCCTATGTACACAGAACATTATTCTTTGCTCTCTATTATACCTATAGTATACTCACATTGCCTCAGAAAGATCTGGACACAAAATATCATTAGAAAAGAGAAGCAATAGCTTTCTCCAGGACCATACGCTTTCTGAGGGGTTTGCAATTTTCTTCCTCTGCATTGAAACCTCATCCAAGCATCAATTTGAGAGAAAACAGAGTGCTAGAATTCTGAGTGAATCCATCATCTACTCCTCAGACTTAGAGGCAGACTTTCTCAGAAAACGTGTGATTGCATCAATGGTTCCGAAGCTTTAAGAATAACTTGAACAGTGAATTGTGGACAAATCCCGAGAGCCTTCAGTGTCACGGTTTGATTTACGGAAAGTGGCACAGATAGAGGTCATTTAGAGGGGTCATGTCGGGGTTGTTTCTGTAGTTCATGATAAGGGAGTTATGTGGCATGAGGAGGCAGAATCATACTCCAGTCTGCAGCATGGCAAGCAGCCATGAGACTGTACCCTGCAGGAACAAGATAGCAATCAGGGGCAGGTGCCTCAGGGTAACGGTGTTGGAGCCGGAGAGGACAGTTGGTGCAGCCCTGAAGCCTGCAGGAGTCTTGTCCTGAGGTTCCACTTTGCCTCCAGAAGACTCTAAGCATGGCCCTCGAGGAGTTGGGATAATATCAGGAATCCAACCTGTTGTATTTTCTACTTCCTCCTGCAGGAGATGGGACAAATGAGTAAATTCAACACTGTTCCTTTCCTCGAGGCTTTACTCTGTCAGCCCCAACATGTAAGCTAACTGAGAGGCTCCAAGCACCTCTACAATGCTGGGTAGCAACAGCTTGACTTTCTGTTTCCACAGGCTTCCTTCCTCCAGCTCAGGGCTCCTATTACTGTCGTTTGCTTCCGTCAAACTTTGCCTTGCCCAACACCATTCCCCCAACCTTGCAAGGTGGTATCTCCCGTGACACACACGTACATCAATGGTCTTGATCAACACTGTCTGCTGGGACTCTTTGCAAGCCTTCTCCGCTTTCTTAATGTTCTCTGGAGTCCAATCAACATTATTCAGGGCCATCAGGTTCTCCATGGGATTCCTGTGGATAGTAGAGTTAGGGCAGGGACACGGTAGTAATGCTGACTGGCTACTCTGACAAGACAGGCTGAAAAGCACCTCCATGTTGGATAGCACGTGTTCCACATGGCTATAAACTACACAGAACGTTGTAGAATTAAGCCAACATTCTTAGTGTGTTTGGTAAAAGCAACATATCAAAGAGAACATAAGACACTGAAAAAGAGATTGTTCTTTGAGGGTGTGGATCTTCACCTGGGTGCCACAGGGTCTGAAAGGTTGGTGGGTAGGCTTCAGAGGACCTGCAGCTGCCCGGAAGTTGTATGTGTGTCTAATAATAAAGATTTCTTCTGGCCTCTTAGAGTCTTATTAGAGCGGGCACCTACTCAAAGGTTGGGACATGAGTGTAAACCAGTTCTCCAGTGCAGTCAGAAAGAGCGATTTGTGCATAAGGGACCTGACTTTCAAGGGCCACTTATCATCTGCTCCTCTGAATGCCCTTACTGACATAGAAACTTATGAAACTTCTGTGTTCAGAGCTTCTGAGCCAACACTGAGCAAGGGTGAGGATTGTGGGGGGGGGGTGGTTAGGCCAACCACTGAGGGCTGCAGGCTCTCCAGCCGGGGAGGAATGGGTGAGCCTCCTTGTCCTCCTTCCCCAGGTCCTTTCAAGAGCCCCTTCCGACACTTGTGGGTATCAGCTTCTAGAGTGACTCACTCCGATGCTTCTTCTCCCAGCTCATTGGTCACATAGATAATGTCAGGGTACCCCAGGCAACTGGAGATGTTAATTCTGGGATAGTAGAAGAAGAAGACGAGACACATCTCATTGACGGTGCTGGCACCTCCCTGGAGAAGGTGAGAGAAGGAGAGCGCCAAGGGTTCAGAAACATGCAGAGAAGGAAAAGACAAGCAACACACTGTAAAGGCTGCCACTCTTCAGAGATCCCTCTCTTCCTAAACACAGAGTCCAGTGCACTGTGCCTTACCGTATCTCTTTCTTTCCTTTCTTCTGTTTCCAGTCGCTGAACAAGCATTGGTATCATTCCTAAAAATAAAACCCACTGATCTCCCTGGTTCTCTGTATTTCTACTGCTACGCTTCTTCCTCCTCCACCCCGGTTTGAGGAGGACTCCCTGCTTTGTAGTGTCAGTCACCCACCTGCCTGTATTGCAACCCCTTTCTCTGCAGCGCCATATCATTTTTGTATAATAAATATAATAATATAATATATTACTATGTATCTTGTGCCCTCTCATCTGCCTAGTCAGTGAACTCCAGTGGCCTCTTACTGTCTTTGGATGAAAATTTATTTGATGACAAATTAGTTGATTGCATATGACAAATCCCAGCCTAGCTATTCTCTTCTGTTATTGATCTGGCAAATGATTCTGCAGTTCGGCCTTGCTGTCTGAGAACTGTAGGCAGGACAGCGGCATCTGTGCTTCAAGACCCCTTCCCCAGCCTCAAATCCCTCAACCTCATTCAGTGACTTCCTGCGTCTCCCCTCACTCCTTAACCTGCGCCCACACTCATCGCTCTTCAAGCACACTTCCTGCACTCCTTGTTGATGGATGGCTTCTTCATTTCTGTCCTTCTCCAGAGATCCACATTTCCATGAGCTAGAGCAGGTCCACCTAACTGATGTCACGTGGTCCTTAGATCATCTATGTTCCCTGAAATGTCCCTGAACTTTAACACCCATTTTTCCATTTTGATGTCTTCTGCCTTGCTTTAAAATATGCATGGCTGTGTTTCCTTCCTTAAAAGCACATAATCCTTTCTGAAGCATTGAACTATTCTCTATATGAAATTGTTGGGGTTCCTCATAATCGTGGTGGCAAATAGTTATCTCTAAATGAGCATCTGCTTACTACAAGAGGCATGATGATCCTATTCTATATGTGTTAACCGACTATCATAA